ACAAAATACCCAGAAAGTTTGATTCCGTGTGAACATTTTTTTCCGTGTGAACATTTCGATGACAGCGCCGCCAATGATTAAAACTCTAAAATAAATTCACGTTTTGTAAAACATTCGTACATTTCTTCGGCGGCATATAAATTTCTTTAGCATCAAGAAATGAATAGAAGTGTCGAATTGATAAGTTTAAGCTATTGAAGAACTTGAGACATATCTTAGTTTGTGAAAGACACTTCAGGTAGAAAATGTGAAAAAAGAAAAATTATCTGAAGCATTAATTGAATTAAAATTTCAGTCTCCAAAATGTCTTCAAACATCATTTACAGTAATCAAGCAAGCAAAATATTTATTTATAACTCAACAGAAAATAAACCAAATATTGATAATGAAAACATTGAGCCAACAAACACTTCATCTATCACAATTTTGACGTCCGGAATTCCGGAATATCACATCCGAATCAAAAATAATTATAATAACAGCAATGAAGCTTCGAAAAATAGTGACACAAGTGAATCTGAAAATCATGAATCAAAACCATTCGTAAAAACTGAGTTTTCAATGAACGAAGATGTTTTGATGAAAAGTATTGACGATAAGCTTGAGCGCTACTACTTGGGAACAATTGTAAGAATCAAAAATGGAAACTATTTGGTAAAATTTGACGATAACACTGAAAAATGGGCAACCGAAACAGGCTTGAAGAAGTTTACAACTTCTATAAGCCAAACTGATAACGATGAGCCTTTATGTGTTATTTGTAAGAATGTTAAAGATGATGATGTCGTTGAAGTTTGTAACAAATGCAGTCGTGGTTATCATCGTCATTGCATCAAGTTAAATGAGTCAATTTCCTCATCACCTTGGTGTTGTGATCGTTGTACAGCCAGCGAAGTTATTAGTATTAGCGATTCCGAGGATAATGAAAATGATGACACTGCCGAAGATGTCAAACTTCCTTATGATGTAAGTTAAGCCAAAAAAGATATTCAAACACAATTAACTAAATTTCAAATCATTGCTAGCTCTCGTCACTTTCATGGGACTCGCGTCATAGAGAAAATAAAGAAGAAATTTATTGTTATTGTGGAGAAACAGGGTTTTGGAAGAAGAGAATGCTTCAATGTACTCGCTGCCAGCAATGGTTTCATGTTGAATGCATTCAAGCTTTCAAAGGATATTTAATGCACGGCGATGCATTTTTTGTATTCTGTTGCAAGGTAAACATAATTATTTAAAATTTAATTTTCATCACTTTAGACTATTTTTATTCATTAGATTTGTAATGATGGTAACGAATATGTAACTCGTCTTTCATCAATGTCCTGGAAAGATACAACACAACTTGTTGTACATGAATTAATGATGATTCGATCACAAAAAAAGTTTAGTATTTTGAAAGACGTTGTGCCTTTTATTTGGGAGAAATGGAATCAATTGAATCTTCCCTTTGAGGTAAGAAAATCTTGAGAAATATCTTGGAAAATTTATGACAATTTAATAATAATTTCCAGAAACATCATTCCAAAGATAAGCTTGAAAAGAAAGTTTTGTCAATCGTCAGGAAATCGGATGAATTTAGGTTTCCTGCAACAGGTAGTAAGAAGAAAAATGATTCTGTGTGCTTGCGCCGGAAATCACCACCAACACTGCCGAAAATTATTATTCCTATAAATTTGCCAGTATGCGATGAGACTTTGAAGAAACTTGGCATTAAAGTATTCACTGTGAAAGACGAAGATGTATCATTGAATGATAAGATGAAATGTAATGAGGTGCTTGAAGCTTCTTTGTTTAAAAACCAAAACAAAAGACGGAAGAAGACAAACAGAAGCGTTTCAAATACGCCAAATGAAAGCATTCAAGTTGATATGATGATGAATGATGATTCATCTGATGAGAATTCGAGCAAAAGTACACTCGATTGGATTATTCCGCCGCCTTCGAACTTTCATGGTCTTAATAATCCTTTCCACAGTCAATATAAAGCAAATTTAAATTTTTCTGGAAAGATTATGAAGAAAGGAAAGTCGACAATTTTTGATAAACAACCAGAAATTAGAATTGTTCGAACAATCAAACGTCGTTTAAGTGCAAAAGATTTAGAAAGACAAGGAGATTCAAAACGTCGTAAAGTCACAAAACGACACAAGTCTTCTGATGTGGAAATAATCAGTGAAATCATTCAACCAATGTCAATGCCTTTGCCGACTCATTTGCCATTTCGTGCAATTGAATCGTCGAAAGACGGCATTCGAAGTATCATGTCTTATGACTCTGCTCAGGATAAAGATTGTGAACTTAGTTATATGAATGCGCAACAAACATCAAGACAATCACGCTTACAGCGACAAAGCAGAGGAAAGTTTGGGGAAGAAATCAATGATAATAATTTCAACTCTGAGAATAGAAACTCTGCTAACATAAGTTTAACAGATACCGTCATAAACTCGCCAATAAAGAATAAATCTATTAATTTATATTTTGGAGCGTTCGATCGAATGGAAAATGGTGAAAATTTTCGGATTTTAGCTAAAAGAATAACGTTTGATGGCAAGGAACAATATTTGCTCGAATGGGATTCTTCTGTTAAGAGTGAATCGCAAAATTCATAAACATTTTTATTCGTCTGATTCATTTTGAATTCATTTAAACAGATTAAATGTTAGAAAACTGACAGATTCTTAATCATAATTCAACGCTACATGAAAGTAGTTTCCAAGTAATTAACAACTGCCAGAATTTAACAAACATTTCTTTACATCCAATATTCAACTTTAATTTTTCATTTTTTTATTATCACGATCACAATAAATTCAATTATTTTATTTGATAATCATTGTACTTGAAAAGCGTGTTGTGCACACTAAATTTATTTTTCTTAATTGTAATCTTATAAAGGGACTAATAAAACATTGTTTAGTAATAAATTGTTAATTTGTTTGATGATATTTTATATGAAAGAACTTTGAAAATTGTAAAGGAATATTTTAATCTAATCTAACTTTCAGATAATCTAATCTAACTTTCAGATAATCTAATCTTATCTTGAAAAACGTATCAAATTTCAAGCATGAATAATTTCCTGAATATTTCTTAAAACAGCATTGGAATTGTTGTGAAGTGAAGTTCTCAAGTGACTTCTCTTGAGAATATTTAACAAAGTAAAATAACAAATTTGTGAATTTCCACTTATAAACTTGACGAAAGTCTCAAGCTCATTGAACGATCAACTTGCTTCTTTCCATCCTCGATAAAAAATGTTATAAACGATTAAAAAACCTGAAAAGAATTTTTATCGAGTTTTGAATGAAAAACAATTTTTATTTTACAGCAAAATTTAAAAATGTAAAATTTTATTGATTCATCTAAGTTCTCAGTTTCTTAAAAAGAAAAAAAAAATCAATGTAAAATCTTAACTTTAATATTTAATTATTTATTAAAAGCTAACTTTTCATTATAGTATCAGTTTATTTCGTAGGAGTTTTTCATTTATGATAACATTTTAAGGCCCAAGAATTCCCTAAATTCTACGATATTTGCAACAATATTGAAAAACTTTTTTCTTCTTCAAGCTTCAATCAATTAACTTAAAAGTTTTCTTCTCTGAAAAGAAAGTTTCATGTCTTTAAAATGAATTAAAATTATTTACATTTCATGTTTTCTTTTTAAAGCCTTTTAAATAAATTTCGTTCAAAACTTCAAATGTATATCGCTTCTGAGCCTTTGTTTGTCTGATGGCTGTTTGTGGCATAATGATTTTGATTTGTTGTTATAACCGGTGATTGACTCTCAGACCAATCCGATATTGAATGTGGGGATTGAGAGCTCGACCAATGGCCAGGAGATTCAGGAGATGGCGTCGGATAACTATCTAATGTTTGAACTAGATGTTGTGGAGGCGTGTGATTTCCGCTGTCGTTATGACTCGGTGGCGTCAAATACTGGTAAAATGATTTTGATGATCCTGCTATGACGTGTTGATTTGGATTTAATTGTTGATAATGAGATTGATGATGAGGCGATTGATGATGCGGTGGTGGAGATTGAATGCTACTGCATTGTGACATTGATGCAACTGATGCAGGTCCTAAATCAACAAAACAATTTAAAGGTTAAATTCAAGTGCTTTAAGTTCTTACAATTTTCTTATTCTTACCTGATGGACTACAGAAACCCGCAAGCTCAAGTCCGTTTGGGTTTGAATTCTGATTATATTCAAAATTCATCGGCATTTGAGAGTAAACAGCTCCATTTTGTATTCCATTTGCAACTGCCGATGCATTTTCCATTGCTTGATTCTGTAATGATCGCAATGTCTGCACACGTGCAGGTGATGAAGACATGTTTGATAAATTTTTCGATGGCGAAGGTGAACCTAAATATTCGTCATAAAAATTTATTCTTATATTTATGTCAATAAATTAACTTACTGCTGATATAACCATGAGGTGAAAGCACCATATTGCTTTGAACTGAGTACGGAGGAGATTGATTCGAATATGGAGGCGATAATCCCTGATCGCTTGAAACAACACTACGAGGTCCACCTTGTTGAATCATTTGTTCAGGAAATGGATTATTTAGTGAATATCCATAATTCTCAGCATTATTCTGAGTTGATTGTTGAGAGTTCTTTTGAAATAAAAAAAAGTAGAAAGAAAAGAAATTAAAAATTCATCACAGAATGTTCATTTTAAATTGCTTACTTTTATGCACTCTTCATAACTTGGAGGTTTCTTCTTCTTATTGTTGTTGGTCGTATTGTTATTATTATTGTTGTTATTATTGTTCGTTGTTAAGAAATCAATATCAAATGCAGCCATTGCATTCGAATAAAGACTTGTTGTGTCGTATGGACTTGGAATGTTTGTCACTGGAGATTCAACTGAACTTAATAAATCTTCAATTTCTTGTAATTGATCTTCTTGTTGAATCACGACGACATTATGGCTATTGCATGCATTTGTACTATTATTATTATTCTTTTGATTGTTAGATGAGGATAAATTTTCAGTCAAATTATTTGATCGTTGTTCGGAGTTCATCTGTTGCTGTTGTTGTTGCTTCTTGTTAACTTTCTTTACGCCGCTCGTTTTTCTTTTCATGCAATTATCTGTCATCGAGTCAGGACTCAAAGGATTGCCACCAACAGTTGCTGCTATTGCAGCTGCAGTTCCTTTCACTTGTCGTTTCTTGTTTTTCGATTGTTTTATTGGTGGAATAACTGTTGGTTGTGAGATCAGTTGATGTGATACTGGCGGTGATGTTGTGACATTATTAGGAATAACCGTCACCATTTGTGGACTTCTTGGAACATGATCGTCAAGCAATCGAATGATATCATGATGAAGTCTTTCACCAGCAACATCACGTGGCAATCGATCCATATGATCAGTAATTTCACGATTTGCAAAATTATCAAGCAAAGCTTTACAAGCTTCAAACGAACCTTCACGTGCTGCTAAGAACAACGGCGTCTCATCTTTATCATCTTGAGCATCACGATTTGCACCATGAAGAAGCAAAATATTCACAGCTTCAACATTATTTACAGCTGCTGCCCAATGTAAAGCCGTCTTTCCTGAATTATCAGCTGCATTTATATCAGAATCAGCATTAATCAAAGCTTCAACCACCCCTTCAATAGCTAAACGAGCTGCTAATATTAAAGGCGTCGTTCCATCATGCATTCGAGCATTTAAGTTTGTTGCACGATTTCTCAACAGAATCTGGAAGACTCCCATAGCATCAGCGGCAACAGCAGCATGTAATGGCGTACGACCAGTGTTATCTTGACTGTTTGCATCAGCACCAGCGTCAAGAAGTCGTTTCGCTGCATCTGATCTTGCATAACGTGCAGCTAAATGTAATGAAGTTTCTCCAGTCTTATCCATAGTAGCATTAAGTTCAGCTCCTTGTGCCACTAAATCACTAATAATATGAGCGTTCGTCTCATCAGTATTGTCGATATCTTCACCATTGTCAATTCCATCACCACGAACTGAAGCGACCATTAAAGGCGTCATCCCGCAAGGCCCTCGAATGTCAACTTCGTTACCTCCATCATGATGATTTGGTGGCGTCATCATCGCTTGTGGCACACGAACATCAGCAGCATCTAAATGCTGTTGCGACCAAACACGTGGATCTGCTTCTTCATAATCTGTGATGATTGTGTGATTGCTGTTATACTCAAAATCAATTCCACGCATTCGTTTTGGTTGTGGCAATTCCGATTCATCGTCAGACCATTGCTGTGAGTGACTCATCGTTCCATTAATGTTTGCTAATGATGAGATTTTATTGAGATTTCTCATTTCTTGTCCGTCAGGTCCACGACGTCTTGACACTTGTCGACGTGGTGCGTTGTTGTTGCTTGTGAAGAATCCTTCAGGGAACCAAGTAACGCCATGTGATCGCTTTCTTTGTGTCGTCACTAGAACTCCAATGAATGCACCAAAGAACACAACAAACAAGAAGCCAGACATGACCAAAGTTGTATCAGTTGGATCATTGACAGGCCCTTCAGGTGATTCCACACCACGAACAGATTGAATCGGATAATTAAGCGTCAAATTATGTTTAACAGCTGTTGCTGCAAGATATTGAGCTGCACCAGATGCACTTGAGAAACATTCAGCGCCAATTGTGCCAACGCATTTACGATTATCAATTTCAAGATAAACATGAACGCCCGACTGACTTACTCGTTCGGTTATGTGAATTTTATGCTTGGATGCGAAGTCAGATGTCTCGAGATCAGGAACGTTGCTTTTACCTTTCCACGGGAAGATCATGTCGTTGCCAAATCCATCTTTCTTGATTCTCACAGTCGTTCGAAGTTGATGGCCAACGTCTCTTAAGAACGGAACCGTGTTGCGTTTAAATTCCTGCATATCCATGAGAAGAATGATGGAAATGACGCCGTCAGCTAATCTCGGTGGTTCCTTTTCGCAATCCAATCCATCCCAATTACATTCAGCATTATTACAACCATAATCACAAAAGCCATTTGCGTAATGTTTACGACAATAAGAATCAAATGCTGGATTGCATGGAAGAAGTTTACGTTCGCAGTCACGTCCATCGAATAAGCATTCGGGTGTGTTGCATTCTTCATTACAAACGCCATCGGAAAAGACTTTCCAACAGTCAATAGTTGCTGTGCAATTTTTCCACGGCTTTTCACCTAACGAACAATCATTTCCATCAAAGTCACATTCCAAAGTGTTGCATTCTTCATCACATCGTCCATTTCCTTGTTTCGCTTCGCATCCTTTATTCAAGCAATCATATTCGATGCCACTAAATCCGCCATTTCTATCATAGTTTCTGTTGTAAACTTCACATCGCTTGCCTTTCCATTTCGCTGGGCAAATGCACTCAAAATCGCCAAGTTTATTGATGCATCTTGCATTCTGTTTGCATGGACTTGAAATGCATTCATCAATCGTGTCGATTTCACAAAACCGTCCTTCAGTTCCAAGTGGACATTTACAAACATAACCGCCAGCATCAAGTGATTGACATTCGCCTGAATTGCATGGATTTGAATCGCAGTCATGTCCACTAAATTCACAATTCTTGCCGTAGAAACCTTCAGTGCACGAACAATGATGACCGATTTGAAGTGCTGAACAGAAGCCGCCATTTAAACAAGGAGAATTGGCACAGAAATTTACTTTAATTTCACAATGACGTCCCATAAATCCAGGCTTGCAATTGCAATGAAAATCATTCACCATTTGAACACAATCTAAAGTTCCAGCATTTGAACATGGATTTGAGAGACATTCGTTGATGTCACCTTCACATCGATTGCCGACAAAACCTGGTGGACAACGACATTCAAAGCCACCAACTTTGTCAATACATGAGCCGTTGTTGTGACAAGCTCCTGGCTCACAATCATCTTTATTGACTTCACATATCAATCCGATTGTGCCTGGTGGACATGAACAACTAAAACCACCAACCAAGTCATGACACGTTCCACCATTTTGACATGGATTTGGCTTGCAATCATCGATGTTTAACTCGCAATTTTGTCCTTGGAATCCTTTCTTGCAAATGCATTTATAAGCGCCAATTAAGTCGCGACAAATTCCACCATTTAAGCATGGAGCTGACTCACATTCATCAATTTCCTTCTGACAATACGAACCCGTGTATCCTTGCAAGCAATTACATTTGTGAGAATTTCCAAAGTTATCACACGTTCCATTGTTGCATAAACGTTTTAAATCAATCTTCTTACGAATTGCTGCATCTTCACATGAAACCATTTCAACGTCGCACATTTTTCCAGCCCATCCTGGTGAACAATCGCATCGAAATTCGTTCTTTTGTTGAATGCATGTCGCGCCATTTTCACATGGTCCTTGTGAACACCAATCGATGAAGTTTTGACATTGTTTGCCTTGGAATCCATACGAGCAATGACACTCGAAGTCGTTGTTTTGTTCAGTGCATGTCGCTCCGTTCTTGCAAGGCGATGAGTCGCATTTGCTGATCTTGTATTGACAATTTGATCCAGTAAATCCAACACGACATGAGCAATTATAACTGTTGATTCCATCAATGCAAGTTCCACCATTCATACACGACGTTGCTGAACAATCTTCATCATTTGTCTGACAATTCATTCCTGAGAATCCCAACGGACATGTGCAAGTGTAGGAGTTAACGTATTGATTGCAAGTTGCGCCATTTTGACATGGTTGTGACAAACATTCATTGATGTCAACTTCACAATGTTTCCCTTCGAATCCTTCATTACACATGCATGTGTAATCGCCAATTCCATCTAAACATGTTCCACCATTTTGACATGGAAATGAAGCGCAGTCGTCGGTGTTGATCGTGCAATCTTTTCCTTCATATCCTTTCGCACATAAACATTGATACGATCCATTTGTGTTCTTACATGTTGCGCCATTTCGACAAGGTGACGATGACAATTCACATTCATTGATGTCTTCGTCACAATATCGACCAGCATAGCCGAGTGGACACGAACAGTAGAAGTCTTGATAGTTTGAACTTGGAGTGCAACGTGCGCCGTTTCGACAACGATTTGGCATGCATGGATCTAATCTTGATTCGCAATCTCTGCCAGTGAAAGGAATGCGACAGACACATTTATAGCTGTTAACGAGATCGATGCAAGATCCGCCATTTTTACACGGATTATTAAAGCAATCGTCGATGTTTGTTTCACAATTCTTTCCAGTATAACCAGGCATGCAAGAACATGAATAAGCGTTGAGTAGATCGTTACAAAGACTTCCATGTTGACACGGATTCGATCCACATTCATCGATTTCCGTTTCACAACGTTTACCACCAAAGCCAGGTTGACAATGACAAATAAATTTATTAACGCCATCTTCACAACGTCCATTCATGCATGGATTTGTCGCACATTCATCGACATCACTTAAGCAACGTGCATCGTAATATCCTCGTGGACATTCACATTTAAAGCCGTTTATGAGATCAATGCAAACGCCACCATTGGCACATGGATCGGATGCACATTCATTGATGTTTGTTTCGCAATGAATGCCAGTGAATCCTGGCAAACATTGACACGTGTATTTGTTGATTCCATCAATGCATGTTGCACCATTACGACACGGATTGCTATGACATTCATTGACATTAATCTCACAATTTGTACCTGACGTTCCTGGTAAACAACGACATCGATAACTTCCGATTAAATCCTCGCAATGTCCATTATATTGACATGGATTTGATTCACATTCGTTGATTTGTGTTTGACATAAGTAGCCGGTATATCCTGGATTGCATTGACATGTAAATGAGTTGTCGCCATCAATGCAAACACCGCGATGACAAGGATTCGATAAGCAATCATTAATATTGATTTCACATGATAAACCTGTTTAAATTTAATTTATTTTTTATTAATTGAATTAACTTTAACAGCAATTTAATTAATTTACCTGTATAGCCTGGCGGACATTCACATGAATAGCCAGCAATAGCATCGTGACAAATTCCACCATTTTTACATGGTTGAGATTCACAATCATCGACATTTATTTGACATAAAACACCAGTGAAACCAACAGCACAAGTACATTTAAAATAATTAATACGATCATGACATGTACCGCCATTTAAACATGGTGCTGTTGCACATTCATCAATATCGATTTCACATTGAGTACCAGTAAAACCTTTTTAGGGAATAAAACGAAAATTAATTAATTAAAGTAATTTGAAATTGCTGAACTTCTTACCAGGCATGCAGACACAACGAAAAGTTCCAGGATCGTCTAAGCAACTTCCTTCATTTTGACACGGATGAGATTCACATTCATTGATGTTCGTTTCACAACGTGGTCCAGTAAAGCCTTGACTGCAGTTGCAAGCAAATGAACCGGGAATGTTGACACAAAGTCCGTTGTGTTCGCATGGTGAACCTTGATAACATTCGTCAATATCTTCGGAACAATTCGTTCCTTTATAGCCTTGCGCACACGAACATGTGAAGGAACCGTCGATTGGACTTGTCTCGCATATGGCATCAGCGTGACAAGGATTTGATGTACAAGCGTCATCCAAATGGCACAACAATCCAGTCTTTCCAGGTGTACATCGACAACTGAAGCTTCCAACACCATCGATACAAGTTGCACCATTAAAGCAAGCTGCATCGACGCAATCGTCAATGTTTTCACTGCAATCATCTCCAGTCCATCCATTCACGCAAATGCATGCGTAACTTCCGTGAGAGTTTGTGCAAGTCGCTCCATTTTGGCACACCGAAGGTCTAAACAATTTTCATTTCTTGCGTTATAAAAAGAATTCTCAGACAAATAAAAAGTTTCGTTTCATTACCTTGTGGCACATTCGTCAACATCAATCTCACAATAATCTCCAGTGAAGTTCGGTGGACAACGACAACGATATGTGTTAATTCCATCGATGCATGTGCCACCATTTTGACACAGATGGCCAAAGCAATCGTCGACATTCTCTTCACAATTCTTTCCTTTGAACCCTTTTTTTAGAGTTTGTTTGTTTATGTAGAATGGAAATGAACAGCATTAGAATTATGTTCAACATTTGATTAAAAATTATAAAATTATGAATGAGAAATATTTTCCAATTTATTAAGTAATGTTTCATCATTTATCAACATAAAAAGAAAAAGCATCAAATGATCTTTATGAGAAATCATTAGAAAGAAAATTATAAAACATAAAAACGGTCCCATTTGAAACCTGATAGGGTTTTATTTGCTTAAACGGACGTTGGCGCACATTTGAAGATTTCACCAGCAATCAATTTCTAAATATATGCTTACATATACACACACAAGAATGATTGTAATATTTTCATGAGTCATTGAATCATCAACAACTACACTCACACACACACAGCCATACAAGCGCAGTTCAAACATAAGCTAAGTGGTTTTTATGCTGCAAAGCCGAAACGAAGTAGAAGGCATAAGAGACATCAGAAATGTTTACAAGTATCCACCGACACATTCAAATCTTCATTTTTAAATTGTTCCCACGGTTCTACATCTCAACTACTCTAAATGTGTTGAATGAGTGTACGATACATGTTGGTGAAATGTATTGCAAGTCTACTTTAAAAGGAAATTTCAAGTGTTATGGGCTTCATGATTTCATTTTGTGATATTACATTTGTCTTAAATTCACTCGAGATAAATACTTGAATATCTTCTGTATGTTCATATACATGGAAAGAGTTTGATGAGGTTGATCATATTTAAATTACCACGTAATACTTCAGCATAAATAAAGTTTTGGTTATTAAAGTAAAGAGAAATGAGAGGAAACAAATTAATTATCTAAGGCTTCCCTCTTTCATGTCAACAATCTTTATACTTTGTACAGCAAATATTTAGATATCTACTTATGAGTTTCGTGCTTGAAAGCATTATTTAAATTGCAAAATCCGCTTCTTTTAGCTTACCTGGAGGGCACTTGCATTCGTAAGAATTTATTGATGGCTTGCACGTTCCACCATTTTGGCAAGGAGATGGCAAGCATGGGATGTACGGTGATTCGCAATTCTTTCCTGTATATTTAGGCTCGCAAACACACCTAGTTGAATAAGAAAAAGAAACAGCAAAAAATGACTCAGTTAATTAAAAGAAAATTATTTATGATTGCTTTTGTAGTGAATGGAAATTCGATTAAAAAGATTTTTGTTATGAATCCATTAGAAACATTGAAACATAGATTCGACAAGAGATAAACTTCTTGTAAAAGCATTTAATTGGCTGTTAACTTCAATTCTTGACTTTAACCATAACGCCTACACTTATCAAAAGATAAATATTTACTGCATCTACGAGGGGGAATCTTTTAAAATGAATTTCTTATGATTCTTCATCTCTAACAACGTTTAAAATTTTTAAAGAAATTCAAAGAAATCAAGAGAAGAAAATCTTGTTCTCTCTTCTTCTTTAATCTTTCAAATTTATTATTTTTTATTTCTTTTTCTTAATAATCGGCGAATATATATTTTTATATCAATATATCTGTAATCGATAGCATGGAAAGCTTTTTCTTACTTTTCGCTTGATGACAATAAATAAAAATAAGCGAAAGATAGATGTCGGAATGGTAGCAAGACATTATAATAAATTTTAAAAAAGAAGTAAAAGATTTTTACATAATGATGACTAAAGCAGCTTTTAATAGCTTCGCTTGCAGTGTTATGAATGAAATGGACAATAAAATTGTTTACATCAAGAGAAGAATAAAAAGCAATTTAAGTTTTAAACTTGAAAAGATCAAAAAGTTGATTTATAAGTATGAAATTCATTAAAGAAGAACATTAAAAATTGTTGCAACAGTGAAGACGACACAACAACATCGTGAAGAGCAATAAAAAAAAGTTAATAATAATTTCATTTTAACTAGATAATAATTATGAAGTATAAACTTGAAAAAATCTATTCGGGAAGTAATTGCGGAGTTGAAGTTAAGATAAGCAAAATAAAACAAAACGAAACTTACTGATAAGACCCATGCGTGTTTAAGCAAGTTCCACCATGTTTGCAAGGATTGTTGTTACACTCTTGAACATCTTCACTACATGTTGGACCTTTAAAGCCAAGTGGACAAACGCATTTGAATTTATTTCCATTCATTTGCACAGCGCAGGTTCCTCCATTCTTGCATGGCGTTGTTGAACACAAATTCGACTTTTCGCAGTTTTTACCTGTTTGGATGATCGAACCATATTTAACTTTTCTTTTTATTTTTTTTATTACAAAATTCTGTAAATTACCGAAAAATCCTTCGGGACATTTGCATTCGTAATCTTTTAAAGATTTTAGAATGCATTTTCCATTATTTCTACATGGAAACGAACTGCATGCAGTTTCCTCAGCAATTTCGCAAAGACTTGCTGAGAATCCCACAGGACATTTACATTGAAAACTAACTTGACCATCTTTGATTAAAACTTCGCATGTTCCACCGTTTTGACATCTTGGAGCTGTCAAGCATGGATTTGTGTATTCGCAGAATTTACCGACGTAACGGGATGTGCAGCTGTTAACAAATAAAAATATTTATGATCGTTCATTTAATTTCTAAATGTTAATAAACGATAAACGATTCTAAATCTAAATAAATTCGACTTACTTGCATGACGCACTCTTGCCATTCGACAAGCACACTCCATTGTTCCGACAAGGTGATGGATTGCATGATAAAAATCCTGTAACAACAATCAAACATAATCATTGTTAAAATTTGTGTACTTAAACTTCATTTAACATCGTAACGAAGTCCATAACAGTTCGTTAGCAATCATATGGATAAAGAATAGGAATGTTCATCAATATTTCTTTTTTATTTTTATTCTTTCATTATGAAGTCTAATCTGTTTCTTAAAAAAGAATGCTTTCAAAGTGATTTGCAAAAAAAAATATGAAATCAAATATTGACTCAAAAATTATCGGAACGTGTTTCAAAGAAGTTTATGTCAAGAAAGATTTTTTAATTCGAGGAATATGAATGAAGGCAAAAAATGTCTCTGAACTTGTCTGCGCTTAAAAAACACTTTGTTCATAACTTTGTCTGCAGCATTATTATATTTTCTTCAATTTTTTTGCCTTGCCGAGGAACAAATACTTCACCAAGCAATCTCGTCTTTTATAATTTCTTCAGCTTTTAACATGTTTGTGTGTTAGTTTGTGTCGTATATTTTTCTAGATTGCTCAAAGGTTTTCTTTCTTCTCTTCTCTTTTAACAAAGAAAATAAAAACATAATAAACAAAAATTATGAACGAAAGCAAAAAAGATAAAACTAAAAGATGTAGAAAGGAAAAAAAAAAGCTTCTTGTGTAAGTAAAAAAGAAAAATACCTACATAGGAAAAAATTCAAATAATAATAATAATAAATTGGCGGTTCTCATGATTTCTCTTCTACTCAGATTCGTCTGAAGCAAAGCACAGACCGATAAAACAGTTTCAAATGAGATCTCGCACTTCACCATTTCAAACTAACAGACTTTCCTTCATGTGTGCGTAAGGTTTGTTATTTCCGATCATTTGTATTTATTGAAGATATACTGAAATATTCAGAAACTTGTTTTTGAATTATTGAAAATTTTTAAAGTTTTGGGGATTAAAATAAAAAGAAGAAAAGTGAATATTAAAATAATAACGAAATGTTAAAAAATTAAGGGACATTTGTGGATGCAAAATCTTAAAAGCGTTATGCAAATTTAACTTTTTGAATTTTTTTTTTTATTTATTTGTTTCAGAAAAATGAGTTCTTGAATATCAAAATTGATTTTAAAATTTGTTGAAGAGTATTTGAATTTATGAACTCCTTCATATCGCAAAACCTTTAATCCCCGATAACAATTCAAGCAATCTAACGGAAAATAAAGCTGAGAAACCGCAGTGAGAAAATTCTCATGAATGATAAAGAAAAAAAAAGCGAAAGATTATGTTTTAGTAGAAACAAAACGTGCAGGAAATGAATGTCGACATAAGGAAGGACTACAATTTCTAGTTTCTGTGTTTATGTGTGAAATTTCTTCAGGAGATAAAAAATACTTAAAAGAACTCTAATGGCTGACTTCATTTAAGCCTAATAATCTTCTTCACATTTCTTCTTATAATCTGTTGAAGAAGAAATAAAGAAAAATGATCTGAGAATAGCAATCAAAAAAGAATTGCGACACAAAAGACAAATTATTGCCTAAAACAATAAAGCTAATTTCTAAACGATTATGTTGACTGTCGTTAAATATGTTTCTACGGAAATACCACGAAAAAAGCGTGAAAAAGAGTTTTATGACTTTCGCAACGTATTTAAAATCTTGTCCAGTGTCTAAAATATTATTTATGTATATAAAGATCACACACAAGCTTATAACTGAACTTTTAAAGAAAGCACGAAATGTTGTAAGTCATAAAATTTTAAAAGAAGATAAAATTTGGTGTCGTGATTTCTTCACAGTTTGAATTGCATTTGATATTTGAAGCCTAATCCTGAGAGGTCATCTTATCTCCAAACAATTTTAATTAGAAAAACTTTTCGTACTTTATTGAAAGTTGAAATAACAAAGAATCAGACGATCCTTGTAAATATTTCATAATTAGGTAATAGTTGAGAATTAATTTTGGTTTCTCTGTAATTTTTTACACACAGATAATTAATCATCAGAATTTTTGATTGATGTCTCGATGAATAAATTGAAATCAAGACATTTTTTGTAAGTCAGCGGTAATTTTTAATCGTGATGAATAAAAACTTGCTGTCCTTGCCCGAATTTATTCTGATGACTAAATATATCAGATATTTCATGTTCTTAACATTAATTGTTTAAATAAATATTTATTTTTAATACGAATAAATATTTTATTTTCTGAGTAAAACATAATAAACAAATAAGATAAAAAAATCATTGTTTATCACTTTTTATCTTAAACTTTTCCTCGGATTATTCTGATTTCAAAATAAATATTAAACTACATTCTTTCCTCAAACTTCCTACATTCTTCTTCGTTCTAATATTCTTAGTCTAGTTGTTGAAGTAAATGCTGGTAAAATATTTGATTTTAGGTTTTTTTCTTCTCATAGGAAAAAGACATCTGTTAGCTTTTAAAACCTAACGAAAATATGTGTGAGTATCCTTGTGTGAGTGTAACAGTCGACAATATTCTGTCATAAGCCACATTGAACATTAATTTTTTTCTCCTTTCTTTTTCTCATATTTTATTTTAAATATTTTGAAAGTTGGTTATGCAAAATTGTCACCGTTTTTTATCTCTTTTTAACTTTACAAGTTTTTCATCCTTCAAGGAATTGAATTCGCTTTCTAATATTTTATTACTTTTATTTCAAACTAAGCATAACTAAACTCGAATAATAATTGAAGGAAAAACATGCAAGAAATAATAAATTCGGTCAGTTCTTGCTTTGGGCAATTTTTATTTGTTAGCGCTCTTTACAGATCGCCAGATTTTATTAAATTGAAAGAAGAGGACAAGCAAGAAATGAAAGAAATAATAAAATGCAAACGAAAAGTGTATAAGAAAGAAGAGATTGCTACACACACACAATCATGATATCAAGAACAAGAAATGTTTGTATGTATGCTCGTTTTTATCCTTCAACATTCTGTGGACCCTTTTTTTGTTCGGGTTCGTCGCTTTCCTTTTATTCGCAACATAACCACCTGCATTTAAGTTTTTCTTTTTTTCATGGAAAACGTTGGAAAATTCTATGTGGAAATTCGATATTTCAAGAATATTACATTGAAATATTTTTATTGTATCAATGAAAATGGCAAAACTTTGATATTTGAGAAGTAAACGAAATTGCAATTCTTGCATTATTAAAATAAAGAAAAGGAAAAAAGTAAGTTGAAGAATAAATATTTGAGACGAAATATGATACATTTGTATGAAACATCAAAGATACTAACCTGATGCTGAGTTTATTAATCCAAATAATGTAAGAAAGAGAAGTGAGAACTTAATCCAAAAGAAGTTCTTCTTGTGTATTAACATTAAACACATTTTAAACAATTTTCACAAACGAAGATTTCTTAAAGGATCAAACTTAAGTCTTACAGTTAATACAAAATTTAAATTCTATTCATTCACAAGCTTTCCTTATTACTTATTTCTTTTTTCTAATTATATTCCACTATGTTACTAAAAAGTCATGTTTCTTTAACACTAAGAAATTTCTCTGTTAAGTCCGTCTTCCATTGCTTCACTTTTTCTTCTTCTGATGTCGGACATTTTTAATTCTTGAGTTGTAAAATAAGAGCATTTTTGCTTGTTTCTATTTAATTTATCCAATACATAATATAAACACTAAATCAATACTTCACTATTTAACTGTTTTGAGTTAATTTTTGTCTTAAAAAATTAATTTAAATATTGTTTCACAAATCTTCGATACCATGAGCGTGGTTTCGATCCGATCATTTAATCCCAACTGAATTATCGTTATGGTTGTATTGATACTTGTTTGCCTAATACTGGACCATGTAAGTGGGTTTCATGTATGAACATTAGTATGATTTCGTGGATTTGACTTTCCATGCAGAGTATCGATACCCCCCTAATCCTTGGAAAAAAATTTGAAATAAATAAATACGTTAAAATCATCTAAATTTCAAATTCAACTGAAAAGATCCTGAAATTCATCAAATTTAATTCCAAACTAAAATGTGACGAAAACATTCAACATCCATAATTGTTTCATTGTCATAAGTTTATTTTATTTTTCATAAGAAACACATAAAAAGGTTCAAAAGGAACATATTAATTACTTAAAACCCTCTTTCCACCTCTTGGTTTTATTTTCTCAGATATTTGCCACATTGCATCTTCATCAAAATACTCATCAAAGTTGTCAAAGAACCCGATGATGCGTTCATTCTTTTTAAAAGCATACGAGCTGAAATGAATAAAATTGTAGTTGAAGAAAAATGAAATCAAAGCAAATATTACCAATTTCTAAAACGTTTCATATTTATGACTATGTTATATTGCTGCCAACGTTTGGAGAAATTAACTGATCCACCTGGCAGAAAATCGGGATTACCAATATGAACAAAAGTCAAATCTTGAAGCACCAGGCCACTGAAAGTTAATTCATGATGATTAATTGTTTACATATTAAATAAGTAAGTCAATCTTACATATAAGGTATGCAGGGGGGATTAGTTTCACTTAACGCTTGACGATATGCCCTAAAACTGGAGCTTGAATCAATCAATGCACAGTATTCTTTCAGTCCTTCAGTTATATTTTTTTGCCATTCCAATCGTCTTATCGGCGCAGAGTCAAGCGCTGACAACAAAGCCAAATATGAATTAAAATTGTTGATTTTTCTTAAATGCTTCATAATCTTTATAAATTTCATCACATGTTTCTCTCGGTCCCTTGCATCTTGTTGCTTCAATATTTGCGTTCTTGTCCTTTAATTAATATTTTATGTTAGTTAAAATAATTAAGTTTTCATCATTAGTTTATTACCAGTAAGATAATTTGTTAAAGTGCGCTGTGAAAAGCGTTAAGTTTGGTGACCTTTCTTCACACTGTTCTTGTGCCCAAATTAAAACTTCAGGAATCTCTATTTTATGAAAAAGTTCTGCATCTAAGATGGTCATTTGCTCAGCTAATTAAAGAAATATTTTATTTTAATTCATCATTTTATAATTTCATTTTTTAATCTCACCAATGTCAGTTGACTTGAGATCAAGAAGTGATGGTGGATTACTCATGACTGGTCGTGATGATAAAAAGTTCGGTCCTAATTGTGCTTTTCTCTTTAGCAAAAGACTCTTTTCAATAAGTTTGACTCGCAATAATTTTGCCATTAAAAGTTCACCACCACAAACCAAATCATAAACGAATTGTATCAATTTCTCCATTAGGTTTGTTGACAAATCAGGAGAACTGAAGAATGAAGAAAAATTAAGCAGAAATTCTTTTTATTAAAGTTTTTACTTACGTTAAATCGTTTACAACTCTCACTAATAACGAGAAAGATTCTTTAGCAGCTCTCTGCTTCTGGTCATTGTTTTGACAATTAAAAAATGTATATCGATAAATTAATTTTTCTATTAGGTCATTTGGATTTATGAATGTACGATATGTCAGAAGAAATGCTTCTCCGAAAGCTGAAAAATTAATTAATTAACTTGTGAAATGATTAATAAATTAAATAAGTTTACCTTCTGAAGATTTCTGAGCGGTGTTTTTTGTAGCATGAATAATGAGAGCATCAACACGACCTCCCATTAGAATGTCAGAAGCTTCTTCGCTGTCTCTTTTAAAGCTAAGAAAACTTTGAACATCAAGTTCTTCCATAAAGTTGGTCTGAAAGAAATTAAACTTCATTAAACATTTAATAATAATAAAGACAAATATTAATTAATTTACCGATTCATTTGGTTTCTTACGCAACACAACAGCACCATTGTCTTTGATTTCATCTTCGTTTAATGTTCCAATATTGTTTTGAGCTTCGTTGTTATCGATCATCGTTGGTCCATTGTTAATTTTCTCTTCAATCTTTGATGAAGTAAAAACATTGTCATTCACAATCTTTGGACTTACAGGTGGAGTGACGAGGCTGTTCAATGAAGCATTTGATGAACTTATTTTAGTCTTCTTAGGTGGTAATGCAGGAGGTGTAAATTGACTATTCTTTGGCATTAATGAGCTTTGAAAGCTCGTTGATTGACTGAAGATATTAACAAATGATTATTTCAACTTAATTCTTGTTAAAATGTTAGAAATATTTACCTTTGTAGTCTTGCATTGTGAGAAAATGAATGCATTGAATGACGGACTAATGTTGCATCGTCATGTGTTACATGAGTGCTATGGGAAGCGTTGCCAAATATCTCCATATAGGCCATAACTAAAATAAAACATCGTCCATTTAATATAATTTAATTAACAAGAAATTCTCAAATAAATAATAAACAGAAGTCAATTTTTAATTAAATTGTCTAAAGCTTGAATTCCTCACCTGAATAAGCGACACTTTGAAACACTAATTGAGTTTAGAGTAAACAAAGTTACAGTGAATTTACTTTAGTCTACTCGTCATATTCTTAAGTGAAAGTATTTGCAAATTTTAATTGATTATTGATACTCACTGTGCTTTTTCTTCATCGGTAATGGTGGAGGATTTTCGTTGTCATCTGACACATCCATTCCAAAGTTTCGTACTGGTTCGATGCAACTTTTATATTTATTCTTAACAATTGATTGATGATGAAAGAAATTTTCTGAAATTGTTTCATTTCTTGCTGATAATGATGAAGTTAATGATGAATTCGATGAAGTTACTGAAGCTTTGGTGTCTAATGATATTCTATTGTTGTCTTCAATATTATCATACACTGACTTAGGCTGCTCTAAACGGAGACTTCGACTTCGTGTTTTAACAGGAAGTGGTGGTGGCTGTTCATGTTCTGATGATTCTGAATGGAAAATACTTTCACTACTCGTAATGTTTTGTTCAGCCATCACTTTATGACTTTGATTTAATGACATGAAACTGAAACTATTGTCGATGTCATTCATGTCAGATGAAATGGATTGAAAAACTTGTGAGTTGAACTCTTGATTAATCTCAAATTTACATTCTTTGAAGCCCATTGAAGAGACTTCAAAATCGTTGGGTTGTTGTATCTTCGGTAATTGCATTGACTCTAATGATCTCCTGTCATCAAATGTGTTGCGATCAAAATCATCAATTCGATAATCAATTCTCCGATCATGATGAAATTGACTTGACACTTGTGCGATGTTATCGGTTTCATCAGATGTTGAAAATGCTTTCTTTTTAGGTGGTAAAGGAGGAGCGTCAGGTTTATGATCTTTCGATGGCTTTGGTGGTGGAGTAATGCCAAATAAAACACTTTCAGAACTTTGAGAATTTTGCATGTGCATAGCATTTTGTAACTCAATTTTCTCCTTTTTCGACAATGGAATGTCAGGTAGTGATGATCTCTGCTCTAAACTTTCACTTTCTAACTCAACTTTCGATCTCACATTTGAATTGTTGTCAGCTTTTTTATACGCTTGATTTACGAGATTCTAGAAAGAAAATAATTTGATGAATTGTTAAAGATCAGAAATTGAAATTCTTACATTCACTGCATTGTCAAGACTCTCGATAATTTCTGTGACAGTTTCCTTATTTAATGCTATGAAATTCTCTTCGTTATCAGATATCAAAGCATCGTCACACAGCTTAATAAGATTTCCTAATGACACAAATACTTGCTGTGTTGCTGATATGATGGCACTACTATGTTCATTTGATTTCTGTGCTTTAAGCACCGAATGAATATTCGCAATAGACTCGAGTACAATTGTGACATTTCCAGGTAACATTTCAAGCTTATTTTTGTTTATAACATCCTTGAAATGCGTTAGAGAGTGTTTGACTTGTCTCGCATGATAATTTAAATCATAAGACGTTGTTTTCGAAGAATCATCTCGTATGAGATTTGGAGTATTCTTTGCTTTAGGCGAATGCGACCTAACGAATATAAAAATAAAAGTTTTTGTTTTCTTATTGGAAAGTTTAAATAATTATTCCATACACCTACCTTGATATCGTATTTGTTGGTGTTCTCATTTGAGATATTTTTTCAAAAAAATCATCTTTAAATGAGCGAGCACGTCTTGCAATTTTCGTTCCACGAAAATTACTTTTCTGCTCGGAAGATTCAGCTTGATCTTCATTATTGAAAAAGTTTGAATCATTGCTGGTATCAAAAGTCGACGTATCTTCTGAATCTATAAAAAATGAGCGAGAGAAATTTTCGATATTAAATATTTGCGTATTGAAAATAACAAAAACAATGTTGATGAAATCATAATTTTCAATTTAAGTCATATTGAAAGATTTTCTGCACTTATTTATGTGACTTACTTTTTGTATTCATTTCTTTTACATTTTATCACTAACTTTGAAACAATAATAAGAACATTTAGCTATCTTTAGTAATTTTATGCACCATAATTTCATATCTTTCGTGAAAAATAAAAATTTAAATAAAAATATTTTCAATCTTGAGAATTTTCTTCATCTAAAAACTTCTGGTTGACTGAACGCACTTGGATTACAAATTTAGTTTTTCCATGGATATCCCAAAACCTTACATTTTTCTCTCTTTTCCTGAGCAAATAAATATTTTTCAACCATCTTGCTGTGTCTTGTAGAAAATTCTCAGACCGATGCCGGAACAAGAAAAATAAAAGATTAATTTGAATTAATGTAAACATTTTAAACAATTAAATAAGAAGACAATAGTCGCAATAAGATTTTTCAATTGAATTAAAGTGAGTGGATATATGATAAAGACATAAAATATGAAAAACATGAAATTGCATTTTATCATTCACAATTTTTCATATTTTAAATGTAATGAAATATTCCATAAATTAATATCGGTGTTGCTGTTAAATATTCTTAAACATCGCAACTTATAATAAAATAATAAACAAAGCTCTCATTTCATCCCAAGAAATCATAAATTTAAAGTTATTTATGGAATCGGGAAGCAATTATACAAAGTTGACTCACACCCTTATCGAACAAAACAGGGTGTGACATCAGAAAAGCAATTTAATGACATCAAAAATATACACAACATCAATATTTTCTTTTTTCTTCAAGATAATCAGCAATTTTTATAAAGAAAGACATTAACAAATCAAAATGGCTTGGCGATTCAAAGCATCAAAATACAAAAATTCGACTCCAATTGTGCCGAAACCGGAGGTAAACAAAATTTGATTGATTACTTTTATTTTTAATAATTCAACTTTAATTTAGCTTTGTATAAGAGACATCGTTGTTGGATCTTATCAGACTTTCGGGAATAACATCGCAGCTTCGGCTAGTTTCATGGCTTTTCCATGGGAACACACTGGGTCGTCAATTGCAGTTCTTCCGATCGATGATTGCGGAAGGAAATCAAAAACCATGCCATTGCTACATGCTCATACTGACACTGTCACTGACCTTGAATTTTCTCCATTTCATGATGGATTACTTGCTACGGCATCACAAGATTGTCTCGTAAAGATCTGGCATATACCTGAGAATGGTTTGAAAGAATCTTTGCTTGATGCTGAATGTTCGTTCTCGCATAGACAGAAACGCGTTGAAACTGTCGGCTTTCATCCAACAGCTGATTGTTTGTTGCATTCAACATCAGCTGGAACTATTGTTCTTTATGATCTGACAGCAGAAAAGGAAATCTTCTGCAATAATGAACATCCAGATATCATTCAAAGCTTGAGTTGGAAGCAAGATGGGACATTGTTGGCTACCAACTCTAAGGATAAAAAGGTCCGCGTTGTCGATCCAAGAAGCAATATTCCCTTAGTTTCCGAGGCTAACAGTCACCAAAGCATTAAAGATTCCCGAATTGTCTGGCTTGGCATGCAAAATCGTATTTTAACCACTGGCTTCGATTCTAATCGAATTCGACAAATCATGATTCGTGACATCAGAAATTTCTCTGTGCCAGAAAAAACTTTGGAACTTGACTGTTCAACTGGCATATTTATGCCATTATTTGATTCAGATACAAACATGTTATTCCTTGCTGGCAAAGGAGACACAACAATCTCATTTATGGAAGTCACTGACAAAGAACCTTACCTTGTTGAAGGTAAATTAAAATCTCAATGTTCAATGTTACATAAAATTAATGTTTAATGTTGCTTATGCTTTCAGGGATACGTCATTCTGGAGAACAAACCAAAGGAGCTTGTCTTTTACCCAAGCGGGCATTGCGTGTCATGGAAGGAGAAGTTAATAGGTTGGTAAACATCATTATAAACTTTGTAAACATTAAACTTAACTAATTTTTATTTTACCTGATTTAATTAGAGTACTTCAACTAACTTCATCTTCAGTCATTCCGATTATGTATCAAGTTCCAAGGAAAACATATCGTGACTTCCATAGTGACATTTTTCCTGATACAAATGGCTTTAAAAGTGAACTTTTACCAAAGGATTGGTTTGTAGGAAAGAATGAAGCTTTACATAAAATATCTTTGGATCCAGCGAAACGTGAAGGTGGAGAGAAGCCAATCATTGTAAGTGTTTGTTATTTTATAAGATTAAATTAATCAATCATACTTTCTGTCGATCACATGCAATCATTAAAGATTTTAAGAGGAAATTTAAAGGAAGTTGTAAGCAACATTAACAACTCTGCTAAGAATAAGAAAGAAGAAATGAAGCCAATAGTTAAGTCATTCATTCCTGTCACAAATAAGATTCAACTTATGGAAAAAGATCAGCTTAAAAGTAAAATTGAAAATGACGAATTTCTTCAAAAGCATAAATCGATTATGGCTCATAAGCTGATAGAAAATTTTGATGATGAACCAAAGATTGCTGAAATTAATGCGATTCTCGAGAAAAATGGAAAAAACGGAACCAAAAACGACTACAATGAACATGACATGATTAATGAAGGCTTGAAAAATGGAAAAGTGACAAACGATGTTCCACCAAAACCATTGCCAAGAAAATCAATTTCAGATCAAGGAAGTTTCGATGAAATAACTCTCAGCGTTATTCCAAAACCAAGACCAAGAACTGCTTGCCCGAATTTAAGCTACAAGGTTCCCAAACATTTTCTTGTTTGATTTTATTTTGCGTTTCTTATCATTTTATTTGATGTTTGGTTTTTCATTTTTCGTTTTTTCCTTTCAAGTGTTGCAATTTGATACTTAAATCGATTTTAATGAATTTTGTTTCCATCTTTCTAGACACGACTTGGACCAAAACCTTTTTCAACCGATTCAGCTGAAATATCATTTGATAAAGTGTTTGCTGTCCCAGTTGCACCATCAACAGATGTTGACGTTGTAGTTGTCGAGAAGACTACTGAAGTGGTAAATTGAACTTTTATTTCTCATTTTTTTTTATAATAATCGTAACAAATGAATTAAAATTTCCTTCTTCAAATAGGAATTGCCAAGCTACATTCAACAAGAAGACGAATTACTGGAAAAATTAGCTCAAAAGAATGAAACTGAAAAGAATGAAACTGAAAAAAACGATGAAGATCAAAATGAACGAAATGAACAAAACGATGTCTTACAAAACGAAGACGAAACTGATAAACAGATCAGTAGCATTGCTGATCGTCGCAGACTTTACGAAAATCGCTCAAGTAGTATGGTTGAGGAGAAAACAAAATCACAAGCCAGTATTAATGTTGGTCGACGTGAATCTTGCAAAGATGAAGAACAGTCGAAAGACCGTAATGAGATGAAAAGTGTCCACACAAATGGAACTTCAACTAAATCTAACAACATTTCCAAAAGAACGTCAACAGTGTTTGGAAAAGTTTCAAAATTCCGTCATCTTAAAGGAACAACTGGTCATAAATCAACTCATATTGAAAACATTAAAAATGTCAGTCGTCAGATATCAGGAGAATGTGATGGATTTCATGGTGAGTAAACTACTTGTAACAATTTAGATTTGATCTTGGAGTCATTCAACATGCTGTCAAATTCAAGATTAGATTAATCTGAAATGTGATTAGCTTAAGCAAGGATTAGGAATTTTCGGGATTAAATATTAAAGATCGCTTAGAGATCGACAATTCTTAAAAATTTCTAGCCCTGATTTAAATTACTTCAACACGGCTTCATTATTAATAAAAATAATTTATTCACAGCAAATCATGAACGTGTCGCTGTTCCATTATCAGGAAATGGTGGAAAAATTGCAGTTTTTGAACTATCAACACCTGGTAGACTTCCAGATGGTGTTATTCCAACACTTGTCAATGGATCAAACATCATGGATTTCCAATGGGATCCTTTTGATAATCGACATCTTGTTGTTGCTTGCGACGATGGAACAGTCAAAATTTGGGAGATTCCTGAAGGTGGATTAAAGGAACCCACAAACACACCATTTAAAGAATTCAATGCTCATTCAGAGAAAATTCATTTTCTGAAATTTCATCCATTAGCTAAAGACGTCTTATTAACAGCAAGCTATGATATGACTATCAAAATTTGGGACTTAAACACATTCGAACAGAAGCAATGTTTGAAAGGTCACACTGATCAAATCTTCAGTTTCGCTTGGAGTTTATGTGGAACATTTGGAGCGACAGTTTGTAAAGATGGAAAGCTTCGAATTTATGATATTCGCAAGTCAGAATATCCAATCAGAGAAGGAATCGGTGGACCAATAGGAACGAGAGGCGCAAGAATTACTTTCGTGTTAGAAGACGAATATCTGGTTGTGACTGGATTTGACAAGTAAATTATTTTAATAAACATAATAAATTTGATTAATTAATATTTCTAAACTTTCACAGAGTAAGCGAACGACAAATTTACATACTTAAAGTTGACAATTTAGATAAAGCTATTGGAATGGTTGGACTGGATGTGTCTCCAGCAACTTTGGTGCCATTTTATGATGATGACAGTTCAACGATCTTCTTGACTGGTCGTGGTGACACAACTATTTACGCTTATGAAGTCACTGACGAAGCTCCCTATTTTTGTCCTCTCTCTCATCATCGATGTTCATCATTACACCAAGGACTCAGTTTTCTACGCAAAAATCAATGCGACGTTCGCAATGTTGAGTTCGCTAAATGTTATCGTCTCACTAATAACTCAATCGAACCGTTGAGCTTCACTGTTCCGAGGATTAAGGTGAGTTCGAGGAATACATTTTAATTGACAAAATCTTATATTTAATCTTCACACAGACTGAACTCTTCCAAGATGATCTTTTTCCACCAACTCGTGTAACTTGGCTTCAAACAATCTCTGCTGAAGAATGGTTTGCTGGAAAGAATAAGACACCATTAAAGATAAGTTTACAGCCTGAAGGAATGGATGCATTAACATCAACAATCTCACCACCACCAGCTTCAACTGGAATATCTTCAAAGCCAAATAGCTTTGATGCAAACTATTCATCGATTCAACTCTCTCCTGAACACACGAAAGCAAAACAAGAAGCTCTTAAAAAGTCAGTAAGTGAACGTGTTCAAGTGAATTATGAATTAGAACAAGACAACATGGAAGGGGTTGATTCAAATGAATGGGATGAATGACAAAGTTGAACTAATTCTTGGCAGAGACAAAGCATTGAGTGTTCATTTTAAAAGACTTTCGATGACTTGAGTGATTTTATATTTTATATCATAATCTTAATAACATATTAAGCTTTTATATGAGTATTAGTATTTTTCTTAACGCCAATATATTAAAAATGTAACAAAATGACATTGAAATGTGCCATAGCTGTGCATTTGCGAAGAAATTAATCATTCAATTATGCGTGGAAATATTTTTGTTTCATAATTTGCAATCTTTCGTAATGTGCTTAACTGATCCACATTGATTTGAAGCTGAATTAACTTTTTAATGAATGCATTTTAGCCATGACTTTGTGATGTTTGATTTCAAGGTTTGTGCAGATATTAATTAAGTTTTATTTTTCTTATGTCTTATTTTTAATAAACGTCTATTATCAAGAATTTCTCAAAGCTTTTGAAGACTATTTTGTCAGTATTCAACAATGATACGCTTCCGCTATTCATTTTACATTTCACTTTTCAGTATCATGAAGCTTAAAATACTCTTTCATTCATTACTCATAAATATGTAGCTTAAATTTTCCCAAATATAAAAGTATTATCTAAATATCACTTTGCATTAAATATAACTAGTCATTTGACAATTTTCAATGAATTTTAAGAGCAGAGACATTATTTTTTCAGATTTTGTCTTTCAATTATATTTTCAAACTTAATCAAAAATATCTTTGGCGCTTGTGATTGTCAGTGAAAGAAGAAAAATCATTCAAATTAATTTCTTAAATCATGAGAAGAAAAAGGCAAAATAAGTCAAGTGTGAGTGAATCTAAAAGTTTATAACTAAGTCGAAAAACATTTTTTATGATCTTTTGTCACAAATTTTGTAAGAGAATTGATAATAAAGGGAATAAAAATTAATTAATGGTTTTTAGTTATTTTTGTTCTTTCAGGAAAACTTTGGAATTTTTTTATGTAATAAAATAAAATATCGCAAACTTTCTATGTTCTCAGCTGATCACAGATACTAACAAGTTTATCTAGTTGAGCGTATTGAACCAACCCACAAGTATTTAATTATTATCACATTTCAATCTTTACGAATATGCGTCGTATGCAGTTCCAATTATTTTCACTTTTCCTTTTAAGAAACATTAAAACTCTCAATTACTAATTCACGTGATATTTACTTTAAATGCCTATACTTATTAACTGAGTCAATCATTTTCATAAATAAGCATTAATCTTGTTATATGCTTGTAAATTTTCAGCAGCATGACGTTATGAATTTTCAACTAAATCAAAATCTAAACGTTGTGATAAGAAGAAAATGAAAGTTTATCAGAGCAAAGATTAATTAACTAATGGAGAAAAAAAATTAAATTATTCAACCTATAATCCCAAATAGACACAACTTTGTAAATTGCAACCAATCACTTTACGCATTTACACACTGCACCAGACATTACACTTAGGTGGTGAATGTTCAAACCTTAAGAGAGAAAAACAAAAACAAATCTTAATGAAAATACATGCCCATGGCATAGATTCTAGAAACAGTATAAAAATGCTATGATTTAGTTTTCAATATTCAGTTTCTATTTCAACTCATATCGTGATAGCAGCAGATACAAAGTGATCAAAAAAATGGCTTTCAAATTATTCGTTGTACTTTCAGCTCTTTTCGCTGTCTCCCTTGCAGTTATTTCCGGTGATTACGGTTCAGTCGGAGTTCAAACTGGTCAAGATATCAGAGTAAGTTAAGAATTTGTTCATTGTTTATAAAATTATTACAGAATAATCGAAATTTTTATAGGGACCATTGAGCACACTTTCATCATACCAGAAATCAATCAACACCGGCAACTCTCAATCATTTGTGTCTCGTACAGACTACACTAGCAACCCTGGTCTTATCGCTCACCCAATTGCCCCAGTCATTGGTAAATATATTTTGATTCATTAAGAGTTCAAAGTTGTCTAATGATAATTATGAATCTTCAGCTCATGCTCCAGTCGCTGCTTATGCTGCACCAGCATACCACGCACCAATTGCCGCTGCCCCAGTCTTCCATGGAGCTGCTTACCCATATGCCGGTTTCAAGTGAGTCATCTGAAAGCTGAAAAATTTTGTAACAATATTTAATTTCCTTCTTTCAATTCCTTCTTCAGAGCACCAATTGCTGCTGCTGCTTACTACCATTGAAAAACTTTTAAATCATTCTTATTGTAAATCCAAATTGAGTTCAACCAAAAAAAAAAATATAAAAAATAAAAGAAATTCTTATCCTTGATTTGAAATCTTTAAATTTGTTTCTTTTTAATATGTACAAAAATATTTTACATTAGAAATTATAATTAAGGCCATTGCTGGAAAATCTGACTGATGACACTTCTGGTGAAAATGAAAATTGTGACAACTTCGCTCTTTCTACTTGAGGCTGAATGATGGAAAAAAAGTTTTATTGATTGAGTGATGATAATTGTTAATTAAACTTACATGCACTTGATGTCTAAATGTATCTATTTGCTGAATGTTGTAAGGATCTTGTTGTGGTTGATAAACTGGTTGAGAGATCGGTTTTGAAAGAACTAAACGATTATTTGGAACGACGTTGTTTGGCTTTAAAGTAAACAAATTAAAGTTAGAATTTTTTTAACAAATTCAAATTATTCATACAACTACGGCTGCTCCAGGAAAGTATCGTTGAAAGGAGATTTGTGCACTTGGCATTGCTACCGAATAAAAATTACTATTTGCATCGTTTTGCACAACAATTTGCGAGTAACAAATTACAATAAAATTAACGAAAACAAAAAGTGCAGATAGACGAATGTTGAACAAATTTGAATACATTTTTAACACTTTTGTTTGTCGAATATTAAATTGATACTGAAGAAGAAACACGCATCGCTGATATTAAATAACAAAAATAAATTCCCCTTCTTAATGCATTTTTAGAAATTGAAAATCAAAATTTTTGCACGATCAATTGCCGGTATTTTAAGAAAGTCATTGAAAGGAATTTGGAGATATTACTCAAGCAATCAGGAAGGAATATTTAAGATAATCGATAATCAAAAAGAACATTTGAAAATAAAAATGTTTTAAGAACAAAACTATAAAAAAATTTCTCTCGTCAGTGACGGTTACACAATCACAAAACTACAGGAAAATAAAAATTTTTGTCACGAAACCTATTTTGACTTCCATTAAATATCTTTAAAAAATGCTTTCTGAATGCTAAACATCAATCAGGATTGTCACTTACATATTTAAAATTTACATTCACACATGTTTCAAATGCTTCAGTAATTTAATTGAAATTAACATCTCTGTTTACATTTAATTTTAAACTCATAATGTTACATAATGTTCAACTTTCTGTCTGACTTTCTTTGTTATTGACATTTGAAATTAACGAGAAATAAACTTGCTTATAATCAGTGGTGAATCTGAAATTAAGTAATTAAAGACTTAATTTGTTTGTGATAATTCTTTTATTCAAATGAAAATTTATGTTTCATAATAAAGTATTTACAGATTCACAGTCGATGGCCAGACAACTGATTCAATCCAATCGAGATATTCAGAAACTCTTGTATAAACACCTGGTAAGCTGCTGCCACAACTTAAACCAAATGAAGTGACTCCAACAACATGGAAAACAGTTTCATGGTTGACAATTTTTCTCATCTGAATTGGGCCTCCAGAATCACCTTAAAAATAATTACAGAAATGATAAGAAATTCAAAAGCATAAAAAATCTTTTCATACCCTGACAAGCATCGATAACTTTCCCATCTTTGGTGTTTGTTGCACAAAGTTGACTTTGCGTTATTCCATCTGCAAGTTGACTTAAAATGATAATTGAGTATGATTCATTGCATTCATCTATTGGCACTTCATGTATATCAGCTTTCAATAACCAATTTGATTTTATCAAGGTCGAACTGTTGACTCTTCCCCAACCCCTGTGATGAAAAGTAATAAAGGAAGTTTATTTTTGAATCCATATCAAGTGCGAAATCTTACGTAATTTCAAGCTTTTCATTGGGTCCAAAAGATTTACCGCTGGTGTAAAGGCAAGCTGTCAAGAGAATGAAGAATAATTTTTAATTATGTTAATGATTTTAGTCTTGCAAACCTGGTTTGACATATCTTGTGAATTCAGCGTTACGCATCATTTCGATCAGTGCTATGTCATTGTATTTCTCCCTGCTAGTATATGACGGTTGCAATTTAACTCCCTATAAACACGATAATTTCAATCATGCTAATTGAAAGAAGACTCAAAGTCACAAATACCTTAACAGGAATATCTTGAGCTAAATTTGTGTCTCTATCGCTGTTTTCATCTAAGGAAACTCTTCCAAGTCTAATTATTTTTGGTTGTCGTTTGCGACTATTGACACAATGTGCTTAGAAACGACCAAAAAAAAATTTTAATGTCAAATCGATGATAAATCATTAATTTATTTACCAGCTGTTAAAACAAATTTCTGAAAGAAAAGAATTCTAAATTGAATTCTCAATTTGTTTAAATGGAAAATATTAATGATACCTGTGAGATTAAACTTCCACCGCAATCAAAACTAATTTGATCTTCTTCAACAGCATCGCCGTATCCAATGGCAGCCTATTTAGATAATCATAGTAGAATCAATTAAAAATCAATGTTGTGAATAAATTTTAGTCCATGTTACCATATGTGGATATTCGCCTACCTGAAAGAAAACAAAGATAGTAATAGAATTTTAATTACAATAAAAAAAGTATCATTATTTACATCAGCTTCTTTTCCATTAAGAATGTGATAGTCGAGACCAAGAGCTGAAATAAAAAAATAATTAATATATTAACAAAAATCATCTTTTTCCTTCTTCTTTTTCAAACCTCTAATGTTCTCAATAAGTCCACAAGCTTGTTCACTTTTTCTTTTTTTTATTTCTAAAGGCCTGTCTACAGTTGTTGTTTCTTTATCCAATGGTTCAGTGCCCCTGAAGATACTTCATTAAAATTCTACTCCTTGATAAAAGAATTAACTTACCAAATAAAGCGATCAGTAACAGTTTTCCTAGTTGAAACTGTTGTAGTTAAAACCGTTTCATCGTTACAACAAATTATTGATCTTCTGTATTTGATCATGCATATGACCAGGTCATCAAGAGTTATTTCTCTATTTTGTAATTTAACTTTTGCCCATTCACATTCTCTATTTAATGAAGAAAGAATTCTTTTACTTAAAGTTCTTCAAATGATTGTAAGAAATCTCAATTTAGCTTTCACAAACACAGTCAAAAGTAGTAAAACATCTTTAACCTGTCGTATTTGCAAATCCCAAGCGATCCATCGTAGTTCGTGCAAACGCTTCCTTCTACGATTATTTATTGATAAATAAAAGTCGATAGAGCAATTAAGCATAACTATTTTTGGCTTACCAGGCTTTGAATGATACGAATTACATAAAACAGTAATGCTTATAAATATAATATAGCATAAACTTCTTTTCATGATGTTAACGTGTTATCAATATAATATTTCTTGCGTAGAATGAAAAAAAGATTAAACAGTGATTTTTCTACTCATTCAATTGATTCACTCACTCATAAAATATGTTTCCAACTATTAAATGTATTCAAGAATGTCATTCAAATATTAACACTAATTATAGATTTTAAACTAAGAATTAATTTGTTATCACTTTTGTAAGAAAAGAACTGTACTGTGTAAGAACAATTTGTTTACGACTTCAAAAGCCAAGCAAGAAATCTACAAAAGAAGGAAAAAATCTCTTGTTATTAAATGTTGATGTATGTGTTGACCCTCAGAGAGACTGAAGATCTCATCTCAATTAGGTATTTGTGTTAAAAAAATCGATAGATAGTCCAATATTAATAAAATGTCCAGTTTTTATTTCTCAAACATGCTACAACTAATAAAACATGATTGCAGACATAATCACGTTAGTTTCAAACCGGTCAGATAATAAGTCACCAAATATTTCTGTTACACATTGAACTTTCCACAAAATCGATAACGTTGTACATATTTTTAACGGTCGTTTATTTGCATCAATTATTTGAAAATTATTAGCTGTGAACCCGACATGAATTCAGTCGATTCTATTAAGCGCAACAGTTGAAAACAAATCTCTAATTAACACATAAATTGAATTATCTTATGAATATCATCGGAATTAAAATATTTATTGATCGAAATAATCCCTATTTGTTAGTCAACATCTAAATCTACTTAGATTGTTAACTCACATCAACTGTCAAATTGAATCTTACTTTTCTTTTTATATGCTTTCAGTTGCTTAGTGTTGCTCAGCGTCATCGTTAACAATAAAAAGTGATTTGTGAAACTTCAAAAGGTTTTATTTAAAATAATTGCGTCAAATACTAAATCTCACAAAATAAAATAAGGATTATTCGAGAATGTCGGAAGAAAAACAAGAAAATGGAACCTCAAGTGTGGGAGAAGTCCCCGAGATCGAATTAATCATAAAAGTGAGTTGATCTTACTTTTTTAATAAAATTATAGGATTCCGCTATGGTCGCGTTCGTTTTTTGTGTTAGTTTCTTTAATAAAAGCTGGAAAAACAAAAGCAAGTATAAAAAGCTTAATGTGAAAATAAAAAAAATGATATCTAACATAATTGATGAAATTCATGATGTGTTGTTTAGAAATTTGCATATTCATGACATTTAGACAATCGTCTTAATGAGACAAGTCACATGATTCATCCGAATGCTCACCGCGATATTTAAGCAAATTTTAAGTAAATAGAAATTTTTTTTCTTTCTTTCCTGTGTTCATGAAGTTCATAGCACAATTCCAAATACATGCAAATACACATTAGAGAAGAATTTATTTTTAACTTCAGGAATTATGTCATCTTTTACTTACAAAGTTGGGAACAAATATCTTGGAATAACATATACAAGGTGCTCTTATCTATTAGAATACGATAAAAAAAGAACAATAAAACAATGAAAAGTGGTTTGTCTATTAAAGTAAATATCTTGACGCCTCGTATTGTTTAACGATTAATTACAATTCTACTGATGATAACGCGCCAATCTTCGTGACAGTGTTAGTGAGACGGTAATAAGTATTCTTATTCGTGATTGTGATAAAGATTTAACTTCTTCAAACATTCTTCGTCGCAATGTACAAACAAATATGAATGGATACATCACAAACAAATACGAGCTTATGAGCTCATTTTTTTTGAACTCTAAGGTGTGGTTCAATGAAAGAAGAATGGGAATAATAAAAAATTAAAACTATCCACATTAATGCTTATGTCAATTTACGCGCGATTTTCTATTTTTTAATGACTCTCATGATAGCATTGAACGATATTTGAAATCAATGGAAGCAGCAAGCAATAAGATAACAAGCTATAACTCCAATACATTCGAACACTTTTGATTTCTATTTGAGTACAAATTTTCTCTCTGATCAATCATGAAAACAGATGGCTTCAAGTTTTGCTAAAAAGTGTTATATTTTTTCTTTATTTTCTTCTTTCTGGCTGCGATTGAAACTATTGATTCATATATGTTTTTATAGACGTCAAGCGGTGTCGTTTTTAATAAAAATAAATGATTTTAAATTGTGTAAAATTGTAGGCTTCGACAATTGATGGACGCCGAAAGGGAGCGTGTTTGTTTTGTCAGGAATACTTTATGGATTTATATCTGTTGGCGGAATTAAAGACAATCAGTTTGAAGGTGATTTATTGCTTACCATTTAATGTTCATGATGTAACTAATTGTCTATTTCATTTAAGGTAACAACTGTTGATATGCAAAAACCTCCACCAGATTTCCGCACCAATTTTGAAGCAACTCATCCTCCAATCTTGATTGACAATGGCTTGGCGATTCTTGAAAATGATAAAATTGAACGTCACATTATGAAGAATGTGCCGGGCGGTCACAACTTATTTGTTCAAGACAAGGAAGTCGCAACACTTATCGAGAATCTTTATTCAAAATTAAAATTGGTTCTCGTAAAGAAAGATGAGCAAAAGAACAATGCCTTGTTGTCGCATTTGAAGAAAATCAACGATCATTTAGCTCAGCGTAATAGCCGATTTCTCACCGGTGATTGCATCTGTTGCTTTGACTGCGAATTAATGTAAGTAAAGCCTAACAATAAAAACTTCGTCACCAAACAATGAAAGAGAAAGTAAAATTTTTGAATTTTACGAAACAATTCTCTGGCAATTTATGGATTGATTTTGATCGTCAATTCTTTCTTTTCTGTCTGTGTTCAGAGAAAATATTATTTGACCACTTTTGAAGTTGAAATTGGTTTGTTAACACCTTTTTTTGTTGATTTCATAAATTGTTTTATAATTCGTCTGATTTCCTTATTCGTATTAATTTTTGAAAGAACAAAACTTATTTGGCTTGATTGGTATTTGAGTTAGATAATCCATGGTTTAACCTTGGTAGCAAATATTCATTCAAAGTCTTTTGACTAAATTCGTAATCTTCCTTTCATGCAGGGTGCGCTTGCAGCACATTCGTGTGGCGGGGAAATATTTCAGCGACTTTGAGATTCCGGTAAGTTTTTATTATGCTTCATCATTGAATATTAAATTTTAATGCAAGTTTCCATCAATTAGAATAATCTTACAGCTTTATGGAGGTACATGTATCATATGTATCAATTGGATGCTTTCACACAATCGTGCCCTGCTGATCAGGATATCATCAATCATTACAAACTGCAGCAGGTAAGTCAACATTTTATTTTTCTTTAATTTTAATTTAATTCTTCAATTCTCGATTCAATTTCTTTTTCCCTTCAAACCAATTTAACTGCTTTAGGCTAAGGGAGACCTTAAGGTACGTCAGATGGAAGTGATGTGCTTTTCTTTCAAAGATTTTCCATTTGACATCGCTTCTTGTATTTGTTTTCTATCACAACATACATAAATATCGATCAAAGAATGATTTTTATGTTCGTTTTTATCTTTGAAACATTCAAATTCATAAACTTTTTGCATTCATAAATTTTTGTTACATTTCTCAAGTGCAAAAATGAGAGAAAATTTTTGTCTGTTTGATTTTTGTCTGTTGTTTTAATTTTTCATTTCTCATTGATTTTCATTTCAATATTTTCGACTTTAAACAAAAGCAATATGACAATCACGCAATAATTTCACTTTCTTTTGATAATCTTCAATGTTTCTTGATAGAAGCTTTAAAAATTATTTTCCAAGTTTAAATGCATATTTCAAGAAAAGGTAGAAAAGTAAAATAATTAAAAAACATTTTACTGAACATGAGGAAGCCGATTTTGTGTCTTAAAATTTTTTTCTTCTTCATTTTCCTGATTTTAAGTGCTTTGTGCTTTGTTTCTTGTAGTTGTGAACATTTTTCATTCCGCGCTAATGAGAAAAACAACGAATTGATGTATTTTTTATATTTCTCTTTTGTTTCAGATGTTGAAAATGAAAAAACACGAAGAATTAGAAACTCCAACATTCACAACATCGATTCCCATTGATATTTCAGATTAAACATCGTGAGAGTAAAAATGCTGAAAATTATTGTTCACAAAATTTTCGATTTAATCAAAATTCCACATTTTTTTCTTCTTTTTTTTTTGTTAGGTTTATTGTTTAGTTAAAGCTTTTTCAAAAGTTAATTTCAGCAAATTTTATTACCAATCAAAAAAGAAGCATTTGCAATGCTTCAGCATTTTAATGCATTTCACAAAAAACGAAACAGAACTTAAAAGGGGAAAAGTTGAAAATTTCTTTCTCCACTCAAATATTTCATTTTGATACGAAAAAAGATAGAAATAGATAATGAAAAATTACCCATCAATTATTATCTTAATGGTAAAATAAAGCACAGTTACTGTTCAATTAAAGAGGCAAACAGATGCCAAACGAGTTCCTTTCTAAAGGGATTTCTGAATCAATGTGCCTTTGTAAAACATGAAACTAAGTTGCTTTAGGAATTGAAGATTTTTTAAGTAATCAGCGGTAGCAAAAAACGAACATTTTCTTCGTTGGAATGGTTAATTAAGTTTAATTTAGTTTTATGTTAGCATTTCTTTCATAAAAGCAAAGTTTTAATTTTTTCTTAAATTCATTTTGATGATTTTGTTACTACTTACAAAAAAAAATTCATTCTGTACTAAAAATTATAAGTTTCCAAATAAATAAAAAAACAAACTAACAATTTAATTCTCAAAAAATGTTTGTTTTCATAAAATAAACAAATAATTAAGTAGTTTCAGATTAACGCGATGTATCTCTATGTAAGTATATAAAATCAGCAATTAAAATTCAATTAGCAAAGCAATAACAAATTTGATTGTCGAGGTATAAAATCAAGATTTCACATGCTTAGATAGCTGATTCGTTGTTGATGAATAAATTTAATAATTAATCACGTAATTCGATTTTAAGTTTTCTGTTTTAACAACTTGTTACAGTCAACTTTTCAACAAAAAGTAATTTTCTACTTTGACTTTTCAACGCATAGAAAATTTGCATTTAATCGGATTCTCGATGTAATCGGATGAAAGTTTCCTGTTCTTGCTTTAATCTCTAAGTTTTCATCTTGTATAAATTGTAAGTACCACCTAAGATGTTTTGAAGAGATTGGAGAATTTTTTGTCTCACCATATTTACATGTTGATTTATCTTGTGAAAGTTGTGGTTATTACAAGTTTTCTCCACCATTTCATATTTAGACCAAACTAAACTAAAAAAATTGCAAGAGTTTCCCTGAAAATATTTAAAATATTCCAAAAGCATTTCACAACCTGTAGCATGCTATTTGAGAGAAATGTTCCGTTAAACATCCACTCGTGTACTCATGTTCAAGCATCCTTAGCAAATGAATGAAAATGGCACTCAACAACATCACATTCAATTAAATTTATCATTTTCAAGTGAGATGAAAATATATTTACTGCTACTTACAATAACCATCTACGTTTCGTGTGAGGGTGTGAAAACTAATTACCTTCACGATTCCGATTACAAGCTATTTCTCTAGACACTGTTTCGCAATCTCTCGACTTCATAACTTTGCACATTTAGAAAAATGATGTTACAGCAAATCAACTTCAATAAAAACTTTACCTTTTAAAATGATATCGTTTCACCACCAAACAGACACTTTACGAATTCCGACAATTGCCAAACAAATTCAGAAGTTAATGAATCGTGATAATCTTGGGGTTTTTTTTTTCACCGAGAAAATAAAGTTAACTTTTGTTTCCCTGTTTTTCTAACGCAAAAAGAAAGAGAAAAAAATGTTCATTCAGAGTGAAAAGAATTCTTCAACGAGGACGTGAAAACGATTGATATTTTCCAACTGAAAGATTTCCTTTACAACTTTTCCTACCCTTTCGACTTAAATATAAATTATACACAACATTTTCTTATTCTTTTAAGATGATACGATTACTTTAAAACTTAGTGTTGTGCTCAACTTTTCATATTTGTGGTGAAATCCAATCGAAAGACCTTTTAATGGATTTTCTTTCACATCGTTAAAGCAAATAAAATCAAAGGTTGAGTTGATAATTGAAAGCAGAAATGGATTTAAGCAACTCATAAAAGCTTTAAAATATTAGATTTACTTAATACTTAAGAAAGCTAATTATCAAGAAACGAAGAAAGCTTTCTTCATGTAACATAATAAAATTGCTCAATCAAAAATTACTTACAGTACATAAGGAAATCACGTGGTGATAACACAAATTATATAAATTAAAAACAACAAAAAAGGAGGTGTAGACGTTTTTTTCCAATGGTCATGCGCTTGACAATAAAATATTGGAAGACATAATTGGAAGTAAAATATTTCCCAAACCTTTCAACTGATTCGAGATGTTTAGTGTTGTTCTATCCTTGAAACCAGCAGGACTTTAATTTTCATTCACATTGTGAAATTATTCGAAATATTTACGAAGTTTTGAAGTTCTGTTTTTTATTATAGAAGAATCGACACAATTTTATACGATATTTGAATTCAGAACGGAGATATCTTGATATATGTAGAGGGAAAAAAATTAAAATACTCATAATAAATTTTTGAAACTTCCAATCTGTTGTAAATATAAAATATTGGTAAAATTTAGTTAGTTCAAGTCAGTTTATTACAAAACGAAAAACTGTATTGAAAGCAATTTTAATTCTTATGGTGCTTTATTTATATTCATGTTGTATGTATGTAGATATGAATTAGAAATGCTGATTGTCTTCCGTAACATTGCAGAAATGCAAATAAAATGTTTAAGAATTCTCACAGTATGACTTTGAATAAATAAATGCATCAAAATCAATTTCAAATCAAATGAATTCTTCAAAGCCTTTCTGTCTGTATTTTAATTGAATAGTGAAAATCTCATCATTTGATGGAACAAGATTATGAGATGTGAGAAGTGTATAAAGAGTTTAAGAATTTAATAAAGAAGATTTTTATTTTCAACAAAAACAAAAAAAGTTTATTGAATAGAAAGATTTTCTTTTCTCTTATTCTTTTTTTTTTTAATATGATTTGAAGCATCAGAAGTTTTTGTCATTCCTCTGCTATTACTTACTCCGCTTACAGAAGCTTTCACATCTTCAATGTAAGATTGTTTGGGTTCTTTCTCTTTCGAGAACTCAGATCAAACAGATTGAAATTTTAATAATGAAACTTTCAAGGCTGGAATGCACGAGGATGGATACATGTAACGTCAACATAGAAACACTTGAGATTGAAAAGGTTAAAAACTGTTTGCGAAGGCAGAAAGAAAGACCAAATATTGGTTTTGTTAGACGGTTGTGAATGTTATCATTATGGCAATATCTGCACTATATATACCTTCTTTCTTTCTTTTCTTTCTTTGCTTTGCTTTCTTCTCCACATGACATTATACATTATGTCCTTACTCTTAAAAAATTCAATTCTGTTTTATGTTTACTTATTTTAATCTTGTTCTTTCATTTTCAAACTTTTGTTGCATTGTGTTACAATTGAATTATCACTCGGCCCATTTCCAAATCCCCAACGAGATGTGGAATATCAAGGAAAAGATTACTTCATGGGTTAGAAAATCAATAAGCCGGAAAATCAATTACTCAATCAACAGAATTTCCTTTACAAAAGCTTTTTTTGAACGAGATTAAATATCAAGATGACAAATTTCCTTTTTCGTGTTGAGATGATTTTACATTTACATTCAATTGCATTTACGTTCAATTTGAGGAGAATGATGTATCGTCCCTCTCGAAAGCAGTAAAAACCAGCCACTTGAAAATATTCATTGATAAAATAAATTACATTTTGTGGCGAAGTCAGTTTTCAAACACAGAACTTTGCATGTTTAAACCATAAAAAGGGACATTTTGTCATACAGTGCGAAGCTATGAAAAAAGATTTTAGAAACTTTTCTCTGGCATTAATAATTTTGCTTAATTATTTCGTGCAAAACTATCCATGAGTGTGATTATGAAACTTTTGTTTCATTCATATTTCTATTATTAAACACTCAAAACGTGATCAAAAGCTTTTAACTAGCAGTTACCCGCTCTCAGTTTTGCTTCGAATGCATTTTAATAACAATATCGTGAGGTTTTTATTTGATTTTCCAAACGTGTGTTAGAATGAAGAAGTCGAGGCCGCGAAATGTTTTGTCAAGACAAACGTTTGAATAAAACGTGAATTTATCTTAACATTTTACTATCTGTCGGCAGATGAAAAGTTTTTGTTCTTGTCAGCAATGTTTCGTAATATTTTCAGTAATTAACTTTCATTGAAACAATTTATTTCCGTTCTCCTTTTCTCATTTATCAATTCATCGCAATTATTAGCTGACAACTGAAAGTGAAAGCAAAAATTATTTATCTGATAATTTCGTTAAATAAAACAATGATTGGCAGCTAATCTGATTACAAATTCGGGAAATCATGTGAACACAATGCGATAAGGCAAATAGCTTTATTAAATGTTTGTTTTGTTTCCTATGCGTCAGAAATTGTTTCAACCGACTAGAGAAACATGTTGAAACATCACAATCTTCGACTTCATTTCATATCGTTGATTTTCCGGTTGCTTTATATTAAGTTATGTTGATGGTACATCAACTAAAAATATTCATACTTTTATGAGAAATAATGCAAGAAATCTGTTCTCCTCGACACAAGGGCAAACAGAACTTTTCCATTAGTACACACTTGTTTGTTTGTGGATAACAAGTGAAGAGAGAAAACATAAATACTGGTTAGCAACACGAATGAGTCCCTTAACCAACATTGACTCTGGTAAAATCTTCCCGGAAATGGTCCTAATAAAATCATTGTTATTAAAAGTCATATAACTGAATTGAAAGTAATTGTCTTCAGTGTTTGTTTAGTATCTCTCAAGAAATTCATAGAACTTCTTTAATAAAACTCTAATAGACATTCTAATGTGATTCTCTTAAAAGCTTCTCAAATTTTAGGTAGCGACCACGACTCTTATTTGTAGATATGCACTTCAGGTGGTTTCAAAATAATGGTACATGAAAAACAGTAATAAAATATTAATTCCAACTTGAAGCCATTAAACACCTCTACAAGGATTAATTTAAGTGGAAAAACAACCCCTAAATGTATCTACTTAAAATAAGAATGGAAATATTTTTTATTCCACCTCACGTATGCAAATTGAAACAGAAGGAGAAACAGAAAGAAATCCTTAAATTACCTCGTAAATTTAGAAAATCATCGAGATAACAGACTTGATCTCGCTTCCTATTCCTATTTGAAAAACGGCATGAGAAACTTCTTGAGAAAATCCTTGTGCCTCTGTGCTTGCCTTTGAAATTGAAATAAACATATGGCTCATTTCCTTACTTACGCAAAAGTCATATTCACTTTAAATCTCAATCTATTTTCAAAAGCTACAAATGCGTAGCTTGTAAAAATATGAACAGAAATTTTTCGATCGATTTTCAAAGAAGAAGGAGACGACACTTAGAGAGCGTAAAAGCGAGAAATTGTTGAAATAAAAAAATCCATTTAAATTGTCTTCATTCGCTCGTTTGCTTCCTGTGGAAGAGAACAATAAATTCATTCCTAAAATTGTTATTTAACGAATGGAATTAGAGACATATTTATGCGTTATCTTATTTTTGCGACTTATTTTTTGGGAGAAAACACATTTTGGTGAAATGAAATAGAGATTGTAACAAAATTGTAAATTTTGTAGCTTACAAAGATCTTCTTTCTTACTTTTCTTCTTTTCTTTCTCATCTTTTTCATTAATTTCAAGTAAAGGCGCGCGAAAATATGCCAAGAGAGCGAATCTTTCTAACCCCAATTCATTTTGCATTTTCCGTGTATAAAGAAACAATATTGTTTGCCGCTTGTTAAGTGCGAAGCCATTAAATGTTATGACTGTGACAATTTCTTTCAATTCATAAAGAATTCTACTATCTAATTTTGTCTGTTGAAAGCAAAGCAGTAAGAAAACATTTACAGTCTTTGACTTTTACTTCATTTGGTGAATTTAAAGAATTTTAAAGAAGAAATTGCTTTGCTATTGTCACCATTTGAATTTCCCCAAGTTTTCACGGAAAAAAAGGAAAATCGTTTGATATTTAAAAGGACATAGAGGCAGACAATTTACAATGATTCTAATCAAAGTATGAGCAAATAGGAAATCCTTTAAAATTATGTAACAGCACGTACCAAATAATATCATCGGAGCAATTAGAAAAATTTTTCACACTTTTTACTGCTTTCAGTGAAAACAAAATGTGCGCCTTTTCCCAGCCATAATAATGACGATGAATTGTTCTTAAAGTTTCCTTCAATATTCAAACCATAATGAATTATTTCTCAACTTTCATCCATATGAGTTGTAGACAATGTGCGATGATATCAACAGAAAAAAAATTATTGTAAAGTTTATTTTACATCATTTGTGCCTTCAAACAGTACATTCAAACTTTTATAATTAGTGCTGCTTTTTTATTATTATTCTACTTTAAAATAGATTCTAGGTATGACTCTTTCGGAGATGTTATCGCATATCGCTTCCCTGACTAGTTTACTCGTTCATGAGTTTCTTGCTTGAAAGTTACAATCAGGAAATAAAGCGGAAATTAAATAAACACATAGCACTTTCTCATAGCAAAGAAAATTTCCTTCAAACGAGCATAAATATTGTTCGCACACGATTGTGCTATAATTAATAAGACACTCTGAATAAAATTGCATTAAAATTTTGAGCAATTAACTGTTCAGTATCATCACTTAAAAATATTTATTTGATATTACCACGAAAGCCTCTCGGAGGTGAAGAATTTAATCGCGCTTAAAACATTCATAAATATGCTATGACGTTTATTGCTAATAAATTATCTAAAATTTCATCCGGACTTTTCTTTCGTTGTAATAATGAAAGGAAGGATCGTTTCATTACGTTTAATTAGAGCATCGGCCTCGACACTTCTTATGTATGTTCGTACTCATTTTCTAAGAAGACACTTCATGATATATGCTTTCTCATTATACAATGTAAAGTTCTTACATTATTAGGAAGTTCCCTTTCTTCCAATTAAAGTAAATGACGCGACGCGAAAGAAAAGTTTATTTAGGTAGACATTTTAGAAAAATAATTAGGATGAAAGTCAATAAAATCAATTTCATTGTACTTAGCTCTGATAAACTGTATTCAGGTGTTAAATTGCTATAGTATATGGAAAGTGCTGATAGCATTTGACAACGTCGTTCAAATTAAACGCTTGTGGCTCCCAAATGTATTACGAGAATATTTTGTCGTGTTTTGTCAAACAAAATAACATTCGATTATTCAAGCACACATTATTTGTATCAAAACTTAATTTACCATGAAGTATGCACTGCATAGTTCGATCTATCGACGAGTGTAGATGAAACGCTCATTTGCAAATATGTATTTATTCCGTCATTAATTCAATTTTAATATCTAACACACATTCCGAAATGTGCTCGCTAAATATTTAGATTTCCCATCCAGGAAAGCGTGATTTTATGCATTTCTAAATTTTCGTTTCATGCATTTGAAGAATTGTAGCAAATTTGATTTTGATTCAGTTCATTCATCAGCGTTCAGTGACATTGGAAAAGCTTTAAGTTCCGATTTGCATCGAATTTGTTTCAAAGGGATAAAAACATTTAAAATCTAAATCTTTTTATCGTTTAATGACCATGCAGTATTTGCAGCTGTTTATTTAAGTATTTCAAACCATCGAGTGAAAATGTTGTAGGCATGAGTGTTATTTTGTGGTTGAACCTGACTGCACTGAATATCATACCACCATAAAAAATCATAACATTTAAAATATTTCACTGTGTTGGCCAGGGGTTCAACTCATTTGACTTTTTCATTCGAGTCAATTATTTCCTAGAATTTGTGTCAAGTTCCAAAACGAGTCAAGTCGGCCATTCAATTTGAGTCAAGTCAGTCAGTCAAGGTGAGTCAAGTCAAATCCCTGGTGTCGCCTCAATTGATGAAAGCATTAATAAAAGTTTCGAAGGGAGTCGACCACAGAGCAATATAATATCATTTCCATTAATTGAAATGTCACTGCTTACCACTTTTATGAAATCAAATGATTAAAGCTTTTAACTTTATTAAATGCATATTGAATGTCTTCATATGAAAACATATCTTTAAACATATTGAAACGATTTATTACATGATTTCAAGATGAAATTTGTAAAGAAATAAAAAATGCTGAATTCATATAAATTTTGAGGAACATCAGACAAACCCGATGATTCAGAATTTTTTATTTCGAGTCAAATATCGATTTGAAGATGAAAAAGCAGAACATCTAAAATTAATTCAAAACAGATTTTTCAATTTTCCGGAACATAAAATTTTATATGAAATTTCATTGCATTTGGTTTTTAATCCAAATGATAATAAATTTAAATTCTCAAATTAAGGTTTTATCATAGGAATAAGCTCAGAATCAACTTCAATGCTTCTCTGACAGTAAAAGAAACCTACCAAGAATTCAATTTGACATTAAACGCATGATCAATGGAATTTCTAGTTCCACCTCTCATTTTCATATCACGTAGCAGATTTCCTTATCGTCTTCTTAACTTTCCGATGATTTTCTTTTATCATCATGCGGTCACTGCATAAATGAACATTGTCTGGTTTAAATGAAACAGCAACCTCGGAATGTCAGAAGTCATCAAATTATTCGTAAATTTATTCACTCCTACACACAACAACTCAGTTAAGGGGGGAGAAAAAGAAAAAAGTCGTCAACTTCAATTTCAATAAAGCGGAAGACAAACGGAAAGAGATTTTTCCAAGTGAAATACATACTGGTGGTGTAATCATTGGTAGTATAGCATAGCATGCTTCAAATGACGATGAGAAATCTACATGTAATACTACAGAGCAATAACGATTATCTACGGCTGCAAATGTTCATAATGACTTCTAGTTCCATATATCTTGTGCTTCCATTATTCCTAAAGACGATATTAATAACGCTATTAAAAAATATTTTACAAGAAATGTCGTCGTTTAGGGACGTCGGAACGTAATGTTTAAGGCAGGTATTTGAAGAACAAAAGACGGATAGTATAATTCATTTCAACTCCAAATTTATATCTTCCCTTCGATGTTCGATAAAGAAACGTGAAATCATTCTGCGATTAAGCATATAAAATTGTAGTTAGATTAATTAAATTCAACTTGATTTGACATCTTTCATCACGTAAGAAATGAAATGAAGCGTGCTCTGCGTCGTTTATCTTCCCATTTTTTAAAAGATAAGAAAACTTTTAAATATTTCTAATGAAAGTGACATCAAGTAAAGACTTTGGAATTTTCATTTTAAGATCATCATATCTGATGTTTTGATGTAATTAAAAATAAAATATTTTGATAACGCTTTGGCATCATTAAGAAGGAATTTAAATTTTATTAAAATCATCTTGATTTCTAGAACAATCACAATTAACTGACAGATGTCTCAAGTTTAATTAAAGTAAGACAGAGAATTTAATTTAGCTTAATCACCATTCATCACGAGAGAAGAAGATTAGGAAATTATCAAAAACTTTATATAATTCGTTTAAAGTAAGTGGTCAAGTAACAGATGACAATAACGATAATTTCAGGTTCTTTTCATAGGCTTTATTACTACAATAAGTATCTTCAAAGTAATTAACAATATGCGATTATCTCATAATTTTGTAAACTTTGTAGTATTGGGCTTTCTATAATAATCATAATTGTTTATAATTGCAAGCTCATTACCTTCCATTATGAATTAAAATTCCTGCAGACATCACCTGAATAGCATTTGCTATGTGATGATGCTAGAAATAGTTTGCCGTTGTCGCAAACACATACCTGATAGATTTTATGCATAGCTAAATGATCTATTTTTGGACTCTCACTATAACTAGGAGGTTGAGTAGTTTTTAAATTTGAGAAAATCAAATTCTCAGCATCAAGGCGTATCTGAGAAGAAAAGTTAATAAAAGAAAAATGTTAATTAAGAAATTAAATGCAACTTACACTTCCTGAAATGCTTCTTAGTTTAATGTCATTTAAACTCGATGCTTCAATGCTTCCTGCTCTTGACTGAATAAAAATCTCTTGTGATGCTTGCATCTCAAGTGATCTGGTTGGTGATTCAAGTCTACAATGTGATAATTTATTTATAGAACAATTCCATCGATAGTTAACTGTTGGTTTTGAATTACTTTAGATCCTTTCCAGGTTCAGCTTTTAAAAGAGATGTTTGAATTGAGTCTTTAAACGTCACTCCACCTTCTCCTTCTATTCGTAATGAACCTGCAGCTATTTCAACTAAATCGCGGTCGACGAAAAAAAGAGTATTGCCGTGAGTGTCTGATACACGAAATTTTTTGGTCTGAAGTTCAAATTTGTCATGACCGAGGAACATTTGATTTTCAAGCATTCCATCGGCATCTCTCGTATTGAATGTTATGTTCCGCGACGACTCTGAAAGATTTCAAATAAACTTTCGCTACATTAAATAAAGTTTTAGATTATACCGAATGTTATTGGTTGGCCATGACGTGAACGCACATGAGATGTTCGAAGCTCATCCATTATAATCGCTTGACCTTCTAATTGTACACCGCTATCGATTACTTTCAACTGTCCAATACCATTCTGAACATGAAGAAAAACAAGAAAAAATGGACTTTTGTACATGTTTGTTGATAAAAACGAAAGAGAATCGTTGACATAGGTTGTTAATTAAGTATTTGGATAATATTCAACAATTCCCAAAATAATTCTTTTAAGCCTTAGCACGAATGATTCAACACAATTCAGGATTTATCCCTTCAACCAATGTCACGTTTCATTAAATCTTTTTTTAAAGATATCAACTTTAAATTAATCAATTAATTAAGATGCTTTAACAAAGAAGATTATTTGTTTATATGTACTTACAGAAGATATTTCCATAACTTTGAGTATCCAAAGTGTTAATGCCAAATTTACGGAGATTAAAATCATCAAGAGGAAAATTATAACGTAAAGACATTGTTTTCTCCATCCATAAATAATATTTCCTCCATCTCCTCGTTGTTGAATTGTAATTTGTTGATTACTACGGCTAGAAGGTTGATTATTGTTCGGTTCAACAGCTAATGTACCACGTTTTCCCATAGTTTCCTTTCTCATATTATGTCTTTCCGCCGTCGAGGATGATGTTGATGGGTTCTCACTGAAAATGTTTCGAGTTAATTTCTTAATGTTTCAAAGGTTTTAGAAGAAGAAACAAAAAAAACACAAACAAATCTGTGATGAATAATGATGAGTGTGAGGCTTGTGAGTTTCATAATGAAAGCATGGAAAATTTTACATTTACGATTGCAACGTGCTCCAACACATTTTGTTGATGTCAGTTGAACAAACTTTTTAATGTAAAATGTGTGTTATCATCTGAGAATTCATGATAAAAATGGACTCGTTTAATGTTCTGATTCTGATTCACACCTCGACATTCACGTACATGATTTTCCGTAAACCATAACCATCCAAACATTTAACCAAAACAAAAATAAAAAGAATTATAGATATATAAATAAAACATGTTTTTAAATTAAGGGCGACAATTTTGTGGTTTGTTGGTGAACTTTAAGCAATTTTGTTGTTTGCATATTCCAATAAAAATTAGGCTTTAATATGAAACTTTGTTGAGAAAACTTTCAACATAAAAGGCGTACGTAGTCTGCTTTCAAATATTTATTATGTTATCTTTACGCATTCCCATGTGAGTAATATTTTATTTCAATGTAAACAATTGTCATTAGCACATATCATATGAAATGACAGCAAAACATGACCGTAAGAAAGTTGAAACAATATTCACTATTCAGCATCACTTCATCTGACATAAATATATTTTTACGGTGGCTAAGTTGACAAGCAGATGACTTTTAAATAATCAAACAGGGGATGGGAGCGAAATATCTTCATCTAGGAAAGTTTTTCATAACCGAACACACAAAAGTTTGATTGGGGTACATTTTTAATAACTCAAACAATATTTATTTTATCTTGGGAATCAGTCATTTACTAGTAGGAAAGTTTCGAACATAAAAACACTGCTGAATGGACTTTGTTAAAGCTCAGTGTCAGACCCATCTTCGATATAACATTGATAACTTAAAATCTCACATGAATTGCATATATTTAATTTTATGTTTTATGCTTACCTTAAAAATCTTGACATCTCGTCAGATGTTTTACCATCCTTAATTCTGTCGCTCTAAAAATACATTTTTTTATAACGATCGTGTTTATTTAGGCCAGGAATAATTTTTTAATAACAGAGAAACAATACTTATTGTGGTTTTAATTATAGTTAACTTATATGCACAAGAGACTTAAATATTTCTTATTTATTTCCCACCACTAGATAATTGTTAAACAATATTTCGTCTGAAATATTTTGTGTTTTATGAGCAACTGAATTCACTCTCCGAAAATTATAAAAGAAAAATTTTTCAGTAGTAAAGAAAAGAAAATTTTCTGAAGTCAATTTTTCTTTTTTCTTTAATTATAAATCCATGACGTCACAAAGCGTTTTCTTTTTTTCTTTTTTTAAACCACTCAAGTTGCTTCGTAGCTACTTCACTTTATTATAAACACAAGAGAAAATATTCATAGTTTTCTCCTCGCCACTCACAATCTGATTTTTTATATGTTTATATTGAGAAATGATCAGTTTCGTAGAGAGAAAAGTTTGAGGAAATGTTTCGGGGAAAAGTCGGCTGAAACTCACCTCTTCAAAGCATTCGTAATTGAAATCATTAAAATTTAAGTATGATCTTTGTCCATCAATTTCTGGTTCAGTTATTGAAGATAATTTCCAATTTATTATTCCTTTTGTTCCTGAATATACATAAGCGGGGTTTTCTTTGAAATGTATGGAATCTGGACGTAAGACTTTTCGATAATCAGATTTGTTGTTGTCGTTGTTGTTTATTTCATTAGTTTCCATTAAACACCAGTCTCTGCTTTTGGCTTTGTCAACAAAGTTGGTAAAAGTTTTTTTTTCTTCTTCTCTTAATAAAACATTTTATTCACTTTGTGGTATTAGACAACTGAAAAGCTTCATGCATATTTTCCAAGATTTTTCTGTTTTAGCCTCATCATGAAGTTGCTGATAAATTATTCAAGGCGATGAACATCATTATGAGGGAGAATATATCTTTAATTAATAGATTAAATATTTATAGATGTTTTAAGAAATTTTGTAGAATGTTTTTGGAAATGTAATAAAATAAATGGATTTCTCAGAGAGGACAAATTTTCTTGAAATAACAAATTTGCCAAAGGAAAATGCGCAATAAATGTTAGTGACGAGTAAATTGCCTTTTAAAATTATTTTCTTGGCTTGAATTTTTTTTTTAATTTGTTATCTTTTGATCTGCTTGTCATAGCTTTAGCATCAAAAATAAAATTTTAATGTTGCTTTAATTATTAAAACAATTGTTTACAATTGCGCATAATAAAGCGTTTGTGTGAGAAAGAACATTTGGAGTTAACTCTAATCATTTCACTTTACTTTTTTTCCTGTGATCATTGTTTACACACGAACCTCAAGCAGGTTTGAAATATTAATGAATGTTTGTTTATTACTTTTAACTAAACACAAATCAAGGTTTATCATGATTATTGTTCATTTTATCGCGAGCTAATGAAGGTGTTGAGGGAAAATAAATGTTTCACAATTTATCATTTCCCCAATCAATTAATTTTTATTTCTATTTTATCTACTGTCACTTTTGGAATTAAACACTTCTTAAGTCTTTGATACTTTATTATCATAATTTCAAAATTATTAAATAAAATGTCACTCCGATCGTGTCAACGTTATAATTTGAACTGAAACATTTTGATTGCAGTTTCAGACATTCTTTGACGATGCCGCTTGTTCAGTTAGTGAAAGCAAAATATTAACATTCCAAAAATGGAAAATTTTATTTTCCTTTTCGTCCTTCCAGTTTTCCAACAAATTTTCCCAACATTTTCCGAACTTTTAATGTTTTGTAAATAACATTTTCATAGCAGCACGTGGCATCAGCAATCAATCGTATGCATATTTTCTTGTGATATCATTTTAATGTCTCATCTATCAATTTTCTGATAATAGAAGAAAAATGTGAAAATTTATTAATAAATATTTGAAATATGATTCATAGTCGATTCTTGACTCATGTTTTTATGATAAGAAACATTTAAATTTATTTGCAACTTTTCTGAGTCCTTTCAGGAGAATGTCGAAAGTTTTTATTAACAACTTTACTCCGTCACTACATTTTGACCATTTTTTTCTTTTACCACTCATTCATTCTTTCAGAGCGTTGTCATTAATAACTCGCATAACCATTTCCCATACAAGTTTGAGAAAAATAATCTGCTTATCAGTGTTTTGCAGAAGACGTCGTGAGAAGTCTTTATCTCTTTACTTTTTGATGCAACGCTCTGACTATGATGGCACAATAATATATCTGAATTATACTTTTCTTTTTTCTTTCCACCGAAAAACTTTCATATAAAAAATAATTTCATCTTGTCTGTGGCTCCGAAAAGACGGAAAACGGAAACTTAAAAATATAACACGTACAATTTTCTTGAAAAGGAATTGTGTTAACATCGCAAAAGATGGATGGACTTGTTACGTGTAAATCTATGATATTTCCTTTGAGAAATAAATTTTCTAACAAGAATTCTTTCGTCTAGTTTAATTTTTTCTCTTATTCTGCTAAGAATCGACTAAGAGAATATTTTCTTAGTAACCTTACCAGTAAATATTACTATCGCAATCTTAAAGTCATCAATAAACAACGTGACATGAATGTAAACATCCTTCAAATCAAATATTGTTGATCTGTGACTCCGAATTTTGTTCATTTTATGTTTAGCTATGAAAAGCCAGCGATGGATTGACGTTCAACAGAGCATTCCTAACAAACAAGCATGTGTGGGAAGAGAAATGTTATGAAATCACATAATCAATTTGAAATCCAACATTTATTCCTTCGTGAATTCGTACCTGTGTGATTTTCACATAGAAGGGCTTACAACGATTGAGACAAGATGAAAATAAAATGATTATTTCACTGAATAATGTATTTACGTTTTTTCTCTCACGTGTATGCACTACGAAGAATTTTGATGGATTTATGTTGGTATATCTTACGAATGTGTGGCAAATAAGATTGAACTCTCTTTTTATGTTCTTGAAAAGGGAAAGAATACGATCTGTATTTAATAGAATCAAGTCAATATTTACCAAATACAACAAGTTACATCGACAGAACAATCTCACATTGATTCCCCACAGATTCCGTGTTTATTGTTCAATAAATATTCAATTATTGCCAATATTTACTCTCAACCTTTCGGCTTTCAAATATGAACTGGAATTAGGTAATAAAAGATAGCTTCCGAAGCAAGCAATATCTGCACATTCAAACTAATTATGAACTAGAATAGCTTGAAATTTCACATCCGATACCACCACCTTTCTTATATTCCTTCTTTATTGATTATATTTCTTTGAAGCAGCTTTCATATTTAAGAAAACTTTTATTTGTTTTTCTTTTGAGAAATTAATTTTATGCACAATGAAAATTAAACGGTATTGCTTTAGATTGAAAGAGAAGTTTAATAACATGGAAAAGGTTACCGTCTTTCACTCTCTTCCAATCGACTTTAGTTGATTTTATTGAATTCTTATGAAGAAATTCTTCTTTTTATTATTAGGAAAGCGAAAGGTAGAACGCGTACATGATATGGGTTGAGCGAGAATTTCTTCGGAAATTTTAATTAGTTTTTCAATTAATCTTTTCATTTTATTCTACTTGGGAAATGAAAATATTCATTTCCTTACGAATAAACCATAATTCATAGGTTAGCGTGATCAAACATTATTTATTACTCGATGATGCGTTGCATTTAAAGGTTCAGTTATCCGCCTTACTACAGACTCATATCCATACTTCTTCAACATAGTTAATTAATTGTTGAGGAGTTGGAAGAAAGCAACATCCCAATACCAAGAGGAAAAGCTGCATGAGCTCAAACTTTCTACTGCACAAAAGGAAATGATTTATTTTCATGAATGGTGAGAAAACTTTATCTTAAAAAAAAGGAACTGACACACACTGTAAGAATTTATCGAAGAATCGATAAGCAGTAATCTTTCTTCCATGCTTGAATGAAGTGATTCAAGTTGAAGAAATCATTGAAGAATGAATATTTAAAATATTACACGAAAAATTAAGGTAAAATGAATTCTGATTGTAATTGCAACTGACCAAGTGATGAAAGATTGGCCATCAATAACAAGTTGAAGATTATTAATGTAAACAAACTCTCAAACATTCTGAATTCTCCTTAAGTCTGATTAAAACTTAATCTCTACTGGAATAAAAAGTAAAATAAACTCACGTAGAGAAATCATTTGTTTTCATAGAAACAACTTGAGATGAGTTTTTACTTTTTATCATTAAACGAAGGAAAAAGCGTTGAAATCGAGATAAATGAATTATTTTTATTTTTCAATGTGAAACTTTATTTCATCGTTTGTTTAAGCAGATATTGCATACGAATAGTATTTAAAAAAAGGAAGATAGAAGACGTCACATGTAATTTATATGAATATGTGCAGTTTAAAACGTGTACACCTTGTAGGTCCTTCCATGGATGCACCTAACTCTCAAAACGCTGCAGATAAAGTTGTGAAAGGACAAAATATGTTTTAGCTTTTTCTAAAGTTGTGTATTTGGAGACACTTAAAGAAATTTTCCAAAACGACAGACAGTTAAGTTTAAAGCGTCTGCTTGTGAACGAATGAAGTTCATTATGTCTTGAGAGTTTTCTTTGTAAAAGTTTTTAGTTTCTTTTGCAAATGAACAACTTGAAATTACGATCAAAATTACACGTTTTTCTTACGAAATTTTTTCCAGAAGCATAAACTTTACATACGAAGACAAAAACGTGTTTTCTTATGAAACACAAGCAAACTTTAAGAACCTTTAAAATCCCTGGAACTGCAATCGATTAAAGTAAAAGTCATATAAGTTTGTAAATTATGAGCATTTACCCTCTTCACTTCAATTTGAATTTAGTATTTTAATTTCCTTTTCATTTCCTTTCAATTACTGAACCCCAAATATTTTTCTCCTCAAAATAAAGAGAGAACTTCTTACAACATAAAAGCATACATACATGAAGCAGCATTAATTTACGCCTTTTAGTTACTACACTAGGATTAAACAATGTAATTATAATAATGATTGTAAAATGTGAAATGATTCCACATATCTTGTTAATTTTCCCAAGCACATATACTTAAATAGTTTGGACAGTGTTCGCATCTCTCAAACCCTCATTAAATGTGGCGTGATATTAATGAAGGGTTTCGCTGAGCCATCCATTTCCCCCCACAAAAAAGCTTAACATTTTCCGACCGAAAAATCAATTACTTAATTGACAATCTTCATATAAACAGTAAAGCAACGATAATAGCCGTAAGCTTTAGTATCACATCACAATCGTATGAAACGAAAGAAAAAGACTCGCAATTTCTTAATTTGAGCTAAAGAGAGAAATAATTTCTTTTAACGTTTGTATTGTGCCGAAAAATTCTATTTTTCTTGTCATACATTAGACGAATACGACAATGACAACGCCAACGACGAAGGTATACGATGAAGCAATAATACAAACATCAACATCAATAAATACCACATAATCTCTTTGTGATAAATATAATCTTATTCCAAGTTGAGGCAAGCAAGGAAAAGAAAAGATTATCGTCATTTCTTGTCCCTAAATTCGTTCAATTCCTTACTTGGTGGTTCCATTTAACTAATGAAATCTATTTCCTTAGAAATACTAAGAACTTTAAGCCTTGTCTCAATAAATAAATGCAATATAATGACTAATTTTCTTTTTGTGAAAAATATAAAAGCGACACGCCATTTTTCGATTTTTGCATTATTTTAATTTGATGAGTTTGGATGACAACGAACAGTCTCATCAAGATTTTGGTCAGCGAGTTTGTTTTTATCTGTTATAAAATAGACACAAAAATGCAAACGTACTTGAAACGACATACAATTGTTGTGAAATATAAAAAAAGGAATCAACAATTTAAAAACTACGGATAGCAGGATGATAATAAAATGCATGACGGGATAGCGGCAATTCAGGATAAAAACAAACAACAACCACGCGAATTTGCTTCCATTATTGACGGAGATTGAATTTCATTTGATTTCGAATGAAACTACGAATGGAAAATAAATTTGGCAGATGATAGCAAGTGACAGAATTGATATTTCTCGAGTGTGATTGTTCAGGGTGATTGATTGAATGATTAATATTTGATTTAAAAGTGTTGAATTTATTAAAAATGAGTCACGTAATTTATCGTGAATTGCTTACTTTAATGAGTAAAGGAAATTGAAATCTTCACTTAGATTGATCAGAAACTGTGACGATTTAATTCAATTTCTCTTTGTTCAGTTGATAGTGCAGCAGTCTCACTTTGGATGGTTGAATAGATTATTAAAAATCAATCAAACGTCGTCCTGAGGTAGTTTAGAATCGGCACTTTGACTCGTTTTGGTTTTTCTTCAATTCAAGTCACTCGAGCAAGTCAAGTCAAAAAAAATTAATTTCAAGTCATTGAAAAGCATGCAAGTCAAGTAAAGCCAAGTCAAGTAAAGCCAAGTCAAAGCACTGTTTAAAAGAGAATTTAGCAACGATTTCAGATGTAACTGCTACTAACCTTCCGTTAAAATGCCAAAGCATAGGAATAATCGATATTTAAATATGCAAACTTTCTTTTTTCCTTCAATTCCTTGAATATTTTAAGACTAACAACAAAAGGGAGAAATAAAATTGTTTTGAACTTTTCACAAATGTCTACGAATAGGTTGTAAAGATAAAAAGAATATCAAAAGATTTTTTTCATTTAAAATCGGTTCAAAAGGACATTGAAAAGAGAGAATTTTAATAATATGTGCATATAAAGGTATTCACGTCTCTTTCACGATGCAATTTGCATCAAACAGAATCAAAACGATGCATCATCGAAAGGCAAATGTAAAGCGAGAAAAAATTAACAGAAAGGAAAATATTTTTAATGCCATACAATGTGGTTTGTGTGCTAAGAATAAAAGAGCACGTTTTCCTTCATTTCTTTCGGTTCATTGTTGATCATTCTGAGTTGTTTATTTATGATGAAAACAAACCAAAATATTTAAAAAGAAAATAATTACAGCAAGTATTATTGAGTTAAGAACCACATCGCATCGTTATGAAGTTTGAAAGAATTTTATATTTGTTATTAACATTTCACGCAAATTGCATTTGCTTCCACGTTTAAATTATCAAGGCAAACTTAAAGTTAAAAGTTTTAATTCCTTGCGGCTATAATAAATAATTAGCACGGTGACAACGTAAATAAATATTTAATTAGTGGAGAAGTCTTTAGAAAAGATTTAATGAAGTGCTCGATCTCTGATAACAAAGCTAACAAATGACGTTCCTCTCACAGAAAATGAGAAGCGAAAACCTCTGTTTATCCTTACAAAAGGTGAAAAATTCAACACGACTACAAGATTCAAAGAGCTTATGAACTTTTAGGTGGAAAAATAATTTTCATTTCTTTTATTTTCGTTTGCTTTAACACACAGCATCTGTTTCTCCCTTAATTTAACGAAAGAAAATGACAATAGAATATAATTTAAGCCCAAAGCGTTGAGACTATGATACTCACAAATGACGGTAATGCTCTTTTCATTAAAATTTCTGAAATAAAACCTTTTTCATAATCATTTGTTCGTGGGGTTTAACGTTTGTGAGTCTGAAGTCAGTTAGGCAGAAGATGCAGTCTTTGGGGAATCATCACTGAGATTCTCACTTCTTCATATTATACGAGAAGTTGTTTTAAAATAAGTTTAACAAATGAATTCTCAACGACTCATTTCTTAAACTAGATCAATGAATTCATTTTCGCATGATTTCGAAAACAATTAAGAAAATGTTTTAGAGAATATTTATGAATGACTTTTACCTTAAAACATTCAACAACGACTGAAAGATTAAAAGAAAAATTTATAAACATGAAATCCAGTTTTTCCAATGGAAGTTATGGAAAGTTTCTTTGTTCATTGACATCCTTACGGAATGAATCAGAAACTTATTAATGACTTTATGTTTACTCATAAGCTTTGATTTAAATATTGCTTATTTGATTGATCATTTATCGAAATTCGATTAATTGGTTTATATTGTTAATTATAAGAAAAAATTATTTCATTTTGAATCTGATCATAATAATTTATGCAACATTTATAGTTGAAGTAATCAATAAGAAACCGTTTATGTTAATCGCTACCGCTATTTTAAAATATTTATGTAAATAAGTAAGTAAATGTTTTGTAATGTTCGTACAAAGAAACGACTCAATAATTTTCTTATTGGATCTCACACTCTGAAATTCAAGAAATGTCCGAAAGCAATAAATTTTGAAGTTTTGGTTTTCCCTCAAAACCATTTATCTACCTTTAAAGATTCAATACATTCAAGAACTATTTCTTCGTTAAAGATTTGAATGGTACAATGGTACAACTACATTAACGTTATTCTGTTTTATTTCGTTGTTCGTAAATTAATTCACGTAAGAAATATTTCTCTGCTCTTTTTCATTCAACAGTTTCATTTCTTGTAGATTTGCACAAGACGTCTGACGATAACTTAATTTTTTCTCGTAAATTTAGCTCTTTTATATAGTGAACAGCTCAATATTTCAATGAGCTTCTTGAATTATTTTCTTCTTTTTTATTACAATTTCAATTTAATCAGAGCAGCAAATATTAGTCGTTGGTTGTGTGTATAAGTGCGTGTGGTTAACCGAAAATTACCTGAGAAAACAAAGCAGAATATGAGCATTCTTCTGAAAGTCTTGGCTGCTGACTCACTTCTCTTTCTATTTTGATCAAAACAATTTCAACTCTCAACGAAAAACGTTCGAAAAGTGAAGCACCTTTTTTTATTTTTTATTTCGGTGCGAAGCCATTCAAGTTCACATTGTTTGGCTGGAATTTATTTTTGTTTAAAGTAAGAATCACGTAGTGAATCCAATAGGATTCTTTCTATCGAAATTTAGGAGTCAACTACATGTCAAAGGAGAACAATTAATTAGTTTTAAAAGTGAAAGAAGTTGAATTAAAATGTTATCTTCATATTCATTCATGACAAAGTTCCTATTTGTGTTTTCACTATCACAATTGTATCACAAAGGTGAGTTAATTAATCGAAAGTCGATTAAAAGTGAATTTAAATTATAATTTATAAATTCAAATGCGTAGATAAATAAAAATTATTGTGAATTACTAAAAATCATTCATTCGTGAATATCATCGAAGAATGAACATTCAAGAAGAACAAAAATTCTTTTTCTTTTCTACTTTACCGGCAAGTTTAAAAACATTGAAGAAATATCAGATACATATTTACTTTCGTGAGTAAATAACTGAGAATGTATCATTTCCGGTGTGGAAAAATTCCAAACAATACAAATTATACCGAAAAATAAAAGTTCATATGAAGAAGAGAAACAAAATAATAGAAAATATCTTGGAAAATAAAATAATATTTAATTTGTGGAATTTTTTTGTCTATTCTTTACACTTACAGTTTCTTCGAATTGTCTTTTTCCACCTGAGTTCGAGGGACGATACATAATACAAAACGCGTTAGTCAACAGTGATGTTATTCAATACAGCACCATCAACATTACCGCTGATTATATTTACCCTTATGGGCAGTGCTTCTCTAGAAACGAGAGCAATGTTATTGTAATGCTTGGGTGAATAGAAACTTTTTATTTAAAGCAATTTAAAGGAAATATTCATAAGAATGTTTCTTCTTTAAACAGCTCGGAAGAAAGTGCGTGCTATCGATGCTTCAGTCTTCGAATGGTGTCTAGAAATGTCATCCTTTTAATTCATAATGAGATTGACATTAATTCCAAATGTTCATCATCAGCTGACATTGTGAAATGTCCCGAAGAAGTTAAATTGAATGACGAACAACATTACACACAAGATTTTCATTCCATCATTCTATACAGTAAGTATGACGAGAATGAAGCACAAGTTTAACTTTGTTGACCAATTATCGTCTCTTCTTTGTGTTACAAAAACAAAAAACCAAAAGGAACATCAGAACGAGATGGGCCGCGTCGGAATGAGTTTTGTCCGTTCGATTTTTTTGATGGCGACATAAAATTTGATTATTATTTGAACGAGAAGAAACTTTGTAACGGATTACAGTCAACATTATCGCAATGTCCGTCTGGATCATCATTAAACATTCGTTTTAAAGGTTGCGAAGATCATTCATTGAATATAGCGAATTATGAGTGCATTGGACATTGGAATGCATTAAATAAACATTATTTGGCGTTTATAGACTGGATAAATGGAACTGAACCGAGATATAAATGCAGTGTAAGAAAATTTTCCCATAAACAGCAACATTTATGAATATTTTTATTACTTGTAGACATATTACTATGAGAACGATGAGAAAACGAAGATCACATTAACAATAAACAATGATTGCAGTTCACTTTCAACTAGAACTGAACTTTCTCGGAATAACAACAACCAACAAATATTTAAAATTGAAATGAAAAAAGAAAATCACAAATTTCTTTCGGAAACTGATTTTCCTGTTTGGCTTCATGGACAGTGGCAGTTCTTGAATGTGTTAAAGAATGAACTCGTCTTTCGAGACCAAAGTTCATTTAAATCTTACAGCATGACACTTATGAATCAATTGAGCAAGGAAAAGTTCATCGTTTTGAGTCGGTCGCAATGCGGAGAAGAAAGCTTTAAATGTTTATGGATCAGAAAGTTGGATGAAAATATTTTGGAGTTTCAAGTAAGCTCTGAATCTTCGAAGAAACTCACAAGTGACATTCTTTGTAATGACGAATTCTTCGATAATTCCCGATGGATAACGCAATCAAGTATGTAACATTTCTGAAGGATTTACGAGTCAAATTCTAAATTTAAATTCTATTTCCATGTTACTTAAACATCGATAAAAATATTTAAATTCTTCACTTTTAGGGACGGGAAAAGATGTCGTGAAGACGTCATGTCCAATTGAAGGAGAATATTTCGGACAACTCCCCGATGCTTTATCGTTTTGTGCAGTTATGAAGTCGAATTGCAACTCACCCGATATTATGTACTTCCAAATTGGCATCTGTGACACTGATGAGATCTTTGAGAAGCGTGTTTATCAATGTTTAGGTCAATGGACAACTCAATCGCATGATAAGAAAAACTCGACGGTTTACACTTTAACTAAGCGAATTGATGAAGTTGTGAACACGTATGAATGTTTTGTCGGAATAATGGCTGGAGAAAAACAATTTATCATCCGAGAAGCAGGAGAAAATTGCTACAAGATGTTAGATCCGTACGATTATGGAATGCTAATGAATCAAACAGGTGAATTAAATTTAAAATTTAAAAGTTTTTGTTTCTTCATTTCCATTTTCTCGTGTTGCAATTTAGCTCCGTGTCAGTATGAGAATCAGCCTGAAGATAGAATAATTGTTAAACCAACACAAGATGATTCTTCAATCACTTACGAAACAGTTTATGATGGTAATAACAACAACATAGATTTCAACACCGTTGCGACAACGAAAAAAACAGAAAGTAAGTGGAAAACATAATCATCGTTATTAACTGTAATCTATAAATTATGGTTTTTCCAGTTACCACTCGGAAGCATAAAAACAATCACGATGATGCGAACAGCATAGAAAATGACATGGATTATCAACCAACACACATAACATCGTCTGCAGCTGAGAGAATGATTCATTCTTGTGGATTGCTTTTAATGATTTGGAATTTACAGAACTCAATAATTGTCAGAAATATTTTATGAGCTCGTCATAAAGATGACAATATAAAATTATTAACGTTTAATAATGCTCTTAATGAATTAAGATCGTTTGGAAGGATATAAGCTGTGAACAAACATTATTTTTTACTGTTTCAAAGACTTTTTAATAATCAATTCTGACAACAACAAAAATACCAAATTAAATGTCAAACCAAATGATGAATAAGAATTTACAATTTGGAAATAAAGATAGAAAGAAAAATTCATTTGAAAATGGTTTTAGTCAATCTAAGATGAATATTTATGACTCATCGACACCTTCTCGTACATCATTTCATCAAATGTAAAAAAAACGGTTCGGAAATGAAGATATGTGACTTGCGAAACGGATATTTGTTGATTTCCTGAATTTTTATGAGCAATTTATTTCTGTTTCTCGTTGATACTACATAAACGTCAAACATAGAGAAAAATTTATCGTCAATTTTGATTTATGAATACCATTTCTATTGGGAACACGACATCACATTTAAAACCTTTTAAAAATGTATGCAAAAATCATAAAAAGTAATGATTTGTGTTTTTAATATTTAATTGCTTTTGGTAAAGTGTCACTTTGGTTCGAACATTGTAATATTTCGTGCTTCACCACGGATAGTTACTTATGATTATAAGATGAAGATTTAATATTCATAGAACATCAATATTAAACCATTGTTTATCCTTTTTCATCCTAGTTTTTCAGTTTTTCTTGGCTTCTAAACAAAACTTTCTCTCCTCAAAATGAAGCAATCAGAATCTCACTCCCTTGAAAGTTTTATGGGTTTCAAGCATCCTGAAATATTTATTTTCATCATGAGCCAAATGCTACAATGTTACAAAACGTTTTGACAGACTTTTATCAAAAAGAATAATGTCACGTTCGAAGAAGAAACGTCTGCAAAGTATTAGTTTCTTTTTTCCACAGAAATATAAGATTAATTCTCCAAAAAAGCTGTTAGTAAACCTTATAGGAATAGGATACGATTAGAAATAGAGTTGTTTAAGTTTTTCAGCAGATTAAAATTTTCATTTCATTCTTACATTTCTATACCATTGAATTCTACAGAATTTGCATTCAAAGCACATATTAATTTAAATGCAAATACTTTTAATTTTCCACAAAATTTTTCGGACCTTTGTTTAAAATTTTGGACAATTTTTTATGTTGTTCATTCGAAGATATTCATGAAATTATTTCAGGAGATTAAAACAGATTTTAACTATTTTAATCAGATTTTGTAGAAATATGAAACGTGCTGTTTTGAAATGATTTCATTTATTTTAATCTAAGAGATGTGTTCGTAGATTATTTATCTGTTTTGTTAAGCGAAACTTTCATTTGAATGTTTGAACATCATTTAGAATCATAAATTTATTGATAAAATATGATTAGATTTAATAATCATTCATTCAGCTTGTTCTAATAGTTAATTATGTGTAACAACCTGTTGACTACTTTCTCATTTAAAATTAAATGATAATTTAAATTCAGAAACGATCACTTTGCTAGATATCTCCATTTTCCATAGGGAAAAGTGTCAGTCAAAACATTTTGCCATGCATACATTTTGAAGTGCTTGCAATGTACTTTCGTTGTCATAATAATCGGCTTCGCGACTAAAACAAGTCATAAATAAAGCAATAATTCTCTTTCATACCCACTCTTTACACTCTATTGCTGTCAAAATAATAAAACACAATTAACCACAAAGGCTTTATTTTTCACAAATCATAAATTTTTCATTCATAATCACATGAATACGAGGAGAAGAGTGGAAAGAACGAACGTCTAGTGTGAAAAGTGGAACTATGTATGCATTGTACTTCAACATTTTTATGGATTTTGGTTTCACGAATTTTCATTAAGAATATTTTCATTTCTCCATCATTCTTATAGAATGCTTCAGACGAAAGTCGTTGAAAATTGCCAGTTATTTATTTGACGTTTATTTATAACCAACCCCATAAATCAGCTCCTTTTATTTCCACTAAATCCTTTTTCTATGAGAACACTAAACAATGGAAAGGCGCTTTTTTTATTGTATGGGAAAATAATTTGATAATAAAAAACGGCAACGAACAAATGGAGGTAGATTGCTCTGACTTCCTTCTAAACGCTTACTTGTCTACATTCAATTTCATCAGAAATGTTAAGAAAGTAATTACAAATAATGTTGAAACATAAATAAATTTAGGAAACATAAATTAAACAATTTGTTCTTCAACCCTCAACGTTTTTTTTTTTACTTTTCTTTTCATTTTATTTGTTGAAAATACGGTAATTGTACTAATGACATTATTATACAATTTTAATAAGAATTAAATTATCTAACATCTCTCCTGACATACCTGTTCGTTTTCACTCTTTTCACTCTCATCCGTTTGTCCAATGTGCTTGTAAATAAAATCAGCTCAACTATTTTTCAACTACCTGCAATTCATGTATGTTCTCATAAAAATGCAATTATTCAAATGTGTCTTCACCCTTCTCGAAGTGCAGGTTCAAACTTCTATCAGTATTTCCATTGTTTCCTTTCTCCTCATGCCAGATATCCTATGTCAACCTGAGCCTCTTTTTCCTGTTTGAAATTCTTACAATCGAATTAGTTTCGGAGTTTTTGCTTGCAATTCTCAGGTTAAAAAAATAAGATTTATGCATTCATGTGAAAAAGGATAGAAAACTGATTTCAGAACTTTCTAAGATAAGGCTAAGTGTTTCTAAAGAAAATAAATGTGGATTGTTGTTATCTTCTTCTAAAGACTTACCACACGCAACATAGGAAAAAAAGAAAACATGTTTAGATCATAAGTAAAAAGAAATAAGGATGACTTGGAAGTTGGGGGAGGAGATGTTTAAAAAGTGTATAAATATGACCTCAAAACTTTTTGCACAATCATTTCGTCATTCTTTTTTAAACGAAGTGCAAGTGAAGTTCATAAAATAAATACAAAACAAGTGGGCGGATAGTTATTAAAAAAATAAATAAATTAAAATTGCGCAAGAGGGTGGAAATATTGATTGGCAAATATGCATAAAATAATATCAGTGCTTACACTTTTTGGATTTATTATTTCGACCATAAAAGCAGATGCTACCCAGCAACAGCCATCATCAAGTCAAACTTCTCAAGTTGCGAGTGACAATCCGCAGACTTCGTTCGTATCATCTGCTTCAAACTACCCGAACACTGACACTATTTCGGTTTGTGAAATCTATTATGTTGTCACTTTATGGATTATTTAATTAAAAATAACAATTACAGCTTTTGAATAACCAAGCTTACGATCCAACGCTGTATGCAAGCTTCGTTCCACAGGATGCTGTTCAACAATACGTCAGTCAATATGGACCTGGCTTTGCTGGTCAAGCTTTGGAAGGATTTTTAATTCCCACAATGAAACAGACAGAAATTGAACCAGTTGAACCATCAAGTTTTGATTTTCTTCGATCATTATTACCAGCTCCACGACTCTTTATTGGTGCTTTGACAAGACTTTTCTCCTTTGCAGTGTCGGCTTTCGGAGTTATTTTCTTTGGTGGCGCAATTACATCATTCTTATGTGCTTTCACACCACTTTGTTCAATCACTTTCTTCGCTTCTCCATTGGCATTATTACGGAAGGAATCTAAGGAAATTGTCGATAAAATTGGATCAGAAATCACTGCAGAACGTATTAAGCGTGCTGCTGATTTATTCAAACTAGCCATGGATAAATATCAGAGCATGCAACACTCTTAAAAATTTTATTTTATATCAAATCAAACACTTTTAATTTCCTCCATTTTTTTAGTAAAATGTATCGACTCTCAAATTCTTAAATTAAAATTTAATAAAATGAGAAAAAGATCCGAACTACCTAATTCACTGTTTCAACTATTTGCCACTAGATGGACCTACTGTTAAAACATCAGAGACATCTACATACAAGCACTTTTACCGTTTAGTTTTAAAATTTCAAATGATTTGTTTTTTAAAGAATTTTGGATACTTTTTCAAGAGAAAACTGGTGTTTAAAAATATCACATATTGAAATGTTCTTTAAATTTAATATTTCCATTTGATCTTCAATTTTACTTTTTGTTTGTTCAATGTTAAATAAAAAATTATTCATAATTTTATGCTTTTTCTCGATTAATTTAGTTTCAAGATTTTATTCTAAATCACTTTTCACACATGAATTATATGTTGGTAATAGAAATGCATTCCATTCTGATATGCTCAGCTATTCTTCTTGCTTTTATGAAGATAATGGAAACAACAATAATTGCATCCTTACATTTTTTGTCTGATAATAAATTTTACTTACACATAAAACAGACGAGGAAATGTAATAAATAACACGGAAAAGATTGTTGTTTAAAGGAATGACGATAAAAACGTCGTCGCTGCACTGATAAAGAAAAGCTTATCAGTTGAATTAAAAAATCATTAAAAGATTAAAAATTTCTGATATTTTTTCGCATATTATTTTTGTTACTCAAAGAGAATTAAATTAAACAAAGTCTGACCGTTGCTCAAGGTAGTCACTCGCTCATACTAAAGCATTTTACTCACAGTGATTTGCAGTATGAATAACGCAACAGGGTCGTCGAAGAATATTGAAGCACCTGAAAATTCAACAGCAAATGAGGTTTGAAAGAAAAAAATTTCCTTTTCTCTTGAGGAGTTAATAAAAGTCAATGAAATCAACAGGTGAAACGAGATGATAGTGAAAGTATTAAAAATGAAAATGCATCCCCCAATTTAGAAGTAAATGAATCATTCAGATCTAATAAAGAAGTAAGGATGGAATTGTTTTATTCTCTTTGTTTACAAATGTTTATGTGAAGTGTTGTAAATAAAAAAAAGCTAAGCAACTAAGCAATTAATATGGAGAATTCACGACATGATAAATGTGAAGTTACACTGATTTTAACACATTCTTATCAGTAATGAGCGAAATTTCAAAGTATCAAAAATCCCTTTATGACATTAAAAATATGAACAATTACGACGATTTAAAAATTTGATTAATGGCTGAAATACAGACGTAAATATCAGGAAAAAATTATGAATCAGATTCAAGAAAACTGTCCGAGTCTTAGTTATAAATTTTGCTATTCGCTCAGTGCACGTCGAGTTACGCTCCCAAATTGTAGCAAAAAAAGTGAAAATGGTGATAAGTAGAAAGTCCTCGAACATTTCATTACAGTCACTTGAATTTGATTTAGATGTAAGTAAAGTCATTAAGATGAAGTATAAAATGGTGAATGTGAAAAATAATCTCATGAAGAAGGCTGACGTCAAGTCTTGTGATTGAAATTAAGTTAAAGACTAAGGAGGAAGAGATTATCTCTTATCAAGTGATTACCAAGTACAATCTTAAGGTTTAGTGAAATCAAAGCAAAAAAGTGAAAAAAAAAAATCAAACAAAAGAAGAAAAAAACATAATTGATTAAAGATTTTGATTTAAATCGCAAAATAATGAAGTGCATGCGTCGAAAATATTTAATAACAGATAATTATTATTTAATCGATAAATTTTTAAACAAACAATTTTCCTAAAGAAGATAATTTTATTTTCATCGGAAAAATTATCAACTTTACCCTTTTCTTTCCTCTACCATCGTACAAACAACATAAAAAAAAGTAAAAAAGTAACACATTTACATAGAATATCAATTTTGTACGTAGATATATTTAAGCACACATTCAGCGACTCATTGAAGTAGAAAAATGTTCAAAAGAACGTAAATTAGTGATCGCTCACATGGAGTTAAAAAAGTGTATTCAGAATTAGCGACACAAGATATCAATGCTTCGAATCATGTGCACATATCTTTGATGATTATCATGTATAGTTTCCGGTAGATTTAGTTTGTGAACTAAAATTCATGAATGGGTTTACATTCATTATCGTTGAATTTGCTTTGATGTCGAATTTATTATACAATTAAAATTGTTAAAAATTACAGATCCCTAATGGAACTGGGCCCAAAATGACACTTCAGTTGGTTTTACCAAACTCATCGGAAGACCCATACGGACTCGAAAGTAAAATTCTTTAAATCATTTTTATTGAAAAATTCGTAATTTTCTTTCATCTTCCTGACAAAGATGGAGTTCATCGAAGATCGCGACCAGTTTCAAGAACTGGAAGTGTTTTGGAATCTAAATCACCTGGTTTTATCAACACACGACTTGTTAATTATAACCGAGGAGTTTCCTACCAACCTTCAGTGGCTACTTCAAAGTTTCAATCTGAACCAGAAAATATTCCACCGCCATCATCACAAGAAGAAAAATCCAAAATGACAAAGTAAAAATATTGAAATCAATTTTAATTATAAATTATTCAAATTAATTTCTTTATGAAACCAGACGATACTTTGCGACAATCACAGCAGTCAGTTACGCAATCTTCCTTGTGATTTTCGGCACGATAGTTTTCGTAGGAAATGCAGTTGCAGAATCAACATTGAACTTTTCAGTTCCAATTCCTGAAGTAATTAAATCTTCATCGAATTTTCTTTTGAAATCCTTTAATTTAAAAATTTCATTCACAGATATTTTCTATCTTCATGCTAACTGTTGGGTTTTGTTATTTCATCTTCCTATACATCGATATACGACTTCACATCAAAAAAGCTAAACATGCACTTAAAGTGAAGGAAAATCGAATTAAAATGTTCGAAGAACAATTAGCAAGAACAGAAGTGAGTAGCCACAAAGTGTTGAGTTTAGTTTATAATGTCATTAACAATCTTTAATCAAACAGGCACATCTACAAAATTCCCTAGAATTTTCACAAACTAACATTAACAATAATAACAACAACATTCACTTACAAATTCCGCTGCCCGATTTATCTGCAAGTAACATTCAACCAATTTCACATCGTTATTGTTTCGTTACGGGACGTCACGGAGAGGTTCTTTATCTGAAAATGGGAGCAGCATGGTTCTGTTTTGGATTATTAATACATTCAGCTTTAACACTTTCATATCAAATCATTTATTTCACTCAAGATGATGCATGTCGTAATATCCCACAACTAATTGTTGAAATTATGTTCCCGTTGTACTCCTTGTTCATTTTATTCTTCATCTTTAAATATTGTAATATCATCATAAATAGTTATAGAGGTCTTGCTCGTATCATGTTTATGCATGCAATCGGAACGTCACTGGCATTTTGGATGTTCACCATTGTTAGGGAAACGCAGGATGCAATTAACTTGAAGAGAATTGCCGACGCTGAAAGTAAAGAAATTATCTTTCAACATAATTTTAACAAAATGTATTTAAACTCTTCTAATTATGAAATAGAAGCAACGATGGGATTCGATCCAATGACGTCAGAGAGAATAACAAAAATTACAAATATGAATGCAGTTGAATGTCCCGGACCTGAAGATTTAAACACAATTTATCGAAACTTTGCACCATACTTGTATCCGTTCATTATTGAATTTTGCATTTTAATCGTCGGAATATTTTATATGATATGGGCAAACATCAATCATTGTCCTAAAAAGCTTTCAGCAAGTGGCCACGATCATGGTGGACATGGAAGTGATTCACATAATCATAATAATGCAGCTGACTCAAATCAGTTCACAAGTTTAGGTTCAATACCAGAAGAAGGCGATGGAACAGCAAATGGTGGGGTGATTCACCGGCCACCACCAAGTGAAACGTCAGACCATTGTCGAAATTTGATGGAGCACGACAATCAATACAAAACCAATGTTGTCGTTTATGCCGATTGTCATGCTGCAAGTCGTGGATTGTTTGGTAAAAAATTTGTTATTTATTTGAACATTCGCACATTAACATCTTTCATCGTATTTTTATTATTAAACAGGCGGAATGATTCTTATGATAATGACGATAGTTTTCATTATTCTCCTTCATATTGCAGCTAATGAACCGTAAGTTCCTTTTGACTAATTTAAGCAGCATGTGCCGGTTGAGAAAATTCAACTTCATTTCATTCTTTTTCTTCCATATATAGAGACTACATTGAAACGGGCGTTATAGTAGATCGAGTATTTGAATTGACTGTTCTTCTTATCCTGATTGTCGCAGTTATTGTAGCATATTTCCAAACATCAAAGCTCGACATCAATCTTCACCCGATAAGGTTTGACATTGATTTTCCTTTTGAATGTTCTTTTAATTGATGTATTCAATCATAATTGTTTTTTTTAACAGTAAACTTGATGACGTCCTTCTGTTTATAGCCATTCCAGCATTTTTCTCTGAAACTATTTTTAGTTTGGTTGCTGCGATAAACTTTGGAAGAATTTTAAATATTTCCATTATAATAGCTCAAGTAAGTCACTCGAATTTATAACATTTTGAAATCAACAATTGAATTCCTTTTTAATTGTCAACAGATTGTTCAAGTTCTTATTCAAACTCCATGGATCATTGATGCATTAAGACGTTGTTCAAATACAATTGAGCTTAGAAAAAAGAAACCCGGTCGTGAGCTTGTCACCTTCATGACAATTGCTAATGTTTCACTTTGGATTTATTACACATTTTCTGTGAGAAATACAGACATTGATGATGAACGGTACGAGTTTTTCGGCTACGTTCTCTGGAGTATTCTTAATCACGTTTCTCTACCTTTAATTATGTTTTACCGTTTCCATGCTTCTGTTTGTCTTGTCGATATATGGAAACATTCATATGAGCCTGGCGAGTTCGCTCATTAATTAAATTTAAATGCATAAACATATAATTTAAAATTTAATAAAGTTTAAAAACAATTTTGTGTAGGCTAAGTTCAAACTTTTGTTCGTATAATAAATAGAAAAGACGACTAACAAAATGATTTTCTATCATGTTCATTGTTCTTCATTTAAAAGTGTTCATGCATATATTGCAAAAAACCGTTTGAGCATAAAGGAAACTCCTTTTCCGTGTCAGTGTTGATAGCGCTCCATCAACGATATTGCAGCTACGATGATGATTAGTTTCCAATATTTTGACTCCCTTTTTCAAATGAAAATCTTTGAAGCCAGCTCGGCTTGCAGACTTCATAAAGACCTTCAATTAAAAATTATCACAATATCAATTAAGTTTTTAATCCTCTCTTTATTTTTATTATTAATTTCTGATCGTTCTATCAGTGACGCGCAAATTGATTGCTTTAAAGACTTTATTTGCTGTTATTATAAATATAATGGAGACAGAACAATTCATTGTTTATCACTCATCGAGCTAACTAACACCTTCATTGGCCAGCTATGACATAAATTCAATTAAAAGCCTTTTGTCAATTTTAATTGAAATCGATGGAAGTATTGAATTTGGAAAAGAAATAAAATACTTTTTGACTCTTTGTGGAAATTGAAGTTCGCTTGCACGTATGTAAATGATTTTAAATCGCCAATGAACATACTTAAAGTAGATGATGCCATTGAAGATATTTTGCAAGAGAACTCGCGTTGTTTGTAAATTGATAGCTTTTTATTCAACGCATAAATGTGCATCCTTATTTTACCATCAATTTCCTCAATTTGCCCCTTCTTCATTTAATTATTGACATCAAACAGTAAAACATCATCATTGAACTTTGAACATTTTAATGTTATTAAATTGTGGAAAATGAAAACGTTTCTCTTGTGATGGTTTGACTATGATATGGGAATGTTTGCAATTAACGTTTGATTAAATTGTTTTGGAAATTTCCTTTTTTCTAATAACTTTGTTATAAATCTTTGATTGATGTTAAACGTTAATTGCGAATGTTCCCCGTTGATTGTTCAACAGTTGATGCAATTGTACATAAAATAAATTTAGCTAAGCAGGAAGCGAAAGGAAGTGATGAAACAATGTCATTGATGAAAGAATCAGCTAACAAAAATCTTCTCAAGCCAAATGGAGCAATAAAACTCAAATCAATTTAAAAAATATTTTATCTCTGAATATATTCAAGAAAAATAAATTTTTCTACTTTCCCTTTGCAAACAAATATGTCTCATTGATTTTCCTTAATGAAATATTCTTATTAACTCAAGCGCACATCTTTTAAAATACAAAATAAACTTCGGAATTGATTTCATTATTTTCTAGCGAAAAACATATCTACATCAAATTTTAAACTTTATAAAAAATAAAGTAAAATGAGTTTGAAAAGTTATTTCTCTGTTTATTGAAAAATCAAATTGATGAATACAAACAATGATGGGTTGGGTACAGATCACCGAACAACAGTCGCTTACACATTAAATGCCTTTTTTATAATGAATTGAAATCAGTTCTTACTGAACTGTAACATTGAACACGCATACCACTTAAATATCCGATTCATTTATTTTATATTTCCATGCAATGAATCAGTTACACATTTTCACTGAAGAAGCGACGATCTGAAATTTTATCTACTGAAAATGACTAAAAACGAGAAGGAGAAAAGTTATTGAAAATTGGTGACAAAGTTGAAATAAGTCATTTTCTCCAAAGTGCTTTTATGTGATGTAAAAGGGTCATTGAAAGAGGTCAGATTTTGTTTTAACAACAGTAAATCAATTTATTGTCATTTTTCATTAAACTTTGCTTTTGCTTTCTTTTTTTCTCTGGTGTTTGGAAAGATCTTCTTGTAAATATTTATAAAACAATAAAACTTATTTAAAACTTTGACTATCATTAATTGAGAATCTATGATTCTTGTCTCATACGAATCTTTCGTTTTGATCAAAGTTTAAGCAACAAGTTTATACATCTAGAATTGAATAGATGTTTTTTTTTTTATTATTTCAACGTTACACTCTAATAAACTTTTCATTCTACTTAGTAAAAAAAATTAACGCGAGGAATAATTATATTGTATAAAGTACTGAAAAAGAGGTCAACACAGTCGTGTGCAGATATTTTAAAAAAATAGTTACAACATCATCTATGTTTCCTACATAGAGTTAAGGATGGAATCATCACAACATAATTATTAATTCTGATGCTGGAGTCTATTTATATTCATTTATTTCATTCGCGAAGGAAACTTTTGTGTCAATACAAAAGTCTACACGTCAAATCGATTTGAAAAGGTATGACGGGAAAATTATGTATTAGACGACACCGGGATTTTTTGACAGTGAACGCATGCTCACTACTACATTGTAGTAAGTTATGTTGCTTGAATCTTCAAGAGTGTGTGTGAAAGATGCTCCTGTTCTCCCTACATTTTCTGGATTGCACTGCTGATGAGAGTATCCATACAGTTTAAAAGGACGAAATTATGGCTGTGTGAGTGGTGCTGGTTTATTTTTGATATCACTATCTGTGTTTGCGTGCATCCCTTAAAAATGATACCAAAAGAATTGCTCGAGAAAATCGTGAGCATCAGTTTGCAAGTTGGAGTGACACACTTTAGACATAATCTGTGAATAGTCAGCATCGACAGAAGATTTATTTTAATTTTAAAATTTCATATAACTATTTCAAGGAAAGTTTCTATGGTAAGATATAAAATTTTATATCATTTTAAACAGAATTTAAATTAAAATTAACTTTAGAAACTTTTCACAACAAGTGGTAAATATAAATAATTTAAAATAACTGATTGAAAGTTGTCTACACGACTTCGTCGTCGTACTTAATAAACCTTTTTAAAATTCAATTATTCTGTGAATAATCAAATGAATGACAAAGTCATATGAGATTTAAAATTTCTTAGTTAGAGTGATAGAACTTGTTAGAATTATTTATTTCCTCAAACTTTATTGAGTTATCAAATTTCGAAAAATTTATCTTTCATCGACTTCGATGATAAAGTTTTCCCTTAGCATAAACACTTCAATTTTTCTTGAAACAGTTTAAGGGAAAAATCTTGGGGTGAAATGTTTACTTTTATGAATAATTTCTCGATTTTCTTTTACACATTTTCTTTAATTTTCATAGCCTTTTTAACATTTAAATCTAATTCGAATCGTCTCAAAGGATGATTGAATGTAAGAGTTATTGAAAATTAGGATGACTTTAAGGGGATTCACAGATTTCTTTTTTATTTCATTCAATTCATGTATGAATATAATAAAAGATAATTTTTTGTCGTTCTCTCTTCTCTTACCTACTTTCATCACGTAAGAAGAAATTTCCTTCAAATTTTATATAGGAAAGAGATTAGATTATGAAAATAATCTGATTTATAATGAAATGGGACGAAGCTCATTTTTAAGAGTAATAAGAAGTCAGCAGCGTTTAAATTTCTCACTTGAGAACGCTATTTGTGAAGCTTTTTTTCTGTACGACAGGAACAGGGAAATCTAGCCTGTGAATGACAACAAAAAGCCAAAAAGAACATTGTTGGATCGGGTTTCGCGGTTAGCGTACTTTTTAACAATAGTTAAGTTCGTTGTCGACGAAACCTGCATACAATTACTGTTAAATCGTCTCTGCAAATAAGTTGGAAAGTGAAAGGAATTATTTTAAGGAAACTTGTAAACATTTTCCTGATTTTATTTGATTGTCAATTAAAAGTTATCCTCTCAGAAAAAATATGTAAAATGTTTATTTGTGTTCATATGTCATTTTTATAAAGTTTCTTCAATACCCTCGGAAAAAAATCAAAAAAATCTGCAACTTTATTACCATTGAATAGCAATGAGACCTGTTAATGACAAACGATACCTGCACAACATAACTTTCATCATGCTCTGTTCTGAAAATCTATTTTAAAGCGGAAATTTCCATTACCGTATTTGAATCCACGTCAATCGAGAGTTTCATCCTATTCATCGTAAAGAGTAAATATAAAATTTAGTTTTTGAACTGAAGGTAGGTGAGACATTAAAATTCATTCCCATTCATCCCTAGGTAAGCTGAGAAAATTAATTTTTAATACTTTTGAATCTTTATTACATATTGAATACAATGTAGATTTAGATTTTTTATAAAATTAATTTAAAAAGCATTTTGTGAATGATTTCATTCTCAAAATAGTTACCCGAGGGAATAATTTTTAAATATTCACAAATTGTTTCACCTTTTAAGTTCTGCATTAGATTTCGTTTTAATTAATTTGTTTGTATGTCAGCTTTTTGCCTTGACTTACGAAGCTCAATTGCACAAATGCTAAACGAGTTTACTTTGGCGTTTATCATAAATTTGATGTATCTTAATGTAACTGGTTTTTATTTCTAATTATTCCGATAAGATTTAGCAAACTAAGCCGTGATCAATTATTTACTTTACTTTGTTATTAATTGTCGTTTAATCAATAATTAGAAGTCACTTAAAAGTAAATTACTTATAACTGGAATAATCTCTTACAGTCGATAAAATACAAATATGCTTACATATGCTCAAAAAGTGGCAAATATCGATTCAATCAAAGGATAAATTCGAAATCCTAATTGATCGATTGTTTCATGTATCGCGTTATTGAATCTCAAAAGATAAAAATGTATCCATGTCTGTAGGCAATACAAGACTATTTGATTTGCTACTTCAATTGTAAAATTATTGTTTGAATAAGCAGAAAGTCATATCTGAAAAAATGGAGAATTATGTAAATAAAATGAATCATTCAGTTGAACTTATCTTTAAATTAAAAGAATAAATTTATTTAACTAGAATGAAAACTTTCTCTTATCAAAAGCTTTCAGATTTTCTTGTTTTCTAATAAAACTGTAATAAACAAATCAAATTTTTATGTTTTAAATTTACTTTATTTCCATTTTTATTTTACAGATCGAAAACTAAAAATGCGAAAACTTAAATTCGTACTATAAAAGACTCACGTCTAAGTCCTTTGAACTTGCATCAATGAGAACAAAGTTTTCAAATTTTACTATAAACTCCTGGCAGCTATTTATATTAATTAGATATCAACATTTAATTCTTACATAGATTGTATTTCTATTTACATTATCTAAGATGAAAATTAATCAGTTTGTTTTGAAATTTTATTTTTTAAATGATTTAGACAGTCAGAATTTTATTTTTCGCCATTTACATGTCTCAATTAAAAACATTTGTAAGTAAAATTCCTTTTGTTGGAACTAAAGAATGTTTATTGTTGCCAACAAAAGACGACGAAGATGATGAAGAAACATCGTAAGCAGATTTCTCCTTTTCTTTCCCGATATTTTCAGGAATGTTCAAAATTTTCATTTCATTACCAAACATTAATTTAACTCTTTTAGTGTTTGTAAAGTTAAGATTTTTCGGCTTTTCTGTACCACCACGAATATCAAGTTTATCCAATTTTACATTATCTGCATTAACTGATTCGTAGTATTTTTTCTCTCGCTTGTATTTACTTTTCTTATGCTTACGTTTCTTCTTATGCTTAGGTTTCTTATTTATCATATCTAAATGTAACGATGGAACTGATTCACTTTCACTTAAATCGCTTGTTATTCCTTCAGTTCTTAATATTTCGTATTGAAGTTCATTATCATCACTTCCTCCAGACAATCCGTTATTAGTGAAATCAAAATCTGGCTGAAAACTCGAACAGCTATTGCTGTTGCTTGTTGTCGGACTTCTTTTAACACGAATTGTCAATTTTAAACGTCTCTCAGGAGTTTTCGGATATTGGTCATTGATCGATAAAATACTTTCTCCATATTCAGCCTTATTTTTGTTAACTAAAGAGGATTGTTTATTCTCCCACGACGAGGAACTTTCGCTCTCACTGGATCTTGTTGATTTTGATTTTCTTTTTCTTAAAAAATCCTCTCCATTATGCATTGTTTTTCTTGCGTGTTGCTTTTGTGATGCAAATGATCGTACATTGTTCAAATTTTGTTCAATACTTGAAGTGCTATTTTCTTCGGCATTTTCATGATTACCTTCATCTTCATCTTTAATGTTTAAAAATTCAATATTTAATAACAAATATGAGAAAGTTAAATAAATAAAACTTACAATAGTTGAACTTCTCACTATCACAGTCACTGGAAGATGTTCCAGGAAATGTTGTCATATTACTACGGAGTCGTTTCTTCGTTGAGCTTTCAGATGATTCAATACAGTTCTGACGTCTAGACCTTGTAACTCTATTAATATTGGCAGTAGCATACATGTTATTAGTCTGATTTAAATGGTTAGAGGGAGAGATTTCTTCATTTAATACGGTGTCGTCGCTTTTTGAAGGCTGCTGAGCGATTATCATTTCTGCATCGTACTTCGTGCAGCGTTTACGCAATTCTTTAAAACTCATTTGAACTTCCGGTAAAAGCGACATTCCAATTGAATTAACTTTATCATCATTAGATGTGCTACTTCTCGAAACCTTTCGTCGATTTATACGATTGTCTGTTTCTCGTAATCGATATCCACCCGAAAGTTTTTCTTCTGAAGATTTTTCTTTGGCAAACGCTCCACTGCATCGTCTTTCACAAGTTTCACACTCGCAATAACAGTTATTGTCACCAAAAAAATCTTCACCGTAAAAACATGTAATTTCTTCTCCCTCTTCAATATTACGCAAAACTTTAACGCAAGCTGTATCTCTTCCAGTGGGAACAAACTTGCAATTAGCTCTACAATCATGATTTATAAATGCAGCGGGTCCAAGCCATAACTGAGCGCAATTTTTTCGACAGCTATACATGACGGAAAAATCATTTTTCCCAGGCTGTAGAAGAGCTTTTTCTTCTTCTTCAGACAGTTCGGCAATGCAACCAACCAAGCATTCTATTTTTTCATTTTTGTACCACTTTTTTGTTGATGATATTTTTGCTCCTTTTTGTCCTTCTAATGAATACCGATAGCAAGGCTCAATCACAAATCCAGATTCACGATCAAAAACACGCAAATAGCGATAAATCTATAAAAAGATTAAAAATTTATATTTCTCATTATGCAGCAGACAATTCTCAATTTTATAATTTCTTACATGAGCTTGAAGTCTTTTATGTGATACTTTGCTTTTATTGTTAATTGTTCTAGGAATCCATTCACCACCCATAATCTTTCGAAAAGTTTCTTCGTAGTTTTGAGATTTAATGAATTCTGCTAGCATTTTCTTCAACTCGTCATTTTTTACCCTAAGTGGTTTATATCTGGTGTTCATTTTATGTGTTTGAAAGCCCAAAATAGGATCCAAAATTAGCGATGTTGCTAAATCGTCATTTTCTGATAGTTCTTTTGGAGTCATGCTAGTAGGTTGCATTTTATAAAAATGATTTAATGATGTTTCACCATTTGCAACAACCATATTCTATAATGCTGAACTGAAATTTGATATATTAAACTATGTTATATTTAATATAAACACAACTATTATAATATATGTTATTTAGTGTTTCATCCTCAGATTAGCTCAATGGAAGCTTTGATTTTAAGAACTGTTTCTTTTGTGAAAAATTTGCATTCGAATTCGATTTTCTAAATCGATTTTCTTCATTTTATGTTCGAAGCTTAAAATATTATCTTACAATTCTCTCTTAATCACAAAATTATTACTACAGCAAATTTCATTATACTAAAGGGTCAATACAAATAATTTAATGATTGAGACAATTTAACAAGGCTTGTTCTTTATAGGTAATTCTTTATCCACAGATGCTAATATTTTGTAATCGCAATAAAGTAAACAAAAACTATGTCCGACTGTCAGAAGATTCTTTATACCCCTTGTAAATTTTTTTCATTTTCGAAGATTGCTGTTTCTAAAAAGCCCTTTACATAAAAACCTCTTCAATTTTAAACAAAAAGAAATCTTTAAACAATTAAATAACAATCTACATTTTTAAAGCTGTTAAAATTATATGTGTTAAATGAGATCAAAAGACATGTAACAGCTATTAATCTTACATTTTTCTAACTGAAAATAGTTTGAATTTATGAATTTTAGTACAACTAGGTGTACTCGAATTCACCTCATGAGGGGAAGCAAACTACAGTTAAGAATTTCAACAATGTCTAATCGATCTATAAATCAAAACTGCTATGACAAAAAGTTTTAAAAAATTCTAAAAACTGCTTTCAAAGGCGATATAAGTGTGTAGAATTGAAACCTTAACAACTACGCAAACTTCTGAATATTCTTAAATTCACGAAAAACATCGATTAAGTGGAGATTTTAATCTCAAAAATAAATTCGGTAAATGAAATGAAAAGTTTCACGTTTTTATATCAATTGAAATAATAATTTGGATGAAAAATAATTTCGAAAAAAAGTGAGAAACAGTTTGCTGAGAAGTATTTGATATTGTTAAAAAGACGAGTGATATTTGAAGAAGTAAAATTAATAAACTAATTCGTGAAAATTTATTGAAAATCAATAAAGTGTCAGACAAAAAAAATGATAAATCAGAAGAATATTTTTTAAACAATTGAACAGAAAAAAGGATAAGCATAAATTCAGTAGCAATTTATGAAACATCATTCAATTATTAAGAGATATCCACGACATGTAAACGGTAATTATACGAGATATTTTGAGACTTCATTTTAACTGCTTATGATATGGGATTTTACGTGTAGCGAACTTTACTCAAGCTGTACTTTTTGGGAAAATATAAATAAGAGAAAATTTAACCGGACATACATTACGCAGAATATTTATTTTTTTGTTTCGGATTTCAGAATCTAAATTTTTCAACTTTCTTTTATGTACAATGAAGTTTAGGTTGCTAAGTGAATGAAGAAAATGAATGAATATTTCGAAATTTATCAATTGCTTTCTACTCTTTCTAATGCAAAAATTCGCTGGTTAATATGAAGAGTTCATAAAATAAGTAAATTTTGGCATAAAACTTTATTCAATTGAATGTGTTATATTTTGATGTTAAAAGATGATACTAATTGCGTCATAATCGAGACAAAATCGCACGTCTTCCTAATAATAGGATTCGAAATATTGAAATTTTTAGAACAAAAATTCATACAAAAAGTTCTTCCCAAGGTTCTTTCTACAATTTCATATTCTCACTCTATGTGTAAATAAATTTAAGTTAAAATTTTCCATAAATTCTTATCATCCTATAGATTTGAATGGAGCTCTAATGATATGACTGATAGACGTTACTTGGCAGGAGGTGAGTACTGTTAATTACAATTAATCGAATTATGTATTAATTTTATATCTATATCAATAATTTTATTCTCAGGTGCTGCAATTAAAATGGATCATTTTCAACCAGCTGTAGATCCACGAAAACAGGAGCTACTTGAAGCTAGGTTTCTCGGTGCAAGAGTAAGTTTAAAAATATTTTCTCTTTTTTGACAAAATAATTCGAATGACATTACATTGATATTTGCATATTTGAAGTTTAACATTTTTTATCATGGAGAAAAAAAACTTTTTTTATTCAACTCTTTTGTGGGTGTGGTGTTATGTATTCTTTGTTGTATGTATATCGAGATTCATTTTTTAAAAGATATTGTCCTTTCTTTAAGTTTAGCGCTACGTAATTTTTTGCGTGTTACGTTTAAAGACAACGTATAATAACCCATAGAGAAAACGTAGAGCTCAAATGCACATCCCCATTAAAGCGGAAGAAAAAGTAGCGTATGGATTCCTTCAAAGTATTTAGGGATTTTTTGAGATATTTTCTCTTTTAATATTTCTTTTTCAATTAAGATCATTTTATTTTTACACAAAATAAATGTTTTCAATTTAGATCTATACAACCGGCGATTATGAAAATAAGATTTCCTATAAACACAGTTTTTTTCTCAATATTACTGAGAATAATTCTTCCCCATAGTAAATAATTTAAATTAGCCTATGCATTTGAAATACATATCAGAGCGATTTATGTTGAATGTGTGAGTGAAAAGTTTGACATTCAATTCATATGATTTTGGTAGTAGTGTGAAGTAAAATAGTACGTACGTTAATTTTTCTGTTTTCACTAGATTCAACTTATGTGTGCTACGTAACTTCAGATTTGTTTAAACTTTTTCGCGTTTCTAAACAAAAATCAAAATTTCTTTAAGAATGTAGCGATTGATATTTAATTTATTCGATTAACATTCAATTCAGAGAAGAAAAATTATTTTTCCTGCTATGTTTCATTTACAAAGGACAACATCATGAAAATATTAAAAGAAAAATTCCATTAAATAGGAAATAAATTCTACATACAAAGAAAAGTGACTGCGCGGTCACAAACGAATAACCCACGTGGCATTGTGTATGTGTGCGTGTAATTTTACGTAACATAAGGTTGAGGTAAAATTTAAAGTGTAAAGTAAAAAATCTATTTTAAGCGTAAGCAGTAAAATCGTATTGAATTCAGACTTTTATACGATATTTTTTTCATCATTTCGCTGCTTATCATATTCTCACACATTGAAAAGCAAATGAGAGAAAATCAGAGAGAGGAAGAGAGTAAAAATGTGTTGAAGAAAAGTCCAAGTATTGGAGCTTGACTATTTTCAACAAGAGATCTGTCAAAACTCTGCAATACATACGGTTTTTGGTGTAAAGTATTGGTTATTTTTTACTTCAATATATTGTGTGAAATGAATGAATCTAGTTATTTTCTATTACACTACAGAGAGTTTAATCGCATAGTGAGAGAAAAGTGCTTCTTCGTTCATTCTTTTGCATTGGTTCCTTGCAATTTTACTCAAAGATTTAATGTTTAAATTGTTATTTTAATACCAAATTTATTCATTAAAACGTGAATACTAACTATAATGTGATTAAATAGATGAAAAAGTTCATTTTAGAAAGAAAAAATGAATTAAAACATAACGTTTTAAAAATGAGTGTAAGAGTGGTATACGTTTTCCTTTTTTTTAATATTGCCTGTTTTAAACATCAAAAATTCATACGTATACGCCATTTTGAATCGAATTTGTGGCCGCACGTTAATTGAAGAGATTCATGAAATTTATTTTCCATTGCGACAAATTAATAAGTGTGCCTTGTAATAGTGATATTTTCAAATTTTATTTTTGGGCTGATCTCATACTGTCCTCCATATTGTTTTTGAGAAATTCAATGAAAAAAAATTTTTTTTCTGATAATATATCTCATTTAGCCTGACTTTCCTTTCATCTCATATATAAACTTTCAAGAGAATATTTAAATTTCAATTGTAAAGTAGCAAAGTTAAACTTATATCGATTGACTTCTTCAGCTTTTTAAGCAAAGAAAAAAAAAGAAGAAAGAAACTTCTTAGTTCAATGAAAAGAAATTTCTCATTGTTTTCCATTTTTTTTAGATGTCTGCTACAACTCAGCTGCAAATGGCACCTCAAACAACACTTGTGCAAGTAAATCAAAATCCTAATCATTCAGTGATTACGTCAGCAGCAGCATCAACTGCGCCAAATAATCAGGATTCTAATATGAGTACCGGCTCCTCTCACAGTGATAAAGAAGTGGAGCGAGATGTTATTACGCAAGCAATAATTAATAATACACCAGAAAAACTACCACGCCAACAGTCAGAACGTAAAAGAAAAAGAAAACCCACAGAAGATAATGGTAATGGTCCCGGATCCCGTGGTACTGGTGTTTCTACCGTAAATGATTTAGGAAATATTAGAGACGGTATTCAAAATTCTAAAGGACAACGACTTTCATTATCAACAGCTAGTGACAAGAAAATAAATGATTATTTTCATTCAAAACATCCAACAAACACAAGCCGTCATACGGGAGCTAAAAGTCCATCTCCTCAACATCCCGGAACTTTTCTAATGTATCCTCCTAGTCCTCAACCTCCTTTAGTACATTCATTGAATGTTAATGTGAACAATCAAGACTATTTCAAATCGAGATCTACTACTAATCTAGTTTCCACGGCTCAATCCCCGCTACCACCACCGACGGGACTTTCATCAAGCAGTCCTGTTGGAAATCATGTGACAAATGCCGGGAGCAACTTGTTACCTCTTTCAAATGTTTCGGTGCAGCAAAGTTTATCAGTAACAATACCTGGCGCATCTATAACAACACAATCATCACCGTCACAACAAAATCTTCCTATCATCCATCATAATCAAAATAATCAACAACAGCCGCAATCTCTTGCTGTTCTCTCGATGGTTTCAAAGTCAGTACAAACTGATTTAACGCTCGTTAATATGCAGGATCGCGATTCTGATGCTGAAACAAGCAAAACGAAGCTAGATGATATGACGAGGGTGTCGGATGAGCAGAAAAGTCAAATAAATGCTCATCAGAAAGTGGTTGAACAGCAAAAGAGTCACATAAATAAATGCATTGATGTTGTTAAAAAGTTATTAAAGCAGAAAAGTAATATCGAGAAGAAAGAAGCTCGTCAAAAATGTATGCAGAATCGTTTACGTTTGGGACAATTTGTAACACAACGTGTAGGAGCAACATTTCAAGAGAATTGGACTGATGGCTATGCCTTCCAAGAATTAGCCCGCCGACAAGAAGAAATTACTTCTGAACGAGAGGAAATCGATAAGCAGAAGAAGTCACTTGTCAAAAAGCGACCAACAAACACGGAAAGTGGTCGAAAGCGAAACACTTCAACAACATCAGCATCACCAGCTGTTGCATCAACAACGAATTTACATAATGGTGGTGATGTGACGTTCTTGAAGCCAGAGCCAGTGGCCAACAGCTCGACATTTACAATACAAGAGTATTACGAATGTGATGAAATTTTGAAATTAAGGCACAATGCATTGAAGAAAGAAGATGCTGATTTGCAGTTAGAAATGGAGAAATTAGAAAGAGAAAGAAATTTGCATATTAGAGAACTCAAAAGGATCCATAATGAGGATCAAGTAAGTTTAACATTTTCACAATTGTTTATAAGAATTTATTTAATAAAATCTTTTTTTCTTGCAGTCTCGCTTCAGTAATCATCCTGTGCTAAATGATCGTTATCTTTTACTTATGTTATTGGGCAAAGGAGGATTCTCGGAAGTTCATAAAGCTTTTGACCTCAAGGAACAAAGATACGTAGCATGTAAGGTGCATCAACTCAATAAAGACTGGAAAGAAGATAAAAAGGCCAATTATATAAAGTAAGTGAAATAAATTGAAGCATTTTGAGTTGTGAAATCAGAGATTAGCGATAAAGTCAATGAAATTATTTATAAATTCTTCTTTTTTTCAGACATGCTCTTAGAGAATACAACATACATAAAGCACTTGATCATCCTCGTGTTGTGAAATTATATGATGTTTTTGAAATTGATGCAAATTCATTTTGTACAGTGCTAGAATACTGTGATGGACATGATTTAGATTTCTATCTAAAACAGCATAAAACAATTCCTGAAAAGGAAGCAAGAGCGATAATTATGCAGGTAAATTCAGAAATAATAGCACAACAACTTAAAATCACAATTATTCACCTAATTTATTTCTTTTAGGTTGTTTCTGCATTAAAATATTTAAATGAAATCAAACCTCCTATCATTCATTATGATTTGAAGCCTGGTAACATTTTATTAACCGAGGGTAATGTTTGTGGTGAAATAAAAATTACTGACTTTGGTTTGTCGAAAGTTATGGATGAAGAAAATTATAATCCTGATCATGGCATGGATTTAACATCTCAAGGAGCAGGAACTTATTGGTAAGACGATTAATTTAAGTTAGTTTATTTCATATTTGATTAATTTATTTTTGGTTCAGGTATCTGCCACCAGAGTGCTTTGTAGTTGGAAAGAATCCCCCAAAAATTTCTTCCAAGGTAGATGTTTGGAGTGTCGGTGTGATCTTTTATCAGTGTTTATATGGCAAAAAGCCTTTTGGTCATAATCAATCACAAGCTACCATTTTGGAAGAAAACACCATTTTAAAAGCGACTGAAGTTCAGTTTCCGAACAAACCAACAGTCTCAAATGAAGCAAAAGTAAATATTTTTTTATTAATTAATTCATGACATGTGAATGTGAAATTGACGGAAAATTTTTCTTTTTTATTTTAATTTTATTTACTCATCATCATCATCGTTTTTTTAGAGTTTCATACGAGGATGTTTAGCATACCGTAAAGAAGACAGAATGGATGTTTTCTCACTTGCAAAACATGAATATTTACAACCTCCAGTATCAAAACACGGAAGATCATCAAGCGTTCAACAGCAGCAACAACAATCGTCATCACATCAAAGTACACCAGTCTCAAGTGGAAATAATCAAGGAAGTGGAGGTGGAACTAGTGGAAATAATCCAGGGCAAACTTCTTTCTCAACTGGCATGTTCGGTAACATGAATCAATCAAGTTCATCGTAAGGAAAACTCTTTTTCTCATTTTAATGTTTACAAAACGCTGTGACTTTGTCAACACTTCAATTTAATTGAGATTCATGTATAAGACAATGAAGAATGAAGAACAAAGGAAATTCTTCCCTCAAATTTTCCCCCCAATTTCCTCTACAAGAAAAATGAAAAGATTTCCGAGTTCAATAATAAAAATTTCCATAATGTGGTGTAATTCATTACTAAAACACAAGAATAATCAACTGAAGATAGAAAGTAATAAAAAAATGTGAAGATGACAAATTTTTAGCTAATTCAAACAATTATACTGTTGTTTATAAATTCCGACTATGGAACGTATATGCATTGAATATTCATTAAAAAAAGAAAGAAAGAAAAATAAAACCTTGGAAACACTTAAAATGAAGGAAAGAAATTGAGAAAGTGATGTAACTACCAAGTTATACAACCTAAATGCTAGTAATAAATATAAACTAATTATTTATATTAAAAAAAACGCTGTACATATTTGTAAAAATTAATATTAATTTATTAATGTTATCAATTTATTAAAACAAACAAAAAAATTCTTTCCATATAACTTTTAAGTTTTCAAGATCACTGATATGATGAATCACTGAAAATGTAGGGATATGTTTCGAATTTAGTTATTTTTTAATTTTACAATTTAATAAGTCGATGTCTTAAAACGATATCGAAAATCAACGCCGATTTTTTTTTTGTAAATACATAAAAAATATTAATAAATATCAAATCAAGAAAAATCATCAACTGCCTAAATGCGACTTGTGTTATTTTTCTTTTCACTATTCAGCATTTCATAGCGGCAAGAGGAGAATATAATTGTATATTTCTTCTTTCATCGAATATCGCTTAACATTGAAAAGTTTAATAATCTGTGCATAACAACAAGCATACATATCAACAACAATACCAGAATGTAAGCCAAATAAATATTTTGGAGACTTTTTTCCTTCTCTTTGAAAGTCTCCACATTTCTTTTTTCTTACATTCCACTATTTTCGGTTTCTCAGTTGCTTTCAAAACCTGAAACTGTTTTCACCTACATAGGTGGCTCCCCATTCCATAAATTCATTAAATACTCACATTTTAAGATCCTTTTGTTATTGTTTTAATGAAAGAAAATAAAAATATCAAAGTGAAGTTGATGTACGGTGAATGATTATCAATTTTGAAAAGCTAATAAAGTGTTAACATGATGTGAAAGAATTTCAGCATTCACAAAAACTAATTTAAAAGATTTATGATAAATTTTCTCCAAGATGGCAGCAAATATTGGACTCTCAAAAGTATTCATTCTTGACAAATATTTTAAGGAGCTCCAGAAATTTTGGGAAACAGAAAAGAAGCTGCAAGGTAAGTTTTTGAGTGTTTCATTCATGAATTTATTTATATTATTTTTCATAGGGTGATTATAAAATATTAAATTTACGTCAGAAATTTGTAGATTCTAAGAAAGTTTCATTTCGATGACATTAATTTAGGGTTCGAATAAGAAAAGTTTAAAAATATTATTTGAATAGATTATGTGGCATTATGAGGTTTATTAGCATCACTTGAGCTTATTTAATCGCAACAAGTTGATCTGAAAATCATGAGATATGTATTTCCTTTCGTTCATCATTAAACATACGCTCATAGCTTTTGTTGTCTGCGTTCAACACATAAAAACATAAGACTTGTTTTTAAACAAGCGACGAACTTTAATTGTTGTTCAATTCTTGTTGGTGCTAACATTCTCTTCATGCTTGTTTTTGTTGTTTCGAGATGAAATGAATAATGATTGTTTGAATATTCATTTCGATTAATGAAATGTTTTCTTGGAATTGTTTTTATTTATAGAAATTATTGATTTTATTATTATTCTGTTATTTTACTGATTGATTTCCATCGTCAGATGCATCATCATCAAATGAAGCTGTGCATTTGCAACAAAGACTAAAAAGTTTAAGCACTGAATTGGTTACACTTAGAAATCGATTACACGTGACGGGATCGAGTGCAAGTACAGGATTGCCAGGAAGTAATATTATGGCCAGTTGCTCGAATTTCCCATCAACACAGAACTTAAATGTTGGAAAAACAAATGTAAAGAATTAACAATTTAAATCTGATGTAGATAATTTTAAATGCTTAATTTCAGTCTGTAAATCCCATCAATACAAATAATATGACAAAACCTTTAAATAATAATAACAACAATAACAACAACACAGTTGTTAATTACAACTTTAAGAATTCTTCATCTGTTATCAACAACAATCAATTGCCCAATCCGATATCAAACAAATTCATTGCACCACACAAAAATAACCATGTGGTTACAACGAGAAACATTTCTGTGCCACTTCCCTTGCCTAACACGGATGTTGATATAAAAGTTCATGAAAATCATTCGAAAGATCGCATGGCTCTTATTCATGGTAATAAAAAAATTGTTTGAAATGTTTCTGTAATTTAAAGAAATGTTTTTCCTTTAGAAATTCGAAAGAAAAATGATTTTTTCTCAAACAATGGTGCCACCGAATTATCATCAATTGACATGGAAGATCTGATTCATTTATTAGGCCCACTCACCGAAGATGCCGTCATGAAAACTCTTCAAGCTCGTTTTAATGAGAAGAAATATTTGGTAGAATTTATAATTAATTTTCTTTTATTTCACAGGGAAATTTTATGAAACTTTTGGATATTTCAGACAAATGTCGGTCCAATTTTACTCTCAATAAATCCGTACCAGGATCTTGGAAATCCTTTAACCTTATCATCAACACGCTCAATTGCGATGGCACCACAACTTCTTAAAATAGTACAAGAAGCTGTTCGTCAACAAGCCGAGACTGGATATCCACAAGCAATCATCTTATCAGGTGCATCTGGTGCTGGTAAAACTCATTGCTCAATGTTATTGTTGAGAGGGTTGTTTGCAGTCGCTGGAGGTGGGCCAGAAACTGATGCGTTCAAGCATCTCGCAGCTGCTTTCACAGTTTTGCGTTCACTTGGTTCAGCAAAGACAGCGACGAATTCTGAATCAAGTAGAATTGTAAGATTCGATTGATGTTTAATTAACAGAAAATAATTCACAAACGCTTTGTTCATATTTAGGGTCAATTCATTGAGGTTCAAGTTACTGACGGAGCACTTTATAGAACAAAAATTCACTGTTACTTCCTTGATCAAGTAAATTTAAAATTATTATCTGATTTCAATTCCTTAATGATTAATTTAACTTCCTCTTAGACAAGAGTCATCAGACCATTGGAAAATGAGAAAAATTATCACATTTTTTATCAAATGCTTGCCGGTTTGAATGACGAAGAGCGAACGAGATTGAATTTGGATGGATTTTCGATTAGCAATTTGAATTACCTGAAAGGTGGAGACATTCATCAAGATGAACAAGAAGATGCTGCAAGATTTCAAGCTTGGAAAGCTTGTCTAGGAATTTTGGTAAGAAATTTAATTAATTTTGTCAATTTTTAATTATAAAATTTATTTTTTAGGGAATTCCTTTCATTGATGTTGTGCGCGTTCTTGCTGCTGTTTTATTGTTGGGCAATATTTCATTTATTGATAATCAGGTAAAGTTAATTAAAATTGTTATGTTTAATATTAATTTCAATGATCTTTTAAGAGTTTGGAAGTTGACATCATTGGAGAGTCTGAATTGAATTCAATTGCAAATCTTCTTGGCGTTTCACCACAAGCGCTCTTCAGGTTAGATTTTTTAATTAAGTGAAATGTAAAATAATTAAACAAAGAAATCTTACAGAGGATTAACAACGAGAACACATAACGCTCGTGGAGGTTTAGTTAAATCAGTTTGCGATGCAAACATGTCAAATATGACGAGAGATTCGTTGGCAAAAGCTCTCTACTGTCGAACAGTAGCGACGATTGTCAGAAGAGCGAACAGTCTTAAAAGGTGAAGTAAATTAGATTGTTTAAAACGTTTTTTTAATTATTCTTTGTTCAACAGACTTGGCTCGGGAACTCTCAGCTCTGACTCGAATGAATCTGTTCACAATCAAGCAGAGATTAACAGTCAACATGCTTCAACAATTGGTGGTAATTCAGGATCAAAATCGATGGTCGCATTGAACAATGCTGTGCGTCATGCGACTGATGGCTTCATTGGAATCCTCGACATGTTTGGCTTCGAAGATCCATCATCAAAACTTGCACAACTTGAACATTTGTGTATCAATCTTTGTGCTGAAACGATGCAACATTTTTACAACACGCACATATTTAAAAGTTCAATTGAATCATGTCGAGAAGAAGGAATAATTTGCGACACTCAAGTCGATTATGTCGACAATGTGCCATGCATTGATTTGATTTCATCATTACGCACTGGATTGTTGAGTATTTTAGACGCTGAATGTTCAAAGCGTGGAACAGCTGAAGCTTATGTTTCAAAAATCAAAGCACAACATCGAAACTCAAAAAGACTTGACCGTTCTGATTCTCATGGGCCACGACAATTTGTCATTCGTCATTTTGCTGGTAAAGTTGAATATGACGCCACCGACTTTTTAGATACAAATCGAGATGTTATAAGCGATGATTTGGTTTCTGTTTTCTATAAACATTCTTGTAATTTTGGATTTGCCACTCATCTCTTTGGAACTGAATTGAGAGCTTTATATTCGCAAGAAACTGTTCCGAGAGGTATGAGCTTCCGAATTGCTCCAACATCGTTGACAGATTTATTAAATGGAGATGAACCAGTGTCGACTTTGACACAAGATTTTCATACGAGACTCGATAATTTATTGAGAACACTTGTCATGTCACGACCACATTTTGTACGATGCTTTCGAAGTAATTCGAATGAGAAGTCGAATTGCTTTGATAAAGGAACAGTCGTCAAGCAGATTCGAGCTTTGCAAGTGTTGGAAACTGTCAATCTTATGGCGAGTGGTTATCCACATCGAATGAGGTTTAAACAATTTATTTGTCGGTATAAAATGCTGATACCATTCCGATTGTTGAAACTTTGCGAGGAAAATGCTTTGGAAGATTGCAAACTCATTTTAGATTGCGCTATTGAACATCCTTTCGAAATTGATGTGTCGGTGAGTCTTGCATGGGCGCCAGGAAAGCGTCACATCTTTTTAAGTGAAGGCATGCGACAACATTTGGAGAATCTTCGAACACAAACGAGAAATGAAAGCGCAACTCTCATTCAATCTGTTTGGCGTGGGTGGCAACTTCGACGACTAAATGCTTTTAAAAAAGATTTAATTTTGTCATCAAATAATGTTGTTGGTGAGTTAATTATACGAATTTGGGTTTGAAAACAGAATTGGAAATTTGATCTAGTTTCAAGAGCATTAATAATGATTATTTATATTTCAGCTCCAAGAACAAACAATCTTTGCCTTCCTCCAACGACAAGACCGAGGCCGCAACCCATAACTGGCACTCCTGACTTAGAAGTGAGTTGATTAACTTCAATTATAATTTCACAAGTTTCTTCTCATTGTAAATATTTCTTTAAAATCATTTAAAGTTTAAATATCATTCAATCTGACGAAGATAACAAATTGTAGGGTTTGCCATTTTCTTCCATTTCCCATGAATGATCAAACCCTAAAAAATTTATTTCTTTTCTATTTTATTAACAATTCTTTCTTTCTTTTCTTTCTCACCATTCAACATTTCAATGAAGTCTGATTTGACAAGAGGAAGAGTTGCTTACCGTCCTTTGGATCAGAATGAAAAATGTGACGTCAAAGTTATACATCAAACATGCACCCTTTTTGGATTAGATTTAGAGGTGGAGTATAAATCAATAATTTATACGTCAGATTGATTGATTTTCATGTTTTTAAAATGATAAATTAATTTCTCAATCTTATCCTTGTTATCAATTCTCAGACTCCACCGCCTGTTCCACCATCCCGATCATATACAGTGACTGGAAACTCCAAACTCGGCTATCCACAAATTCGTATAATGAAAATGAATTTTCCTGAAGAAATTCAAAACAATAGACTGAATGAACAATTACGAAAAGGTGAGGCTGTAACAGTTGTAGGAGCTTCTCAACGTCGGGGACATTTATTAGTTGAGTGCAATGGTAAAGAAACAAAATTAACAATTTAAACATTTTTCTTTAATTAATTCATTTCTTCTCTTTTGTTTATTCACAGGCGTAATGCATCACGTTCCATTCCAGTTTTTAGAACTTGTTAAGAATAATTCTAACAATACATTGGTTGCCAATAAAAAGATTCAACATGTCAAGTTATAAGTTTTGAACCACATAAATAAATAGATTTAAATAATTGTTAATTACATTTCATTTCAACTTGCCATATTTTTTAAAAGTACTTCTTAAATCACGAAATTCGTATTACTTTGAGATTAAACTATTTAAGTGACTTAATATTGTGAATGTAATTGCAGTAATGATGCAATCGATGGTATTTAATACAAATAAACAATGTTTAGTAGTACTTGCTCGAAGTCGTCGGAAGTGTTTCTTCTTTCTCCCAATATTTCAGGTCAAGGTCGTCGTCATCAAGATGGTCATACCTTTTAAAGTTTAATTCATTATCTTGTAACCATTGTATGACTCTGATTTCCGATGCATCTTGATTTGTGCTACTACTTTTATCTTGTTGAATTCCAAATGTACTCATAAGTCTTTTTAATCTCCCCTTTTCATCGACTGTTTGTCTACTTTCTTTATGGTTGATATATCTAATTGAATCATGATCTGAGGTTCGTCTAACTACTCTAAAAGATGTGTTAACTACATTTGATGTTGATCGCGATTGAGAAAGCTTCGTGTTTAGCCATTTATCTTTAATATATTTCATGATGTCAGTGACTTTTGCTCGATCTTCCTCATTATGATCAAATATTCTTCTGAATGCTCGTAATAGTCTGGGAGTAAATTTCTTGAAACTTTCTGGAATTTTTGTTGTTTCTCTTTGCTAATATGAAAAGAAGAAAAAAATGTTGAATAATTTTTGTGAGAAAACTTTCATTCGTCACCTGATATTTCATAAAAGCACAATATTTTGTATCCTTAACCCAATTTGCTGATTGCCAAGGCGATGAACCAGTGAGACAAATGTAAATTATTATTCCTGTATGCAACAAGAAAAAGAAAAAAAAATAATTAATTAACTCGTGAAAAACAAAAGAAAAAAGAAATTTTTCATTCGCACCAAACTGCCAAACATCACACGACGATTTCACGACGTATCGTTCATTTCTCAAGACTTCCAATACTTCAGGCGGAAGAAATGATATCCACGTGTTGTTATTTCTGTGAACGAGAACGCCTTGACGTGTCGTCGCACCAAAATCACACAATTTTACTCTGGAAAAATCCAAAGCAAATACTAAAATATTTTCCAATTTTAAATCTCGATGAACCAAAGATTTCAAATGCATGAAACCCAATGCGGAACTTATTTGATCTGATATCTTTTTACAACAAGATTCAGGAATTCCAGTTGCACTAACATGACATGAAAGGTCACCATATGGAGCATATTCCATCGCAAATACGTAATAATCATTTGTTCGGAATTTCACCTAAATAATTATTTTGAAGATGAAATTTTTTGAATTTTCTTTCTTTATTTATTTACTTACCTGATAGCAACTTAAAATATGTGGATGGTGACTTAACTGATAGTTATAATGATATTCCTTTATAAATTCCTTGACACTGGTTAATTCCATGTGAACAGCTTTGAGTACAACGCATGACTTTGTTGGCTTGTGATTTGTGAGAAATATTTTTGCAAAATTTCCTTCAGCGATTGTTTTGTCAATATCGTATTCGTCAGAGAAATTAAGAAATGGCAATTCACAGTCAGTTGGTATTCTAAATTTGATTTCAAGTCATGATAAGTCTAATTAAATAAACAAATTCGTCTCTTACTTGTGAAGTAAACTAACTGTGCTTGACAATCTCCGTTGAGTTGAATGATGTAAAGTCTTACAAAATTGATTTATAATTGAAGACTCAGATTTCGATTCTGATATTTTAATCATTATTCTTTGATAAGATTTCATCTTAAAAATGAGATAAAAGAAAAGAAATAAGTCGCTTACTCATATGATATGCGTCATGATGTTGATAAACACACTTCACAAAAATTAAATTGCGAAATCTTTCAAACAAAAATATTATCATAAAGGAAATCTTTCACACAACGCAACTGCTTCGCTGTATGACATGACAAAAATATATAAGCACATGTATGTATAAATATAAAAAAGTAAATAAATATATTCATATTATGGATTCAAATATAGAATTTCGGTTCTATTTTAAATTTTAAAGTGTTTTAGTCTAATTTTAGAAGCGAAATACATGTCAGAAAGGAGAACAGCATTGATAAACATAAATAAGCAGTCATAGATTCAGAGAAAATAATTAATTATCAGCATAGCAGACAGATTGGTTTTTTATTTTCTTCTTAAACTTTTTTTAACGACTTGATAACTAATCAAAATTTCAATTAAGTATACACAAAAAAAAATTATTACAAGCACTTTGAGATAATAAATCATAAAATCTTCTACCCCAGACATAAACAACAGTTAATTATATTTTCTTTCTTTCTTTAATATCTCTTAGTTGAAAGTACACAATTGAGTTACTCACAGAGTTTGAAAGTATGACAATGTAGGTTTGAGTTGATAAACTTTCTTAACTATTCAAATAGAAGATTTTAGAAGACAAATTAGATGAAATAAGTCTGCTTTGAATATTTCAAGATCATTGATTTTAAATATCAATCACTTTCAATTTCTTTCATTGTTATAAAAATATAAATTTGCACAGAAAAACGTAAGTCGCGATTGTTTACTATTCAACGGTGAAAATACGTCTATTGAGAAAAATATATTTTCGTGTTTTCCATAAAGCTTGCTGTTCAAGTATTGGTACATGTTTGTTTGAATTTTCATTTTGTCTATCAATATTTTTTGCTGAGACCTCGAAAAGAAAAGTCAGTGAAGTCAGGAAAACTTTTCAATTTATTTTCCCTCCATGCGATGCAAATGATTTAACTGTCGAAAAGTACAAAAATAGCTTTTCCTAATTTTATGGTCAAATTTTATTTACATTCCAGTAAATTATTAGATATTATTCCGATAATTTATTGATGATTTTCGATGGGGAAAACTACGTTACTGTATTGAAAATTTCATTTCTCAGTAGTAGTCAATTTACGTCACATTTCAGTAATTTTACGTAAAAACCTTAGGGCTGATTTTTCTCTCAAAAAGTCAAAAGTAATATTTCATCTAGTTTTTGACTGACTCCGTCTAATTTGTATTTATGAGACAAGTTTTATTGTCTTTTCCTCGTCATCAGACACGAATTGTGCTCTTGAAAGTTTTTATGATTTCTTAAAATTTCGTGAAAGTTTAATTTATATCGTGCAATCCTTTGAAACTCGTTTATGATCACTTAAGATAGAATCATCTTAATATATATAGCTTAATCATAATTTGTTTCTTCTTCCATACTTTGTAGAAATATATTTTCATGTCGTTTTCTTAAAAAAATATTCATTTCCCATGTCTTGTTAGGTATCGTCATAAGATGTTCGCTTTCATGCGACGATTTTAAAGATGAAATGAAATTTCATCTTCTCGTTTTCCTTAATAAAATCTTCTCCATCAACGTTTGTTAATTTACTGAGTAAATGATGATCTAAATAAAATGTGATATCAAAATGTGGTAATTCAAAACACCAAAATTGTTTATTTTTTGTTTATTTTATTTATTCAGTTTATTACAATGATTTACATATTTCTTGATGTTTCTCATAATGAAAAATTAAAAAATGCCGCACTGTACTATTATGAGTTACCTTAAATAGTTAAAATGTATTTCTCCTAAATATTTAAATCGATGAAACTTAAATCAAAAACATTTATAAGTTCAATTCGACACCAAGTTACAGTGACTTTAAAACGATAAGTAAAAACATTACTTTATAAATGCTGCTTATCAGTCTTTCTCTTAATTAACTTTAAAAATATGAAATTAAAATTCACGTTTTTAATTATTTTTCGTTAAAGCACAACAATGCTTCGATTTAAGCGAAAAATTAATGAAATAATATCCAAAATGAAGACATAAACTAGGGTGGGGCCTCCGTAAAACAGATCTTAAATGTGCGTTTATAATAAATGACAATGTTTAAGTAATACAGCGTAATTGTAAAACTTATTTAAATTTTTCTCTCACAATTTACATGCTTCTCATAGCAGGGTTGATAGATATAAATACATACTCGTATTATATGTTTTAAAATATTTGTTTTTAATAGTTACAAGCTAAAAGAAATTAGAAATAGACGTCACTGAGTTATTCTTCACAAATTCAGCTAATTAATTTGTGTAATGATCGAATGAGCCTAAATATTCTAAAGCTGCTCTATAGCAAAATTGATATTGATCCTAAGAGAAAATGAGAAGAGAAATGAAATTTAATATTTATGAAGTTCGCTGAAAACTTCAACAGTGAAATCTCATCTTCATTAATTATCTTGTCAGAAGAGAGATTTCACTGTAGCATTAATAATACTTACTTCTGTTTGAACCATATGTATTCTTTGTGATCTCAATATTCTGACGGTTTGGAAAACATCCAAAACTCCTTCATATTGCATACGCTCTAAAACAATGCTCAGCGTGATAAACACACCAGTGCGCCCAACACCTGCCGAGCAATGTATGGTAATTGGCCCATCTTGACCAAATTGTTCTTTTGTTTTGTGAACTTGACCTATAAAGTCAATAAAACCTTCACCAGATTTTGGTACGCCTTGCTCAGGCCAATCCATGAATTGAAATTGACGAACAGTTCGACTCGATCCATCTCTGGCGTCAGTTACCTAATTAAATCCATTAATTAATATAAAAATTTAATCTTCGTAAGAAAAATTACAATCACCTTGAACTCCCGTAGTTTATATTGAGGCATATTGTATTCAGCTACTGGATCAACCACATAATACTGATAACGTACAGAGCGGGTATCAGGCCAATATTGTGTACACTTTTCCTTCCCCATTTCTTTTAATTTTGTTAACATCACGACAATTGTTGAATTATGTTCCCACAACATTCTCCAAAAGTCTTCAGCTGTTTCAGGTAACGGGCCTTGTGCTGCTATATATGCCATTCGATATCGGTAACTAAGAGTTTGAGGGAAATATTTTTTAATTAAATTTAATTTAATTAATTAATTTATGTCACACTTACCCATCTATGAAGCTTGCATTTATATAATCACTTCCCTCAATCCCTCTGTCAACTGATAAACAAACTCTTGTTGATTCAAATGGCAAGATATGAACTAATCGATTTTTATCCTTGTTGCATGGCAAGTTTGCGGTAACAAATTTTGATGAATCAACTTTAACATTTGAAAGCTTTTTAAATTCCATTTCCATTGATGTGATATTCTCAGATGGCTCCATTTGCATAAGCTTCTGAATATGAGTATGAAGTTCAGTTGCAGCAACTTCAGTATTTCCACATATCACAGCTTCATTTAATGCGTCATGAATGTAAATGTACTGCTCTTCAGTTTGAACCATGTAGTTGCGTTGAGCTCGCAAGCAAGTGACATGTCCATAGATGTCGACCATTTTCTCTGTGTGCATTCGTTCAAGCATTGAATCTATAACGATATAACATCCCGTCCGTCCAACACCAGCCGAACAATGAACAATTATCGGACCTGATTCAGTTGGTGTAAGAGATTTTGTGCGACGTAAGAATTGTAAGAATGGGGCAGGGTTGTCAGGCACACCGTGATCGGGCCAAGCAGTAAATTGAAGTTGTTTGATTTCTCTCGACTCACTGCTTCCTGATTTTGTCAATTGGAAAGTTCTTATACTGTATGTTGCGAGTTCCTGTGTTGCTGTTATTGTCACAGTCATCAATCCATAAGTTTCCGTCCCTCTCGTCGGCCAATACTGATCGCATTTCTTTCTCATTCGCTCTTCTAACCGTGTCATCATAACAATTGTTGATGATTCCTGTTCCCAAACCATTCTCCAAAAATCAGCACAAGTATTTTGCAATGGACCTTGCGTTGCTATGTAAGCATTATGCTTCCTATACCCATCACAATAATTTGCATTGATGTAATCACTTCCAACTTGTCCATCCAAAGTCGCCAAAATAACACGACTGTGATCGTAAGCAGTGACATTTGCGTATCTATTTTTCGGCTTATTAACTTCCAAGTTTGAATGTTCCCATGAGAATTGCTGTCCGGGTTCAATGCTTTCATATTCTTGCGAGAATTTATTGTTTCCATTCGCTTTTAATCTTTCAATGTGATTGGCTAATTCAGAAATTGGTATTGGTGGATGATGGATCATGCCAGGCGTTTGAAAGTTTAATCTTCGCATGTCAACTGGATCAGTCGGTGCTGGTCCGGCACCTAAATCAGCTGCCATTAATGGTCGTGTAACTGCTGTGTCAGGGTTTTTACAAGGTTGACTTCTCTTCTTCACAACATACACAATGATAAGGAAGAAGCATAAAATAAATGCTGCGATTATTGGAATCACCCACAAAAGGCCTTGTTCAGATGTGCTGATGTTGACTGAAACATCGTTTTCACTGTTTGCAGAGTTAGGATCGGGTCGATGTGGAGGGTCTCCTAGTTTAATAAATAAATAAGGAAAATTAATTAGTTTAAGTGAAGTTTGTCTAGTTGATGATAAAGTGAAGGAATTTCATCAAAAAAATATTTTTTATTCATTTTTAAATATGTTAAAATTATTATTAAAGCTCTGAGGTAAGATTTATATTGAAAACAAGAATCTATGATAGCAAAAGAGAGAGATGGAGACATAGGGTATTTAACCAAATCCGAGACACTCCAAAATTGTGTAAAAATTCTCGACGTTAATTTCATGTTTTTATTCTTATTATGTATAATCAAAATCATAATTTTTGTCTCACCTGGAGGAACTTCTCTCATGTCCAAAGCTAAAAAGTCAGAGAACGGACTTGAAGTGTACAAATGCTTTTGTGGTGTATCAACAACAGCTCGAACAAATATTCTGTAACGTTTACCACGCTCAAGTTTTCTGTTTGTGAAATTATGATATGTGTCGCCAGATCCAAGAGGAAACGTGTAAGGAATATTTCGTTGCAAGAATTTTGCAGCTATGTAAGGTGCATTCGACATATCGTGACGATTTAAACGAGAAGGAAGCATTTCTTCAGTCAAAAACTGGTCTGGGTTCTTGTGCAAGTTTGATTTATCTTCAGGTACGACAACAAGATAGTAATGAGATATGGGACCATATTCTTCAGAAGCTTGTGGTAAAATAACTTGAATTTCTTCTCCATTCACGACGCCATAAAAGTCAGGCTTCACCATAGGTTGAGGTGCAGCCATTTGCGTCGTTATGCTGATTTTTGTGGGAGGCCGATAAGAGAAATCAGCGGGAACTGCTGACACATTAACATAATATGTTGTAAAAGGTGAAAGCTCATTGATTGTTAGAGACATTTTTTGTTGAGGTATTGTAATTTCACGTTTCGGAATGCTTTGTGTCTGCGTGATTCCTTGAGCATCAACAAAAACTTTTATTGCATCAAAGCTGACTTTGTAATGGAGAGGATTCAATCGAATTGGCGGTGAGTATGAGATTGTCATTGAATGTGTGCTGACATCATGCGCTCTCAAATTTAATGGAACGTCTTCAGGTTTAATCTTTACTGTTATCTTATCGCTTAATCGTCCAAGGCCTGTTTTAAATCTAGCAGCAATTGCTATTGCATATTGAGCAAACTTTTCCAAATTCACTAAGTCAGCAGATTCAGTCAGACCAACTGTTTTAGTTTGCCATTCATCGAGATCTTCCACAGCTGTCATTGTGTAGAAAATTTTATATCCAATTAATTTACCACGTGACGGCACAGGTTCCCACCAAACTTCAACAGTTTGCTCTGAAGTTGCAATTGCTTGCACTTGCATTGGTGCTCGTCCCATGTCACGTTCGGTTTCAATGATTATCTTCTCACTAAATGGTCCGGCACCTTGCTTTGTATAAGCTCGTATCCTTACAACATATTCAGTGTTTTGATCCAAGTTTGCAAACACAGCTTTTCTGATTGTTGTGTTCCTTTCCGTTCCAAGGCCATGATCAATTTTCTTGTGGAATTGAATGTCGTAACGTAAGATTTGTCCATTCCGATGTTCACGAATCGGTGGATCCCACGTTATACTCAGGACATCCGGTGTTTGGAAACGATGTGATATGTTAACTGGCGGTCCCGAAGGAGTCCCTTCAGGTGTTGTATAATATTTAACTGCTTCTTGTCCTATTCCGATATGATTCGTTCCAGCAATTCGAAATTCATATTCGATTCCCCTTTCTAAGTCTTTGATTCGTTTTACATTGATATGGGAGCCTAAGATTTCTTCATGAAGCTTGTGATGATCTTTAACGCCCCATCTGACACGATAACCTCTCAGCTCTCCATAAGTTTGTGCAGGTCGTTCCCATTCCAGTTCTATTGACACTAACGGATCGCGTTCCAGAATCTTCAAGTTCACTACTGGTCTGATTGGCACACCTCCAGGTGTCTTAACAGTCAAAGCATTGCTTCTGTCACCATCTCCTTTCCTTGTTAACGCAGCAACTTGAACTGAATATCTTGTGTCTGGTTGCAATCCTGATATGTTATAATCCATGACACCATCAAGTATTTCGTACTTCATTGGCTCATTAAGGAAGCTTTTTCCCTGTTTTAGAAATAATTTTATTAATAATTATAGAAATAAATTGCAAGATATTTGCACTCACCTCATCTTTAACCTCGTGAATGTGAATGTGATAGCCACGAATGATTCCGTTTCTATCTTTTTCCGCTGGAGGTTTCCACGATACATAAATAGTTGTTGAATTGACAGCAGACACTCGAACGTTTGTAGGTTCACCAGGCACTAAGAAATAAAATTGAAAATGTTAATTTTAAAAGAAAATCGATGTGGTTAGTGATGTAAAAGTGATCTCTTGTAGAATTTCTTTCACTTTTACATCATGAGTTAGAAATTATGTTACATTTGAAACAGATACAAAATTCATAAAATATTAATTCAAATTATGATACTGAATACCAATAATGTCACCTACAATGAGCCATTAAATCAATATCAAACCTATAAAAGCTATCGCAACTTTTTCAAATCCATTGTATGAATATTCTTTTGCAAAACTTTAGATTTGATTATTATTCGGAACTGACATTAGAGATTTAATTGAACATTTCTGTGTTCTTCCCTTCAATAATCATTCGAAGATTTGTTTAGCTTTTTTCTTCTTTTTTTAAGTCAGTTTTCACGGATAAATGTAAAAATGAACAACAGAAAAATAAAATCACATTTGGAAACGAATAATTGAAAGTTTCTTCACGCATATTTGTACTCACTCTTAGCTAGAATTTCAAAAATGTCCATTTGTTAAAAAATCCGCAAAATTTAGACGAATTCGATTGAATTTTTGTTAATAATTTGTGTTCCATCAATCGTTGTACCATGAAGTTATCAGTTTAAGTTTAAACATACAAAAAGGGTAGAAAAATTTCAAAAAAGTTAAAAGCTTTGCCAAAAACCAAAAGAAAAACAAAATAGAAAAAACATTTTTCACATGATAAGCTTCAATTCAAATCCTTTTGGAAATTTTCCTTTCGAACTGACTTTGAAAAATATGAAAAGCAGCAATTTAACACTAATTTGAAGTTTCTTATATTTTTACGGGTTGTAAATTTGACTTATATTTTTATCCTTAATTAGCATTTAAATTGACTTTCAAATTGTGACTTTATTCGATGTAGAAATCGGGATGTGACATGGTCTCACTCGCAAGTGCTTCAAATTTATGTTGTAAACATGTTTTTTATATATTTTTTAAGCCATGTTGTTTCTTTTTTATGCTTTATGTTTTGTTATTCCATTTTGTGCCGATAATTTTTCTTGCTTTATTGGGTATTTCTCCCTTAATTTTCCTTGCAGTTAATATTCATTTTTATACGATCCCATAACAATCTTATGAGCGAGATATCTTGCAAATATCTGAAGTTTAGATGCATCAAATAAGAAAGATAAGTAAAAGAAGTGATTGCGATATTCATGAAATAATTGAAGATTAAGATAAAAATTTATTTCCATGAATTTTGAACCAAACGTCATTATTTATTTATGTTACAGTAAAAAAAGAAAGAATCATCATAATTTTCCTCATTCATACACAATTTTACAGTTGAATGCACTTAAAAAAATGAAAAATGCAAAAAAAATGTGCTCGGTACTTTTGTAGAATGAGTGCTAATTTGTGCAACAACAAAAGGTTTAATCAAAATCACGTTACGTAGCTAGGGAGAGTACACAAGAAAAAAGTGTCAAAAATTTGCGAAATAATAAAAGAATAAGTGTTTCTACTCCCGAAATGCTTTTAAACTATGTGCTAGAACATCATCTTGATTGCGTAATGCCAACTGCTGCAAACCCATTCGAATACATATCAAGTTCTTTCTTTACTTGTAGTGCTTAAGATATTCATAACAATGAGACGCGTGTTCTTCTAAGTATATTTAGTAAATATGTGCTTGAGTAAATAAATACAAACTAAATAACAAGTAAATTGTAACAAAACATGTAGTTGGATAATAATGTTTCCAAAAGTGGCGTTTCAATATAAGTTTTACTAATCTTAATTAAAATGAAAATATTTAAATGAAATGTCAAATAAAAAGTTGTTAAAGTGTTGTTCATGCAAACTCACATTGCTTAAAAGAATTTCGTTGAATATAAATTTACATTTAACTAAATAGCCAAATATTTTAATCATCTATGCAATATGAGTTTACATTTGTGCAGTGCAATTAATTTTATTTATTCTTTGGGTGATAATTGGTGAGTGTCAATACAAAAATAAACTAAAAAGGAACAGGCAAACAGGAATTAAAACACTTTTCTCTGTTATGTAGCTTTCAAAAAACAAAAATAGCATGCATACTTCCAGTTCTCAAAAATATAAAAATTGTGCATTAATTTTTTCGTGTTACTCAATCAAAAGTCACAAAAAAATTGATGGTTATTGATCAAAATTCTTTGCGCCAAAAAAAGCAAGCTTGGACTCGACATAAACACGAAGAGCTTGTGATAAAAAAACTGTGCAAGAAAAAAGTTAGATTTGTGCAAATTTTGTGAAAGTGCGCACTCATTAACGATACATTGAAACTATGCGAGTGGTTGTGCCTGTTTTAGGTAATTTTCCAAAAAAATTTTTGACGGTGAAAATGCAAAAGAAAATTATTTACAAAATTTTTTATTTTACTTCATAGAAATGCTGCAAAACAAACTTCTATTTAGTATCAAAAAACAAATATATGTATTAGAAAAAAGACATTAAAAATCAATTTTGTCTTTAGATCATACGCAAAAACTGCTGCTTTCAAAAATTCAAAAATATTGAAAGTTCCAAAAGTTAAATTGTTTAAAAGAGAAAAAAAAAATCCTGTTGATCGTTTGAAAAAGGAATAAAGGAAGAGTTAAGTGTAGATTAGTTTTACTTGTTTTGTTACTTTGTCAACAATGACTGAAATTAGTTAGTAAAATAAATATTCAAATATTCAACACATACCGTCTTCATGTGTCTGCACCGTAATTGGATAAGACTTTGGGCCATCGCCGACTGATGTGCCTGCAAGCACCCAAATCTTGTATTCAGTCCATCGCTTCAATTCATCCAAAACAAATTCCGTTGTATTCAATTTTACTTCATCCGCCTCACTGTCAGATCGACCTTCCTCGACAAAAAAGAGTTTATAGTAAATTATGACTCCATTCGAGCGGTCTTGTGGCGGTGGACTCCATGCAACCTTTATCGTTGTTGGACTCGTTGCAGATGCTGTAATATTACTCGGCGGAGCTCCTGGTACTATTTAAAGTCAGTTTTCGATATTAAACGATATAATTATGATCGATTAATATCAGCGATCAATGTTTTTGATGACAGTTGTATGAAATCATAAAATAAAAAAAAAGAATAAAACAGAAGAATGAAATTTAAAACAAAATAATCGTCAAATCACTTAACAATAAAACAAAGAAAAATATTTTTTAAGCATTTGAGAACGAATAAAAACGTAAGAATGAAGTTTTAAATAAAAGAAAACTTTAAAATTTAAATTATAAGCTAAAATTTAATGCCGGTTGTCGACGCAGAACTTGCAAAGTACTTTTATGTATTTTGCATTAATTTCTTTTTATGATCATATCTAAAATATTTAGCTCCATATTTTTGTATTTCGAATAAAACAAAATTCTAAAATATTGATTTGAAAATAAAAAAATGCATTTTTGGTCTCCATTTGAAAAATATTTCTTAATGTCATTTTTTAATACGACATCTTCAATTATCACAAATCTAAGTAATTTATTAATATTACGGTAGAAAAAGTGCAAGAAATAGTAAATATCTACTAAGTGCAAACAACAACAGACATTAAATTTAGAAGAGAATATACGAATTGCAATAATTAAGTAAAATTGGGAAGAGATTTTGAGTGCGAACATAAAATAAATAAATCACCAGATTTATCAAATTGTGAAAATTTTCAGGCCTAAATTAAGTGCTTTTGTGCAATACTGTTTAAAACAGTAAAACAAAGTGCAAAACATTGAAAAATATTTCATTTTTGGAAAAATAAACAAAAGACATGCAAATCAATCAAACGGCATAATATAATTTGTGCGCATTCACTCAATTGAAACATTGAAACGCTCACACCCACGCACCCTTTTCAACTCTTTCTTGAATAATATGAAGGATTATTATTTAAAAAAAAGTCGCAATAAAACCTGAATTTCTTTATACTTATGACTCATATAATAAAAAGATTTAATCGATGTTTCTCTTAATGACTTCATTTCAAATGACTTTATCGAACCTGATGAATGTTCTTCTAAGAAATTGCTCATTGTGAAAGTTCAGCAAATAGAAACAGCTAATAAATTTATCAACATAATTAAATATGTTCATTCGTAAGTGTTTCTCATAACAATCGAATAATTGTTGATGTAAATGCAAATTTTCACAATCGCAATTATTACTTATCAATTATAATGCATTCAAAATGTGTGTCGTTTGATATTGTAGGCTTTTTGATTAGAAAGAGTTTAACTTCTTATCTCTCATTATATTTCTTTTTGTTGTTTCATTTAATGTGTAGGAAAAAATTCTTAATTTATTTAATTGAAAGAATTTGTTTTTAATAATCCTAATTAACATTTTCATTTCCGTATTTTAGGTATTGAAAATTTAATTTGAAAAATTCTTTCTTTCAATCAAATATATTTCTAAACATTCGATAATTGTCGTCATCTATTCTTACCGTATTGTTTTGTTCGAACTGGTATGGATGGACTGGTCGCACCTTCGCCTCTTTGTGATCTCGCAGCCAACCAGATGTAATAAAGAGTGTCAGGATACAAGCCACTCATTGTGTAAGTTTCAACATTTGGAATGCGCCTATGAAAAGCAACGAAAAAAAGTTTTAATTAAATTCAATTCATATAAATGATAATCAGTTCGTGTTACTGATGGTGTTGTTCGTTTGCGTATGTGTCATTCCAATAAAGTTCGTAATGAACAATGTTTTCTCCACTATGAGATGGCTTACTCCATTGTAATGTCACAGCCGTTTCGCCGATATCAATAGCTCTAAAATTACTAGGTTGTGAAGGCACTCCTATTACAATAATGATAAATAATTAAAAAATTTCCAATATCGATGACGTTTAACTGACCTTGTTGCGTCTTCACTTGAACAGGATTAGACATTGGGCCTGCACCCATACTTGTAAAAGCTTGAACACGAATTGTATAAATTGCTAGCGGAGTAAGTTCAGAAATGGTCGTCAATTCACTGTTGTCAACCATTTGAGAGTTCCATGAAGCTTCGGGTTGATGAGGATTTGTTGTGTAATAAACTTTGTAACCCTGTTGATGATTTCATGAAATCTTTGAGTTAAAAATCTTATTTTTAAGTCATAGTATTTTTAAACTCACATTTATTTGCCCATTTGGTGTTTCTGGTGGTTGCCAAGTAACGACCTGAAATCAAACATTCGTAAAATTATCCGCAGTCAAATTACTAAGGAAAGCTTTACCATAGTTGATGAACTCAATGGTCTCACTTCAATATTTCTAGGTGCGCTTTCCATTTCTGTAGGGAAGATTAAGGAAAAATTCAGTGAACCAAGTAAATTACCTGGAAAAATTTTACTTACTGGAACCTTAACATTCCATCTATTTATATTAGCATGTAAAATAACAACAGAAGACTTTACAAAACATTCTTTTAAAGTTTTTAGATTAAAACTTACAGAAAAGTTTTTTTTCATCCATTTATGAATGAAGCATTAATAGAATTAAAGTTTATTATTCATGATAAGATGTGAAGAAGATTTTTAAAGGGAAATGTCGGGAAATTCTTTTTAAATTCAAGGAAATTTTTTAAAGTTATTCAAACCTGTTTCACCAGTAGTTGTGGATACGGGAGCAGATGGAGGTCCACGCCCAATGTTATTGACACCAATTACATGAAATTCGTATTCAGTATAAGGACTTAGTCCTCTCACAACATAGAACATTGTTATTATTCCGCTAGTTTCACTATACGCCTTCTCATCAAAGGTAAATAAATCACAAAACAGTTGCATCAACATTAAAATCAGCAAAATAATTTTCTATTCATAAATGATTTACCTGATTTGCATTTTTCGGCTTATGTTGCAAAACATAATATTGCAAATCTTCCGGCCCTTTATAAGACCATTCAAGTCTTACTGTGGTAGCCGTCACTTCAGAAATTCTCAAATCGGTAGGTGAAATTGGTAATGCTGTTTGAAAAGTGTAATTAGAGTTGTGAAGTTCGTCTATAAAATTAGATTGTTTGAAAGTTTTGCTTACATTGTACTTTAACCATCGCCAAAGCCTCAATTACACCTAAACTTGATGACGCTATGCATGTGTAGTTAACGCTGCTCCTAATATCGGAGAGTTGAAGAATGCTTTTTCCTACCGGAAGTTCATTCTCAGGCGTTATATCTTCGTCTAAACCCCTGCGCCATTTGACGAATGGCATCGGTGAACCGACAGCAACACAAGTTAAATTTAAACTTCCACCAAGTAAAACTTCGTTAACAGGGTCGGGGGGACGTGAGAATTGAGGTGGAACGCGTCTTATTTTGACGTAGAGGTTTATTGGTTTCGAATGTTCCGTGCCAATTGAATTTTCTGCAACGCATTCGTATTTTCCCTATAGCGACAATTCACGTTGTCATTCAGATAAGAATTCAATTGCGAAGATAAATATAAACTTACTTGATCAGCTTCTTCACTTTGCGAAATTTGCAATGAACCTAAATTTAAAACAAACATTTCATTTCATTTCATTTCATTAGTGAATGTCTGATATTATTTTTCGTACCATCTAAGAGAGTGTAACGTGATGTAAGTTCAACTCTCTTCATATCCTTCAGCCAATAAACTTTTGGATTTGGACTGCCACTCGCTCTACATTGTAGAACTGCGGTATGTCCAATTTCTATGACTCGGCTGTTTGAGTGTATCTAAAAGTTTATATTTTGTTCAATTAAAATGTCGTTGTGAGTGACTTGAAAAGGATTTTAAATGAACCTCAATGACTGGAAAACCAGAAGGCGTCTTATCAGCTTCATAAACAGTTAAAGTAGCTTCTGCTGACACTGCATCACCGACACCATTCTCTGCTATGCATTCATATGGAGCATCGTCACGACCAGCCCTCACTGGTTCTATCCTTAAAAGTGACAGACCGTTCGTTTCGATGACCGTGTAACGACTTTGAGTTCCTGACACCTTTTTACCATTTTTCCGCCAATTAATTGTAGGTTGTGGATCTCCCCGTGCCGAACAGAAAAATGTCGCAACCCCTATTAAATAATAGTTTTTCTTTGTGACAACTGTTTCACCAACAATGTATATAATTAACTCTCGCTTTACCTCCAACTTTAACACCTTGAGGCGCTGGCCTTTTAATAATTTCTGGTGGATCTAAATTGTTCGATAAAGAATGACATGAAAGATTTCTTTTTCTCACGCTTAACGAATTATTTAGAATGTATTTAAAATTCATCTTCAGATAACTTATTTATGTCTCTTTTACAACCTTATAACTTACGTGTTAGGTACTGAATATATGGAAATTCTGAGAAATTTCCATCTATAATCCAAACAATTATTGAACCGTAACAATTATTTATCACAGTAAAAAGCTTTTATATTTATTTAAGGATGGAGGTTAAGGATTGGGTTGTTGCGGGAAAACTTTGTCTTTGTGATTTTTAATTTGTCATTATCGTCGAAAAAAATGTAATTTCTTTGAAATTGCATCTAGAGAACTGTTCATAAAGTTGTAATTAAATTTTCTTCATGGAAAATTCTTATTTACAAAATAAAATAATTAAATTTTCTTTGGATTATGTTTTGATATCAATATTTTGTTGATATTTAAAGCTATTTTTGTTCTTAGTAAATTCTAAGATTTTTCGTAATTAATTTATTTCACTTGATTCCACTTTTGACTCAAAACTTTATAAGGACAAAAAAAATTTCAAACATTTTTTTTTTTAAATATGTACACAACTTGAAACTTTAAAATATTTCTTAATGTAGACTCTTAAAATCACTAAAACTCAAATGACTCTGAAAAATCTTAAACACTTTGAAGATTTTCAAGAGAATCAAAAAAGGAAAATTCTCGTTTCAAAATTGTTTCTTCAATCCTAAAGTTTTTCTCCTCAACATAATTTCCCCAAGTCTATTCCCCTTTTTTCTCCTTAGCATAAATTGAGTGCGAAATGATTAACATCAACAAAATTCACTCAGTTGAAGAACAGTTCTCCTTGCACTTTCAGAAGATTCACAATTTTTCTTGATGATTTTCATATGAATTTGGTTTGATTGGTATACTCACGAGAAGCGACAACTTTTGGTATCCATAAAATAAATGTCGCTGCTGCAAACAAAACGACAGCTAATGTCGCTTGCTGCAGCCCCATATTTCTTAAAGGCAAGTTTTAAACTGCCCTAGATTTAGTATTTATCCAGGAAAAAGAAGAAGAATTTGAGAACCAGCTTGAAAAATAAAAAATAAAAATCCTTAAGATTTATCTACCTACATTGTAAATTATTAATAGTCGTCTTGTCTTATATTGAAATATTGAGTTTTTTGATTCGTTGACATTGTAAAATTATAAAATAAAAAATGAGTAAAAGGAAGGGAGACTAGGATGAGATTGTGAGGATTAAATTTAATTGATATTTAATTCTTTTCACAAAGCATTCATTTTCATTAAACTTTCTTTTTCTTCACTTCATTTCACTTCATTTGAAACAATATTATTTCTCGATTATAAGTATTGTGAACAAACAGATTATATTTCGCAATATGATTCTTCAAGAACTCTTTGAATGAGTAATTTATACTACTTATATTTTTTTATCATTAATTAATTAATTATGAATCATAAAATTCTTTTCTGTTTTCGGAAGTTTCTGCCTTTTAATATTTTCCTGTTCAATGAGATTGAACGACTTGAAAATTTCTTTTTGGAGCTTTTGTATATTTTGTAATTCTTGAAAATTTTCATGTCAAAGTTGAGAAAAAAAATTTGTGGTAAACATCACGAAACTTAATTCGATTTATTTTTTTCTTCTTGAAGCAAAAAACTTTTTTATTGAATTAGATTTTTTTCATTAATTAATGTATTGAATTTTTCTTCACATATCACAATTTGCTCGCTTGCTTTATCCATTTCGAGCAGGTTATTAATCAGAAATAGAAATAAATTTAGTTTTAATGTTTATTTGATATTAAACGCGTGTTTTCGATATGACGGCAGAGAGAACACTGTTGGGATATTGGAGACCGCTTGAGAAATTCTCAATTCTTGAAAGGGGAAAAAGCTCACAAATTTTAAAACCATGCGCATTGATTTTATTCCCCTGAATAAATTTTATTTTGTTTCTAATTTAGATCCAAATTTTTCTCCTTTCTTCAAGTTCCCCTCAAAAATGAAACTTTCCTAAAAATAAATTTCTCTTTACCTTTTTATCAAAAGTATCACTCTTCAGTATAATCAGGAACATTCATTGAAACAGTCTGGATATTTGAGACTTAGTTAAATTGTATAAAAAAAAATACGAAAAAAATTTTGATTAGAAGTGAAATTTATTTTAATTAAAATACTTGAAAGTTCATAACCTTTGGATAATTTACATGGATATACTTGTTGATAAAGGATATTTGTGAATATATTGTGAAGTCAGTAATAAGTTTTGCACGAATTATCATTTTTTAGACGAAGATTTTTCAAGCGCAATTCTATTTTTCCTTAAAACATTTAAATCTTGCATTCGAGAAGCAAGAAAATATTTCAATAACGAATATTTTTTATTATATAAAATGCTCGAGAGATTACTCTGTGAAAATATTAAAATTCAATTAAAGCATACCGAAATGAATAAATGCCATTCCTTCGAATCAAAAAATTAATATTTCAACAATTTAACGATTTTTTAATAAGAACAAGGATCAAATATACTTACATGTGATTATTTTAATTTCTCGGTAATTTGTTCCACATATAACTGTAACAATTAAAGAAAACGATCTTAATAATCAAGTTTAATTAAATATCTACATAGATATGAAATGTATGTTTCAAAATATGTCTTAAAATTTTATGTGATTTCAAAAATAGAAACATAAAAATGAAAACAATTTTTTCGGGTGAATAACAAAAAAAATTCAAATTCAACAGAACTTAAAGCCACTTTGTGTTTCTATCATTCATGACAAAAATTCAAACATTGAATAATCAAAGACCATTCACACGATAGTTGCTCAAAAATTTTATAGTAAAAGGAAAACTCAAGTTTATTTTATTTTATGAATGTATGTTTTATGCTTCCGAGTTTCTTCGACATAAATTTTATAGCAAAGTGTCCATGCTATGTTATTTGAATTTATGCAACCTGACTAAAGAAAATTTGTGTGAGATAAATATAAAAGTCAAGTAACATAAAAATCCTTGCCGAATATGCTGATGATCAAGTCAAGTGTTTGTTGACTCAGTTGCTCAATGCTTGTTCAATGTTTTCTCTTTAGAAATATAAAAACATTGTTTCAATTGAATTTCAAAAAAGTTTAAGAATCTCTGGTAAGATCCTCAAAACAATTATTGAATCGAGTACTTAATGATAGAAAAGAAAAACTTTATGTAAATGTTTTCTTAGAGGTGAATCTATTCTGTCAATGACATTGCATTAAAATTTGCTTTCAAAAAAATTGAAATTCATGAGTCGCAAGCTTCTTTCTTATAAGATTGTTTACATTAAACTATAATAAATCAAAATTATTTATATTGATATTAGCAGCATCGGCTTGGTTCAAATCAACACTTTATTTTACATTTGAGTAAGGTTTCTAACCAAGAGTTAATTGTGAATCACTGAATAACCTATTAAGATCCATAGGATTTAAGCATTTTTTTAATTATAAACAAATATCTTCACTCTAGTTCAACCTGACATTTTGATGTCAATTTTATGAATATATAGTCGTTTTATTTCAACAAATCAATATTATTTAGCGAACACTCACTTTAAAATTACTTTTCAATACATTGCACAACAATTAAAACTTTGTTCTTACTTTATATTATAAAAAACATTATTTGATCACAAGAGAGAAGAAAATTTATTTAGCTTCGAAATTTTTCGAACACTACTACATTAATCTTTATGTTTACACACATGCATTCGATTGCTTGCATGAGTATTTTGTGTAAGAATTTGTACCTTTAAAAATAAATCATTCGAACTTCTTTTGGTTTAAATTTCTCAGGTCTTAACGCTCTAGTGGTTTTTGATATCTCACTGGCTATGCTAACGACGTTCTTTTGATGAACGACAAACATGTAGTGAAGAAGATGCGAAATCTTATTTAACTTTAATTCCCTGCAAGTCTATTGGCTATCAATTTAGTTTTATAATTTGATTTTTTTAAAGCCATCTCCAATCTAGATTATGTGTTAATTGAATTGAATTTTAAAACATAAATCAATTATAACCAATAGATTTTCAATCTATTCATTGAGCGAAGTCTGTAATTCAATGATTGAATTATAAATCTGAATCTATGAAAATGATATTAGGACACTCTAGGGAAATGAAAAACAAATTTAAACAACACATAAACTATCACTACTGCACTACTTGATGAACTGATAACATTTTTCCAGTGTCTTCTTTTATTCTGAGCATTTTTACAATTTATTCGATAGTTCTAATTGAATATTTTTGCCAACTTTCAGTTCAATCTAAAACTTAAATTATCAATTAAATCATTGAATTGAGAGATAAGAGTTTGACTCATAACAAGATTTACTGATTTTTTAATTCCCGAAAGAAAATCGATATTTATTCACTTAAAAAAACATAAATTTATGTGTGATTGTTTCATTGCTAAGAAACTATAAACTTTCTAATTAAACTTACTAAATTTGTTTGTAGATAAAATTGTTTACTTCTTTAAATTTTATTTCACAAATTTAAGTCCACAAAAACATTTTTTACACATTTCATTTCCTTTCTTGTTGATACTTTCATGAAGATCCTTAAAGCCTTTTATTTTACATTATTTTCATCATATTAGAATTTATTTTGAAATATTTTATAGAAATGTAATCACTTTGCAACATTAATATTCACGTTCGATCAAGTTACAATCGTCTGAAGAGGAAAATCTTTTGAATTAGAAAAACAATGAAAACCTTCTGAACAGGACGAAGATTTTTTTCTGACGAAGCTTAACCGATGGAAGTTGAAGCTAGGAAGAATCAATTTTCCACAAATTGTAGAGAATTTTCCAGTCTCTTCGCACATGTTGTTTTCAAAATGTTCGTTTAAAATGTCAACATTCTAATCAAAAAAAATTATCTTCACATTTCTAGAAAAATATGTTATTAAATTGTGATTTATGAAAATATTTTTATTAAAAACATAAAAAGCTTACAAAACTTTGACTTTTACAATTTATTAAATTTCAGAAGGGGCTTTGTAACTCAAAATTGTACGGCTTCTCTCATTAGTTGGAATTAAACATATCACAAATGACAGATAGAAGTTTTTAAACAAGCAATCACAAATTAGTAATCATAAACATTAGAGTCGTAACGAAGGGAACGAAGGGTCACTGATATTTGTCTTTACATATTCTTTACTGATAGGAAAGTGATAAAAGAAACATTGCAAAGTACTCAGATTACTCAGATTACTCAACCTTCTAGATGTTGTTTATGCGTATTGCACACACTGATGAATGAGAGAAAAGTGTAAACAAATAAGTTTTCAGTAGTAAAGCGACTTTATAGAGAGTCAAACGTTTTGTATTTTTCACAAAGTCATTTCGTTACGTCACATTGTGGTTGCAATGTTTAAAAAAATGCAGAATTATTTTCTTCCCAGAATGGAATACGAGGTAAGTCAGTGCAGTGAAAGAAAAATTTAACTTCCAGTTTGAGTGAAGCAAAAAAATTTATAATTTAATTTTTTTATCAAACTCTTACAATGGTTGATGATCTTGTCAAACTCAAGATATGAAGTTACATATGAAGTTATCAAAACAAACGATTGATTACAGCATTATTTTCGGTGAAATTAAAAATTGTTTCAAGGCTCAAGTCACAGCAAAAAAAGAATGTTAAAATAACTAAAATTTGCTTACATACAACACATTTAAAAAAATTGTATCTGCTGCAACTTAAGGGCTTTAGCCTGTTTATGTAGTCGAAATGCAAAAATAAAATAAATAAAATAAAATAAAAATATGAAAATTAAAGTCATGCTTCACGTTAGCATTAAAAAGTAAATAAAATAATCACGGCGAAAATGACTTTTCATTAGTGTTTGAGAATGAAAAAGTTGCAAAGTAATAAAGTGTGTTTGTCAATGGAAGAATGAAGTGGATATAACATCTCAAACACTTATTACAGGAGGTGACTACAAACGACACAAGTGAGAATTATAACACAATTCCAACTTCTCAAGTTTATGATAATAGGACTGATGTGATATCTCAATGCAACGATGAATCAGAAAATGAAACCAGTATAAGAATGAATGCGGTCAATGCAAGTCGTGAACATTTCCAACTATTTAAATCGGAAAAGTTTAAAGCGATTCTTGCTTTTTTGTTGCTGATTTGTTCGTTTATCTTGGCATTGGTTTCATTAGCTCTGACTCATGATCGACTACCTGATCGGAAAGTCTATAAACCATTACCAGACATCTTCTTAGATAATGTGGAAAATATAGACTTCTTTTTAAACATCACCGAGATTCAAATTATGATTATTGTTAATCTTTGTATTGTGTTCATCTTTTTTCATAAGCAAAGGTAAGTGGTTAAGTGAGTGTGAATGATTCATAACATTTATTGAACTTCCCTTGTGTTTTTCTAGATTTGTGATAGCCAAAAGATGTTTCATCATATTAAGCATACTTTACTTTTACCGTTCCATAACGATGTACGTCACAGTATTGCCAATCTCATCGAATACTTATTATTGTTCACCAAAAAGCAATGCGACTTCAAATATTGATGTAGCGAAACGAGTCATCTCACTTCTATCTGGAATGGGACTCTCAATAAACAATAAGCAAACATTTTGTGGTGATAGCATTTTCTCCGGTCACGCTACTATTCTCATTTTCTCAGCCTTGGTTATCATTGAATGTAGGTAGATTTTATTTATATTTACAATGATGCTGATCTTGACAAACGAAGGTCAATGTTCAGATTTTTTCGCCTGCAGTTGATAATTTTATTAAAATGTTCTTTACAAGAAATTTTATTTTAAGAAATTAGCAAGTTTAACTTCTGAGTCAGAACTTCTTATGAACTGAAGTTTTTGTAATTTTCTTTAACATTTAACTGAATACTTTATATGAACATTTGCTTTCTTGTATTAATTATTTTTTAATGAGTAGCTTTCTATTGATTTTTTTTGTTGAACTTTCACAGATATACCAAATAGACTGAAAGTGCTGCACATTTTTGCAGTGATAAATGCAATCTCTGGGATAACATTTCTTCTTATCGCCCATGCTCATTATACAATTGATGTAATAATTGCTTATTACGTAACAACAAGACTGTTCTGGACTTATCACTCACTTTGTCAGAATTCTACAAATCAATTAAATCGTAGCTACTTCAACAAAGAATGGTGGATGATTTTATTTAATTACTTCGAGAAAGATAGTATGAGAAACTATACAAACGAATTCGAAGTACCTTGGCCAATGAAGTTGTCATATAGTTCAGTTTAAAATGTTTATTGTTAAAATAGAAATAAAAATTTACAAACTTAATTTTGTATTTTCTCTAATTCTTTTGCAAAATTTTCAAAATCCTCTTCCGTGAATGCACTTTGTTGTTCCTTTTTCTTTGAATCATCTTCATCTTGTTTATCTACGCTTTTCATGAGTCTACCTCTTTTTGTTTTGGTGGCATTTCTTAACAACTGATTGTGAATGTTTATTTTTTACATGAAATGAAAAAGGAATTAATATTATACAATTATTAAATTTCAGTTTACCTTTTTTGTCATTTTGTCGTCTAAACAACTAGATGTTAATAATAGCAGTTTTTGTATTTTATCATTTTCATTATTTTGCTGGTTAAGTTTCGGTTTTTTACTTTTTTTGATTGTTTTATTTGATTCTTCTACACCATCAAATGACTTTAAGGATTTTTTTGCTAATGACAAAGACATTGTTCTATGTTTTTACAGATCTTTCGATAAAATTTTGAGGTAGCAATACTGATAAATATTAATTAAAGATTCGGTCTGCTCGGCATAAATAACAAATATCGAGGGGAGTAAAGTGTTCAATATGTTATCTACTCATCGATCTACCAGGATGTCATTACATTCCCCCCGAATTACCTTTCTGCCAGTGACGTCGGACTACCCGGCACTTTGACTTGCGTGGATTTGACCAAAACACGATTTTCATACAAAGAGAGGCTAGCTTTATTCCGTGCGTGAATATTTTCTCCGTGCGTGAAAATTAAACACTCTCCACCTGAAACTAGACTTTCTGGGGTAGCAGTTTCAGGTAGAGAGTGTGGAATTACTTGGTAGTCGGGGACTAATTGAATCCTCTCTAGAGAGAAAAATAATTTTAAAGATCACTAAAGGCAAATGTCGCACGTGCGAAATTTAAAAAATGACTTTGTGCAAAGTCGTTTAAAAACAAAGAAATTAAATTTAAATTTACTAACAAATTTTTTAAACTTAAATTTATTTTTTTATTTGTTTAGTAAACAAAACGAACAAAATTAATTGAACTTCAAGAATTTCTAATTTTCCAATACAAAATCTCAACATACACCGACATAATTTTTTATTAGGTCTTTAAACCAAGCCATGAATGTTAAGAACAATTATTGTCACTCACAAAACTTCCCGGAAATTCTACACAAGTAACCGCATAACAAATTATGCAAAAATGAGTAAATCTGCAACAAGAAAAAAGCATTTGACTGTTGCTTATGAGGAAGAAGGTAAGCTTTAAAATTAATTATGTCTGATATCTTTAAGAATTTATAATTTTACGGATTTTTAAGATTCAAAGAAAACAAAATTCATTCCAAAGAACTGGCAAAACGTTTTAGACAATGTAAGACAAATGAGAAATGATAATGATGCACCTGTAGATTCGATGGGATGCGAAAAAATTGCCGATCAAAGTGCTGATGAAAAAACAAAACGATTTCAAATTCTCATTGCTTTACTTCTCTCATCTCAAACAAAAGATGGTAAATATTCAAATCCTACTTCAATAATCTGTAAATGTTAATTTCTTATTTTCAAGCCATAACATTTGGAGCATGTGAGAAATTAAAAACTTTTGGATTCACGCCAGTTCATCTTGCAAAAGCGAATTTATCAGAAATGGAAGATATATTAAAGCCTGTAGGATTTTACAAAACAAAAGCTAAAAATGTTCAAAAAACGTCTCAAATATGTGTTGATGAATATCAAGGCGATATTCCTGGTACTCTCGATGGATTACTTAAACTTCCTGGTGTTGGTCCAAAGATGGCTCACATTTGCATGAGCGTTGCTTGGAATATTGTTAGTGGAATTGGAGTAAGCGGAGATAAAATCAAACTAAAATGTTGTCATTAATCCTTTTTTAACTATTCTCAGGTTGATATTCATGTTCATCGCATTGCTAATCGACTTCAATGGACTTCAAAACTTACAAAAGATCCTGAAAAAACCAGAATGGAGCTTGAAAGTTGGCTTCCATTTGAGCTTTGGGGTGAAGTTAATCTTCTTCTCGTTGGATTTGGACAGACAATTTGTTTACCAAAATCGCCAAAATGTGATGTCTGCTTAAACAACAAACTTTGCCCTTCAGCATTTAAAGAATCCCCAAAAAAGAAAAAATAATGAAACAACTTTAATCTATTTAAAACCAAAATTTATTATTATCGATTTTTTTTCATGTTAAAACTTATCATGATTGTAATGGAAGATTATCGGAAGATTAAAATTATAATAAACTGAAAGAAAAAATATTTTCTAAAAGAATATGTTCTAATACAGTAAAAATAAAATTCTTAAATATCTAAAAAGATTGCAAATAAATGATCAGTTTGATGAAACATAAATATAATTTTTTTTAAAAAAATCACGTTCAAAATTGAAGATAAGACGTCATCAAGTGATGATATAAAAATTGAAATCTGTCAAACCTCGTCAGAAGAAATTTACAATTGCAAGTGAAAATCAATATCTTAATGCACACTTTCATCTTTCTCTAAATTAAAAGCATGAATTAATGTTAAATATTGAAAAGGGAATGTTACATAATTAAAAGGAAGACATGAAGGAAGAATTTATGTTAAAGCTAACTTAAAATGAACCAATAATTTGGCACAATACATGAAATAATAAAGAAAAGTTTGAACACAATTTAAGAAATTTCAAATCAAAATGTAGAATTCGGAAACTTTCACTAAAACTTTTCTTATTTTATAGAAAACCTTTTTAATCTTTAAATGTATCAACTTAAATAAATTCTATGATATTCTTAATTAAAAACCATTTTAGATAATTTTTCTCTTTTTCTTTACATCTTTTTATCAAAGTTGATTGAAATTTTCTTTACTTCAGCTTATTTTTTAAAGTTGGCACGTAATTTATTGTATCAGATTTTCTGATGATATCAAATTTAATAGATTTTTCCTTTCGTATATTTAATCAACTATCTATCTATGTATTTAGAATATTCATGTATAAAAATGTGGTTTCATGTTTCTCTTTCTCACAAATGAATCTTACCAATATTTATCACATAACCACCGTAAATGTCCGAATGAAAATTATAATAAAAATATATAAAAAAATGTTTCTAAATTTTACTTTGAGCTTCAGTCATAATTTTTTCTCAAATCAGTTGGCATATCTTCGTCGCTTTGATCACGCGTTGAGGTTTCCTTCTTTAAGGACAAATGATGAATTGGTGGTGAAAGTGAGGTTGGTGATGAAGATGGTGATTGTGAATTATTCAAATGTTGGGCTATACTTTCTTGATGCTGTCTTAATAATTGAATTGTTGTCAATCCATTTGAACCACGAATAAGTCTAAAGTAATATCAATTAAGTAAGTAAGCAACATTCTATTTGAATCAATATCAATCAAATACTTACGGATAACAATCAGCTTCTGATTTCATTCCACATCTTTCAGCTGCTGCATTACTCGATGTTGACAAGTCAGTTGGTTCATCATCAATCTTGTTGTATTCCAATTTATTTTGAACTAATGCTGCTGTAAGCTGTTGTAAATTTGTACTTTGTGGCAGTAAACTCGCTAAAGCTGAAGCTTGAAGTGCAGCAGCAGACGTCGTATTTGAATTACTTTGATGATTTTGTGATGATGTCGTTGACTGTTGCTGACTTGAATTCACCATTGATTGTCGTAGAAGTGAAATGTTTTTAATGTTTTTCAACTCGCTTGGATTTCTCAAAAATCTGATAAACAAAAAAAATTGTTAGAATGTCAAAAAGATGTTTGAATGATAACAAAAACTTACTGGTAACAATGTCTTTCGCCTTGAACCTTCCTAAGAATGTTTACACGATAATAGTATCTTAAGGCACGTGACATTTTGTCATAATTCATTGATAAATGATTTTTCTGAATTCCCCAAAGCTTAGCTAAACCAGCAGGGTCAACAATTTTAAAGACACCAGTGTCACGACACTTCCAGGCAATGTAATTGCTGTAACGTTGTTGATGATCATTAAGAAGTTGTTGAAGGAAATCCCACAAAAGTCGTCCATCTAAAGTAAAGTTTAAACATCAATAAAACTACAAAAAACCAATAATTGAAAGTTTCTTTACTTGTGTTGGGCTCTGATGGCGTATCTGGAAAGAATTCTCGTTTCACTGACATGTATCCAGGTGTTGTAGGTGTTGATGGGCTAGCACTACTTGAACCACTTGTGTTGTTCGATGAATCATGTTGATTGTTAAAGAACAAACCATGTTGTGAATATTCAAGTCCCAAATGCTTATGAACTTGTTGTTGTTGATGTTGTAAAAGTAAATTTGTTGTTTCATGTTTCATGTTTGGGGTCACGGGTGGACTTTGTTGATATGAAGATTGATACGAAGATGAGTGAGTGATTGGTGGTGGAAGCAATTTTGATATTTTTCTTTGCTTATATTGGTTTTGATTCTCTTCATCGGAATCGCTTTGATGACTACTACTTCCTGAACTCGTACTAGCTTGAATACTGGAACCTCCAGCAGAGTCACTTCCGCTTGTACTGTTCATTCTCAATTCTGTGTTGTTCTCGTTCGAACGAGTATTTTCTGATTTAATGTTTCCGCTTGCGAAGACTGTTGAAGCTGTTTCTTGTTGATTTTGTGGTGGACTCCCATTCTGCGACTCTATCGAAGGTGCTGGGCTGAGAGTCACCGAGTTTGATGCCATGAAATGTTGTAAATGTGAGGCATAAAAAGGATTATCCGGTGGCGCTAATGAGCTCCAATTTGGTGTTGGTGGATGGCTGTGAGGTGACAAAGGATATCGACTTGTTGGTGTCACTGGACTGCTTGGTAAATGTCGATTAAGACTTTGAGCATCACGAATAAGAAGCTGCAGAACATTATGAATAATATCTCCAGCGCCAGGACATCTTTCGCCTAAATCATTCTTCGTCAACAAGCAAAGAGCTTTGCCATTCATTTGAAATAAATCCAATTCAAATTTGGGTAAATCAAATTCACGCTCCGTCCATCTTAAGAAAATTGTGACTTCTTCACGTCCCCACAATCTTGGATCAGTTGATAATTGTGTCGGCAATTGTGTCTTCAATTCAGCCAAAGGACTTGGTGGTGCTGGAGGATAACGCCAAAGTAAATCAGAACCCCACATTCCTAAAGGTGGCCCGCTGAGTGGTGATAATGGTATTGGTAATAGCTTCATACTTCCAACAATCTTTAATTATAGCTGCAATTAAAAGAAACATACATTTCATTACAATATGTCGTTACATCGTTACATCGCTTCATATAAATAATTCAGAATGAAGAAAATTGTTTTCTACAACGAATGAGAGAATCTCTGCAATTATTATGTAAAAATATCTTTCATCAAGTTGCTTTCTTACAACATTTCACATCCGTTGATTCAGGTTTAGAACGGAAATTGATTTTTATATGAGTCAGTTTTTTTCTTTCTTTCTTTCTTTCTCACGCTGACTTTTCTTTACTCAACTGGTTTTGTTGTTCAGTGACGTTTACAGTTGTAAAAGAAAAAACAAAACTTGTCGTTAATAAGTGAATGTTTTTTTGGGGGATCATCACATGGAGAAGTTTAGATGAAGTGAGTGACCAATGTTTTTAGTAAACAACAAAATATTTTACGTTACATGACACGAGTGTGTAGAATTCTTTTTTTATTTATGTTTTGACGCAAACAACAAACGCAAGTTATGTGTTAATGCAATTATACTTTTATGAACTAACTTCGTAAGGATTCTTCTTCACACATGGACAAAGCAAAGGAGGAAAAGAGTGTTTGGTCTGCCACATCCACTTGACACAGTTCCTGACACACTTTATGACACTCAGAAGCCTTAAAACTCAATTGATACAAAGGATTGTCTATTTTCAATCATGACGAATGTTTCCAATTTCTGGGCAAGAAAGAAACAAAACAAAATCTTCAGCTTGAACTCTTACGATTAGTCGCTTTCATTAGCTTTCATAAATCATGATTTTCAAAAGATTTTTAAGTCGATTATACATTCTTTTTCTCTCTCTTTCTACAAACACATCAAGTGTTCAGAATTCAAAAGACTTTTCTTTCTCCGTCACTTTTAAATAGCTCATTTTACACACAATTTTCTGATATCTCTTTCTTTCGTGGATCTTTATTTTACGTTTTTGAAAAGAATTCATGCATACTTACACACACAAATGAAACCGGTTTAAACGGAAACAGAAATAATAACATGAAGTAAACATCATCATCATTTCTTCAACGCTTAAGATTTTTTTTTCTTCTTCTTCTGTTTTTTAATTTTTTTTTACAGCTCAAAATGCTTAGAAACGAGAATGAACGAAACAAGCATTTAAATCGTCAAGACGTTCGTTCAAAAAGTCTTCTGTGCTTTAGTTTAAATATCTGATGTTGAAAATAAAAGAGTTTGATCTCATCCTCCTTCGTTCTTTCATATTCTGACCATTATGTTCAGTTTTAAACTTTTAAAAACAACTCAGAAGTGCGAGAGAAATATTTGAGAAAGAAAATCTTTTTAATTTATTTTATAACTTATAAGAATGATGCAGCAATGCAAACACATACACAAATGTATGTTCAAATTGACTTCCTTATTGCTTTCAGTCTAGTAATTTTTTTTCTACATTTAATGTGAGCCATTTGGCTCATACTTCGATTATATTCATTTATGTAAGCACTTACGGAAAATAATACTATCAATTCGGGAATAATTTCAGTTGCAGTTTACGGTTGCTACTTCGACATATTGTATACGGAAACGATGATACATGCGCTTGATAAGGAGAAATACGATAAGACAAACACATAAATTTAACATTTCAAAATTTTACTCATGATTTATCGAGAGTGTAGTGTGACAATAGAATATATCTTAAGTAAACAACTACTACTTTCAGAAAAGGTAATCTTTATGGTAGATAAGAGTTAGAATTTTATTTATTTGACAAGATTTGTGTATTTAAATATTTATGTAAAAGATCATCACTCAGTGGAAAAGATTTTAAACTGATTTGATCAGGAAATATGAAAGTTTATCTCCTCTGGAATTTCCGCATATTAGCTATGTATGCCTAATCAAGCTTATACATCAAAATCGCGAAGAAAAATTCTTTCGATGTTGCGTCCAACAAAGCAAACACACGCCAAATGAAAGAAGTAAAAAATGATGTGTGTATGTGACTGACTTAGCTATTTTGAATACAAAATTATTCACGCTTTTTTTCACGTTAAACAAACTCTTTTGTACCGAAGAAATTATTCTTTTCGTTTTACAATTTTATTTTAAACTCAGACACATTTTACATTCTGTCGAGGTCAAATTGCAAATAACTTATTTCCGCTTTTGTGTTTCTTTTTTCCTCACTTCACTACTCACACTAAGTTCTTTATAAGCGTTTTACACTCAATAAAATATCAAAGAACTGCTTCATTGTGCACATGTAGAGTCGTAGAGGGAGACAGAAAAGAGTCTTTGCCTGCCTTAATCAGATTGTTCTTCCTATTAAATGTTGAATGCGCTTTCGCGAATTATTTATGCTCTCATATGTGATCATTCAAATGAATGATGAAAGAAATGAATATTTCTATAAAAATAAAATTGATAATAAAAAGAAAAGAATTCCCAGCTCATTATCATCATCAAAGTGTTTATTTAGGATTTTTATGATGTGTCAAATACGTTCACTGCATACTTATTCTGAATTGTAAAAAATAGTTCGATTTAACCTGAATCAAATTGATTTCGTTTGCACATTTTGTGTCGTATTCTCTTTCATTCCAATTATTTGTTTTAAATAAATCAATCAGCATAAATATTTAAGATTTGCTAAGCAGAACTTTGCAGTCGCTTGAAAACTTGTTAAGAACTTTAACAGAGGAAGTGATTTAAATTCTTTTTGTTTTACTCATTGTTGATACTTCATCGATCGATGGAAGCTTTTACTATTAAACAGACTTAAAATAAATTGCGAATGAAATTAAGGATAAACATAAACCCGCACCCGCACAAATTGTGTGCAAAAAATAATATTAAGCCTACTTAAACTTCATTACTAATTCCAAAGCGATATAATATTTAATCCTCGAATATGTAACTCAGAAATATATTTGAAGCTTGCATTTGCGTCACTAACGAATAAAGAGAAGAAAAAAAAATGTTTAAGATTCTTTTCCGCCAAGAGATTGAAATAACAAATTGAAACAGAAAAACCCGTTAAGCATTTTTTACTCAGAGTTGTGCCTTCTGACGATCACAGTGTACGTTTAATTCCTGTTTCCCGATTAATAGTGTGCGTATTTAAAAATAAAATCATTTGTATCGAAATGTATTGTATGGGTTCTTTCAATACTCACATCGATTAATCACTGTAGAGTCATATTTCCTCTTTTTTTAATTTCTGTAATCTCAATGAGATATCTTGCAGGAGCATTAATAATCACTCTTCAAGTCTCGCTAGTAAAATTCGCACTTTTTTTTACTTATCTTATTTTCATTATGATAAAGACTTTGTCGATTTTTTTTTTGGAAATAAAAAAGTCACTTCCTCCGTCACTTTTGACAATCAACTCGGCAGCAAAAACAAACAAGATATTTTAAGTTAACAAGTTGACTGATAAAGAAAAATATAATTATGATCAACGCAGCGTTGTTAGAACGGTGGTAGTTCGTGTTATATAATTTCAAGTTCAAGTTTTCTTGTTGTTATCAACGTATCTAACGGTAGTTACTTGCTAGTTACTTCTTCAGACATATTTCATTAAATTTCTTTTGTTTTCAAAAACGACGATCTCTTTATCAGCAGCAAACTACTCAAATCAGATTCAACAATTATATTTATCAAATTTGTAGTGTTTAAAATCATCAACAAAATATTGAAATCGTTGTGTTCAATGAAGTGGACACAATCAAAATGTTGTGTATGTCCGAAATAACAAGTAAACCGACAATTTCTGCTTGACGTCAAGCTAAATCTTTGTCTGATAAGAGTCAACAATACTGAAGTTAGATAGCAAAACTTTTTTTCGTGAACGAATCTATAAATAATAAAAAAAATTACTGCCAATTGATTTCATGACTTCGGATAAAAGGGTGACAAAAAAACAAGGAAATTTCCCAACAAATGAGTAGATAAATTCTAAAGACAATCAATCTTGTTTCGTGTGGCTTATAGAAATTTGCAATTTAAGACAACATGATTGAAAGTCAGCAGAATTTATGAAAACTTACGACACGGTAATCAAACGCTCCATGATATCACGTTTCCTGCTTACTTTTCAACGACTTTTATAAAAAAAATTTCATTCTTCTTATTCTTTCTTTAAATTAAATAATAGAAAAAGAAGAAGTCGATGAAGAAGAAAATGAAAAAAGACCCGAAAGCAAATGGCTGTTTTGGAATTTGTATATTCCACTTCTTTTCTGAAGTACCTGTTTGGTGTGATTTTTCATAATTGTTCCAAGAAGTGTCCAGCAATCATCGAAAAAACCTTTTCTGCTTTTATTTATCTTTACTAAGACTTTGTTTTCCGACAGTTTTTACTTTAACAGAAAAAATAACATTTCTCGATAATGAACTGAAAACATAACTTGAACTTTATCAAATCAAATAAAAGTTTTATTTGATGTTTAAGGATTGCATTGGAGAATGGATAATCGATTCTTAACATTGAATAAAATAATAAATGGCGAAAAAAAAGACAACAAAGTGAATTTCTTGGAATGTCATTGGTTCCTTATTTTTCAAAAAGACCGAAACCATCTTCGTTCGTATAATAAAAGACATCCTCAATCCCATTTCTTGCGTTTCTTTTCAAAGGATCTTGTTTCAGATGAACGAGAAAACCTTTTCAGATTTCCAACAAAAGACAAATCTTTGAAAACTTTTCTTTCTTTCTTTCCATTCAATTCAATTCAACATTCGAACATGCAACAAACGGAACAATTGTTAAGGAAAAAATTAACAATTTCTCAAGTGTTAGGCTTGTTTAGATTTCTCATAAGGTTGACAATCAAGCAAGCAAAAAAAAAATGAACACTTTAAATTATTTAAGTTGATTGATTCGTGTTATTTGGAAGACGATAAAGAATTTATCTGTTTCTCATAAAATGGTGATTGACGAAAGATAATTATTTAAAACGCTTAAGTTTAGGAAGTCTCGAAACATTATGTAACATGTAGCGATTAACGCTTCTGCTTTCACACACACTGCCGTCCACAGAAGAAGAGAAAGAAGATAAAAAAAAATCTTCAAAATGTTTACAATAACGCTTCTAACATCAGATGTATTTCAATTCAATATTTATTCAACCATGGTCGTCTTTCTCCCGAAAATGTATTTTAAACTATTTGTTTATTTTAATGAATTCTATTCTATCGCTTAGATTCATTGAAGTAGGAAATAAAAGAACATTTTTAAGCGTTAATGTGAGCATTAAACGAGTGAAAGTAAAAGATTTAAACATTTTACACGTTTTGAATCAAGTTTCATTTCATGTTCTGTTTCCATCCTTCGCAAAGCTGTACACACTAAGAAATTGTAATATTTTTGATTACACAACTGTGACATTTTCGTCAGATCTTTATGTGATTCTCCTGCTTCCCCGACAATATGGGAAGTGCAACAAGGGAATTAAAAAAATTATTCGCATCAGGGGTTGTAACTTATAAAAAAAAAGAGTGGAAGGAAAGGAAGAAAAATTGAACAGTTTCATCCCTCGATGATTTGATGAGCTATGAAAGAAGAGGGAGAGTTGAAAAATGGAAATAAATATTTTTTACACATGTCACTATATAAGCGAACCCTTAATGCAAATTTCCCGAAAGTGTTTTGTTAAATCAGGTGCAGAATGAAACATTTCGGGGTTAGACTGAACGATTACAGAGTTCACAAGGAAATATTTACAACGATGATGATATTCTTCTTCGAGCATTCTATTAATGATCCAATCAAAAGATTCATTTGTACATATCTTCGTTCTTGTACGACGTTCGTTTTAATTAAATTCAACGGTACTTTACTCTGTAAAGAAATGATGATATGTCAAACATTTATATTCACTCACACCTGTAAGTGGGTAAAGTTCTATCCATATAGCAATAAAATAAAATCCTAATCTCAGCTTTAACCTGAGATTTTATTATTTTTTCGGATTTTTACAAAGCCCTAAACTTATATTTTTCAAAAGAAAAGAAGATCAGAGATATTTGGAAGTGAACAAGTGGAAATTGTTATTCTTATCGGGAACTCATAGTTAAGGGATGTTCATGCCTCAAGTTGCCACTTTACGCGCATTCATGTTGGAGTGTAATTGTAAATGAGTTTGAAGTGCTTAATTTATAACTTTTCCTTTGAGTTTATTAGAATTCTACCTGGACCAAGATAATTTTGTGTTTTTTTTTCTTAGTTTAGAGAACGCCCAGCATGACCGTTCTTAAATACAAACTGAAACTTTTATGAGGTGCGTTAAGGAAACAAGTTTCAAATGATTATTTATTGTCTTGTGTTCTGTCTTTATTTTAATTTGTTTTTTGTGTGTTCAATTCAACTACAAGTTATGAATTTCTTTAAATTATTGATCGTTCTTTTGAGATAAAACGGAGAAAACCAACGCGGAAGTGCTAGTTTGAGTATAATTAGAATTTATTATAAATCCAATCGACTTTTGCGTGTTGAATTGAAATTTTTTTTTTGTTCTAAGTTATTTGTATCGTAATAAAGATCACAATTTGCTTCTTAATTCAGTACTTGATAACTAATCGCCTACACTTCTTTTGATATTTAAAATTGTACATGGATATATATAAAGCAATTATACTCGCTTATCTTATCTCATACATCCTCGAGATTATTTTCGTCATCAAATCATAAATAATTCTACTTACTTTTATTTTCCAGTTGGTTGTGTTCTTGATGATGTGAGTCCAAGAAGATATAAGCTTAGTTAAAAATCTACACCAATTTTAAAGTCAAATTAAAATGATGTAATGCATTAAATATTTATTTCTTTGCTCGGTGTCATTAAATCTCAATTCCAAATTATGAGAATCACTTTTTTTTATTTAAGTTCCGTCTTTATTAGTAGTGAATAGGAAGTGCGCTTTGCTCAATGAATCATAATTTTTCTTTAAAAAATTCACAAATTATCACTGCGATGATGTTTATTGCCTTTGAAATTCTTTTACTTCCAATTTTTTATGTGCTTAAAACTCTTCAAAACACTTTGCTTCTCTTTTTTTCCACTTGTTAATTGACGATGATTGTATCTTTATTTTTAGAATCCTTCCGTTTAAATTTCAGTTAGCTGTCACAAATCCCTGCATGTAGATTTACTATTCCGTACAAAAATGCATTGGATTTTGATGTTTCTTTTGTTTAAATAATATTAAATCGATTAATTTACGTTATCAAGAAATTTTAAGCTTTCTTTAAATAAAAACTCGCTTTCAATCTAAATAAAAAAAGTTTAAAAGAAATTCTTAAGCAAACTTCGTCAACAACCGCTCACTTCAACATTTTCCACCGAATGAGCTTCATAAATCGGAATCAACTCAAATTCTTCTCTATAGCTGTGTGCATCAAGCAAGCCACAAATCGAAATGTGAAAATGTTAGTGCATGCCATGAGCATCGGAAAACATTTAACTTCAAAGCTACAGTAAATTTTACGCCACGACGAAGAGCGAAACAAGTAAATTTCACACTATCAAATAATTATCACCAACACTATCAACGCTTCGTGTAAACTAAGTTCATTCCGGTTAAATAGTGAACTGCTCGTTCAAAGCTCTGACATAAACTCGTCTCAGAGCGTAACAAGAGGAAGTTGTATGTGTAGAACTTTTTAATAAAACATTCTTTAAATGTATCCTATCGCGGAAATTTAATATATAATGTGATCACCACCGCTTCCTTTTCATTAGCTTAAGCGAAGATCATTTTACGTTCGTAATAGGAGCACGATAAAAGGTAGAGTTATTATCAAATATCTTAAGAATTGTTCAAATATTTATTAAGGAACTCGCCAATTAAGATTATCTGAAAATATTTTCACTCAACATTCACTTATTTAGTAGTAAATTCCATATGAAAACTTAAACTCAAGATGACTAAATATCAAAATATTATTCTCACTAAAAGGGAGAGTAAATCACTTCAATAGATACATTTTTGGTTGTGTCAGCTTAAGCGAATCATAATTGTGAATAATAAGGCAAGATATAAAAAAGAAGTAATTTTTTTTTGAAAAAGTAGGTCTCGAATGTAACCTAGTGAAAGATTTGCATTTCTATAAAAAATCTGCTTGGCTTTATTTCCATTTACTTACTCCGCTCTCAGCGGCGCGATCTATTGCATAATGGGCCTGTTTTTCTTCTTTGGTAATGCAAAATTATACCTCCGATTTCATTACGGTTTGCGAAGTGGCGTTAGGATGATATAATTATAAATATTAACATAAAGTTATATCATAGTAATCAAGTGATTCTTATCGACTTCTTAACAAGATTTAAATAGCTTTTAAATCATTTGAATAACATAAAACAAGAAAATATTTTTGTTTTGACGAAACAACAACATCGTCATATCCAGATTGTACTTTGATTTCCGGTGGTCGTTTTGTAGCAAACCAAAACGACTTTCGTAATTTGTGAGACACAAAGACGATCACGAGAAGCATTTCTTGCTTGCGTTCACCAATGAAGAGACTTTTTTTTTTAAATATCGTTTATGTATGAGTGGTTGTTCATCAGCGAGTTCATAAGAACAAAAAAGTATCATCGAACATAAGAGAGAAAAATGCGGGAGGCTTTCTTCGTGTTTTCCTTCCCATTCTTCTCATCTAAAATATTAACGAACTGTGAGACACATTCCTTCGATCTTTTTTATTATTATTTCGTTTATGTTGAACTTGCGCGATTTTTGTTCGCTTTTGAAGATCTCAACAGCAAATACGTAAGCTCAGTAAAAGAATTATCGTTTTCTTCCCGTATGTTTTAAAACAGAAAGAAAAAGAGAAGATTAAGACTTAAATACTGACATAATCAAGAGCTTGCGACGATAGAATAAAAATGTGTAAAACACTTGATGTCTAAAATATTTCTTTAATTTTATTATTTTTTTCTGACGATAAACCGGTTTGAAAAAGGAAGAGAATACACAAAGCAATGACGATGAGTTTGAACTCTTATAGCAGTAGAACTTTTCAGTGTTAATGTATTCCCACTTTTGATTATTGATTTGGATGTGTAAAGACATTTGAGTTCAACGTAGATGATGCTTCCTGAATACTCCCTGAAGATAATCAAACACGACACTTTAATTTTATCTTCGCTCTACACTTGACTAACTCTGTGGCAAAGAATAGCCAACCAACCATTTTGATATGCAAATTAGAATCTTTATCTTCAATGGGAGTACATTAGGGAAATTAAAACTTTAAGAATGTCTTTATTTGCCCGACGAAATTTTCAAATGCAGTTTATAATGTCTTCGTAACCTTTCTTTCAATGGAAACAAGATATGCCGTTCATCCAACATGATGTTTTTATTTCAGAAAAAAGATAAAGAAAACGTTCTGACATCAGATGATGCGCACACAAAATAATTTCCTTTCATGAAGACACCAAGGCTTTGAGAGAACCACATCAGGATATCATATGACAAAAACCATATTTTAATACACGCATTCCTCTTAAAAAACAGATTTTTGTTTGAAGCAACGACGTCTCTCTTGCTGATTTTTTTTCTTTGCTTACTTCATATGGCTCGTATTAAACATTATAAATAAAAAAGAAGACATGTTTGCAGGAGACCTCAAAATTTCTTCTTCTTGAGAATATTATTCGGCATATAATGAACACCAGTCATGTTTATAAATGTGGGATCACTTATCTCATTTTAATTTATTTTTTTCACTCATCCAAGTTGAAGAGTGAAGCCAATAAAGTTGATGAAAGTTAATGTAATTGTATCATTGAGTTATTAAGTGGATACTTCATGTTCATCTTTTTCTAAGTTTTTTATCTCAAATTAAGTCCAAACTTTCACTGATTGACGATTGATTATTGCAATTACATTTATTTCATCAATAATAAAATGAAATTATAGAAATTACGATAATCATGACTAAATTATTATATAATACTATCATTGATAACGAAAGGGATCTTCTATCGACTATAAAAACCTTCAACAAATTTCATTTTCAACTCAGTCAGATCAGACATTGACACTAAAGTTCAACATAAAAATGATTCTCGCAGAAAAGATTGTAAAAGTTTTGAGATTTATGTTAACAAGTACCTATATTAATGTGTTTACATTTTGCAGGTATCACTTGCATTGTTAATATCCTTGACATATGGAGAGTCGGAAAATAAAAAGACCACTAAAAGAGGTATCGACGATTATGGATACCCAATTGGATATAATGGCTGGGCTTCCAGTTTAAAGACCAATCCTTTGACTTCAGCATCGAATTTGGAAAGGTAAATAACGAAATTAAATAATTCGAAAGTTGTAATTTAAAAGAATTCAAAATTAGATCGAATGTTTTCGTTCCTTCGGCGCATGATTTGAGTCTTTTGGTTGCTGCAGGTAAGTTTAGAATTATTTATCGCGTGTCTAGCTCACAATTCCTTATTCTAGCTAAAAAAGCTGCTTTTGATGTTCGTTTGGCTCAGGAATATGTAAACGCAGCAAAGGAAGAAGTTTTGTTCTTACAAAAGTTAGTCAGGGAGAAAGAAACTTTAGCGCAAATTGCAAGTCAAAAAAGTGAAGCTGCACAACATGCATTGAGAAATGAAGCTCAAAACGCTGTTCTGGCACAACAAAAGTTGGCAAAAGTAATATCAAACATTTATTGAACTTTAAAAGATTTTGTAACATTTTTGATATTTAAAAGGCAAAAGCATTTGCTGCTGAACAACAGTTGAAACAAGCACTCAAAGACGCAGAAGCTGCAAAAGCAATTCAATCATCAGCAAACAATGCAAACACAGAAATTCAAAAGGCAGAACAAGCAGCAAAATTGTCGTTCTTCAAGCAGAATATTGGACCTCATAAGCCATTTCCGAATTATCTGAACTTACCTACATTCCCATCCTCCTGGAGAGGCATCGCATACCCATTAAAGCCAATTTTTACACCACTCACAAATTCGTATTAAAAAAAGTTTAAATATTTGAAAAGTAAATTGCAAATAAAACATTTTTTATGCTACATTTCTAAATGCAAAAGTAAAGCAAGAGTTCATTTCTTTCTCTTCCGTATTTTTCATGGTGCAAGCTCGGTAGAAGTTCTGATGAAAATTATAATTAGCCACGCGAATAAATATTTAAAATGTGTCACGACAAATGCAAATTTCTACAAATTTCACTTCCTCAAAAGTTATTAATAAGTTCTTTCTCGAACAAAGATTGCATTGCTTACAATTCTTTATTTCATTAGCTACTTCATCTATATAGAACAACGACTTGATCGTTTAAGACCATACAATTCTTATTTATTCGATCATCTAAAATATATTAAAGATAGTTTCACGAGAAATTTTTCGCTGTCTTCTGGTAACAAATGATTTCGAGTCGAAACAAATTCTGATGCGAAACGTTGCTTTAAGCCTCGTCTCTCCGAGCACACAGTTCATCAACCTTTCTTAGCATAATAATAAACATTTTTTTTTTGAAATCTTGTTTCATTAGTATGCCGATAGTCTACAAAGTATTCTTTCTGTTTCTTTCATTTCGCCTTTTTTTATTTACAAAAGTGGTAACTGGTAAAACAAAATAGAATCGAATGGTTAAAATTGAACTTTGTTTTTGATTCTTTCTTCTCTTGTTTTGATAAAAGTTTCAAAAGAAATAAATAAATATCTACGTAGAAAGATGATGGCTTGAAAAAAACTTCTTTTCATTTGGCAACCATTTGTCTATCTTTTATTTATATTTCGAAAATTCATACATATTTCCTGAATGGCCATTAATTTTCAGGGATCTATCTAATCCCTCAATTATTTTCTTCCTAAACCCCGTTTTATAATAGAAAAATGTTGCACTTGTCGATGTAACTTTTACTTGAAATCATCAACTTGGTCCCTTATTTTAATGATTTGTAATTTTATATCAAATGCCGATTGCCTTTTGCGCAACCCTTGATTACGTAGTTTCGGAACATTAAATTCGAGTCGAATGCTGCATGCAGTAGCATTGTAGGGGAACATTTTTAACTACTCTGTCATGTTGTAATTTCTTTCCAACTGAACTCAAACAATATTTGTCTTTTTATTATGAAATGAGTCGAATACATACGAAACGTAAAGAGATAAAATTGAATAATTGTTGCTTCCCAATGCAAAACATAAACCCACTTGAGCAACCGAGAACAATTGATTTAATTCTGATGTATTGCTTCAAAATATGCTTCAATTTTTTTTAAACGCAATTCTTAGGGTCGAATTGAGTTCTATTTTAAGTAGAGAAAATTTTTGCTACATGATATGAGTGATATCGATGATGAGATATCCGGTATTGATGCAAGACCACCTTGGTTTTCTTTCGAATTTCTTTTGAATGATTTCATGCGTTTAAAAGGCTTCGTTGCCAAAAATAATGCTTACACGTATTAAGATAGAAATGGTAAATCTGGATTCCAAAATACCTCAAGTGTTAGTAAAACTGATCCTTTTATGGATCTATCTTTGGTTGAAAAGCCTCAAGCGAACCCATAATAATTCTTAAACGAAAAATTATCTCAAATTTCTTTATGTTTTCGATGCACTCATTGATTATGGCATTTCATTTCTTTCCTTTCTCTAAGTGGTGTTTCATTAGACAAAGTGAAGAAAATGTTTGGTCGAGATTTCTTTCTACCTGAGGTTTGGTTTCTGTTTTAATAATAAAATTGTTATATAAACTAATAGGAGTTAACACAACGTCTCGTGTAAGATCGACGTAATTTTAATTCAGAAAATAAACGAAGGACAATTAAAAAGAAATTTTCGTGCCTTTTTATAGGAATCATTAAAATCTATCCTATAATGATGCACGAAGGCAAATCATTTCATTTTTGTTGGACTAATGAAACATGATCACAGATCGAGACCATTTAAAGATTCCACTTTTCCATAAACAGACATTAAAAACCTAAACATGTGCACCGCAGAACACTCTTACACAAATGTCTAGATTTTTTATTATGAAAAGGATCTTTTTACTGTAAATTCGTTAGTTTTTTTTTCTTCCTTTCCCTCTCGCTGTTGATGCAATGTGTTCATATCGTTTTGTAGCGTGGGAACGAAATTCTTTCGGTTGAGATCCTTTTTAGGTTGACCTGGAAATCGACATTCAGTAAATATGCCTGTAGGAAGAAATGAAAACATCCTTGAAGATGCATTAAGAAGAAAGAAGAGAAGAATCTAAGTTTTCAATCAAACTTTGCGACACAAAACAAAAACGAAAAATCTCAAGCACAATTGGAATTCTAAGTTTTGAAATGCTACAACGCGTTAAAGGGGATGAGAGACACAAATTGCTAAGGTTACGAGTTCAAATAACATCAATTTAAGCAATCAAGAAATACCATACAGCAGAGTCAATTAAATCTCAAAATTTATTATTCATTCGTTCGGTCGTTGTCTCATTCTCAGTTTTTCTGAGCTCAGCGAAAAAGAAATTACAGCGAGACGATCCGACATCATTTCCGTATGAGTTAATAAAGAAAAAATGACGTCATAGGCAGACAAACACATGTATTATGCAATGATGTTTCCATTATAGTTTTATAATACAAAATATCTATGTCAAGAGATTTGCTCACTACCCGAACATGAAAAAAATTATGTGCTTATTGGATTGTGGCACAGTTTTCGTAGTCAGCAAAAAGAAACTTTCACCTTTCACGTAACCGTGGTGGGAAGCATTTGTAAGTGAGCTAACCATGTTGAGCTATGTAACAATATTTAAACAAACATTCAAGTAACTTAAGTCGTGAATTTTTCCTTTCCGCATCTGAAGTCTCTCGCTCTATGTGTGCATTTCCATTTCCCTCTGTTTCTGTTTACTTGTAGTACCTACAAAATCTACTACACACCTATTTCGACATCTCACTTCGTGGGGCTTTTTTTTCTTATATTCATTTCGCCGATTCAATTGTGACTGTGAAAATCTTGTAATTTTTTGTTTCTTTTTCTTACATTTATTGAAGCATTCACACAGATATTATGCAATTTTGAGCTGTTGGATTTCTTAGCGGCAATGGAAAGGAGAGTGTTTTCTTTTATAACTAGGTTAGTGTGATTGATCAAACTATTTTATTTAATTTTTTTTCTTTTTTTTCATTTCTTACCTTGTTTAGGTTTTCTTTCCAAATGTCGATGTGTTATGAAATAGCAAATGTTTTATAAGTATTATGAAGATTTATTCCATTCGATGGTTCTGACTTCCTAGTTGATGCAATAAACCAAAGAGTAAAACATGATATTTAAAGTCGCGGTCGGGAAGAGTTTTTAAGATCACTTCTTGTTTCGTTTTGGGAAATATGTTAAATATGTTGCATAGTCCAGGAAATCTGAATGAAAAAGAAATAAGAATATTGTCACTTCCTTCAAATGGTTCCTCAATCGTGACGACCAAAGATTTTTGTTGATTCTTTGAGAAACAAACATAAAGTCGTAACATGTACGGTAACGATTAAAAAGTTGAAATTTTTCACTTCCGTTTTTTGTGCTAGCCATCGGCCAAAGAGAATACACACGAATGATTTGCTTTATTCAAGAAAATAAATCAGTCAACTGGTTCGTCGACGACTGTGTTCCAGTGGCGTTATGTATATAACAACAACAACCTTGAAGACTTCTTTTAATTCCGCTTTAGTATCTTTCAATAAAATGTTCTTCTTGCAACATCCTACGCTACTGTTGTAAGCATTCAAGTTTTTATTTCCGGTACTACCGTAGCGTGAATATCTTGACGTGAACTTTAATAGCATGAAAATATATTTCAGCGTATTTCCTCGAATATTCTTATTTTTTTTTCGAATTTATAAAAAAAGTTCTTAGCTCAAACATTTCTTTTTGACTCATCGTTTTGTCACTGTATTTAAAATTCATCAACCATACGATTTGAAAGTTCTAAGAAAAACATTAATTCTTTTCCTTTTAAAGTTCTTCTCTTAATTTTTAAATGTTCAAAGAAATATTTAATTCATATGTGCATGTAGATGCTTAGAATTTTAATGGAATTGCTTCTCCGATACAAACTGGTGGGAAGTCATCATTTGAATAGCTAAGGAGTGTTCAAAGTAATCAATTCCTTCACGTAAGCAATTTCTTTCTAAATCCTGTTCGCACTTACTAATTTTAATATCAATAAAAATAAGATTTTTAAATAAAAATAAATTTACAAGATTGTGCAGATAATTTTAATTGTTAAAGCAAGTGCTGAAACATACTTACGACAATCAAACACGTAACTATTCGAGTGTTTTCTGATGTAATTTTCTTACTTAACATTGTTCACTGTATAACAATACTGAACATGAAATGTTGAGAGTGATGGGCTCGTACTTCTTCTATTCTCTTTGTTTTTTCTTAGAAAGTGAAGAAAAACTTCCTTTTTTTTATTGATAGACGCATCTAGGACTAAAGAAAAAAAATCAAAACCTCATGAAGATGAATAAGAACAAATATTTCTAAAAAAAATAAATATTCATACGAAAAAAGAAGTAGAAGAAGTAGAGAAAGAGTAGTCAAGAACAGATCATAAAAGTTAAGAAAGAAACATCCTGTCTTTTGTCAATTCTTCACCTTGGGGTTCATTATATCGCTTTGTTGATGAAGTGTCTGAATATAACTCGAACTAAAATGTCCTTTCGAAAAATTGCTACATCATAAAATATCCGTTGTTCATTTTAAGTTATTGTAGTCTGATTATTGTGCAATGAATGTAACATATTCATGTTGACTTGGGTAGATACGAAGAAATCTTTTTTATTAACTTGAAAAAGTCATTTCACAAAGACGATTGACAGAATTCTAAAACCTTTCTTTTTTATTAATAATTTAGATTTTTTTAAAGTTAAAAGTAAAAATTACTGTCAACCTGTAGTTATGTGCAAGCAGTATAACTAAAGATATTTATGCATATTGCTACATTCTCTTTGATTAATTTCATATAAATAATATTTACGTATAAATGTATTGTCATAACAAAATCATAAAAAAATGTGTAAAATAATTTTTTGATCAACTCTTTTTATGGAAATATTTTTAACGGAAATTATAAAAATTCAAAACCAAAGCCATACAAATGTTTAGAGCTTTTTTTGTGAGGGAAAAGTTTTTTGTGTTGATACATTTTTGATACTTTTGAGTTGATGCTCATTTGCAGATAGATTTGATATCTGGAGATAAATGGCTGATAGTTTTTGTGTCGGTCTGTTAATGAATACAAAAAATAATTGCAATGACAATGATTTAGTTCAATTAGGTTCTTCCGTTTATATATTAAAATGATCAGAAAATTTTAAATTTGTTTTTGTGACATTATTTTATTCTTCCAACCTCTTAAGAATAGAATATCAACAATAAAATATTTATTTTAAGCACAGTAGAATTTATGTAAACTTAAATATTAACTTTTTAAAATTTACCACATCTTGTGGTCCACATGGGACTCTCGAGCTTCGTAATCGTTCAAAACATTTTTTTTTTCAAATTTAAATTTAGTATCTCACAGAAGAAATTCTTAGAAAGATTGAAGTTTACCTAGTTGAATATAAACTTTAAGCCTTAGAAATGTAAGTTAGAGCTTCCTCAACTCCTTTGTCAATAAGTTTTTTAGTTTCTTCATCACAGACACCGTAACCCGCATGGGCGACCACTGTTCAAAGAGTAATTTAAAGAGAATTAGAATGTTTACACAATATTTCGTAGAATCATCTTACATTCAAATTGTTCGTGGAATAAATTTAAAAATTCAACTAAAAGCTTTCCGTCTACATCATCAACAAGTAAATCACCTCCAAATTCTTTTCTCAATGCATGCTCTCCAACTTTCGATGTTAACGTTTCCCAATCTTTATTCAAAAAATGAATCTAAAAGAATTGAAATTGTTAATAAAAATTCCCTTTGAGAATAAAAATGATAGAATAACTTACTCGTTTCCTTAACTGATAATATAAAAGGAAATTGAAAATGTTAACATCGATATCATTAAGTATAAAAAAAAGAAATAAAAGGGAAATTACCTTCGATCCAATAAAAGGTTTGAAAACAGCGTAAAGCATGTTGAAAATATAAGAGTTGTTGACAATGTAGATAGCCTTCAATCGGACTGCGATACAATTCTGCAACCAATCAAGAACCATTGCGGCATACGATGGGGTGAAGTGGCAAATTTGACTTATGGACAATCCATCCGTATCAAGAATAACTGTAACTCCGTTGACCTGCATTTTTCAATTGTCATTCGATGTTTTATGTATAATGAAAAGAAGTTTTACCTGAGTCATCGGTTCCGCCATGGCAGCATGTAAACTTAATTGAACTGCTCGGAATATATCATTTGGTGTTACACGAGATGGCTTCCATTTTTCTAATGGAAAATAAATAATTTTATTTAGATTTACAATTAATATATTCATTAGCATTCCACTCACTTCCACAATTTAAATAAAGAATTCTTCTTCCATTAATGTCACGTAAAGGCAGATATTTGATTAAATCCTCAGTAAAGACATTGCTGACTGATTTCACATTGATATTTTCACAAACTTTCTTATGTTTTAACTTGAATTTGAAATATTTTTGCATCTTTTCAAAAGCACTGGAAGCATAAAATTTACAAGGCCTTGGAGGGAGAAAACATATTCAAGATTAGGAAACATAGTTAGAGTTTTTGATAAATAAAATTACCTCAAAAATGTCATAAGAAACACATCAGCTTCTTTTGGAAATGTGAAATCTTTTTCAGCTAGAAGCAAAACAATGAATAAATTAGTAATGAATAATATCTGACATTAATTTCAAAGAATTAAAAATCGAATGACGTTTGTCAGCTCGGGAAGTAAATTAAAAAGAAGTTTTGAGCTGAAGCAGTGAGAAAGATAATTAAAATTTTAATTTTTTATTTATTTTAGCATTTACGTAATAGACAGTCTTAAGATTACCACAATTTTGAAGTTTAACTTTATTTTAGCACCCGAGAAAAAAATATTTAATTGCTGTGAATGTCATGATTAGGACTGTTAAATTTTGAGAACATTCACAACATTAGTTAATCTAGTTAACGTGTTAAATAATGCCCAACAACAACAGAAAAAAAGTCTCATAAAACCATTTCGACATCTCATCCAAGCTAGTTTATATTTTTCTATTATTTAAGGTCTAACGCACAGCAAAAGTTACTTTCTACGGCATTTTCGGCGTTCAATGTCATATCGCCTAATTGAAACAGCAGCAAGTTTTATGATGTTGCAACTCTCACATTGAAATGAGATATTTTGGCAATTCTTGTAAACTTTTAATCAAAATTTACTTTCAATTATTATTGCAATTGCGTTGTTCGATATGATTGCAAAATCATTTAGAAGCAATAAAGTTTCTCTTATCAGGATGCTTTTAGTTGGCCTAGTTTCATTTCATAAACATCTATGCATTTCGTAAGAATGCGAACGGAAATGATGAGATTACAACAACTTTGTAAAATCTAAATTCATTGAAATCAATAATTCAATGCAACTTTCAATTATAATTATTAGTTTACCTTCGATCAATCGTCTGAGTTCGTGTAAACCTTTTTCGATATTCTCTGGGGATTCCCTTAACTCTGTCTTAGCCTTTTCAATATACTTTTCATCTGAAAGATCTTCATACTCTAATCGAATGATGTATCCATCTCCTAAATCAATGTAAGGAATTTTATCCTCTCCAACCTTGATAGACATACTTTTCTATCTTTTTCTTAATATCACTCTCAATGAAACAAAGTCTAACTAACAAATGTAAACCTAAAAAATATTGTGATGGAAATTTTCAATCAACCTTTTAGCGTCTTCTTCAGTTAAAAACTAAACAATGAATACTCACGATCAGAAATTCAATGAACATTTATTCGCCGCTCTGGCGCTCTACACTTGAAGTCTCATTGTTTATGTATTGAGTTGCGTTTTGGATTATATTCTCAGTTGAAGTTTACAGCTGAGATTGAATTATTTTTACACCAATACAGAAATAAAATTTGTAGGTTCAATTTTTGGTAAATATTTACTTAAATGGATAAGTTATTAAACAGTTTCATTCTACGTCACAACAATTTCTTCTTTTGTTGTTTTTTTATTTCTACTTGTTAACCTTCCGTATTATTCAATTCAATAGTTGATAAAAAACTAAGCAACCATTGAGAAGGAAATAATTCTAACTTGCCTCCTCTTGAGCTTACAATCTAAACAGATGTTTGTGACGTCATGGAATAAAAGCTTTTAAAAGCTCACATCATAGTTCTGTAAGTTCAGATAATTGTGAATGTAGAAATTAAAAAAAGCTTAATGGAAAAACAAAGTTCTTTAATTCTGACAAAACTTTTAAGCATCATACATAAAATCACATCACAATCTTAAATTTAAACATTAAATGTTGGAGGAATATCTGGGAACATTTCATCGAAACTTGCAGTCTCGACAATTTCGTTAGCTGTTTTCGTAAAGATCTCAGCGAGATTCTTCTCCAATCCTGGGATGATTTCAGAAAGGAAGATTTCACTGTTTTCATTAATGAATTGGTTTCCAATTTGTCCTAAGTTAGGATCACCATTGAACAAGTTATTTAAGTGAAGTTTGTGCTTTCCAATTTGGATTTTAAGATTAAATCTCTCAAACTTGAGATAAGTCTGTCCATTCTTTTGATATTTATTCGCATGCATTTTGACTCTTGCCCGTGAATTTTCGAAACTTCCATTCATATCACCTTTACCTTGAATATTCAACACTTGAATAAAACAAAAATTTCAATTATTATGTGGAATGCATTCAAATCTTTTGTTTATTACTCACGTAGAATGTTTATCTTGAGACTATATTTACCAACGAAGTTCAATTTCGGTATGTTAATAATGAAATCAAAAGTTCCATTATCAAGATTCACTCTGAAAGAAATCATAAAAGATTAGAAATTGTTGATGAACTGACCATGCCCAACATCTTACACTTTAATTGATAACATTGTTAATAACTCCAAACTCACCTCATTTTCTCGATATTGAAACTACTCGGACCAGTCACTAATAAATTTGTAAAATGTGCTTTAAATTCCTGTCCTCTCTCCATTCGAATACTGATAAAAGAATAAAGTAAAACAAAATGAAAACAAATAAAAAATTATTGACAAAAGATTATTGATTCTATTCTTCAACAAAATTATCGCCTCAATATGACATTGAAATTCCAATTGCGCAATTCACCAAAAAAACTATTCAAAACATCCATTACTCACTTATCTAACGCAAGAGGTTCAAGAGCCTAAAGATCGAAACAAATTTATTTTGTTAAGAAACCATAAAATGGGAAATAAAAATTATATTTTATGACTTACAGGTACAACAAAGTCAGGGTCTAATTGTCCCGATGCTAACCGTGGTTGTAGTTCTTTAACTGATGCAATGATACATTGATTCAAATTTGGTTCATTTCTTGAACAAACGCGAATTGAAGCAGCTAAGATGGATTAGAATTTCGTGTCAATATAATGATAATTATGTCAAGGTTAACTATTAATTGTTTCCTTACGTAACTTCCCGGTACATAAAGTAACAGATGCAAGTAATCCAAAAAATATTAAGGCTTTCATGATTCCACTTTATTAATTAATTAATTTATTCAAACTCTTTTGAATTTTTTCTTTTTTCAATAATTATTGCACAATGATTTTAATTAATTATTACTAGACTAACTGTAAGTATGATCTATCAACTCTTCTCAGAAGTTAAAAATCAAAACTAACGATGAATATAAACGATGATTTCGTTTTTATATTCAACACAAATACTAGCACAATTTTTAATGTTTATTACGATATTCCTACCGCAAAAAAAAAGCTTCTATAGCGAGTCTTTTTTATTCTTTTCTAGGTAGAGAAGATATACCAATTGAATGGATGTTTGATTATGGTTAATCGGCAAGTTAATCATTACTGAGACACTAGTTTTTTATATTCCACTTTGGTTCGTGACACTAAGTTGTGGGAGATACACATTGGTTGGTTCACTTCCTTTACTTAAAACATTTGTGTTAATTTAACATTCAACTGGTATGAAGTTTTTAAGTGCACGACAATTGATTGATGTTGGGTTTGAACACTTTTTTTTCTTCTTCATTAATAATTTCTTTCATGTACTAACCTTTCCAATGATATTCGCAAATTTATTCACTGAATTTGTTGTTTCATTCTGACAACTCTTTTTTCACGCTTTATAAATTACATTAGACTTTGCTTTGTTATGGACAATTTGTTTACGAAAGATGGACTGAGGATTACCTGGAAGCATGAATCATTCATTCGATTCTTTACATATGCACAAATCCCTTTCAATTTGATGTGGAAAGTCCCAAAACAGTTCAAGTCAAGGTTGGGAACAAAGACGATATTCTAGTTCTTGCGCGTTGCTAATGACAATGAACTTTACCGGTTTTTCCCCTTATTTTTTATTAAACGAATCGATATTTTGTTTATATTATTTTTATTGGAAAATATTTATGTGTATCGATATCACATCGTTCTACAACTTTATTTGACAGTGGCAAGACAAGTCTCATTTTTTATGTTTCTGGAAATATCTCATCATAAGTGGAATCTTTTAAAATATTATTAACGATATCAGTGAAAATTCGACTTAAGGAATCCTCGAGACCAGGCACAAGTTCTTCCAGAAATATTTTGTAGTTATCATTGATTAATTTGTTACCAAAGCTGCTTAACAGAAGACTTTCCATTTGAAAATATGCGTAATCAACGTTTAGTTTCACCACCAACTTAAACTCTGTGAAGCCTTCTCGTGATGATGACGGCGTGCCAACAGCATTGACTTTAGCAATTGAGTTTTCTTAAAAAGTTTATTTAAACTGTCATCATAAATGAATCGTAAATTAATTTTTGTGACTTACTAAATGCTCCCTTAAATTTACCATTCCCGGATATTTTCACAAGAAGCTTCAAAGCTATGGAATAATCGCCATTGAACTCCAAAAATGGCAACTCTAAGTCGAAAGTGAATGTTTTGTTGTCAACATTTGCTCTGTAAATATGAACATTTAAATCTGTGAAGATATTAAAAAACATCACAAAAATTCCACCAAATCTACCGTAAATTCTTCAAAACAAATTGACTTGGACCAGCAACAAATAAGTTTTTGAAACTCGCTTTAAAGTCACTTCCTCGATGCATTTTAATCTCGTCGATAAACATTGGTTCGATTTTTGGTATCGTAAAGTTCTCACCGAAATCTCCATTTGCTAAATTATTTCTCAAAAGTTCTATTGATTTGCATATACAATCATTCATGTCAATTGAAGATTTAGGACATTTTCTTATCACATCAGCTAATCAAACAATGAAAATTTATAAGCAAATGAATGAACTTTGTTTTTAGACTTGAATTGACTTACGTAATATCGCCTGATAACAACAAATGAAACATAAAAACACTGCAATATAAATTATTTTAATCATTTTAAGATTTATATTTAAAATCTAAGATGATTCTTCATGAACTCTGTTCACACAATATCAGCAAAACTGAAGTAACGAAAGTCTAAATTACCTTTAAATTGAATTAAGGTTGTGCACACATTCAACGTCTTTAATCGAAATGATCTCACACAAGTTTTATGTTGACTGATTTTATGTACAGCATTTTTTATGCTTTAAAACAACATAAGAAAATGAAATGAAACAAAAACAGTTGAATTTGCGTCAAAGCGTTTCTTTTTTATTTTCTTTTCTAATCATTTTTATAATTTTTTTTCATCTTCCTTTTTTCTTATTTTATTCATAAAATTTAAAATTTTCAATTTCATATTACTGAACATTTCATCAACTTTTTCAATTTGTGATCAGAAGAAATGATAAATTTTATAAAATGTTGAACATTTGATAAATTTAATTTGGTCACAATTTGAATTAGAGCCTCGAAAAAGCACTCATGTTATAAAATCTGTTGCAAGTGAAGTGTACGCTTCAAATGTTTCATTATTTATTAATGTTAAAAACAATAAGATTCAAAAATTTATGTTTATACGTTTAAGAAAAATGAAAAAGATGCTTGACAAGTCATGCTAGAATAATATCATTTAAATGTGCCTTTTACTTTGCATTACCTTGGAGTTAGATTAATAATTTTTTATTTGTCTTTACTAATATGCAGACGAAACAGTTGAGTTTGTCTGGCGATGCTCCAAATCAATCTGCTCAAGCAAAGGGACTTGTGATTCTTTCGATGCAACGTAAAAAAGTTTTTCCTAAAATAGTTTGATTATTGAGAATAAATATTTATGAAAATATAGTTTTGTGAACATTTAGATTTTCTGCAGGAAAGCTGGATTTTATGATTTGACTTTAATAATGTATTCTTTATTTTATGTGGAATATATTGAAGTATCTAATTGTGTTGTAATATTGCTCAATACTTATTTGGAATGATTATTATAATTTTTTAATCATTTTCCCTTAAATCAACCACCTTGACCACCACGATCATCACAACAATCATCTTTTCCCACCTATCAAAGATTAAATGTAATAGAAGGAAAACACATTTGTACTTAATGTTTTTTAATATCCATTTTTAAGAAGATGCAGTAAATATGCAAAAGATTCATTGTGAAAGATGAAGGAAAAAAGCTTTTTCTTAAATTTTGATCTTTTAAGCAATTAAGAATTTAAATTGAAAATAAGATTGTGTTGCTTAATGGATATCTGCAATGAAATTGTTTATTGAATTATTTGATATAATAATATCTTTGACAAGCGATGTTTAAATAAAGTTGCATGAAAGTACTATATGAGCAATATACATAAAAGATGTAGAGATGTACAGATAAAGTCTCATATATCTAACACGCGTTCTTTAAAAAGATTTCAATTTTCGATATTTTTAATCCTAAAGAATTCTTTAATCTAATCCTGAAAGAATCTTTAATCTAACCCTGAAACGATCTTTGATCTTTTAGGACTTATTGTCGAATTTCAAGCCTTTTAAATCTCTATTATTGCTTACAATATTTATTTTAATAATCTCACGTGTTATATAAGACTTTGACTGTTTAAAGAAAATTGGACCGAAAGATAAAATAATCGTGCAGAAAAATCATAAAATCTCGAAGATTAAATAGACAAGGAAGTAAAGAAACGCTTGACTTACCTTTGAATCAATGAGAAGATCTACCTTGTCGTAAATGATTGCATGCAAGCCTTTGTCTTTGAGAAATTTTATTGTGTCTTTACAATTATTGTCGTCACCCCAGCAAAAAATTACTAAGCCCATATCTTTTGCCAAATTCACTTGAGTAATATCCCTAAAAATAAAAATGAGAAAATTTCTTTTGTAAACATTTCTTTTAAATCTTTTAATTGTTTTTCTCACTTCAAGAGATCCTCAGTATGAGCTACAATACCAAGAAGTTCATTGGCCACAGCAAATTTCAAGCCATTCTGGATTGTGTTGCAACATCTTAAAGAACATTAAAAAATTATTTAAAAGGTGTTAAAAGCAGAAATCTTAAAATAAAAAACCAGAAAATATCGAAGGCATATTTTTCATTTCGCTATAAAAGCAATAAAACTAATTCAGATAAGCAGATATCTTCATTCTTTCCGTGTTTTCTATTTTTGTTTCATTCACATTTCAAAATATTTTAGAGAAAAGGTCATTGCACGAATTATCAGCTGAATTATTTTTATACGAATGTTTAATTATTTTCTTTCGAAAATTGACGTGTTTATCATCAACGAAAATAAAAGTGAAGTCTGATAATTCACAAAATTAACTTCAGCTCTTGAAAAAAAATTCATCCTTTGAATATTTAAAATTTATTAATTATTGAATACTTACGGATTGTAATACTTTGGATATTTCTTGGTTTGTCCCATTGTTAAAAACATAACAGGATAGAGATTTTGTTTATTGCGCAACATAACACAAATATCAGCATCAAAGCAAGAGAAAATAATTTTTCGTTTGCCGGCTTTTGCTAAAACAACATCAACGATGCAATCGACGTATAAATTTTTATCTATATTTGAGTGATTATCCTCAGGTAAGCCGTTTTCAAGCAGTTGAGCCCATTTGATTTCGATATTGAATCCTGTTTTCTCATCAATCATTGTCAAAGCTTCCGACAGTTCTGGAAACGGTTGATGTTCAGCTAAATCTTCATCGAAAAATTTCGGCTCACGACTGCGTCCCTCAACAACGTGATAAACTTTTAAATTTTTTAATTGCTCCAACGTAAGCTCTCGCATTGGCAGTTCAAGCATGTCATGTGCATCAAACGTTGCTTTCTTCTTCAATGACACGTACACATGAAAATCATGATAGATGACCTTGAAAGGAATTAAAAATTAATCTAATTAAACATGAAAAGGGGGAAATAAACTTACGGGTAGTAAATCCTTAGATAATTGAACCTGTGAAGGCAAATATTTTAAAAATAAATTTCCTTAAAATTCTTCATAAAATAAAAACTTACATCAAACTCAACAAAATCGGCACCAGATTCAGCTGCTCGTTTAAGTGATGCGATTGTATTTTCACGAATATTACCACCACTTGTTACTTTGAAAGAAGTTCCTGATCCACGATGACCCACATCAAGACCCGTCCATTTTTCATTCCAATAACGAATGAAAGACATCTTTGAATGAAATATTCGAAAATGAACTTCTTATCATGAGTGACGTCTTATCTTACCTTCAAGTCACATCTTGGATCGTTCAAAGGCGTGATTTTAAGAAATTCTATCTTCATCATCCCTAATGGACGATGCTTCGAAGCACACGTGATCGGAAGCTCAAGTTGACCTTCGGATTTCTTCAACAAATTTGGTAGTAAATAATGATAACCGAAATGATAAGGCGGCAAACTATCGTCAGAATGTTTTTTATATGTGTACAGATCAATCAGATACGCAATATTTTCTGGTTCGGTTACAGTTATGTGAAAAACGAGAATATCGTCTTTCTGATAAACACGACCAAATTGCTCTTGACGTTGAAAATTAAAGTCGTCATTGTTGAGTGTTGCCACTTCTGAAAATGCATAAGCTGGCTGTTCATTGGTATTCTCTCGAGTATCATTTGACAACGACTCCTCCATGACTGAATGTAAGTTAGACGACTCGGCATTTATGCGCAAATTCATTGCAGTCAGCTGAAAAGATTCAATCGTATACGAGGCCACAAAGAGCCCTTTCTTGGAGCATGTTTTACCTTTACAAACAACAATCGGTTTTTCAAACGCTCCTTTAAGTTGAATGGGTTGTTAAAGAATTTAAGCTCCAGCACTGTCTCATTTGTCAGCCAGCCTTTATCGAACTTTTCAACACCTTCAACAACCCCAAACGTTTCACTCTGACTCAACTCTTGCGGCTCGCTGCTTTTAAGAATTGTCCTTGGATTAATGTGCGTTTCAAAGCGTCTAACATGAACACTTGTTTGATTTGAAGGATCGATAGAAGCAACAAAATAACGATAGTTGACGTCAACATCGCAAGGAATGTTAACTTGAATACTCCAGACGTTTTCTGCCAATATAAAAACATTACATTAGTTTAGTTGGAAAATATTTATGTCAATAAACAAATTAGCCCTTGAAAAAACCGGCTGTACGAGTTTTTTTTATCTTGCCATCCCACCTTCTGCTAGATTGAAGCTTTGAAATTTAGAACATAGATCAATGATCAAGTTTTAATTTATTCTTTATTAATTATAAAGATATTTGAAAACAACGACATGAATGGAAATGTCGCAGCAATTTTTTCATCAACAAAAAGCTGAATAAATGAGAAAAAAAAATTATTTGCCTGAGTTTCTCACACAAATTGTTTACATCATGTGAACTACATTAAAGTTTTCTTCTTTCTTGTTTTTAAGTCACATTTTCTTATTTTGAAATGATAGCAAATGAAAGAAATGAAGAGGTTTAAGAGATCCTCAACCAAAAGATGTCAAGTGAAGGAAAATGAGAGGAAAAAAATAGAAATGGCATTGGATAACTGATGACGATCGGCTTCAAAAGTTAAAATAGCGAAAAAATCATTCGTTTTAAGCATGAATTTGTCTATGTCTATATAGAGTTTCCTTGAACTTCGGCGAAGCACGTGCTCGTGTTTACGAAACACGAGATACATTTTCGTTTCGTCAAATTAATGTACTTGTGCGCAAGTTCACAACGTTCGTTGCCTTTCGCAGATAAAACGACTAAAATTATTAAAGATTTTCGGTCAAAAAGAAATGAATCAGCTGTTGCAATCTTCTGTGTGCTAAATTTCTTAAATGTTATTTTCTTTAACAGCAAACCTGTTAATCAAGCTTTCAAGCATGTCATTAAACTATCTGGCAAAATCGACAGACATTCAAAAATCTTAAAAACTGTACTTGCCATTCATAAGCCGTTTAACGACGACAACAAAAAAATTCAACTTAGTCGACAAATTTTATCGTAAAATCGCGCAAAAAAAAATCGGAGACAACGGTGTGCGAATTTCTTTCAATATTGATAAAAATAGACTCGACAAAACTACTCGTCTGGCAAAATTGAAACCACGTTTAAAACTTTTTTCTTTATCATTTTTCTTAATTTGCTAAGAAATTGATTTGCATATTAGTATTTGAAGTTGTCTGACAATTTAATTTGTTTTTGAGACTTACTAATAGTCATAGTTGCTTAGTATTGCGAATACTGAAATTTTTTGTAATTTGAGATTATTCTCACAACATACTTATGTATCATGTTTCCTAGAATTGATAAAATCAGATTTAATTTTGTTTACCTTCTTCCTTGTTAAGCAGAACTGCTTGATCAGGATCCCAATTGCCAAGCTCATCACAATCTCCTGTTAGTGCGATTTTTTCATAAACATTCAATTCAAGCTGACTGACGAGAACTCTAAAGGTCCATTTTTTATGAGTTATTACATCACTTCTCTTGCTTGGTGACTTTTTTGATTTTTGAACTTTATCTCTTCCATTGGAAGCATTATCCAAATACCACCAACGCTCCATTGCTATTCTTTTCCGATCACGATTAACTGCAATTTCATGTAAACAAAAATCGTACGATGATCAGCAATATTCCCTTAGTGACTAACAACAAAGTCGACGAGTTCTTTGTTTTAAACTTCTTTTCATATTATTATCGGAAAGCACTTATGGTGTATCTTATATTTTCATTAATTTAAAAACAAATTAATTTTTAAAGTGTCTAGATAAAGCCGGATAAGAATATCGTATCCGTTCATCATGTTTAAAAGCTCTTTAAAAGCAATAAACTCATAATTTACGAAGTTTATTGATTTTAAATGGAATTTTTGATGGAACTACGTAGAAATGTTTCTTCTTTTTGTTGCAAGTCAGATAACCTCATGAAAGTTAAAAAAATGAATAAAAACACAGTTGTAATGGCCTCCACGGATAAAGACTTTGTTTAAAACACTTTCACATCGACATTTCACAAATTTTAATATAAAAACACATTGCATTCGCGAAATTTTACCTCTAGACAAAGAAGCGATTTTAAATTGGTGACGAAATAAATTTTTCTTGTAATCTGGATCGAAATTTGAATATATTTAATGTTCACTACGTTCTTAAGTAGTGCAGTAAATACTATGAAGCCTCAAGATGGTGATTTGTTTCACTGAATTTCATTTTTGCTACTGGTGGGAAAGCTACTAATTCGCAAAAATTTATTATTTTCTTATCGTTTATGACAGACTTATATTGGTACAACTACCACTACGTTACGTTGTTTTGTTTACGTTACGTTGAAACGTAACTGTTGTTTGCTTTCAAATTCTCTAAGAAAGTTTTTGATAATTAGGTAATAAACATTCGTAAGAATGTTGAATGCCACAACAGAACAATAACAATAAATAATTAACCCATTTCTTTTTATAATGATTTTTAATAAAAGCAGAAACAAAAACACTTTTTTACTATTACTTATAAAATGATTTTCCATCTGGAAAATATTCGAATTTTCATCCCCTTAAATTATCGATTTTTTCTTTATTTTATTTCCCTGTTTGGATTTTTTTAAGTAACAACTTGATTTCTAAAAAAACGTGATTAAAATAGACTATTGAGGAAATGTCACAATCGACACTTCCAAATATCAAGTTAAGCTTGCCACACAGTCGATTTAAAAATTCTTTAACTCAGCTAAGTGATTTTTTTAGTGAATTTGGCCCACTTTCACCAGCTGTTAATCATGATAGGTACTAAAATTTCATAAATAAATTACTTCCTGTTAAACGAGAATTTAATTTAATATTCCCAAACTTTGAAACAATATTCTGTGTAGGCCTGAGAGATCACTTCATATGCGTCTTTACACGCTGGATAAAAGGAATTTTGTTTTGGTCATTATGGCGTTTTTTGCGTGTTTCAGCCTTGGAATATTCATTGGATTAGCAGGCCCAGACATAACACTAATCAAGGAGATAAATGCAATGTCTTTAGTAAACAGTTCGCAAGATGATTTTCTCGCAAATGGACCTTTTGTCATTCAAACCCAACTACTTGGGACGTATTCACGACAATTATGGTTGTTCGCGAAATATAAAATAGAAAGCACAGATAGTGAGATAATTTATTCTTAATAATATTTCGATGCGATTTTGTAATCTTAAAATAATTCTAGATGAAATTTTTGATACATCGTTCAATGTAAATGTGATAATAAAAGGACTGGAAGATGAGACACTCGTGGAGCTTGATGAATATTCTACAATTAATCGTACGAGACATTTGAAGTGCAAAGGAAATCATTGTGAAGAGTTTACCATCGTTCATTTAGCATGGTTGGAATATTCACATTATCAATTTAATGTTCACTTTTATGGATTAACTCATAAAAGATATAATATCAACAAATTAACATTTTACGTAAGAATAACAAATGTTATTCGATATTTAAAAACATATTTAATGAAGTGAATAATTTCTTTATAGATAAAAACGTTCAACCCCGCTTATACATCTTTAGAAATAAGTTTTCGTCTTATATTCTTATTCTTCGCATTTATTACACTTTGCTGGTTCTACCACACGCTGAAGAAGCATCCAATAACTATATGGTCGATTGAACAAAAATTCACATTCATCCTTCTTCCCATGTTGATTTTATTTAACAGTAAGTGAGAATAATAATTTAATTTCAAGATGCTTTCATCATTTCTCTTTGAAGATCCGTTATTTCCACTGATGTTTCTGTGTAACTCGATGATTGTTGGAATGATCGATGCTTTATTTCAAACAACATTTCTATGTGCACTGCTGCTTTTTTGGTAAATTTATCATATTTATGAAACATGAATTGTCACAAAAACAATTAATGAAAATATTTATTCACTTCAGGGTAACAGTTTATCATGCTCTACGACAAAATCTGAGATCGTTTTTCAGTTTTTATCTTCCTAAAATTCTCATTTTGTCACCGATTTGGCTTTGTGCTTTAACACTTGCTACTTGGGAGAAATGTTCAGAACTGAGAGATCCAACATGGATACATTTTGTTGATGGAAATTATGGTGGATTTAAAACATTCTTCTATATATCAGTAGCTATGTACATCATCTACTTGCTGTTCTTAATATTCAGTGCTTATAGTGATTTACGAACAATGCAGTACTTTGACATGCGACTTAAATTTTTGTCACTTCTCATGATATTTGTTATGGTTGTGACTGTTTGGACAACAATCTCAAGATTCGGTGGGATTGGAATCGTTGAAGACAACTTTGTCGGACAATTGTCAACCACCTACAAAAGTTCAGCACATTTTATGTGCTTCTATGGAATGATCAACTTTTACATCATAACAATGAGTTATGTTTATAGCCCGGTGTCAACATTAAACGGTAAACTAAAGAAATTGATTTAACTCAATAACTTTATTCCTTTATTTCATTTCAGAACCTGTAAGAAAAGATAATCCGGCATTCTCAATGATTAATGATTCTGACGAAGAGGTAATTTATGGCTCAGAAGATGATTCACGAAGGCCTCTCAATTGTGCAAATAAAACAAACGATTATGACAGCGATTAAATGTTTAAATGTTAGAAAATTAAAAACATGTGAGTTTAGAAATATAATCAATAAAAAGTATACAATTCATGGTTTATGTTTGAAAACAATTATGCAAAATTGAATGATCAAAAAACGAATTGCTGACAGCACGTACTAAGAAATATTCCCGAAAAAAGTTAACCGCGCTTCTGCTACTCAAGCCACCTGTTGATTGGTTTGCACAAAAAAGAAACATTGAACAATCTATTGAAGTCTACATGTGTTCGCGTTTAAAATGCTGAACATGTTTAAAGAATTAAAATGCTAGGTGATATTGCGACACAAGTTATTTCTCTCTTCTATACCATTGCACTAAAAATATAAGTAGAGTTGTAGTTAAGCTCACCAATACCAGCTTTTTCTTTCATTCAATTCAACATTTACCGTCTAGTCGAGTTTGGATTTTATCCACGTTAACACATCACTGAATTTTTTTCTGCTTCGTGTCACATTTACTAAAGCAAAAACTTCTAAGTATTTTTAACAAAATAAGTTGATTATTAAGATAAGGAAAAATAAAATATTTGAATAACTTGATATTCGGTGAACAGTTCAAGAAGATATGTTGTGAAAAATGTCGGAAGAGAACAAAAAGCTATCAAAAGCTCTTGATGATCCACTCACCAACCGTGACCCAAATAAACAAGAATGGGTGAAGTTTGAAGAAGAAGATAACAATGTTAGTACATCAATTCCATCTCCAAACGATGCGAAGGTAATTTTTTTATATCCCAACATTGCTCACGATCATCATCATCATCATCATACATGATCAATGAATGAATTGAATGATTCATAATCACAGGTTTGAATATAAAAAGTAAATAAATAAATTTTTTCATCAACAGGAATTATCGCCAACAACATTGAACAAACAATTAACAGATTCTGCTCCGGCAGTATTGGATACCGAGTCGATTCATGTGACGATTGAAAGTACACCAAAAACAAAAGATGTTGGTAGTCAAAATGGTAACAATAAAATTTCTAAACCTCCTGAAAATATTTCACCAGTTATGCGAACAGTTGAATTAGGAACAGAAAGAATTCAAGAAGGTTTTGGTAAGTTTTTTGCATTTAGTCAACGCTTTGATTTGATTTAATTAAAATTTTAGTTAATGGAGAAATTATTGTTACGCTTCTTCCTGTTAATGAAAGTTTTGCATGGATAACTCCTGCTGTATTCCGTCCTGAATTGGTACCTGAAGAGTTAATGGCTGAAGGTTTGACTGTAAATATTTTTATCAGATTCTTATCAATTTAAAGGCAAATGTTTACATTTTTACTTTATTTGTCTTCTTTCAGCTAACTGTCGAGGAATATGTTCATGCAATGGAAACTTTAGTTAACGATTACAGATTTACTGCTTATAATATTTGTTATAAGCGTGTATTAATGCTTTGGATAATTCTTGCATTTTGCGTTCTTCTTGGACTTCTTTTCTCTGGTATCACTGGAATTCTTCTTTTCTCGTTGGGCGTTGCTTGGCTATTTCTAAATGCAACAGCAATATTCATTTGCATGTGGATTAAGTTAAAATTGGCACGGGGTTTGGAAAAGTGTCTCGCCCGAGTTAATAGCCAATTAATGAAGCACAAAATAGTTATTGCCTTAGACGACAGGGGAAATATTTCGTGTCACAAAATAAACCTTTGTTTCATTTATTTCGATCCAACACAATGCATTAAGTATTATAATTCAAATTTACAATGCTATTCATTTGATTAACGACTGAATATTCATAGTTACATAAACAGTTTCATTGAGAGAAATGAACAGAATGGAGCGCCAGTGAACCCTGGTTGGGAATCTCGTTTAGATATTGAAGCAAATGACATTGTTATTCAGGGAAGCAGCAGCAGAAGAGTACCAAGAAAACAGGTAAAATTTTATTACAATTTAAGAAATCTTTTCATTAGTGCGATGAGAAAACAATTCCATTCAACATTGAATTTGAAATGCAGGAACTGGCGGAAAAGGTTTGCTTACGATACTTGCAACGATGGGGAAAAGATCTTTTAAGGCATCGTTTAGATTGGCAAATGACTGAAGACGGTGTTTCTTCTCAACCTCGACATCTTCGCGTTTCTTACTGCTTGTGTCAATATGTAGAAGAAATTCTGGTCTCAAAAATCCCAAAAATTTCAAGCAACAATTCGTCAAGTTGTTGCTGTTGTACTTCAGTTAATCACCAGATGTCGAAACTTGGGTTTAATTTATGCTGAAGGAACTTTTTAAGTTCTTTAATTGTTTTACTTTCAAAATAGTATTCAAACTTAATTTTCTCTTTTCTTTGAAAGATAAATTGATTGACTATGAATAAAATTAAGTAAATTACGAAAAATTCATACAAATGCTTGTTTCAGAATCGTGGGGAACAAATGGTTTTGCGTTACATTTCGCGTTGGGGTCATGAGATGCTGAGAAATTGGCTTAAAGTTACTAATGAAGAACCAGGTCGACATATGGTGAAGAATTTGTGTCCTTGTCAATTTATTGTTAGCCATTTGGAATACAAACCTAAAGGTTAGTAGGAAAATAATTTAAAGAACTCATAAGATTAGACCAAGCGAAAATGTGAAATCTAATCTGGCAATTACATGTAATGTTCATGATGTAGTTTGTTTTAAATGTATTATTTTGTTCAATTTCTTAGGTGCTGGTTACTGTTTTTGTTATCCATCGTACACTGAAGAAAACAATTTTTTGTATCCGTGTTAATCCATGTCAGTAATAAAAACAATCTTTTTTGTTTTGCATTCTTATTTGTGTTTTTATTTGAAAACGTTTCATTTAGGTGATTTAAGCTTTTGAATTCTCTCAAGATTGTCTTGAATTTCTTGGAGAAGGGCATTTCGTTTAGATTCAACGTCATCTTTCTGCTGTGATACTTCATCTTTCACTTCGTTTAAGTTAGCTTTAATTTTTTCCATATTCTCAATTTGAAGTTTATTAGCTTCGAAGCAACCCCACCATTGGTTTAAGCTTAAGTTATCAATGTCTTCTGAATGTTTTAAATCGTCAGCTACTTGTGTTCGATTAACTTTAAGTTTTGTATGACAAAATGTTTCCAAATCCTCTTGAATCTCTTGCATTGTCATTACTTTTGGGGGATCTTCTAATTTTTTTGATGAGAATTTGAACATTATAAGGCAATATGCAATGTTGTGATATGAATTGTAATCGAAACTCGGATAAATTTTTATGATTAAGGGGTGTTTGACTAAAGAGGTGTCGTTTTAAGATTTCCTAAAATACCTTTTGTACACCCCTCAGATAGAGAAAAAATAATTTAAAGACGAGAATATTTATAGTAAAATAAATTAATTTAATTAAGTTAATTCTGGTGAGTAAATATCAAAGATTCATCAATAGTACTATAAACCTACAAATAGAGAATACAATCTTCTTAAATTCTATTTTAATCTTTCCTTTTTTAGTGATTTTTTTCAATTTTATTTTATTTTTCCAAAAATATTCATGATAACCTAGTTAATTTAATTTAAATTTTATTCTATAATTTTCCTATCAGCAAAATGAAATTCGTTTGGATACTTTTCATAACTATTCACTGGGCAATAATCATTAATGGATTGGATCAAGAGGATAATGATTTTGCCGATTTTGAGTTTTACGACGACGAAGCAGCAACAGTTGAAGTGAACAAAGCTCCAGGAGCTAAAGGAGGTGCAAAGGACACAAAAACAAATGAAGATTTCATCGAACTTGATGATAGTGATGATGGAATTGTTGAGGACGATGAATTTGATCATTTCTCCGATAAAGACGAATTTGAAGGTTTCGCTGGGTCAGACGATGCTTTGCCTTTAGATAAGAAAACGAAAGAACCCAAATTGACAATAGCCAAAGTCCCTTTACATTTTCGTAAATGGGATTCTTATTGGATTGAAATGTTATTCTTATTGGGTTTGATGGTTTACTTTGTGAACTACGCGATGGGTAAAAGCAAGAATGTCAAGATCGCCAATGCCTGGTTGAATGCTCACAAAAGTTTCTTAGAAGAGAATTTCGCTCTTGTTGGTGATGACGGCAAAAAAGAAACAGATTATTCAGAAACAGGAATTATGTTGAAAGAATCAGATTCCGTCTTCACTTTATGGTGTTCAGGACGTGTTTGTTGTGAAGGGATGTTAGTTGAGCTTAAATTGATCAAACGACAAGATTTATTGTCATTAACAATAGGACTTTTAAGTGCAAAAAATCAAGATCAAGTTGTTGTTAAAGCTGAGATTAGTAAAGATTCAATGGATTCGTTTGTTTTTGCTGTTTCCACTAAAAAGTGTGCAACAAAATTATTCAAAGACATGAGTGATTTGGTAAGAACTTTATTGATTTATTTTTAATTCAATTTATTTATTTCACCCTCTGAAAATCATAGAAACAATATTGTGTGTCTGTTGCTAAGGCTGATGAAAAATATAATCTTCCAACTGGATACTCAGTTCTGTCGGAACTTGCAGAAGCTTCTTCTGCCATTCTTGATGCTCGTCTTGTTGCCATGCTTCATAAATACAATAATGTTATTGAATCTATTCATATTTCTGATCAATATGTTGGTGTTCAAGTTGAACAAGAAGGACCCGTCATGAAACAACCGGAAACAAAGAAAATGTTGATCGTTTCATTTTTCATATCGGAAAAGACTGACATGGAGGAATTCCGACCACTTTTGCAGCTAGTCATTTATTTAATAGGTAAAATATCAACATTAACAAAAGTTTTAACTCATGAGATTCATTTAAATTTTTACAGATAAATTGAAGAGATTTAAATTGTCACGTGAGGTGAGATAATCAAATTTTGCTTTTAAGCTAATCTCCGATAATTAAATAAATAAATAATTTATAGGGTAAAATGAAAGCAGAAAAGAATCGTATGCGCGTTGAAGAAGAGTTCTTGAAGAGCTCTCATGCATTACGTATGGAGGCAGCAGCTCAGAAAAAGGAAGAAAAACGCAAGCAAGAAAAGGAGAAGATCATGAATGAAGATAATGTCGAGAAGCAAATCAAGCTTGAACGTAAGATGAAGCGTAAAGATGCTAAGAAAGCAATGCCAAAAATGAAATCAATGAGTATTCACTTGTAAACTTGGTTGTTCAATAATTTATGTTTTATGCAATCAACATTAAATACAAGTGCATAAATATGTGTAGTTGAGACATTTTTTGGAGACAGGTTAACAAATTATAATAAAGTGGAGAACCATATGAGGAAAAATGTTTAAATATTTCAGTTTTCTAATCCCCTGACTTGAATAACACTCGAATTATCGACAAATGAACTTTCAAGTTTCATATTTAAATCCACGACAATTTTACAGAAATTATTGTTACGAATGTCTGTAAAGTCAGCAAGAAAAATGTTTGGTGTTGGTTTTTCACCTTTTTTAAACTCTCCCGGAGTTTGTGCTTTAATCCATTCACTTAAATTTTTATCAACTTTCTTTGCACACGCTCTACGCAAACTTGAATAAAATCGGAAAGTAATGAAACGCACGTCAGGAGTTAAAATGCATTGAGTTATGAATCCTTGGTGTGGATGTCGACCAGATAATCTTTGCTCAAGAAATTCTTTGAGTGATCGAATACTCGTTGCATTTGCCCATGGTGTTGGGAATTCATGAGATGAGAAAAAGGCTTCAATTGTAAATAAATTTTTACGATAAATAATTATTAATTGCTTTCCCAAAGAATGAGCTGTGCCGAGAGTTAATTGATTGAGAAGCAACCCACGATTGCGTTCAAATATAATTTCACGAAATAAGTTAAGTATGAGTATAATAAGTTTATGATGATTTTGACGACTAAAGTTATAAAAGTGTTGAAAGTCCAAAATCACAAACTCCTTCGGATGTTCACGCAGAAACTTTAACAATTCGTTGAATGGTTGGGTAACTTCTTCACAAAAAAGTCCATGAACAAAGTAAACTTTTTCATCTTCTTCATCATTTGCTGCCACTCTTAAGTCAAAATATCTGAAAAACCAAAACAATATTTAAATATCACAAAGAGTTTGTCAAATTACAAACCTTATACCACTGTTGAGTTGATCTCTAAATGAAAACTTTTGTGTTTTCGCCCATCTAATAACAAAGCAAGGAATGAATGGATAAATCTTCTTTACAATATCCTCTGCGTCTGGTGCAAGTTTTGATTTGGAATTAATTCCGTAAGTAGCCGAATCGTGACTTCCTGGTATTGCCAAATAAATTATGGGCACATTTCTTCTTACCGGTTCGGGAATATTTGTCATCCAATTTTCAAGATCAGCTGATAACATTTTATTGCTTTTTTTCTTAACAATTTAAAATTTTAACAACAGCAACTTGCTAAGGAAAACAATCGACTACAGTGATTTTGTCATGACATCAACACTAAATTAAGAATGCCCTTTGTTTTCGGTCGAGGTGCTGATTTGATTAGCTTGTTGTTCCCAAACAATGGATTTGATATCTTTAAAGTTACAATTCTTTGTTATTGTTTATAATTGTGTACTAAAAGTAATATGACTTTTAGACTTCGATGTTGTTCTGACGTAAGTTTAGATATGCGCGCTTGGTTGAGAAACTGAAAAAAACCGCAACCATGAGATTTCTAAATGAAAAAAGTTCAAAGTTGCACATTTTTAAAAGCAGTTTGTTTGCTGAATATTTAACATTCTTTAATGTTTCTAGTTAGTCAGAATCGAAAATGTTATGATTTAATCCAGCTTAGCTGAAACCGAGATTAAGATTAAACATATCGAGATTATATTAACTTTTAAACCCGATTATGTTGAATGAATTTTTCAAAGATATTTGAACTTTATTTATTTGGCATTCATTTTCAAATGAAACCTCAAATGACTTTCTTGCACAACAAAAATGATTTAAAAACTTTCACTCTGAAATAATGAAGTGTTATTGTTACTCGCAACATGTACAAATAAATGTTTCTAAACATGTGAATTCATCAACTTTTATGCTAATAAATTTGCTGCTTCTTAACTGTATAAAATAACTGAATATTCTCTAGAGCTTCATTTTGTAGACGGAAACTTAATTTATAAGGAAAACTAAAGCAATAGAGACCCTTGTGTCTTATTAGGAAAAATTAAATGATTGATTTCAAACCATTATCTCAACAATAAATTTTAACTTTGTTTCAAATGCTTTCATTTTATCATTGTTTAGTGTTTCAGATATTGTTGACAAAATAACAGTCAAAGAATCTAAAAGAAATTTTATTTAAGAATTTATGTTTAAATCGAAGAAATCAATCAAACAACTTGGCATAAAATCGAAAATAATCAGTGTTAAGGTTTTTCAAGATTTTCACCCGAGACTTTAAACATAATTTTCATGTTGTATCTAAAGTTACGCAACAAGGCTTATTAGGGTTGAAAATACCTTCCATTGATGAAATTAATGTTACATCATAATACATTTTATCAGACATGGATATTAAAATTTATTTATTGTATATTGAGCCTTACTTAATACTTCTAGTTTCAGTCTTCAGAGTGAATTAAACTGAACTAGACTTGAAATTTCTATCAGAAACTTTAAGAACATTTTAAGTCATGAACATTTTTTGTTTCATTTAATGTTGATTTTTCATGGAGCATATATAAAGAAAGGTACGATATTGCTTAAAAAAAAAATTTCCCTTAAAGTAAACATTGTTAAAATTTTACAATTTCTTACAGCTTCAATTGTGTCAGTTCCAGTTTAAAAATGGAAACATTTTGAGATTTAAATTGGATATCAATTCATAGTTATCTAGGAAAAATATTTAAAGTTGAATTCATATTTTTGATGAAAGCTTCCAAACAGAATACTTTAAAAAATTTCTGAGCTCTCAAATTGAAGCCCGGAAAAAATTCCTTTGAATTAAAATTTGATCAACTTGTGCCTTTAACTTAATATTTTCATCGTTACCATTTCAAAGTTATTTAATTTTTTTGATAATTGTTGGGGGATTCAACATGTTTTCAAAGAGTTTTAAAAAACCTGGAAATATTTTAACTTTAATTTTGGTTATTAACATCGTTCAATGTTCAGTTAGTGAGAAAGTTCCTGATAAAAATGAAACGACAACATTGAGCACAACATTATCAACTGGAATTGGTGATAAACAATTATTTATAATTTTTTTCATGATATTAATTGAAATTTAATGTACTAGCCGATGCCTTGGCAAACATATCAACGAATGTAAAAGAAAATGTGAAGAATCAAGCTGAAAGTGATTCAAATGTCTTAAGTAGTGCTTTTGTTGGAGATTTAGTTACAACATCAAAACCGAAACCAACTGAAGCATTCATGAGGTAAATAATTCTCAACAGTTAGATGCAATTCAAACCATTTCTTCTTAAATAGAAACACATCAGCTTTAGCACATTTCGATGGGGAAATAACAGAAAGTTTTATGAAGAAAATCAATCCACATTGGTTGAAATTTCCAGCACCGTCTCAAGGCGTGTTTTATTTTCTTGCTTTCATTTATTTTATTATGACGCTTGTTGGACTCTCTGGAAATGTTCTGGTCATTTACATCTATTACAAGTAATGAAACTTTCTTTTAATTTCAAATAAAGTTATTCAAATCAAATTTGTTTGATCATCTGTAGATGTTCATCTGTCAGAACACCAGCAAATAACTTTATTCTCAATTTGGCTATCAGTGATTTTATAATATTATTGGAAGCTCCAATATTCATTTATAATGCTTTGCATTTCGGACCAGCCACGGGAGAACTTGGTAAGTTATAAAACTTTCTGATTCATTTATTATGTAAAAATATTTTCCAAAATCAATAATTTCAGGCTGCAAAATTTATGGAGTGCTTGGTGGAGCAGGCGGAACTGTAAGTTTTAGTTTTTCCCTTTGAATTCATTTATACCTATTTCTTCTTTTTTTATATTAAAGCTAGCAATAATGACACTTTGCGTGATAAGTCTTGATCGATATAACGTCATTGTCTATCCATTGAATCCCTCAAGATCAACAACTAACATGAGGTCACGCATTATGATTCTTTTCGTTTGGATTTATTCGCTTCCTTTTGCATGTATGTTGACTTTGTAAATTTATTTAATAAATTAAATTAATTTCATCTTATTAGTTATACCTTTCTTTGAGTTGTTTGGTGTAAGTGGATACATTCCAGAAGGATATTTAACATGCTGCAGCTTTGATTATCTCAGCACAACATCTGCGAACTATTGGTTTATCTTCTTTTATGCAATTGTGAGCTTATCAACATTTTTATGCAAGCAATTAAAAAGAAATGAATTTCTCTTTAGATTGCATTCTTTGTGCCATTAACCGTCATTGCCTATTGTTACTTCCACATTCTGAATGTTGTCTTATCAGCAAAGAAAATTCAATCAAGTAAGGAGAAGAATAAACAGGAAGTGAAGTTAGCTGTGATAGTTATGGGCATTGTGGGATTGGTAAATAGACAAGTTTTATTAGTTTCGTATTTTACGAGTAAGTTTCGAAATGTCTTACATAATTTAATTCTTTCCGTTCAATCGACAGTGGTGCTTTGCTTGGACTCCTTATTGTGTGGTGTCTTTAGTAGGAATATTTGGGTACGGTGATTCAATATCTCCTATCGCAAGCATGATACCTGCAATTATGGCGAAGATTGCATGTTGTGGAGATCCATATCTCTATGCCGTAACTCATCCACGTTTCCGTGCGGAAATTGAGAAAATGTTTTGTTCATCTGATGGAAATTTTGCGTCTTCTTATCGTGCATCAAGAAAAAAAGATAAAGTTGAAAGTGAATGTGAAACTGTTCAGTTTGAAGAAGATACGAAGAAAAAGCGACCACTGCAACGTGCAGAAAGTTCAGTTTGTGAAGAATCAACAATTGATTAAACAATTTTAAGAATAATGAAAAAGTTTATTTTTATAATTTCTTATCTAAAGTCAGATCAACAAAAAATGTCAAAAATCTGTGAAATGAAGACCAACATTGATAAGAATGAAACTTTCATTCTTGTTGTTATAATTTGCCTAATTGAAAGACATTTCTAGTGAATTCTAAGTAGATATCAACGAATATGTGAACACATATCTAAAATCAATTTCATACAAACATTATTTGTGCTAGTTGCAACATGTTGAGATAAGGAAACTCAATTTTAGAAGATATTTTGTGAACACTGTTGACATTTTTCTTTGACATATTTTGAACTAGATCATGATTGATCATGCTTTGTTTACAAAAAAAAAGGTTTAAAACACGACGACGAACATTGCTTAACTTATGGACTAATGCCGTTGGAAGAAAAAAATAGAATTAAATTATTCTATGGGTAATAAAACCCTTAAAAAATGAAGAAAACTGTTCCTTCCATTTTCGAGGTCGTTTAACACTAGGAGATCTGCTTTAATATTTTTAATCGTTTATTAGATGAAAATTTGTGAAATTTATGTGAAAAAAGTTACCTAATAGAAATTTAATTAAAATTTGTATGAAAAGTTTTGCAATTCAAAGATGCCAAATTATTTAAAACAAGAAATCTTGTCATGAATGTTTCTTTATGTCAATGTGACTACCTAATTATAAAAATATTTAAAATATGTTTGTTAAATGTAAATCTCCACCTTCAATCTCTCTTCTTTAAGAAAAGAAAATTTCTGATAATCTGCAAGAAAATTCAAAAGAAAAGCTTCAAAAGTGACATTTCTGTCGTGTCACTTTTGAGATCTTTCAATTCACTTCCAAAACTCTTATAAAATAAATTATTGTAAGTAGCTTTAATTAATGTTTTGTAAAACAAAAAGTTAAATGAAATATAAAAAGCACATTTTGGACACACTGAAAGAGAAAAGTTTTATCAATAATCAGTTAAAACTGCTGACAAACCTTCATTAATTAAAAAACTATTTATTTATTATTCCTTTAAACATTCTTTCACAATCATTTTTTGCATTATTTACATTTCTTGCTTTTAATTGCTTTCCGATTTTTTCGTGAAGGCGACTCACTGAGATCGTCTTTTGTATAAATTTCGTTTTTAATCGAATTGGTTTTTTCCTCTTTGAAACTAAGATCGACACATTCGTCATTTATTGTTTGAACTTTATTCATCGAAATTTCTTGTTTGTCTGGTTCAGTTTTAATCACAATAACACCGATTGGTTCCTTTTTCTTCTCTTTAGTTGTGCCTTTGGAACGATCATGAATTTTCTGAAAGAATTTTGTGGTAAGATGAAGAAATCTTTGAATTTCATTGTAAATCTTACCATATGACGTTTAAGATCCCCAACGACCCTAAACTTCTTCTGACAACTTGCCACCGTACATGAATACGGTTTCTCTCCTATAATCAATCAAATCATGTGTTAATCGAGAAGAATTATTAATTAAAGATGAAAACTTACCTGTGTGAATTCTTTTGTGATTAAGAAGGTACGAAGAAGCGCGAAAACTTTTATCACAATCAGTGCATTTGTACTGGAAATGAGAAATTTAATTAAAGGATGTTTGATTTAAAATTAATTAATTAATCTTACATTTCTCTCGCCTGTATGAATTCTTCTGTGAATAACAAGAGAATATTTCCTTGCGAAAGCTTTTGCACACTGAAAATAAAATAATTAATTAATTTTAATCATTAAAAGTGTGAGAAATGAAACTTACAAACTCGCAAACATGATTCTTCTCATCAGAATGAATGCTTGTTTCATGATATTTCAAATCACCCCATTGACGGAAAGATTTTCCACATTCTGGAAATTTACACTCGTAAGGTCGATCGTCAGTGTGAAGTCTTTGATGAACCTTTAAAGCACCATTTGTTAAGAACTTCTTCCCACACTAAACGAAGACATAAGAAAATTAAATTGAGTTAATTTTTGTGAATGAATTTGACAAACCTGATCACACACAAAGCGTCTCTCTGTCGTGTGCGTTTTCAGATGATACCCCAAGGCAGTACGAGAATTAAAAGCTTTGTTACAAGACGGAAGTGTGCATTTAAAATTATGAATTCTCTTCAAACATTCCGTCAGTTCTCTATCCTCTTTGTCGTCTTCTTGTTGAAACTTCTTCATTTCATTGTCGTCAGATGATTTCGTCGTTTTCTGAAGTGATTGTCGAACTTGTTCGAGTGTTATATCGTCGTCATCGTCATCAGTCTCAAAACATCTTGTATCTTGATTTTGTAATGGCAAGGAGTCGTTTTCAGCAGTGTTTTCGATATCATCGTAATTAGAGTCTTGATTTTCACCGTATATGATAAGATCGTGCGATTGAGCGAGTGATTGAGCATCGTTTTCAACGATTTCATCTGAAACATGATAATTCCAAGTTGCTTCTGGCAGTTCATTATCTTCAATAGTTTCAACAACCTTCTCAACTTCTTTTCTTAAATCTTCCATCATATCTTCCGGCTCACTAAACTCATTAAACTCGTCAATTTCTGGCAAAGCCTCTTCACGTTTCATAACATTGTGATCATCTTTACTATTCTCATGAGAATCTTCTGATTCAGGACTTTCATTTATCTGATTTTGATGTTCATTTTGAGTAATTATTAAACTTTCATCACCTTCACAGTCACTTTTCATTTTCATGTTATGAACAGGTTGCATTTGTGGTTCGTAATGTTGTTTTAGATGCATGAAGAACTCAAGTTGATCAGCAAATGCAGCTCCACATAAATTGCAATCGAAATGTTGCTCAAGACTTACCGGAGGTGCTTGCATGTTTCTAACGCTTGGCTCTTCAGTTGGCATAATTATACTGAATTGCTCAGTATTACTAAAAGGCTGATTAAGTTTCTTTGCGATTCTTTTCTTATGTGGAAGATTACGCTTGACATGTTTCGATGGTGATTTATGTAATTCATTTATGCTTTCGCAATCACTTTTGTCTGAATCGTCATTTCCAACAATCATTTGCTCCTCATTTCCTACACTTATGTATTCGACATACTTTAACGGCGTCAATAAAGGAAGTGAATTTTGTAATCCTCCTCCCGCATTTGCAATGATTGTTGAAGAGGAATCGTTTCCATATACATGTACTAATTGGTTCTGATCTTTTGCATGCAAATAGTTATTAGCGTCAATTTTTTTCATTCCTTGCAAAAGCTGACCATGGTGATGTAATATGTCAGTTTGTAAATAATTAACAATTTGTAAATTGCCATTGTTTGAGGTAATGTAATCGTTTGATAAGTCCAGATGATTTGAAGCTTCATTGCTGTTTGTTTCGTGAATAATTCGATTCGAATTAAGATTTGATGCAACCATATTGACAACTTCCTAAAAGCGTTCAGGAACGGAACAACGTTTAATTACATTAACTATTACTGATTGAGGATATAAGATATCTCACCGAATCATCTGCTAGATGTTGATAGGAATTATTTGAATACATAATTAAAGATATTTTTTGTTTCTTTTTGAATAAGATTCAATCAATTGAAATGGTTGTGACTTATAAGTCGGCTGTCATTTCTTTATAATATGCCAATCTTTTATTACACGCAATACGACACATAGCGATTTAAATTCATCGAAACTACTGATTTCTTTTTTAATATTTATTTTTGAGTTAAGAGGTTGAATCCGGCTCAAATAAGTGTCTCGAACGGTTCAAATAAGTAACCGTAACGGTTTAAAATAATAATTTAATTTGAAGGAAGCGGTTTAAATAAATTTTGACCGTTAAAAATTAAATGATATTCTTGTAAAATTGACAATGCAGAATTGTTGCGTAAGAATTCTATTATAAGGATATGTTTGAGTATTAAGTATTTCCCTTCAAGCAATCGTTAACATACTTTCAGACATATTCACATTAATTATCTATTTAAATATTAAATATTCTGAATGATCTTTAAAAGTCATATATGGACATAAATCATTAAAAATGTTTATGTAAATTATCAAGACATTTATTAATGAAAATAACATCTCCAGGATGTTCCTCTTATCGAATACATTTCTCTTAAAATTTTATCGTTCAATGAAATTGAATTTCATTTTAAGATAATTCTGCAGACTTTTAATATATATGTGCTTAATTAAAAATAAAATAACATTAAACACGGGCGAATATTTCATTTTAAAAAAGTGTTCATATAAATAAACGGAATTACCATCGAAAAACCATCGAAGTTGTGTTTCTTTTTTAGCTCGGCGGACAACGAGAAAAAGAAATCAGAGAAGAATCTTGATAAAGAATAAACATCAGAACAGAAAACAAGACCTCATTATTATTTTATTCCTTAACAAGATGCCAAGAAAGGCAACAAGAATGAATGAGAAGCAAACTTAAACAACAACACACACGCAGCAGCATCTTAAAACACGAAGCATAAAATATTTTTATTTCTCATAAGATTCTAAGCATTTTAGTGTAGAATTTCCCGAAGATTATTTCAATTTGTTCTATTTACAAATAATTATGTTAAATTGATTTCTGGTAAATACAGCCAAGTTTTCAGTTTGAATCATTAAATATCACGGAAAAAAATTCAATCTTGTTTTCAGGCGTTTTTTTGATTAAAAAAAAGAATAAAAAATGTATTGCTTATTCAAAAACTTGTATCTTTACCATCTTTCGTCTTCTCACAGAACTCCAAAATTTAAAATATTCTGTAAGATCTTTTTTAATATAGAATATGTGCTGAAAGCGACAAAAGAAATAACCATTTTATGGATGATAAATTTGAATTTCAAACAGCTTGTTGATCAAGTCGTGAATGTGTTTTTCGTGAATCTTTCATTTCTTTCTTTCTTATGGATACAATTCTTATGTGTAAAGTGTTTAAAGATTTCTTTCTTAAATGTATTCGTATCGTTTGGATACTCATTTTAACTCATACGTATTAGTCTTTTAAAATATTTTCAATCGAACAGACGCATAATATCGCGATTTGTGATGAATTTTATTAAATATCTCACTAAGTTCAGTACAAAGTTTTGTTAAATTCAAAAATAACGCATGATAAATATTCTAATAGTAAATCATGATATAATGTCGTGGAAAACCCGTGAAAATAGGAAAATGATGATGCTGAAAGTAGAAAAAAGTTACAATAAACATATGGTTCATTTTTTCATTTTAATTGCTTTCGTTTGGCTATACTAAAGCAAATAGAGATTGTATGTTTAAATAAACATTTATTCGAAAGGATTTGAATAAAACTAATAAATCTACGTGAAATTTTGTGTACATTAAGCAAAAATATTAAAAGAAACTTGAAACTTTAAAGCGAATGTAATAGTGAGTGTTAAGATTGTGTATAGATAACTCGACATAAATAAAAAAAAACTACATGTAAAAGCTGCTCATAAAAAATCGACGAAAATGAAGTATTGGAGAATCGGTGTTATTTATATATTTATCTACTTCGCTTGTTTTGGAAGAACAGATATCACATCAGCGAGAACATGCGAACCTATTAAAATCGAATTGTGTAGACAAATTGGATATAACGAGACGTCTATGCCTAATTTAGTCGGTCATGAACTCCAGAGTGATGTTGATCTTACTGTAAGAAGATTTTCGTAGAAATTCGAATGAATATTAAAGTCTTTAATATCAATTTCAGCTCCAAACATTTTCACCTTTGATTCAGTATGGATGTAGTGCCCAATTGAATTTCTTTTTATGTGCCGCATATCTGCCAATGTGCACACCTAAAGTCAACAATGTCATTGGACCATGTAAAGGTATATATAAATTTTACATTATCACGTTATCATAATAGTTAAACAAGTTTTTTCTTTTATTTTTCATAAAATTTTATTTATCTTGAGACGTGATTTGTCAACTTTTATTTTGAAGTAGCAAACTAATAAGAAGTGTTTGATTTTTCAGGGCTTTGCGAAGCTGTTCGTGCAAGATGTCATCCTGTACTTCAAAGTTTTGGATTTTCATGGCCATCAAGTCTTGACTGTAATCGTTTTCCGAAAGATAACAATCACGAAAATATGTGCATGGAAGGTCCGGGTGAACCAAGTGGTACTGGTAGCGGTCTTCCTGTGCCTTCAAATAAAATTAAAACGCAACAACCATCATGTCAATATCTCGTTAAATCTCATTTATATGTACGACTTAATCGAAGTAATCGATGCACACCGCTTTGTGATACTGACATATTATTTGATGCACACGAGAAGCATTTAGCAGAGACTTGGATAACAACTTGGAGTGTCGCAGCTCTTTTTGTTGCAATTATTGCGACATTATGTTTGATATTATCCAATGCGAGATGGGACAAGAGATTAATGCCACTTGTAATCTGTCATTGTCTTGTGAACGTGTCTTGGGCAATTCGAATATTAGCTGGAAGGAATGCAACAGCATGCGGATATGATCCCCAATTTCCAGGAATTTCTTTACTTTTAACTGATGGACTTTCAACTTCTCCATGTTCATCAATATTTCTTTTGCGATATTATTTCGGAATGTCAGCCGCTATATGGTGAATATCTTTAAATTTTCTTCATTTTTATTTTATTTCATCTCTCCAATGATATTTTTATAGGGTTGCGATTCTCAGTTATCGATATAATCTTCGCATTCGTCAACATATTAAAGAAGCTTATGGAACACCAGTCGTTAAACAAGATCCTCAAAATACTTTGTTTCAAATTGCCGCATTTGGTTTGCCTGCTATTCAAACAGGTAAATGTTTTTCATATTGTTTTCTATTTGTAAATATCATTTGTTTATAATTTCAGTTATTACTCTGGTTGCAAGGCTTGTTGATGCCGATGAACTTTTAGGTTTGTTGTTTTGATGATAAAAATTATGAATGAAATTTTATATTTATTATTTAAATCTTTCAGGAACCTGTTTTGTTGGAAATCAATCGGATAAGGCATTACTTTTGTTGGTTGCTATTCCTTCTTTACTTTATTGGATGATAAGTTGTGGATATCTTCTCACTGGCTATTTGAGAAAGAAATCTCTTAAGAATGCAAAAATTCCAGCACATATTAATGGATTAGGAACATTTTTGATCATCTACAATGTTCCAAGTGGCCTTTTATTGCTTTGTATGTTTTATCTTTTTGGAAACAGAGAAAATTGGTTGATACTGATTGATCCAATGAATTCGACTACTCAAAACAAAGCTCCGTTATGGCTTTATGTGTTGCAACCATTTTTAGAACTTCTCACAGGTGTCTTAGCATCAGCCTGGGCAATTGGTCCAAGAATAACAAGCTTATGTAAAAAGGGAAACGTTAAACAACAAGTTATACCCAAGAACCCTGCAACAATCAAATACCAACAAAATCCTTACAATTCTGCTTCATATCAAACAATTTGCCCGCCGAACTCCATTGTATCAACATCAATGGTTTCAATTGGAACGGTGGGACGAATGAGTAAACATCATATCAGAAAATATTCATACACACAAACATTGCCTAGCTTGCATGATGGCAGTCGAAGGACGAGGTCGTCATACCGAATAACATCCGCCAGTTTAACAGGAAATGAAACCGTACTTTAATTAATTAGAATTAATCAGTCGAAAATTTATTAATAATTTAACATTAAAAACTGTTTAAGAAAATATGTCAAAAGGCTGTGATTGATCATATAATAATTAATTGTATAAAATTTATTTTATTAGATAAAGATAATAAATTGAAATGAAAATTAAACTTCTTTTTGATTAACTGATGAATAATCGTCTGGTTGATATCCAGACATGTTGCAATCATAAATTATTAAAATTATTTAAATGAAACCCTTGAAATTTAATCGGAATTTATAAATTATTAATAAATCTCTTCGTGGAAGTGAAAAGTTTTTGTTGCAAATGTGTGGAAGATCAAAAATCCGAGGCTATTATAAAATTTTATGCAATTATAGAAGGATTCTTTTCATTCCATTCATTGCTACTTTTTTTCATTTTAATTTTAAATTACTTTAGTCCTTTTTTATAGATGATGAAACATAAAGTTATTTAGCTTTTTTTTATGTAAAGGAACGCTCTGAACCATGTTTGCCATTAACAGAAAATTGAATTTTTAATGGAGTAATTTAAGCGCTCTTTCACCCAACGATTAAGGAAAATTTACAAGAAACGTCACATGAAAAAAGAGTTTTTAAAATCAATAGAGTGAGATATGATTTCAATAACTTCAAATTTATAAGAATTCTGTTTAATATTCAATGCTGCCTTGTGATTATTATGTAGCTTGCATCCAACAATTATAACTTTTCGATAATTAAGCTAATGATCTTGTTAAACAACCAACAATCTAAACGTTTGCTTACATGTTAGAAAATTAATCTTAATTGCACAAGAGGGTGGAAAAAGAGTAAATCTTGAAATGAGATTAATTTTCTGTTTTCAACGAAGCAAAAAACAAACATCGGGATAGGAAAAGACAAAACAAATTCTAACAGATTTGTCGCCACTTTGAATCACTTGAAGAACAGATCTCATACTTAGATATTTATTTCACGTTTCAATTCTTAATTTGCCAAAATACCTTTTTCGAAATGTAACATGAAAAAATCCATTAGCTAAATAACAAGCCATAACAATAAAAATGAAGATTTAATTTACCCAATTTATCTCCTTTTCTTGATTATTATTATTCTCGAAAGCTCGAACTCAAATACTTCTTTACTATTTATGTTTTCCGGTTTTCCAACGCTGCTTCCTCTGCACGAAGAGCATGAAATATAAAATATCATTAAATGAATTGAGATAGATTTAGGGAAAAGCCAAGGAAAACCCAAACGAAGGGATTCATTTCTAGAGAAAAATGTTATTCTCGGTATATAAGTACACAGTAAGTCAGATGCTTATACATATCCTTTCACAGTGAGTTCTCTTTAAATGAGAACCCAACATAAACCTCTTTGTAAGCATCCCCAAACATTGAACATTAACCTTATGAAACAGAATAAAAGAAAAAGATTGTTGATTTTTCTTCATTCTATTTGAAAAATGAGCCAATGCTAATGGATAGGATTATTTCGAAATAAATGCTATAAATGGAAAATAAAATCAAAATAAATGATTGTTTCCATCCTTTATTATCAATTTGGCTCAATTTTCGATTTAAGAAGGAAAAAAGAAGCATATCATGCATGAAAGAGTGGGGAAACTTCTCCTTCTTTGCTTAGAAAACTTTATAAATGTTCATAAAAAGCTTTGAAAAATCAATTTAATTTCTTGATTTATGCTGATGGATTAAATTGGAAAATCATTAAAATGAGAATTATGTGTTCTATCAGTTATTTGAATTTAAGATTGGATTCTTGCATATTTGTAAGATGCTTGATATGAATTGACTGTAACAGATTACATTTGGATGGTTTTGAGAGAAGAAACTTTCTTATTGCGCAAAATCAAATGGGGAGAGAAGGAAGGCGTTGCATGCAGCGATGTAAAGAGATAGAAATGGAGAGACAAAGATTCACAACTACATAAAAATTTAGTGATGGTAGATAACTTGCTATGGGGTCTAATATCAAATTGCTTTTTATATGATTGGATTGGATTTGTGTAGTATGAAGGAAAAAGAATGTTCATAGTTACGTGAAAAATTTTTTTTCACTTCCTTTATCCACGGATCTTTCTCTTGCACTTGAAAAAATTCATTTTATACAATTAGAATAATGGAAGGAAAATAAAATGAAATAATGAGGAAAATAAATTAAGTTCATAAATAAATCATAATTTGAAAACTTATCCTTTATAAATCATCTTCTTTCTCATTGTTTTTTGCCAAAGAGTTAAGAAAGTAGAAAGTAGAATATTGAATGAAACATTAATTGTCCGATTTTCTTATTTCCTTTGAATAAATTAATGGATTAAATAAATAAAATTGATTGAAAACAATACGAAGAAAAGTCACAATAAATATTGTGATTTATTCAATTTATATCAATTCTGTTGATTGTTGATCAAACTCTCTTTAATAAAAAGAAGGAAAATTATGATTTAATTGATTAAATTAGAATTGAAAAGATATTTTTTAAAATAGTAAATGAATGAGTCAGTGTCATGAGTTGTAGTTGTGACTATTTTGATAGAGTAAATTTTGTCTGCAATAATTCAATTTAACAAGTAGCAGCATGAAGGTGAAGGAAGAGAAAAGTTTTCAAAGTATCGCTACTAATTTAATTTACAACGCTTGATTACAGACAAATTACTCACGAATAAATATGTTGGAACCGTAAGCTATATTCCAAAAATGTTCACATGTGTTGGAAAAAATCCTCAGCAAACAACCCTTTTGAAAAGTAATGAAACTAATTTTCTCATTCATTGAACTTAATTGAAATTATAACATTTTGTGTGAACCACAACGCTCGAGGGTTGTTTGATGTAATTCTTTGGGGAAATTTTATGGGCTTTAGACTGTCTGCAAAAACAGAAAAGATTGCTAATAAATTCACATTTTCGTTGCTGTTTAATCAGCCAAAAAATATGTTTGTTTAAATAAACAAATACTTGTCGACAACATAAGAAGTCTAAAGATTTTCGATTCATTACTTTGATAAATTTTAAGAGCTCTTAAAAAATCTTAAAGTGCTTTTTTATATTCTAGCTAGTGTTGCATAAACGAACGATAAAGGCATGGACCGTTGTTGTTTTTACTAATCTGATTTATGCTTGTTAAATTGAATAATATAAATATTTGCTTATAAATCAGTTTTTATGAATGCAAAATCAGTTTTGTAGAAAAAACTATTAAATCTAATAAAGCAATTTTGCGAATTTTTTTGATCATGTCATCTAAACATTCCACTTCTTATCGTTTAATCTTTGTCCGTTCGTGAAGTGTTTTGTTTCTCTCCTTTCCTGTGAAGTGTATAAAAATATTTTTTATCTTTGCAAATATTGCAAAGAGGAAAAAGAAAATAAATAAATTGATGCAATCAAAATTCCTGGAGAGATTATTTGATAATAACGCTTTAGTGCTTAGAGCGACAAAATCCACACCAGTTCCGTTTTTGACATAGACACGCAAATTTAATATTCTCAGTCATTATTTGCTTAAAACATGGAAGGAAATGCTCTATGCGCTGGATAACCGGAAAAGTCAGACATTTCTCTTGAATGCTCATAGAATTGTGCACAGAACGTTGCATGAGCTTAATTTTGATTTATTTATTAATCTCGAGATATCAAGTTTCTGCGAGAGTAGAATGATTTCTTTTAATAGAATAATTCGTTAAAACGTTCTTTATCATTTTGTGTAGGAGATGTAGATATTATCAAAATAAATGTACATAAACATATACATGACAACAGCAGAATTTAATCTAATTAAAGTCGAAATATTCGAGACGATATCGCCAAGGAAGAAAATAAAATTTTAATTTTATTTAATTGATGTTGGAAGATAACGTATTCATTTAGACTATGAAGATTTTTTTATTACTGACTTTAATTAAATTAATTAACTGTTAAACGTCGCGCAAGACATTTAAGTGTGCTCAAATAAGTTTTTTGGTTTTGGGTGAAATGAATTTTTGACTTATGAGGTGTGAAATTCTCAACATTAATCATTAGATTTCCTTAATATTTGTTTATGTGATTTCATAACTGTTAATAAATGAGAATTTTAATCAATTTCAAAGAATAAATAGATGAGTTGTTTACTCAACAGTCAACACTGACGACTATCAAATTCAATAAACGACTCGAGAATTAATATCAATTGAATCAGTCATTCAAATTTTATTGTGTTGTCTGCATATTAATATACATTTGAAACTCAATTTTAATTGTGATGCTGGAGAAAACTGAAGCTTAATTTCATTAATTCAGAAATGCTGGCTCTTCAATTGACAGCATTTTATATTCAATCCTTAGTATGAATAAAAATTTATTTAATGGAATGAGAAACTATACACGACTTTTATGGTCTTCTCTGTTCTGCATAAAAAAAGCTTTGTAGCTGCTTATTTTGTGGCAATAAAAATGTCATAGTTTTCATCATGGAACAAATTTATGATAAAAAATGTAAAGTGAATGCAAACCTAACTTAGTTAATTTCTTTTTTCATCTGATCTCATTTATAATTGATGATACCATCTCAACACATAGATAGATGCAAACAGACGATTGAAATGAAACATCCATAAAACATTTAATTGAGTTTAATTAATTTACATGATGTTTTTGGTTCGTCCTGAAAAATTCACGATCATCATAAATGCAAAATCGAAAGTGAAAAGTAAATCCAATGAATTTGTTTTATGGAAAATGAAAATATCAACAAAAATCATTCAGTGACATGTTGAAATACCTGAAATTATGTCACGTTACGTTTATGTTTCAACAGCTTCAATCGAATTTACAAAACATTCAAAATTAATTTGCTTTGATTACATCGATCTTGGTTGACAATCTAATGCGGATCAAGTCATGCAATATTGCCAAACAGCATCAAAAGCAAACGAAGAATGGAATTTCAATCTCTACGTCGTCTCCAAGTACTCATTACATTTTAATAAACCAATTTTGTATCAATATACATCTCTTAATGACATTTGCAAATATATGCAAACATCACTGAAACTGGATTGAAAAACAATTGTATCAAATTTGTCAAGCGAAATTATTTCAATAATCAATTCAGATAAATATTTCGTGGAACGAATAAATATTCTTTATGAAGCATTTTAAGCCTGGCATAACTGAAATTGATTTAAATTTAAATGCGTGTGTTTGGTGGAAACAATGATACGTTTATTGAATTAAATGTAATTTAGAACAATTGAAAAAATTAGCTTATTTTGTAGGTCAAGTTTTTAAGAGCATCTCGTTTTATATACATGCTCATGTAGATATCAAGTTAACACATCAATTGAGATTAATTAAATTGCAGCGGTCGTTGAAATTGAAATTTTTTGAGTTAATCGTGCGGTTGTCTGCTTAACTAAAAGCCACAAAACTTTAAATGTTAAGCTCGCTTTCATGCTAAAAAAATTTACCAACAACAAGTAATTAAAAATATTGTGTATACATTAACCACATTTTAATTAAACACAAATTGAGTCGTTAGTTTAATTGGTTTTTATACATCAGCTGGCAAATTTACAGACTTTTTACTCTCGCTTTATTAAAATGTTGCTTTCATGGAAATTCACAGCATTTGAATGGCAACAAAAAGAAAAAAAGGAAAAATGAAACAACTCTAAAGCAAATGAGAATTTTCTCCATGAAAATTTTATGGAGAACGAGCAATAAATTCCAATTTAAAAGAAAAATCTCTCTTGTGCAGGTGTGGCCATAGAAAAGCGAAACAATTTCACAACGTGGCTGAATGCAATCAAAACCTTTCATTTGATAATCTTTATTTTCATTAAACAAAGTTGAATGAATGATTCTAAAATTTCTAAACATTAAGAAGTTGTTTGGTTCAAGATCAAATGTTGGTGAATTTTAGGACGTTAAAGGGCTTAGAGCATCATTATATAATTGAAGAGACAACAAAATTTCATTTCCAAGTGATGAAGGGTGAAAATTGCAATTTAAGCTTCGAAAACCTATTTCAAATTCAAAAACTACCAACATAGATATTCCACTTTACATCTTTGAATAAATTTCATTGGAAAATGCATAGTTCAATAAAATGAAAGTATGAAAATCAATCGAAACTGTTCAAAGTTTCTAAATGATGAAAAATTGAATTTCAAAGCAATCAAACTTTTACCAGAGCTTTTTGTGGGCTATTAACAGTAAATTGCATCGAGAATAGTTTTGTGTAGCTATTCAAAATTGAAACAAAATTTGATTTTAAATCAATTATGAAATGGTTTTTGCAAATGGTCATTGTAAGTGAGAGATCGACCAACAATTTTAACTTAACTATGAATTTTATGTGTTAAAAAATTATCAAAATTATCTCTGCAGTGCACATGTTATCAAGATTGAATGGAATTCTTAAAAGTAAAATGATATCCAACATATCGACATTGATAGGGACAAGAGAAAACAAAATCATACGTCAGTTTTGATAAAGGTAACAGAACAGTATTCTGAAATGACATTAATGTCAATTTGTTTCAATTACTCCATTTTTTGAAAGGCACTCGACTTTCTTTTTATGTTTAAAAAAAGGTCTTTTTGCTTTTTGGATTGTTATTCTTCCAGAACCAGGTCGAAATTCATGTTTTAATAATTTTCCGTTTTTATAAGCTGCGACAACCAACCCATAGCTTTTTCTCTTCAAAAATAATACATCTTAATGCGATTAGATAATTTTCCTTTTTCATAATGTTCATAAATATATTACGCGGATTTTCAATCCTCTCTCGTTTTGGAAGGAAAAGTCGAATCGAGTCCCTTGGCATTTGAAAAAGTGTCGGATTTCAATAATACACGCGTTATGAATATTTATGTACACCAACTGCAAAAGGAAATGAAATAACAAGAGCGAGAGGATTTTAAAGTAATAGAATTTTTAATAAAATTGTATCAACTCAATTCAATTTACAATCCAACTTATGATGATGCTTAGATGAATCACTTCTGTTAGGTAGAGAAGAAAAAGTAATAAAAATAATTAGATATATGAAAGAAAACTGAAATTCATCTTTTAACAGGAATCAAAGTCGTACGATAGAAGTTTCAATGTAGCTTAATAACAAAATTCTGAAATATTTTATGTGGATACCTATGAATGTAGAGAATTTTGATACTCATGAATCATGAGCCGTCAATTTTATGAAAATATTCTTTGCCAAAGGATGCGTGTCTAATGTTAACACTGAGCTTGAAAGCTTTATGATTTATTAATGAAATTAATTAACATCTAATCAAATATTAACCTAATGAATTAATTCATTAGAAAGAATTATGTGTTTCAATGTTTTAATTAAATTTTCGTCATCTTTCTCTCTCTTTTTTGGTGATGTGAAATGTCGGTTTTAATGGAAAACCCTTTCAAAGAAAATTTTATGTGCTTTAAAAGTTTGTTTTAAAATTATGCCCTCAACTCAGTTTACTTATTTATCATCGTATCTCCGTCTTCTTTTTAGTAAGCTTTGAAATTTGGCAGTTCAACATTTGCCAACGCAATTAAACCCTTTCGAAAGATGAAATATTCACAGATGAGACGAAATAGCATCAAAAATGTTAGAGAAATTAAAGTTTATATTTATCTATTTAATTTGAAATATAAAAATATTGAAGAGATCTTCAAGTGTTCGTTTATGAACGACATGCAAGCTTTACAAGTTAAATAGAAAAGTCATATTTAAACTTTTGTAACAAAAAACAAATGTTGACATAATCTAACGATTGTTTCAAAAAGCAATTATTTTCAAGTATGTTAACATCGTGCATACAATGGGAAGGAATCGTAAGCTCGAGGCTATGTAAGCGATGATTATGGTTTTATTCATTAGCTGAATAAACAAATTACCATTTTATATTCTTTTTCCAACCCTCTACAGTGCAAGACAGAGTGAGGGAGAGAGAGAAAGAGGAGAGAGAAAGAAAGGGAGTTGAAAGATAAAACTTTTTTACATTATCATTTTCCAATGAATGAACAGAGTAATGGAATCAAACTTTGATTATTGTGTAATGATGTTTAATTTGGCATTGTAACGTGAAAGATGACTGCGGGGGTGGATGTTGGATATTTCACTTCGTCACTTCTCTATTAATTTTAAATCCAAAACTTGATTTCATTTTAACTAAATTCATAGATTTTTTAGTTAGATTCCTTCTAGAGCAAGAAAGTTTAAAGAAAGATGAAGATACAAAAAAAATCAGATTGAAGCATATACAATAAAGTTGTGTTCAGGAAAAATGCTAATAAACGACTGACTTTGCTTCTTTCATGAAACGAAATAAAAAACGTGAGCATTAATTTTTTCTTCATGTTGTAGGGGAAAAACAAGGCGGAGCTTGTATGAGAGTTGAGACGATATTTGTGCGGAAAGCGAAGAACTCTGATAAAGGATTTAATGTGAATTTAACTTTGAGGAATGTGGTATATATACAAACTTTACACAATTGCGATGTTTTCGTGCAATGAGAGCAACGTTAAATGAATTTTGAGGATCGTTTTTTCACTCAGATTTTTTAACGTTATTTTCGTAATAACATTATCAAAGTGTATAATATTATAACTTGATAGCTCTGTGTGATGTTGATTCGATCTAATTGATAATTGCTTACGAAAAAAAATACAAGCATCTCTACATTCAGTAGTTGACTGAACGCGAGTGTTGAATGACGTGCTTGAAAAAGTTGTGCAATATTATTTTTGGATTCTAAGAAAGTGGAAAAGAATTTATAAGAATTTATTGAGAAAATTTTCATGAGCATATTGGATTAAAAGCTCACAAAACGAGTGAAAAAGTGAAATAAAGAAAAATTAAATTAAAAATATATTGGAAGAAAATTATTCACGATTTTTACAGAAGAGAACAAGGTAGTTGAAATATTTAAAATATTTTTGTTTCCGAACTCTTTGAAAAGGTTTAGAAATTTTTTTTTTAAATGAAGTGAAATTTTCAACTGCATTTGATTAAAAATAAAAATTGATAATTTATCTTAAAAACTGTCAATTGGTTGGTGTTGAATTATCGATATTACGATGCTGTCAGCCTCCCTTCGAAAATCATTGCACCGATTTATTCGATTAACTCGATAGAACGCAGTCCCTCTAGTCATCGTTTTATCAAGGTTCCACTGTATTAAATAAACTCTCTATGAAATGATCAAAAACAAGTCGAAATATTTTTATTTATCCAGAAAAATAAGTGTGTTAGTTATAATGATGTTAGAAGATCAAACTTCGTTAGCTTCGGAAAATGAATTATTTCTAACATTCGCTTTTTCACCGATCATTCATACGAAAACTTCTGTGTAAACAAATTATTTTTCTTCGTTAGAAGTTGATAATTTGACTGAAGTCGGATAAAATTTAATATCTATCTCTGACACTTGTTCAATTTTAAGACGCTTAAACAAGGCCGAATATTAGAATTAATATTTGAAGTTTTGAACGAATAAGAAATTGAGTTTGATCAGATGAGTCAAAGATAAAAGAAAAATATGACTTTAGATCCTCAAAACTGTTTTTAATGATGCAGATGACTCACATGCATTATTGTTTTGTGGTGGAATTGAAAAACAAAATTATTTACATAAGAAATTCTTAAATAGAAAAATAATTTCAGTTAACACCCGCTTCGTCGGGAAGAAATATGTTTTGCTATCATTGCCCGCCAGCTCTCCATCCAGCGAATGGAACTCATCAGCAAAGACTTCCAACTTTGGAATATCCTTTTGCTCCTACACATCCTTGTAAGACTTAGTAATTGATTATAAGTGACAAATTGCAATAAAATTAAAACTTACAGATACAAGTTATTCTTACCACCCAGCCATACATGACGAAACATTTGTTAGAAGGAAACAACGACGAAATCGTACGACATTTACTTTACAACAGGTTAAATAATTAATTTTTATTATAATATCGGGATAAAAAATATTCATTAAATTTTTATATAATAGTTGGAAGAGCTAGAAACAGCTTTTGCACAAACACACTATCCAGAGTAAGTAAACATTAGTACGTGACTAGTTTAGAGTTTTATTCAATTTGTTCCTACAGTGTATTTACTCGAGAAGACTTAGCGATGAAAATAAATTTGACAGAAGCTAGAGTTCAGGTAAGAAAGAATTCCATATCAGACATTAGACCTTGTTACGACTATAAGGTCGTAAAAAGCACTTCTGTTTGACACACATTTCCTTATATTATCTTATTAAATTTGATGTTGCATTAACTGAATTGCCAAAACCCCACACAAACGCGCAAACATATTTTAAACGGCTGATGAATTTTTAATAAGACCTTCCATGTTTCTTTCAAAACTTCTTAAGCAAGAAAAATATATAAAGAGAGAAAAAAAGCGAAAACATTAGACAAATTAGGTTTGCTTCGTCCTTAAGCAGCTTCTCAAATAAATTAAATTTAATTTTGTACAATGCATATGAATTTTTTATGAGCTCATTTTAAAATCATCAGAAGAATTTATGCTTTATAGCAGAAAGCTCCATTAACGTCTTCTCAGTCTAATCAAATAAAAGGACAAAGACTTTTAAACTTTTTGGATGAAAAGTAAACTTTAGCGGGAATTTTGTGGAGTTTTATGGGAATTTAAATTAAAGCATTAAAGATTTTATTTATTTATTAAAAATATTCTAAATCGCTAAATTGATAATTTTTTCTTTCTTTTTCATAGGTTTGGTTCCAGGTAGGATGACTTAAAATTTGTCTGACTTACTGACGTACTTATTGTCGTGCATTTATTGTTCACTATTTAATAAACATCTGTATACATACATTTTCAAATATATTTCATTCATTGAGAAAAAATTGATACATTTAAAATTATCATATCATGTAGAATCGTCGGGCAAAATGGAGAAAGTCAGAAAGGTTGAAAGAGGATCAAAGGAAAAGGGATGGAAGCGACCCAAATGGAGATGATAAAGTGAGAATATGAAATTTTTCTAAATCTTTTGAATATCCTTCAATGACAATTTGATTAGAATGATGGAGATAGTCGAGAATCGTCCTCTCCCAATGTCACTGGCGATGTTGACTTAGAAGATGAAGATGGGAGAAGTTCAAGTGTCGCACCATCAAGTCCACGATTGGAGTCAGAGAATGATCGTCCGTTGTCGAATAATATGAGTCACCAATCGTGTTCAGGAAGTAATGAAGGCAGCCTTTCACCAGCATCAAGGTAAACTAATAATTAACAAAATTTCATTATTAATTTAATAAAGCAAAAGAATTTTTCACAGAGTTCCAAATCCAACCACAACAAATTCAACGCCATCAAGATCCGATTCCCCAATTGAAGTGGGTGGACCTTTGTCACTTTCGACTAAAACCAATCACTTAAATGGACAAAACTTCCATAGTAATATTTTTGGAAGTTTCAGCGATAGGTAAGTTTGCAAGGGCACTGATAAATTTCTTAAATATTCATATTAGCGTAAATAAAGTCATAAATCTCTTAAGGGAAATCCGGCTCTTAAATTACACATAATAACTGCAACTAGGGAACAAAAAAAAATCTGCATAAATGAGATGTCATTCGAAATCTACACGATTCAATTGTCTGAACATAATTTGATTTGAAATGAGCACGATGTTGTTCTATTATGCTTATTTTTATAACATCAGTGAAAAAGAAAAGTTTGATGTATTCGGTAATTGGTTTTTCGTAATTATTTGTGAATGAACAAGATTCAAGCACGTGTAATAACAATAACACAACACATTTTAATGATGACAAACAAACTTGTGTTTAAATCTCGAGATTGATCTTGCTAGGAAATTAACAAACATTTAAAAACGGATAAAGGACTATTAACTGAATTGTTCTTAATTGTTTTCATATCACAGAGGGTTGCATATTGTGATATATTTTGTATAAATAAACTTTAAGGAGGGAGACACTTATGTAAGCATTGCATTGGTAAACAGCAGGACGTAAACTGTGATCAAAGAATACTTCGTAATTATTAAGCAAAATATTCTTCACTTCACCAATTTACTGAACGAAGCAATTTCATCGAAAATGTTGCAAATAAATACGATATTGATTCATGCTAAATAAAATCCTATTTAGCTAATAAATTATTCATGAGCACTCGAAGAAAACATCAAAAAAGAAAGAAATTAAGATGTATCATACATTAAAGCATTAAAAGGCAATTTCATAGCAATTGTTTTGCTACGCCCTCAATTTATTCATATGAAGTTAAAGAATGGAAGAGAAAAAAACAAACGATGATGAAAAGAACATTTATAGCAACAACAGTATTACTGAAACCACTTTTTTATGCAAATATTATCAAATAAAAAAGCGATACAAGCGTAGGGATGATTCTTGGTACATCTAAACGAACGAACGGAAATCTTTTATCCATCCCTTCATTTATTTTCAGTGATTGTTAAAAAATCTAAACATAAGTTGCTATTGTTGCATTGCTACCAGAAATCTATTGTGTTATAACATGTGTAGTGGGTTAAAAATTAATGATCTTGTAATTTCACCCTCTCAATGTGATGCTTCATTTATTTACCACCAGAAGTGCTTTTTTATTTTCGTTGTTATGCAATCACCCTTCATCATCTAAGAAGTGACTCTCTCTGTGTCCGGGAATGATTTTACTTCTGCTTTCTTTTTTTATCGAATAGCACGCAATAATGCTAATACGATGATGTTTATAATGTTCTCGCCTGTGGTTTCGGAAGTCATCAGAAAGCTTAATGCTTAATGACTCAAAAAAGGAAAAACCATCGTATTAAAAACTAGCCAATTGAACAATTCAATATAAACAAAATATTTGTTTGAGATTTTCTTTTTATGATTTCCGCTTTTTGTTTTTCACAGTGGCAGCTTCCGGCCCAATCCGATGCTGGATAATGGACAACCTCCACTTTTCTTACCCCCTCATTTAGCATCTTTGAGCTCACAGTTTACACAACCGTTGTTCTCAGGAATGAAAGGTGCGTATGATAATTTTGCTACACACTTTCAAACATTTGAGTAAACAACAAGCAGCAGCAAAAATTTTTCTCAACGAAACTGTATCAAATATTTGAGGTGTTTGTTGTAAACACAATTTTTGTTATTGGTTTTATTTTATTTAATTTGTGTCGATGACAAATTGATGACTCAAAATTTGTTATTGTTTATAAGCATTGATTTCTAATACCTAATTCATCATATTTATTGATCATGAAGTTTGATGAAAATGATTTAGACTTGATTTTAATGATTGATGTTGTTTAAATTTTATTTATTATGTAAAGGTTTCTCTGGCATGTGTTCGTGTTGTCCTATAAGTAAAACTCAACCGACTTCTTCTACTTCTACAACTTGTTCAACCGTTTCAACAGAACCAGCAACATCACAGACATGTACTTTGAACCCAGCATTGTCATCTGATGCTAGATCATCGTCTGTAGCAGAATTGAGAAGAAAAGCTCAAGAACATTCCGCTGCATTGCTTCATAGTCTTCATGCTGTCGCTGTTTCTGGCTTATCATTTCCAGGTCTTCATTTTCCACCACTTTCATTACAAAAATTTTCAGATCATTATGCCTTATCAAATCGAAGCAAAAATGGCCATCACCATCTTGCCGCAAGTGATTACATAAGTGATTTGTCTCTTCAACACAATAATAACAATAATAATAATAACAACAACAATATTGTTAGTAAACTTGAACCGAATGATAAATTAGACAACATAGTTAAAAGTAGTGGGGATTAAGGTGCGATTTATGATTTACTTAAATGGATATTACGTACGATTATAAATAGTTGCATAGTGTACGAAGTAATTGATATGATTTCTTTTAAAACGTAATCAAAATAAGTTATCAGTGACTAGAATTAAACTTTCATTAGGTTTTCAGATCATTCTCAAATGCTTAAAATAAAATGATTCAAGTAATGCGTCAAAATATATTTAATTAAACATGATTCTTAGTATGACAACATAAATAGATACTTAGCTATTGATTATTTTATGTAAATATAAGAAATATTAAAGTGATTTACATAATTTTGAATTTCCTTTTGAATTTAGTTATAATGTTGATGATATTTAGGATGGCGAATTAATCACATAATTCTTTTGATAAGCATTAGTGTAAACCTAGATGATGTTTGCATTTAATAAAAACACCCACATAAAGGTTTTATGGAAAGCTGTTCCATTCATTTCCTTCATTCTTAATCCTTTCAATTTAACTGTTTTTAAAAATATCTAAACAAAGCATAATGAAGCTTCATCCATGACTTAATTTTCATGCTTCTGTTAGATGATCTTAAATTGAAAAATAAACTTTTGTTGCAAAAAGTATAAGATTGTGCATAAAAAATTGTAAAAATAAATAATTGTTTGAACTTCAAATAGAATAGAAATCTACTTGAAAATAAAATGACAGAAATTAATTAAATTTAATCTTTGTTCATTTTACTTTAATATTTACATATCTCCACAGAAACATGATGAAAAATCATCCATCACAAGTCTCTCTAATCATCAGCTTTTTGAATTTCAACCCGAGAGACAAATTGAATTATCCAACTTGCTTCTGCGTTTCAGATTTTTTTTTCAACGATATAAACTTCAAAATTAAATCATGCTGATTCAAATAAGATCTCTGTGAAACTCTGTGATGTAATATATATGCAAACAAGAAAATTGAAAATCTACCATTTACAATCAAAAGATTTTGTCATTTACGAGCAATTTGCATAATTTTCCAAATGCTACGACTCGATGTTACATTCCATGGTTGTTCACGGCATAAAATGCAGAATCTAAATTCAATATTCTTATGTTATTTTATTTATTCTGATAATCTAAGCGACTCTTCAATCTTGATGTTGAAAAATGCTTTCAGAAGGGTGAACATCAGAGAGCGAGAAAATCTTAAAAGGAATAAAATACATTAGGGCTATGCGATGGTAATACTAAACCTTCATCGGATGAGTTAGTCTTGTTCTCCGTCGGAAATGTTTCATCTAGATATCTACTGCATATATTTAGCACAGACTTAATAGCGTTATGCATCTGATGATAGTAATTATCTATAAGTTCCTATATCATATTATGTCTTTATTGAAGAACCTACTAAATTTAATATGTGATGTGATTATTGGATAAAAATTGCTTAATGTGTGCTAATAAACAAATTTCAACGAGAGAATTATCGTTGTCTGATGTTGTTTTCAACATAATCTCTTGAGGATTATTGACAAGTACGGACAAGGGTCATGATAATTCAATAATCTAACAGTATGTAGTTATTTGATGAGAACACTTTTACGTGAATATTAGTTATTAATTAACTTACAAAATGTTTCCATACATTTTCCAACTAATCTCATCCTATTTGTATTTCCTGTTTTCATCTAAATTTTTTTTCTATTTTTATTTTATTTGAATCAAAACTCAAAAGTTGAAACTTTCTTAAATTAAATAAGGGCATTGTGGATAGCAAACTGGATAAAAAAAAGTTTTTCTTTCGTCTACTCAATATAGGTTTATTTTTTTCCGTGATCTTTTTGATCACCCATAGCCAATATGCGATTATAGCCTTATCAAATTATCAGTAATTGAGTTGATGTTTCACTTCTTTGTGTAACGATTATTGATTTTCTTTTTGCTTCGACCAGTTTACATATATTGCGGCGAATGAAAGAAATGCGATAAAGAGAAAATTTGATTAACAGATGCGCTAGAAAATTGAATTTTCAACACAACGATGAACGAAACAAATTTTATCTAAGGCAGTTATTAGAGACATAGAAATTTATCAATTAGGTGAATATTGAAGCACACTATCGTAGATGGTTATGAAAATAGTAGAAAAAAAAAATGTAATTCGATACTTTCTGTTTTATTCAATTAGAGTTTCTGTACTGCTCGAACCATTGCAATCCCACTGCTATCGACTTTTGAAGGTTTATCGACCGTTTCGAAAAGATTGATTGAGTAATAACGATTCATGTATGAGTATCGTCTTGTAAAATTTATTGAGCTATTTGCCCGAACGTTAAAAATAATGTTATTGAGCCTTTCAGCCTTTTAGGATGCTGTTAAGAGAATTCAAGTAAATAAAAATTCAATACATTCAAATACATTTTCATACTTAAATTTATTGAAGGTTATAAGGAGATAAAGACAAATTTGAATAAAATTAAACATCTAACTAAATCTTGCAAATTATAATCTTTGATCAAAAGAAAGATTCTTTTTTTCTACAATTTTTTTTTAAGTTAATTTCAAGCTCATTTCTTTATGTACGATGTTCATGTTTCTTTCAGAATGCATTTTCTTGAAAATGAGAGAGTTCCGGAATTCATTTTGTGGGTGTGAGAAGCAAGACTACGCCCACGCATTTTCTTTTCTATTTTCCCCTTTATTTCCCCTAGATAAATGTGTTGGAATATGCTGAAACAACATAACTAACATGTGAAAACCTTACAATTGTTTTTAAGTTGAATTAAAGATTATTTCAGTTCACTGTTACAAATAATTAAAGGATTTTATTTTGTATTTTATGTCATTGATATATTTAATTAAACATTAAAGAAACTGCGTTCATTGAATTATATTTTCACTGACATTATATAAAATATTCACTCAAGAGTAAAGTTAGAATGAAGAAGAAGTTAATAATAAAATTAAAAATAGATATTTAACAAAATATTTTTCTCCACCTCATGCCTGTATTTGTCACTGCTTCGATAGCTACAAATTTTTGTCTATAATTTTTTTATCTCATTCGATATCTGATTAAAAATATTTATCTAGATATTTATTTACCTAAAGTATAGAAATAATTTTCGAGACGATTATCAATGAATTATGTTTATGTTTATGATTCAAAGTAGCATTGTAAACCCAACACTAATGATAAAGAAAGAATACATACAAATACTCACACATTCACATTTTTCAACCTCTCACAAGTTGCGCTCTGATCGAGCTCGACTAGTAGTCTCTACGAATTGTAGAAAAGATAACATTCAGTGCTATCTTAATCGAATTTCCGATTTTATTTTGGATTTTAAAACTTTATCAAAGCCTAATGAACATTTCATCAAATTATTTCTAAAGAGTGAAGATAAAATATTGTTGTAATAGCATAAAATGATTGAAATTTTGTTTTAAAATTAAAGTGACATTTCTTTTTGATATTTAACTCACACAGTTGAATAATATCTACTGAAATATTAATATTAAAGTTGGTTTTTGTGAAGTTTAATGGCTAAAATTTAATCGTATGTAAAATTGTGATAACAATCAATTAGGGACATTGCTGAGTTGGTTGCTTTTCTGAAGACACAAACTGAAGTCATAATCTCAACTCATCCGAAGCAATTAGAACCTCAAAATTGATGAAAACATAGGGTAGTTCGCTAATAGCGTGTGCATTTGAGGTCTTAGCACTTTGGAGATCTCTTAAAAAATTAATGTTTCCGAAAGCGGATAAAATTAACAAATACTCTTCTCACTTTCGAAAACTGTATTGTTTGTGAGGTATTTTGTTTTATGGCTAGCTCAACAATGTTTATTTAAGCTAGAAGTATTTTTTATGCTACTCTACCCTTTACTATTAATGCAGCTTTCCTCGCTTCTTTAGATTAGTAATGTTCTCGTGGCACTTAATCCAAAGTCAAATGTACTCGCTACTAGTCACGATCTCAGGTACGCACCTTTTTAGCGTACTACCCTAAATATATTCATACACAAAATTACGCACACATTCACACGCAACAGCTTAGTGCCAATTCAAAGAAATTTTTGAGACGATAAAAGTGGATAAAAGTTTCTTCAAAAATATTTGCACGATGTTAATATTCTTTAACCTTTTATCTTAAAAATCTCTGATTATGTTATCTACTTTAATTTAAAAGATTAACGTGGTTTTAAGCCTCTTTCGCAATAAGAAATGAAATATAATTATAATCCATGAGGAAGATTAGTTGGAAGAATTTTAGTTAAAAATATAAAATGATATCTACTGTTGTCTAAGAATGTGTTTGCAGATTAAAAACATAGGATAACGTGATCGTCCCCAGAATTTTTTAAAATCTTTTATGAATATTCAGTGGTGACATTGAGTGTGTTTCCAAAAATAAATTTATTTTTATCAGGCGCTTATACATCTACCATCATAACATTTTTTCATTTTATTTTGCTTCATTGTTTCTAAAAATAGATTCTTATAAGTTTCAATTAGGACTCTAAAAATAGATTTTTATTTTTATGCCACATAAGTGCATTGTTAACTTTATACGCTTTTGTTGTTTAACTTTATTTTTATATTTCCATTTCGAGGTTGAAATTGACGTGGTGACATAAATTGATATAAATCTTTCAAGATAATTTTTTTTGTAATATGTGGAAGAAGTAGAAAAAAAAAATCAAGAAAGATAAGTTTCTTAAAATTTAATTAAAAATTTTACTTTGAGTTTTGTGAAAACAAAAACAGCAACAAAAAATATATTTGTCGCTTACGGGAAATTGCGAGAATAAAAATAGAAATCGCCAATGTGTATGTAAAATGCATAAAATGCAAACTTGGAAATCGACCTGAGTAGAGTCGTTTTGAAAGTAAACTTGGTCATGTTTCCGGAAGTTTGCATTTAATCAAAAAAAAAAGAAAGAAAAAAGTTTCTAGTGAAGAAATTTACATATCGCTTATCTAAGCTTGTTTAGTGTACAAAATTGATAAACGTTTGCAACTTGATTAATTTTTATGATCACATCTATCATGTTGGATTTAAACTTGTTTTCCTTATGCGCGGTCTAGATTATGTGGAACATAAAGTTTACTCCAAATATCTGCGGAAAAAGATGAAAACTTCTTTTTGTGTCTTCATAAACAGCTGTTGCGTATTTTTATTTTTCAAAGATTGAATTGTGATTGTGTTTACAGAGAGAGAGAAGAAAAAAAGGAACAACAAAACAACACAGAACTGTTAAATATTGATTTTATGTATTCACAAACTCCCTTGCAATAAAGGTACTGATAACGTAGTGTGACAGTTGTTATGACTGACTGAAGTAAAAGTAAAACAACTTGAATACTTAAAAGACGCTACTCGATTTGTATTGAATTCACCAATATACATGACATGATCACGTTATAAGTGTCAATAAAAACAGAAATATTAACACCATACTTGTGAATTCAATTTCGACGTAAACGACACAACCAAAGTTTAAAGAAAAAACTCATCAAAAGCTATTCAACGTTATTGAAAAGTTTTCAGTTTACAAATTGCTTCACACTGGAACGGATTTTCACAGGAAGGCAAGTTACAAAAATAAATAAATAAATACAATTCGAAGAAATCAATCTTTCTTCAAGTGTTTTTATCAACATTTTATTGTGTAGTTTTGTGATTATGACTGATAATTGACAGTCCAAACATAGAAAAACGTCACAAACATAACATTGCTGGTGTTGGGCGATCGGGATCGGAAAATGGATCGTCCAACTCTGCATTGCAATGTGTAAACCAAATTTTCATGGTTTTTATTTTCAAAACAAGTGAAAAGTTCATGAATGTTTTTTTTATCTTCTTAATTGAAATTGATTTTAACTTCGTTGTCATCAAGTTTAGAGCAGCAAAATCTTGTCTGAATTGGAAAAAATCGCGTCAGTTTTTATGAATTGAGACATTATTAATTTTATCATTGGAAAACAGTTTGAAAATGTGTGTAAATAAAAACAATTCCAAGAAGCAAACGATCATATCAAGATGCAAGGCTTGAAAGTTGTCTCGTTAAACTTGTTGAATCTTCTCTCAATGAGGTTTAGTTTTGATCTTTAGTGCATAATTTTTTTATTTTCTGTGGCTTATGAGACTTCTAAAATGAGTGACTGATTTGACATTACGGTTAATTGTCAACATTCCAGTGTAATATTTATTTATGTTCAATTATCTGATACTAAAAAATGAACATGAAAAAACAGCGAAAATTTCATTTAATTTGCAATGAAGTACTCGAAATATTTCTCATTTGATTCATTAAGTCCACTTGACTTGAGTTAACGTTGAAGGCGCCTTTAGTTTGTAATTATAAGTCATTTAATAAATGTTATCACTTCTTATTGTTCTTTTTTTCATTTTTCCCAACATATCGCTGCCTCACCTTGCGCGACTTTAAAAGGGCGAAACATTTTATCAGCTCATTACTTTCGAATTGTCTATACGCGAAACAATAAAAAATAAAAACCTTCACATGTGCTCAAATGTTTATTTATTTAATTTGTTCATTTTCTTTTTTTTATCGTTCCAGAATTTGCATTATCACCAATGTAGTAAAACAGCAAGCAAACATTGAATGAGGTGACTAACTTTATTTTGACAATGATGAATAATAATAAAGACGAGCATAAATTAATCTATTTTATTCTCATTTAAGATTGTGCTTTGACGGCTTTTGCTTAGGCCCTCGGCGGCCATTGGCCGTTGAGAAAAGTTCCCAAACTTCTCTCACTCTTTCAAACGCTATCGAAACTCTTAATATTACTACATTTTTCGACAAAACTTCACCAGCTCATCATTTTCATCTTCAACATAACTCAGAATTTGACAAAGAAAATATAAATATTCATCCAAATTACTACGACAACGGCGGAATGATTACCTCTGATGATCCAAACGTTTCACGAAATAATTCAGAATTCAATAGCAGTGTCAACGATTCAACAATGTACAGCGATAACAATTCAATGGCATTACCATCACATCAAGCTTTAACCGAATCAATTGATTCACAGAACAATAATATCTCAATTGATATATCATCGCAGACCGATCTCGTTAATCGAGGTGATGCTGTGGATATGTTAAACAATACTGTTCAGAATATTTTCATAAACGAAGGCAATGTTGATGTCAACATGCAAGAAGTTGATTCAGAACAGAATTTAACAGCTGAAGAGAGAGATTTGATTAAAATTATTCAAATTAAGGATATGAAGATAAAAGAATTAGAAGACCAACTTCGTCGGAAGGATGAAGAAATTGCAAACTTAAAGAGTCATTTGGATAAGTTTCAAAGCGTGTTTCCATTTCATGGTGTACCGAAGCAACCGATTCGAAAGATTGGCAATCGAAATATTCAGCGACAAAGAGCGCAAGGTATTTCAGCTGAACCACAAAGTGAGAGCTCGATGCACGACTTACTTAACGTTACTTTCCCCAAATATGAAAAGGATGAGCAGTGAGTATTTTTAAACTTCCTTTAACTTTTAAAATATTTCAAAAAGTTTGCATTTGAATTTTATTTTACGCGTACAACTCAACCGATCTCAAATAAAAAAATCAATAATTACGTTTCAAAAGCTTTAAAGAGTTAAATCATGAGATTATTATTACTTAAGTACATATAAAGTGTTTAAAAACTCATATCAAATCACCTAGAAATATTCTGACGTGATAAAATAAAAGATTAAAAATAAATTGATGGATTTGTTACGATTCGTATTAAATTGCTACTTTTCGCGTTTCGGATATTTACACCTCGAATAGCTTTTAATCAAATCAAATCCAATAACAATAATGATAACATGGAGCAAACATTTTAAATGATTGACGTCAATTTTAAAATATTTTAAGTTTATTTATTTTATGTCCTTTTTCAAAAGTTTTCACACTTGAAGTGTTTTACACTCAAATAAATTATTTCACTTTCTTTTACTGACTAATAACACGAATGTGTTAAATAGACAAAAGAAATTATTCAAGTTTCGTAATGTGAGGGTGTTAACTATAGTTTAGGAAAACAGTCAGCACACATTCGAATGAAAAACTGAGTGGAAAATGAAAGAAAGAAAATTGACCTTAAATCGACATCGCTTAAAAAAAACGTCATTTTCTTAACAATGAAAATTTAATTTGTTTTCAAGTGGGGGAGGAGAAAAAAGAATACTTAAAACGATTATTAAAAGTGAAGCAATAATTGAAGTTTGTTGAAGGTGGGTGAAAGAAAATAATCAGCATAATCACCTTTGCTGCGTTCGTTGTCATATCACTTCAATGCGGTCATTGTAATCGTCAAAATGTCTCGTTTACTCATGACTCAATCTATGTCTGTGACATGATTCTTTAACTGAATTTTAAACACACGTATAATTTACAACGCGCGAGGTTGTGTTCACATAAATATATCTTTCAATATTTGTCGACATGTATCGTTGCTGTAAATAAATTCGCATCGACAGTCTGTTACAAGTCTTAGCCAAGGAAACACAACATCACGAGTTTACAGTGATCGAAGAGAAAATATTCTATTTTAAATGTTTTGTAATGTAACGAAGATATTTGAAACCTTTTAATTGATCTCACGTGCCGAAAAATAGAATTCAAAGTGATTTTGCACAAAGTTCTTTATTGTTATGCAATTTACGCAGCTTTAAAGTGTTATTTTTACTTTTCGATAGAAATAGAGCAACCTTGACACTTTAATGAAAAGTGGCTTTCATTTTCAATCAGAGTTGCACCGCTATAACTATGAGAACAGATTCATTATGATAATTAAAGCATCAATGCGTGGATGTTCTTCTTAACATCAATTAATAAAAGAGATGAAAGAAAAAAAAACAATCCAAACTTTAGTTGCCATCATCAAGGAGGTTCATGACAAACAATTTTTATGATTCAATGCCGAATTTTGTTTGTATGCGAATTAAAATTGTATTAAATGGCGAAAGATCAGAGAGAAATTAAGAGATAAATAAACTTTGAGCGCCTTAAAAACATTATTTTTTTTATTAGAAAGGAATTATGTGTTTTTAAACGTTTAAAAGTGAAGTTTTTTTTTGTTTTCTTTATATCAGATTGCTCGCAAAAAATCACGCTTTTGCATATGTCCTCAATAGCTATTTAAATCTCATTACCCTTCTAGTGTTTGTTCATTGTGAGAAATTATTAATAGGCAAATTTTTCGCGCACGCAACATGGGTTGTGCTTGTGAGTCATTTCAATCGATCATAACACGAACAAAATTAATTCTCTCTCTTTTTATTATTGTTTGATAAGAAAAAGTCACGTTTAAACATTTACAGTTTCATTGAAGTTGACAATGACTTGTTTTATTGCATGCTATTAAAAGTTTTTTTACCCTAATCAAACAGAGAGAAATTGAATTAACTTGAAAATGTTTATGAACCTACTTGAATAATTTAAAAATATTTAATGAAATATCATTACGCACATGGTTTGATGAGTGATTGCAAACTTTATTCAATACAAAGTCGATCATTCTCGTTATTGTACTTCTCAAACAGTTATCTTAAACGGAGGACAAAAAGCTGTCATTATTTTAATGTCCATAAAAGGTTTTAATAAAACATTATTCGCTGAGTGAGAGAAATAATTGAAAAGCATTCTTTGACTCGTCTCATTTCAATGCATAACGAATGTAAAGTGAAAATAATTGCAGCATAATTGAATCGTTCTAAGAAATTTAATGAACGCAACATTTTCATTAAAAAAGTCGAGAAATTCTTCAGAAAAAGTGACAAATATTTTATCATAATTTACGAAAAAGACATTTTGATGCCAAAAAAAATTTACTTTTAAGTTATAAAATAAAGGAAGTGAAAATAAATTAAAAGACGTCATGGAAAAGCCTCGAGAAAGGAAATCTATTGAAGATACTGTGACATCATTGAGAAAAGAACTTCAAATTCTTTACGAATGTTTAAAAGATAAAAACGAACAGTTGTTATGTTATGAGAAAGATATAAGAGATCGTGACATCAGTATTAAGTATTTGAAGAATGAATTTAAAAAGTTGAAGGATTCCAAAGTGTCAACTTCGCAGAAAGGCGACATAAACGCTGAAGAATCTGATGAGAAAGACACACAACCAGATGAAATTTTAATTAACTTACGAAGGGATCTAAAAGATCGTGAATCTTTAATTAAAGAACTTAACAAGAAAATCATTCGTTTGTCAGACAATTTAATATTCTTACAAAAAGAAAATCTTAAGAAAGATGATCGCAATCATGAAATGCAAAGGGAAATTGATAAGTTCAGACAAGTGGTAAACAAAAGAAATATTATCGTCCTATGAACGTGCTTAAGATTATCTTTAATTAATTAAAGGTTCGACCGTTTACAAAAGCTGTTGTTGAAAATCGATTAAATGAAGACGATTTCTTTCACGACACGAGTCCCGGTGTGGAAAACACGCGAGTCACGTTAACCAATGAACCATCTAGATTAAAACGAACTGCTATCAGGTGCTGTTAAGCTTTATAAACAATAAGGCGTTATTTAATATATTTATAATCTTGTACGATAGCGCGGAACCTTTATCACAATTGCAGGGTGCACAAAACGACTTGGTGAAAATTCCAAAATGTACAACGTAAGAAAATAAAATTCAAATGCAAATTCATTGGAATAAATCATTCAGACTTTTCATGATTATTTAATTAAACATTCATTTTCTGGAAACAGGTCTCGTCAAATAATAAAATCAGCCATATTAGACAACGATTTCATGAAAAACTTGGACATAACCCAAATAAAAGAGATCGTTGACTGCATGTATCCCGTTGAATATGCGGCAGGAAGTCTTATAATCAAAGAGGGAGATGTTGGAAGCATAGTTTATGTTATGGAAGGTGAGATACTCTTAATTAATAACTAAACTTTATGAGGTATTAATTTAGAATGATGAAAAGAAACTTTGCACTTATAAATGAGAAAGAGAGAGGGAGACAAATATTTATTCAGTTATGCAAACACGATGAAACTTCTTCTTTTTTATTTGTGCTATTTAGCACAACTTTTGATGATCTACATCTGTTCAATATCAATTAATGTCTATGAAAAATCGTTGAAAATGTCTCTTGAAAATCAAAGTGTAATGTGGAATTTATAAAGTTTCACAAAAACATTCATGCGAAAGCTCACAAAGCTTTTAAGCTGCTTTTCATTGTTTGAATTTTCAATGTCGTTTTATTTTGATGAGAACTTTTGAAACACTTCACAGCGAATAATTCTAATGGGAATGAATTTGAAATATAAAATGGAAATTGATACACAAAAGTTTTCTGAATGTAAACATTGATCAATGTTTAGAATCTTGTTTTGCTTTATTTGATCGTAAATCACGCAGGTAAAATCTTTAAAAGAAATTTTTCACAGATCTCTTTTCATTAAAAACATAAACAAAGAGTTTCTGGAAAATATTTCATCTGTACTTGAATGCATCGAGTAAAAATCTCTTTTTTAACGTCGTTGTATAGAGAAACATGTGGTGCTGCTCTCGTCTTTTAAGTTTGTGTAAGTTGTTGCAAAAGAACAGCGTAACAAGAAGAAATCGTAAGAAACATTTCATAGCTACACAATTTTCATACCAATGTGTGTATGCTTCTCGTTTTGTATTCAACTGAGTTTGATATTTTTTTCTTCATAAAACAACAATATGTTTCATTCACGACCGAGACTCAAACGTGAAGGTTCGTTAAATCCGCTTGTCCCGCAAAATAAAGTAAAAGTTATTCGAGTGTAATTTCGAAGGTCATTTTACTCTGCGAAACATAATTTGCGTGAAATTGAGTATTAAGTTCATACTTATTCTTGTGTTTAAAGCAGACTTACTTAAGACTGAGAACAGTTTGTGTGAAACAAAGAAAATTAAGCATGAAAATTAATTAATCAAAATAAGGAAGAAAAGTTAAAGTTTGGAATCTAATTGTGAAGTGAAAATGTGATAAACGAACACAATAAACATGTTGCGATGATCAATTAAAAGTCTTCATTCGTTTTGATCAATTTGAAAGCAAAAGTTTAATATTTTTATTGCAATCGAATGGCATTTGATAAAAGCGATTGTGAAACTAATTTTACCTGCCTTCGAACCAGACCCATAACATGAATAGCATAAAGATTTATACGATTGCTTAGAAAAGAAACTATTTAAGTTTCTCTTTTTACAAAAATATTCCTTGATATTAAATTGATCGCACCTACAGCTTCTCAGATGATGTTATAAATTGTTGGCAAACCTTCGAACAAGTATTTGGGCTGCGTTACAGTTTTAAACTTTTGCAACTATTTTTGGATGATTAATTGACATTTGAAAAGAGCATCAAGATGAAACTTAAATCGTATCCTGGTCGTGTTGTTGATGCGAATGCTTCAATGGATAATCATCATTCAATGGGATTGTTGTATGAAGCAAATTGGACAAATGCCAATGAAAGGATTAAACAACAAACTCCATTAACCTATTCAAAAAGTAGTGTCAATGTATCGTCATTAGGGAGATATCAAGATCAATTAGAACAGATTAAAGCTTATGAATCTGATCGCAGTTTTACTTCCACAATGAATTTATTTAATGGCTATAAACCTTCAACACTGAAAATAAAAAAGAATTTAAAGCAGCATAATGAATGGGACAGCAGTGATCATAAAACGAACGATGTCATCCACAATCCATTGTATAATCATGCCCAAAATAACTGGCACTCGAATGATTACTTAGCAAACAACGTAAGTTATGTTAGGACTGATCCAAAATTAAGACGATCTCAAACAGTTATTGTCAAACAACCAACATCAACTTCAGAAAACTTTTACCACTCTAATGTTCAAGGAGAAATTGACTTAAAAGATTTTTATCGACGTCGTCATCAGCTTCGGCAACTCGAAGAAATGCACTTAAATAAATATTCGAAAAATTTGAGTGTTCACGATCAAGAACGAACATTAAAGCAAGTCAATAATAACGGCGGGTCTAAAATTATCTGTGATAGTGTGTCAGAAAAAGATTCCTTAAAAAATAAATGTTCCAGCAATTTATCAGCATTAGTTCGAAATAATAATGACACAGTTTACGATACAAACATTAATAGAATGAACTGTTATAAAACATTGAATTTTTCCTCTAAAAATAAAAACAATGCAAGTGAAAAGATTGGAAATGAAATTAATGGCAGTGGTGGCACAGTGAACGCGAGAGTTTTGCTTAATCCATTAGCTCGCAATAAAAGTATCAAAATTAATCATTTCGACATGGTCACGACAGCAAAAGAACCACAAAAGTTGAAACCTGAAGAAATTGATGGAAAACTTTATGAGACGAATACGAAAAGTGAAAAGAAAGCCAAAAGAAACAGTCTCACTCGAATGTTTTATAACACAATCTCGGCGGGATCGAAATTTCCACGAGTGTTCTTAGGACGAAGTGGAAAAAGTCAAAGAGCGAAATTGAACCTCGGTGATCTTGACGAGAACGGTGAAAGTCAACAGTCAAACTCTTCTTCCATCTCAACTCTATCATCATCATCGCCAATCTCTTCACCTTCGTCATCGACCGTGAACAATGACAAAGCTTATGCTAATTTGAATAAAACAAATCGTAAGCACGGCTCAGCTGGTAGTTCAGATTCCGATAATTTTGTCATACCAAGACCGAGGCTTATTGTGCCTGTTCACACTTACGCTCGAAAACGGCGAACCGGTAATTTAACTTCAGAGCAATCGATTTGTGATACAAATAAAAATACCGTCTGTGATAGAAACTCAACCAACTATAAAGGTAATTAAATTACAGGACAAGTTTATGAGAAATGAAAAGTTTTATACCGTTGAAATGTAGAAATTAAATTTAAGTTATTTGTTGTTGCATTTTGTGCAGAAAGCTTTTTATCCATAACAAGACGATGACGAAAGAAGTTCACCGCTGCGTACAGAAGAGATTGTTGAGAGATTATGGGCACAATGTATTTATTTTTCGCAGCTCATGTACCATGACATAAACAGAAGATGTTGTTGGTTGCAACAAAAAGCCTTCTTTATATTCTGATGAGCGAATTATGATATGAACGCTTCGTGAAGTTTTCGCAAAACTGTTTAGCTTACGCATAGATGTAAGCATAAATTAAAAGTGAGATGTCTTGTGTAATCCTAACAGTTTGAATAATTAGTTATCCTCAATCCATGCACGTTTCACCGAAATAAGCATAAAACTCTCAGCACTTGAAATTTTCTTCTTTTTAAATTGTTCACACTTCGTTTTCCGCAATATTTTTGAAAGAATATGGCAATAAAAGCAAAAGCAAAAGCTTTTCCATTAGCACGTCAATAGTTGAAGTCATTTTTTGAAATTAAACTACAAAGTAGCTTTTTGTGATTTGAGCAAAAATGTTTTATGCTTTTCACATTATTCATCTCATATTGATGAAGGTTTCTAAATTTGCAAGATCATTGTGCTATTTGGAAAGTGAAATAACACAAAAAAATTGCCTTCCATGCAGATTCTAATTTCAAAATGTCATCTAATATTGAAAAATATTTGCTTTGCCGTGGCAGGTTTATGGTGTAAATGTATAGATCAACGCCTTCAATCTCCTTCTATGACATTAACCACCGTTGTGTGATTTTGTGAGTCTGTTTTACAAATAAAAAACTCTGAGTCATACAATTTCAACTTAAACACCTTTTAATGACGTGTTGCGGTGGTTTCATATTCGGTAGCGTTAAAAATAACTGCTGTTAGAAGCTTTATTAATGATTGAGAGATCTCAATAGACAGACTGATAAAGAATATTTATTATTTCTTCGTCTTGAAAATAAATAAGCTAAATAGGGTAGTTGGCTAGTAGTGACACCACCCCCGAAAACGCGTCCAGTAGTGACACCACTCTATTAGTTTAATTTTAACAGCTCTTAGAGCTTACCGGAGGAATGTGTTAATACATAACGGTAGAGGAAGGTTCAAGGATAAATAATTAACAAATCGCCTTTTCCGGTAAGCCCTAATCGCTGCTAAAATTAAATCGAAATAAAGTGGTGTCACTACTGGACGCGTTTTCGGGTGGTGTCACTACTAGCCAACCCCCCTATATATAAAAATAAGGTTTCGAGCATTTTAAACATTTGCTGACCTACAAAAATATTAATTTATGTTCGGAATTCTTCCTGCTTTGCTTCTGATTCGTGATTTTTCTATTGAGACTCTCAAGTCAAATATTTTTGTGTGAATATTATTTTGGAAAGCGGTCTCTAAAATCAGGTTTTGAAATAATTCGTTCGACATTGTTTTTATCTCAGCTTGTTAATCATTAAAGTTTTTAAATGGTCCAATGAAAGTAAAACTTCCAGCTTCCGTTCAGCATAACTATTGAAGTGAAAAGAGGTTTCATCAGATTGCATAATTACTGAAGAAAAAATCTTTTAAATGGGTCAAATTTATTTAGTTCTGACTTCCAAATGCCACAAAACAAAAACACTTAGAAGCTAAACGAAGTGTAACGATCTCATCACTTAATTGCTGAATAAAATATTTTGTTTACAAAAACTTCCGATGATTAAACTAATAACTTTAAGTGAACAAACTTTTTTTATTCGATACGCAATGATAACGAAATAAAATTTTTATTTTAATCAACGAGCTTTGAAAGACTTTCAAATGTCGAGATATCCACAGAAAGCGAATGTTCATATGTGCAGACTAAGTAATGCGAAAAGAGAAATAAAAAATAAATGTTGTTAATTTTGTTAACTTTATTCCTTACTTGCTAAACTTTCACAATAAGAAATTTCGAGTGCAAGGCATATGTGAGAAATAGAGAGTCGAACTTACGTTGTTTCGTAGGGAATAAAACTTTTGTCCAATGCAATTTGCGTTTATTTATCACTTTCACTTAAAAGATAAAATTTTTATCTCATCATTAACTAAGCAATGCTTCACCAATTCACCAAGATTTTATCTTGCGTCATTTCATCCACGATTATTAAAAATAATTATTGTGTTAACATTTTTCTTCATTCATTTTTTATTTTTAAAATAATTTGCAGAAGGAAGAGTTGAAGTGTCGCGTGAAGGAAAATATTTATCAACATTATCGGGTGCTAAAGTGCTTGGAGAGCTCGCCATATTGTACAATTGTCAACGTACTGCAACCATAACAGCAGCTAAAGATTGCAAATTATGGGCGATCGAACGTCAGTGCTTCCAAACAATTATGATGAGAACCGGTCTTATCAGACAAACTGAGTACACCGACTTCCTTAAAAGGTACGAAAAATTTGTTACTTTTACTTTCTTTCGATTGTTGATTTGAGTTTTAAAAACTGAACATCGAGTGGAAAGGCGAAAGCAAAACTTACACAATTACCACAGCAATGTGTGTCTCTTTATTAAATCATTTTTCGTTCTTACTTCATTTTATAAAAATAGCTAATATTCCGGTTTCGCGACGTAAATTTTAATAAGACAATTCCATTGTTGTTGATTGTTTCTTGACGAAAAAAAAGTTTTTATGTCTTTTTCGAAGAAAACCTTTTCACAGAACTCTAAAACTATTTTGAGTATTTTTCCTTGACCACATTTGTTATGACAAATAATTGTAATTATTTACTTATCAGATTATTCAACGAAATGTTGTAGAAACTTGAAATTGTCTCCACAGTTGATTGAATCTGAATGATAATTTGCATTCTACTTTTTCTGCCCTTTGGAATTATTTAGACATTGATTGACTCACCTTTCAATCTAACAAAGCGATGAGTCTTGAATCTTGATTGCTTGAGGTGAAAGAAGAAGCAGAAAAACTTTCTCTTCTAATAGAAAAAAAGTCGGAAATGTTACAAAAGAAGAAGTCAGAGATTAGCAGTTTGTGAAATGAATGTGTTAATATTTGTTAGCGTTGCCTCGCTTCTGTTTGATGTATGTTGTACTGTTTGTGTTATAAAAACAATGGTCATAATAATGTATTGCGGTTTGACATTGAGAGAAGTGAATTATTTCAAGCAGAAGCTTCATTTTGCAATTCTTGAAAGCAATTTAAACAAAAAACCTTGGATCTGTACTTAGAAAATGATTAAAAAATGCTTTGCTTATTTATTTCCTTAGTGTTCCAATTTTCAAAGATCTTCCCGAAGATACGCTCATCAAAATCTCTGATGTACTTGAAGAATGTTATTATCAAAAAGGCGATTACATTATACGTCAAGGTGCACGCGGTGACACTTTCTTTATCATCTCGAAAGGCCAAGTACGAGTCACAATTCGTCCGCAAGATTCGTTTGAAGAGAAGTTTATTCGCACTTTAGGCAAAGGTGACTTCTTTGGTGAAAAAGCTTTACAAGGGTGAGTTAACTTTTATAATGGCTCAATTGCATCTGTTTAGCAGATGAAGTTTATTAATAATAATAATTAATAAATGTTTATAGTGATGACTTGCGAACAGCGAATATCATTTGTGATTCACAAGACGGTGTAACATGTCTGGTCATAGACCGAGAGACATTTAACCAACTTATTTCGAATTTGGAAGAAGTGAAAAATCGTTATGTCGAAGAAGGAATCATCGAGCGTAGAAAGTAAGTTCATTTTTCAATTATTCAAACTTAATTACCGCAAATTCAAATGCAAATTACAAATTTCTAATTATTGCCTAACAAACAATTGGATGGGTAAGACAGTCATCATTGTTCAATAATAGAATTGCTTGCAATTTCTTTTAAATGCACAGCCGGTGGTTTACCTTTCACTTACTTACTACGTTTTCAGATTAAATGAAGAGTTCCGTGAGGTTCAGTTAGCGGATTTACGCTTAATCGCAACCCTTGGTGTGGGTGGATTTGGTCGTGTCGAGTTGGTGCAAATAAATAATGACACATCGCGTTCATTCGCTTTAAAGAAAATGAAGAAAGCGCAAATTGTTGAGACGAGACAACAACAACATATTCAATCAGAAAAAGAAATAATGGCCGAGGCAAATTGTGATTTCATCGTTAAGTTATTTAAAACGTTTAAAGATCGCAAGTACTTGTACATGTTGATGGAGAGCTGTCTTGGTGGTGAATTGTGGACAATATTAAGAGATCGTGGTCATTTCGATGATGCAACCACAAGATTTTATACCGCGTGCGTGGTTGAAGCATTTGATTATTTGCATTCGCAAAACATCATTTACAGGTTCGTTTCATTTCATTTATAAATGATGCGTTAAATTCAATTGATGTATCAATTAACACACGAATATTTGCAGAGATCTTAAACCAGAAAATCTTTTGCTCGATGTTACCGGATACGTAAAATTAGTTGATTTTGGTTTCGCTAAAAAACTTCAAAGCGGAAGACATTTTAAAACATGGACTTTCTGTGGAACGCCTGGTGAGAATTCAAGAAATAATAATAATTGCCTTGAATATTTTCGTATTTAAATGACCTATGATGACTATTACTAAACCTTATCGCTATTATTTATTTTTATTTTCAGAATACGTTGCTCCTGAAGTTATATTGAATCGCGGCCATGACATTAGTGCTGATTATTGGTCTCTTGGTGTGTTAATGTTTGAGTTACTGACAGGTAAACTTCTTCAAAAGTTTTTATAGCCTTTCACTTTACTCTTCTTGTTTTTATTGCTTTATTAATTTAGGTACACCACCTTTTACTGGACCCGATCCAATGCGAACATATAACATAATTTTGAAAGGAATTGATGCTATTGAGTTTCCTAGAAATATTACCCGAAATGCGACAGCTTTAATTAAAAAATTATGTCGGGATAATCCTAGCGAGCGTTTAGGATATCAAAGAGGCGGAATTCAGGAAATTCAAAAGCATAAGTATGAGTCATAAAGATTTTATATTCAAGGATTCTTTTTAATTAATTTCCTCAAATTTAGATGGTTTGATGGATTTTACTGGGAAGGCTTAAGAACACGAACATTAACACCACCAATTCTTCCGACTGTTAAAGATGTTTTAGATACAACGAACTTTGATGATTATCCGCCTGAAGAAGATCAGGGACTACCACCAGATGATTTGAGTGGCTGGGATGAAAATTTCTAAGCATTTGAAATATTTGTATTCTTCTTTATCACCACATTTTCAAATACATTTTTCTCTTCTTTTATCATAACTTTATTCCCTACTTTTCTATCTTATAATTTGCTTTTTTGTATAAAAAGTTTAAATAAATATAAATAAAATTTAAAGCTGTTGAATCAAATCAGATATGAAGTTGTTTTATGGGTACCTGGAAGGAGTTCAAATTTTGAAATTTAATAAATAAAAAAATATTTCTAATCTTTAAATGATTTAAACGACCATAAATGGATTACTGATAGATAGTTCATTATGCAACCATTGGCGGCGCTGCCATCGCAATATCAGGGAGTGATTTTTTTATCAGGGAGTGAGGAAAACTCAAGTTTTCAGTGGCGGCGCTACGATCGATTATCTCGCACGGAGAAATTATCACGCACGGAGAAATTTTTTGTGTACGTTTTGTATGGAAGGTCAAATCCGCGCGAACGTACCATCGGAAATGATGACTGAGTACATCATAAACATGGGCCCGAGCTTTCACTTCCTGAAATTTCTGGGAGATGTCGCCTTAACGGATTTGAATTATATGCTAATGCGCCACTATTTGTAAGAGTTCTTTGGGGCCAAAGAAAATTGATAATAGATGGCGCTGTAGTGAGAAGAAAAATTTGCCGCTTTCTGTAATATTCTTCAACTTACATGTTAACGTGACCTTATTGGTGCACAGTGATCATTTCTCTTTAGATTTCATTGACGAATCAATTTTCGTTAGTTTAACAAGAAATGGCAGACTTGGACGATTTCTTTGCAAAGCGTGATAAAAAGAAAAAGACTAAAAAATTCTTATCAAGTGAAGAGCTGGTGAAACAACTGGAACAGCCGAAGGAACCAGTAAAGACAAAACCTTCCCAAATCGAAGAAGAGACAGAACAACAGATAACAAATGAAGAGGTAGGCTTAGTGGCTTAGTTAAGAAATAAAAAAGATTAAAGTGTGATTCGACTATGTAAATTCTTATAGAACGACGATGAATGGATTAATCCAGAACCTGAGAAACGACCAGATTATTCTAACCTGAAATTAGGACAACTCACAATTAATGAAGATGATGAACAAGGCTCGTCTGGCAATTTCTTTGAGAATGAAAGCTCTCAAAATGATGGAGATTCATCAGAGAATCCATGGAAGTCATCTGGATCATCAGGACCTCCACCTCCTCAAGAAAGCTCAACAAAACCCAAAGTTGTTCCTCCAAGTAATACCGGAATTTATATACCGTCGTTTTTACGTGCAGAGGTAAACATGAATTAACTCATAAATCATTTAGGCTTTCAATTGTTATTCCTTTTAGAATGCCCAGAAACTTCGTAGCAAAAAGAACGCTCCCGACTTATCAGCTGAAAACTTCCCATCCTTAGGAACGGAAAAACCAGTTAAACTCGACAGCATTAATAAGAAAGATGGCTTTGAAGCAGTCAAACATGGTGGAAAATTACAAGCAGCAAGTTCAGGAAATGCGCCGGTTACTACAGAAAACTCTTTTTCATCGCTGGTCAGTGACTCTTTAGATAGTTAAGAAAGGTAACGATTTTAATGAGACTGCGAGTTTCGCACTAAGCAAGCCAACAATTCTTTGAATAGTCTCAGAAATAAAGTTATTTTATGTCATCATATATGCGGGAGAACTCATACAAGGTTTTCTATTAAATCCAATAATTCGAAGAGAGCAAGACACAAAATGTCTGACTTTGCTTTTTTTTTTATTTCGATACAAAATATTTGTTAAATAGTTAAAGGTCCTCTTGAAATTATTGTTTGTTTTTTGGCATAGAGAAAGCCTTTTTCCACTTCTACATTAAATTAATCAAGGCAAAAATTGAATAAAGTTATTTTTCCACTCAATGGGATTGAACAAGAAGAGAATAAATGTTGAAATATTTAACTTTCAGGTCAACTATTTAAGTATTGTTGAGAAGATCGTCTAAGGTACAAAAGTCATCATCACTGAAACGAAATGACTTCGATTAGTCAGTTTCTACGCCGTATTCAAGATCATCTTTTGCCAGAATGTTCGACACTCTTTGACACCTTTCTTGATATCGTTTCTCTGCAGAGTTTTTGTATTCAGCTATGTGGGGGAGATTCAAAAGTTTTTCAGGGAAATTCTTTAGAAGATAAACCCAACATTTCAATTTCTCTTTTCCATCTTCAATGTCAATGTCTTGAATCTCACGATCATAAAATTCTGGATAATCTTCAAGGACATCTAATCGTGCAAACATTTTCTCGTCAATTGAATAAATTTCCCCAACGACATGATTTCCTGAGAGAAAATAAATTTTAATTAAAAAAAAGTCGAAGGCAATGAACATTCTCACCTATCCCAGGACGATTTATAAGAAATGGAATGTTATATCTTGTGCCAACAACTAAAGGAAACTTCTGACTTGTCTTACCAATTGCCACGAATTTCGAGAAACCATTTTCAATGTTATTTAAAAGATGATAGTTTGGTTGTCCATTCTTTAACGTGCCATAAACAAAAACTTTCAGTAAGTGAGATGACATCTGTAAATAATAATAAGAAGAAAATGGAAAGGAATATGAAATTATATAAATTATTGTCTGCTTTCGTTGAGAAAGTGAACAATTCAGCTTTATTCATTAAGAAAAAAGTTTTTCTCAGAGAAAAATATCTGCGATATCTGCGATCAAGTTGAGTAAATATCTCAATATTTGTAATTCGCTCGCACCAACAGGTCGTTGGAGACTGAAAGTTTGTAAAAGTGTTAGTGAGAGAACCAAAAAACCGGCAAAGCACAAGTGAAATCAAGTCTCACATGCCTTTCCCACTTCATCAACATAACGAAATGAAAAGAAATGTTTCTCCGAGCTTTACTTGTAGTTTCGAACATTGACTCGGATGCTTCCTTCCCTTGGTCTCATTTCATTATTATTTTTTCGTGGAAAGAATGAGTCATGTGCGCATAAACATGAGAAATAAGAATAAACAGAGGGTCGAGTTTTGAAATTTGAGTGCATACAACATACATAAAAATGTTGTGATGAGATGATTCCAATGTTGTGTGAGGAATGAAATGGAACATATGTTTTATATGTACAAGTAGATATCATTTCTGATTTAATATGTGCGTGACTTGCTTAGTTATCCCCAAGGCATAGAACGAACTTGTATTAGTCATCCAACTCGCACTCACAATCTTATAAGAGTAGCGAAACAAAAGTTGTTGAAATAATTAGAGCAGGAAAATAAGTTAGAATTCATTTCTGTTCATTTATTGATTATAAATTCAAGCTAAAGATCATACAGTTAACTTTTATTAAAATCTTCTTGAGAGTTAGTAAAAGAATGCAAAATTAAGGAGTGCACAACACAAAAGAGGAATGAAAAAAAGAACAAAATTTTTAATATTCTGAGCAGTGTTCCGAGACAAGCTTAACATGACTAAAATTTTGATTTCATTCATTCACAATTGAAATATTTCTAAACTTTAAGATTTATGTGAAAGCGACTTGCGAAATACTCGAAGTTTTTAATACTTTCTGATCTTTGTAATTAAATTCAATAAAAATAAAAAGAGTTGAAGGATAGAAGGATTCATGGCGCCACCAAGGAAAAAAGAAATGTGCTACGTCATTATAAGTGCCAGAAGGTAAAAAAATGTTGAAATCAACTTTCTGAGTAAAAAATTAAATTTATTTTTAGTTTGACATGGTTTTTGCTGACAATCTTCGCAACAATGCTCGCCATGGTTTCTCTTTTTACTCCTTATTGGCTCATTGCACCGAATCCATCAGAAATCGAAGCTGGCAATCATACGATTCTTAGATTTCCATCATTTGGTTTGAGTTCTCGTTGCAAGAAGATCTCATCAGGTGATTTTGAATGTTCAACATTTCCACTGACAACTGCCAATGAGATTTTCCCGTTGTGCTGGAAAATTTCCTACATTTTTATGGCTGTAGGATTTTTCATTCTGGGTGTGACTTCCGTGTTCTCATTACTGTCTTTCTGTCGTCAATCACTTTTTGGAAAGTCGCTGCATTCTGTTACGGGATCATTACAAATTCTTTCCGGTATTTTTGTAATGGTGGCGATATTTACTTATCCAATTGGTTGGGATGCAGAACGAGTCGCTGTTGTTTGTCATGACATTTCACCATTTTATCCAGGAGAATGTTCTTTAGGATATTCTTTCTACTCATCCATTTTATTAATCATCACATCATTCATTTGCGGATTTTTAAGTCTCAAAGCAGAGAAAGCGAGCATGAATCCATCGATTCAAAGAAGAATTGAAGAAGGAAATGAAAGGTTGGTGTTTGCACCATGAGGAACTTCAATCACATTAAATTTTAAGCATTTATTCTCGTCGTACTTTAAGCTCTCTAATCTAGTTTTATGAATCTCGTTTGCTTATTAACATTCCTGCTTGATATCAATTCTTCACATTTTTCTTGCAATCCAAAGATGTAGCTTTAAGCATTCAAATTTTTTCACTGTTTTTACAATAAAACATTCAGATTTTTAAACAAAACTGACTTTTGATTTGCTGAAAGATGCGAGAGATTGACGAGACAATACAAATAAATTTACTTTTTTTATCTAATCATTGTTGTTTCAAGCAGAAGTTCTGACTTGACTTGAAAATTTCTTTGTGACTTGACTTACTCGAGTGACTTAAAGTGAAGGAAAACTCAAACGAATCAAAGCCCTGGTTTCAAGTGCTTCAATGTCTTGATAAGCTGTACCTAATTAAATCTAGTTAGTTAATTAAAAACCTTCAAGAGAATAACTTCGAAAAATTCTTTCAAATGTCAAACCTTTTCAATCACAAAGTTTTTGTTTACGGAACTTTGAAAAATGGACAACCAAATTATCATATTTTAACTAATCAAGAAAATGGATTTTCTAAATTTGTGTCAATTGGAAAAACAAGTCAGAAATTTCCTTTGGTCATAGGTTGGCAATTAAATTATTTAATAAATTGTTGTAAAAGTTTTTATATTTATGTTGAAAAGGTTCAAGGTACAACATTCCTTTCTTGTTAAACCGACCGGGATTAGGTGAATAATTTAGAAATTTCATTGCTTTATAAATAAAAATGAAAAATTTCAGGAAATCATGTGGTTGGTGAAATTTATTCAGTTGACGAGAAAATGTTTGCACGATTAGATGTCCTTGAAGATTATCCAGAATTTTATGATCGTGAGATTCTCGACATTGACATTGGAGATGGAAAAGAGAAATTAAAATGTTGGGTTTATTTTTTAAAGAACTTTCCCGAGAAATTACTGAACTTGCCTCATATTACTGAATATAAATGTGAAAATGAATTTCCATACCAAAGTGAAAGCCAAAATGTGTCAAACATCCTTTCCAAAGAAAATCTTTAATTAAGTGAAATGTTAGTAAGCAAAAGTAAAGTTTAAAGTTTTCTAATGAATATTTTTATTGTTCAAATCGAAAAATTATAGACTTTATAATAATCTAAATATTTTCTACTGTTTTTATCGATACTTCTTTTCAATCATTTATTCATTTTAAAAAATCGATCCTAATGTTCTTCGTGAGTAGCAAAAAGTTTACCACATTAAAAATGTTTCGTGATATGTTTAGTGAAGTGATTAAGTCACCTTTCGATTGAGTCGTTAATACATTTGGTTGAATTTCAAATGTTTAATGAAAAAATATGTAAGAGGAATTAAATGACAGCAGCGCACGCTTCAATAAATTACAAATATATGAAGAGAACTAAATATTTTTAATTCAACAAGAAAAATAACATAATTCTTAAAGAACAAGTAAATCAACTAAATGTGGTCTTGTTTAAGTCATTTTTAACACAAATAATTGTTGAGACATCTTCTATAATTCATCATGCTTTGGCCCTGAAAACTCTTCATGAGAGATGAAGCCATTCTTGTCCTTATCTTCATGTTGGAAAATTTCTTCCACGAGCTTATCGTGTTCAGCCAACATATTTTTAATTTCATCTGAGTCTTGTCCCTCAACAGCAGTCATTTGCTTCTTAAGATATTCACTCACCTAAAAATTAAAACAACATTTAATTGATGTAACATTTTACAAAATAATTTCAATGAATAATGAAGTGAAATAAATGAAAATAGATGAAATGAAACTTCGTACATATAAATTTACCTCATCACGGCTCAATTGTAAATCTTTGTTATCATCAATTTCTTTGAAAACATTCGTTGTTGGTGGAGAATCTCCAATGTTTATGAGTTCAACATCAAACAAGAGAGTAGCACCGCCTGGAATCACATTTCCAGCTCCACGATCACCATAGCCAAGATTTGGTGGAATTGTCAATTTTCTCTTCTCACCTAAAATGTCAAATTTGTAAGAAACTTCACTCTTTAATTATTTATTCAATGACTAAACTTACCAACACACATATCAAGAAGTCCTTGATCCCAACCTTTGATGACTTGTCCTGCTCCAAGTTGGAATGTGAATGGTTGGTCCCTGTCATAACTGAAATGAAAAGGAAAAGTTTATGCAAACATCATAGACGAGTGAGAAATATCATGAAAAATTGTGACAATTTATGCTTATTGTAATAATGATGATGGCGGTGTTACCTGCTTACGACAATCATTTGTAAATGTTAAGCGTTATTATGACGGTTTAAGAATAAAAAAATATTTTCCCTTCAAACATGAAGCGTAATCCCCAAGGAGAAACAACAACTGTTGGCTACAATTTATCTTTAGAATATGTTCTTGTGCATATTGTCTTTGTCTCATCGTTCATCTCTACTGTAAGTGTGAAGGCTCTAAAAGCAAATCTCAAATTTGAGCCCGACACTTCTTCATCTACGACAAAATAAATGTGGCATCATATTCAAAATTATGATGTTTATTTATCTTCATTTTATAAAGGTTAATATTTCATGCTGAAATCATAAATTCCGTGTTCTATTACACATTCACCTTCGCATGAAAATTGAACCATCAAGTAAGGTTTCTTTAAAAAGAAATGAAGCAATAAGAACAAGAAGTTGTGTTCACGTTTCCTAATCTAACAAATTTCTTAGCACTTTGCACTCACAGCCGGTTGAGGTCTATAAATATAAATTTTCAACCCTTTGAAGACGAGAGAAAATAAATACGAAAAGGAAGAGAAGAAATCTGCTCCATGATAAATGCACGTTACATGTTCAGCCTTTGCTTTTTTCATATATCGACGTGCTATCAGTTGAGTTGGGAGTAAGAAAAATTCACCACTCAGAATGTTGTTTTAAAGTGTTAAAAAATACTATCAAGGCAGTAGCAGTACAGATGAACATATCTACCAAAAAAAGGAGATAAAAAGAAAATCATTTGGAAAATGTTTATCATTTATTTATAAACTGATATGCTGTTGGAGATGGGGAAGATCCCTATCTGCATACAAATGTTGTCAGATGAAAATTATTTTAAGATACGAAGAAACTTCCTTGAAACCAGACCGTTTCCAAACGTCCCGAGAGTAAGTATCACGTGTCGAAGAATTGGAAAAGACGACAACCACGACGACGACACTGTTCGCGAATGTAAAACCGCTTGTCGTTGTTTCGTTTCTCTCGAAACATGCTTGGAAACTGTATGATGTACATCGTGGTTAATGGACCAAAGAATCGAAGCTTTAATCGACAAGAAAAAATGTAATAAACTTTCCTTTTTCTTTTTGCAAATTTCCTTCCGCTTACTTTGTTTTAGATACGAATCGAATGGTGAAACAAGTTTCAATGTCTAATTTTTAGGCAATTTCCAATAAAAAATCTTTCACTTAAGTAGAAAAATTGTAGTGAAATAAATAAATATTAACGAACTTTTATTGATAACATAAAAAAGCAAACTTCGAACCAATTGAAATAAAAAAAAATTTAAATTGAACTTTCTTTCGTGTACAGGACGAGAAAATGATGGCGATTTACGTTGAAGATAAATTTTTAAAGGATGTTTGGGTTCAATCACACAAGGAAACGATATCCAGCGAATAAAATGAAGTTCCTTTAAACGATAAAATTTAATGAAAGTTTCATTTTCTCATCAGACATAGTCTTTCGTGAAAATGTAATGTAATTGCGCTAAGATTATTCTTCTCCATGTTTAATAGAAGTAACAGCATTTTAATCAATTTAAAATTCAAAAATTAATTTTCCACCCAAAGCAAGCAGCATAAACAGCATTATAAGACTATCAAGATGATGAATAATCCGAAAGTGCAGCAAAGATTTTCTATTTGTTTGCATGGAACATTTCTTAAGTAGTGCATACATAAGATATGTTGAGCTCCATTTACTTCCCTCATCTCTGATGATTGCAAACATAAGAAACATGAAAATCGTTTTATTCAACAAGTCATAAAAATCCGCATTATTGGAAAAACGCGGTGCGAAGTAAATAAATAATAAATTTCTTTTTTATTCAGGCGATAAAATTTTGACACAATTTCCTTAGAAAATCAACATTAATACGAAGTCACGACGATTATGATATGCCTCTTGACATATTTCCTTAAACATTTCTCTCTTTTTTTTGTCAATTCTGAGTTGCCCCAAAGGATTTATGAACACTTCTCAAAACATCGAACAAGCAGCAACTTCTTGAACCACAAAATTTATTTTCAGTTGTTTTCATGATGCAAGGAAAGAATTTAACGACAAGAGCAGTGAATTAAAAATTCATTTCGATGCCTTCTTTTTTTTACGGCCGTTGTCGTTGTTTGCTTTCTTTATTTCATGAGACAAAAAAAATTGTCAAAGATCTTGTGGCTTCCAATGTAGCACAACATGCATATTTACACTGTGATTCATGAAATTTATATGATTTAAGAAGTTTTTGAAGACATGTAAGAACGAAGGAGAAGATCTTTATCGTTTGTATTTAAGAAATGAGATCAAATTAGGAAAGAATTGTTAAGGAAAATTCTTCATTTCATCCTGTCATTAAAAAGCAAAAATCGATCCCTTGACATCAAACATCAATACGAATTTAAATTTCAACAACATTCAGTTATGAAGTAGAAAAATTTCAAATGATTTTTTAAAATTTCCACAACAATCATTCAAAATTTGCTTCAGTGTTGTGTGAGAATATATTGAAAATCAGTGCACATCTTTCCCTTATGTTCGCACATTTTCCTGAAATCCTTTAACCCTTAATCGTATCAAATACCTAAGAATTCAAAGGGCACGCTTCAAGTGCTTATCTTTCTCAACCATATGATGCTCTTTATACATTTTTTATAAAAATATTTCTTATTTAATTCTAGACTTTAATAATGTTAAAGTTTTTCCGGTTCGCTGAGAAATTTAAATGAGTTTCAAGAAATAATTTCCGGTTGTCACATTCTTTCTTATTTAATTGATTACGTGATACGTCTTTCATTTGGTGCATAAATGCATCAAACAATCTTGTCAAGATCTCATGCATGTATGCAACACTTCAACTGCTTCAATGTTGTTCTTTTAATTTGCTTTTGAAAGCTCATAGGTATTTTATGTTAAGCATCAAGGTAAATTTATGGGAAAGCTCTCGCCATGCTTCAAAATTACATATTTTTGAAGAGCTTGGTTAAACTTGAAGAGACATTTGTGACGATTAATGTTGTTATATGAAGAGCTTTAAATTGAAATTTCCTACAAAGTGGCTTTCATAAATGTAAAAGGTGGAACATTTTACTACAAATGCTTATCAAATGGTCTTCAAAAATTTACGGAACGAGGAAAAACTTGTTGATGACAACAATTAATCCTTTTCAAACATTAGAAGCACGTTTACAATTAATTTCGACCCGTCACAAGACTTAGACATTTCCTTTCTTTCATTTTTCTTATGGAATATTAAATATTGGAATTTTTATCAGATAAATAAACATTGAGAATGATAACAATGACAGTTTCTAATGAATTCTTGACAAGAAATGTTCATAAATTATCTTGACGATTGTTCAACATTACCGGAACAATATTTTTATTGATTTTGTTTTTAAAAGAGAGACTTGACGTTTCTTTGTGGAAAAGCATAAAAAAATTAACTTCAAAATGAATTTTTAAAACTTTCATCCCCTTACGCAATGCAGGCAATCAACGTTATAACCGAATCACATGTTATCTGTGCACTGATAAAAGCTCAATATTATTTATGAAGCCCAATGAGTTATGACCGTAATTTCGTGAATATATTTCTGCACAATAAACTGTACTTGAATGTAGATGAAAACAAAAGGGAAATTTAATTTATGTGAAGAAAGTTATTCATAATCAGTTTCAGTGTAAATTAAACAACAATGATGTGCATCATTCACACTACCTATTCAAAAAACAAACTTATTAAGCTTCACTTACCTTGAATCAAATTTCTTTCCGTCAGTCAATGTGCCAGTGTAGTGCATTGTTAACATATCACCACTTTTTGAAATGCTACTGCATTCTTCTGGCTTGTATACTACGTCAATTTTTAGATCATTAGGCGTCTCACAATTAACTGCTACAATTGCCAGAAGGCACGATATTAAGATTAATCTCAGCGACATCTGAAAGATGCAACGAAATCGAGCATTTAGAAAGGTGAAGACAATGTTTGTTGTAAAGCGATAATTTGATAAACATAACAAAAAATGATTTTTTAGAAAAACATTAATAAAATGTATAAAATTTTCACTTTCGAAATCGAGGTAGTGTAACTGAAGAGTTGTTTCCATATAAGAATTCGAAGTGAAAAATGAATACGCGGATATTGCATGAGTTGTAAAGGTAAATAATAAACGCAGTAGATTGAATAATTCCGGTTTAATGCTACAGGTAGTGTCAACCACGACATGCCGAAGCAGAAAACATAATTTAATAAAACTTTTAATGAGATTTAATAAAGAGCGATTGATTATTCATCGAATTATTCAATGCCGGAGATTTTCATTTATCAATAAGTTGAAAGGGAAATTTTCTTATTTTTGTTGTGAAAATTGAAAGCGATTGTCAGTTTAGCATGATGCTGATTACGGTTGAAATATGTGAACAATGTTGCGGTTTTAAATTTCGCATTTGTTAAAATTCAGTGATAAGGAAAATGTAAGTGCATAGATTTGAATGTTTGACATTTCGACATCAATGTTAAAGCAGCAAGATTTATGTGAATTTATAGCTTTCAAACGATCATTATTACATTGCGTGTAGTTGGAAAAATGTTCACTTAAATTAGATTATCTAGCACACATACATCTGTTTGAAGTTATCATAAATTCATAAAATATTTCAACACAACTTTTGATGTCCGAAATTACACGAAAACTTAATGATGCGAAATATTTCTTTCAACTGACAATGACTCGTGAAATCATTTAAACGGAATTAAGATTCAACACTCAATTTATAAAAATGAATAAAATAACATCCTTGAAAGTTTTACGAAAATCATCTTAAAATTGTTAAAAGAAATGATGCAACAATTCGCGCTTTCATTTGTTTAACTATTTATTGGAATGCAAACCAAACTTTCACTTTGATTAATATTCTTACTTCTTGCTATTTTTTAAATGTTAACAAATTAAACTAATTTATGTACAAGACAGCTTTTATTATTCAAATAAGTATCGTTCAGCTTAATTTCAATTTTCACAAGTTCAGTTTGTATTTAAAAAGAGTTTAAATCGCGGAGCAAACTCTTTCGAGATGGTTATTCCTTTAAGTTACAAATGGAACTGACTATTTTACAACCTAAAACACACAAGTTCAACGGAAAACGGCTGCTCTGCTCTTCCAAACATGTACAACATTGCAATATGAAAGCATGAACGGTACTTTTCCTTCATTGGTGTTTGTGAAAATTGTAAAAGAATTTCTACATTTTATTCGCTTTGCTTAAGATTGTCGCAGATTTATTTGCAACTTCAGCTACCACGAACACATGAATGAATTGTAAAAGCGCACGCAGCGTAAACTTTAATAATTTATGATAATGCGTACGTCCTATAAAACACAATACTCGGAAATCTTTTATTATTTGAGAGAGAACGAAGTAAACTTTGGATCAAAAAAAGAAGTTTTCGCTCTCTTACTAGCTTTAAAAGATATTCGGAATAAATTTTTAATTTTTATAGATAATTCTTCTACAATCTTTTGCTCCTATTACACTGTCGCTGTCATCAAGTTATTCTTGTTTAAGAATTGCTTTTTTAATTTATAAATTTCATTCTAAATTTGATGAACGTGTCAGAAAACTGCCACGTTGAGAATATTTTTTATTGACGTTGAAGAATTGTTTGTTCTGTCTACGTACAAGTGGATTATCTTTCGGCAACTACACTCAAACATTTTCATTAATTCCACTCTGATAAGAAACATTTCTAACTTCAACGAAAACTCTTTTAACATTCTAAAGTTGAAATTGATATCATTAAACAATATTTGAAAAAGATTTACCTTTCTTCCAGAAAACAGATGATCAAAGTCTCAAATGAATGAATAAAAAAAATAAAGCTAAACTTTAAAGTGTGTTGCTTCGACTCAATCTCAATAGTGACTAAATATTTCATGTGTGTTAAGTCAACATTTTTTGAAAAGAGAGAGAATGAAAGAAGCAAAAACATTGAGAGCGAACTAAGCATCATGCTACAATGTACATATTTTCATCAGATTTATTAATTGCATTGCAACGAACTTGAAGATTTGAAGAAATGTTTAAAATTTCCAGAAATTTTTTGAATGTAATCAATTTACAAGGAAAGTTTAAACTTGGATTTGAGATAAGGGAATTGTCGATGGGATTTCATTTTGAAGAGATTCTGGCCATTGACTGAAGTAGTAATTAATGTATGCTTTGATGGTCTTGTAAGAGTAGAGGAATACTCGACCTTCTCTCTTCTTACAAGGCCATCAAAGCATACATTAATTACTTCTTCAGTCAATGGCCAGAATCTCATCATGATGAAATGCCATCGACCATGCCCTGGTGTTAAATCCAAGTTTAAATAAATTTTCCAAAATCATTTCTTTCAAAATGTTTAAATTAAATATAACTGAAGATATTGCGTGACATAAATTCAATCATTTTTGATTTTAAGAATTCCTATTAAGAGTCAATAACCGATTCAAGTCTTCAAGAATATAATTAGTGGAGCATTAGTTTTGTTTACATTTTGTGTTGATCATATTACTAAACAAATGATTCGAGAGAAAGAAGAAACCAATTTGAGGAAATTATAAATAGTTTTTTTTGTTCTTAAAAGCCCATATTAATTCGGCTCCAAACTTCGTTCATAATGAGATGTACATGCGAAAGAATGACACAAACACAGAAACAGTTCAGTCACACTGTATCGTTTCTGGAATGAAATAATGGGAGTCTGCTATGAGTAACACTGACCAAAGCCGTCTAGAAACTACGGTCAAGCGACAGAAATGTTTTATCGACAAAACAAAGTGGAATGAATTTCAAGCTACATTTAGTATGTGAAATAAACTCGAGAAGAAAAGTTGACAAAAACATCACACGAATCAATTGAATGCTAAAGTTGATAATATACGCAAATCGGGTGTGTGAATAAATTTTAGTCAAGCTGAACTGATTTTGATTTTAAAAAATGCACAAAATTTCATGACAGAAATATCAAAATAAAAAACCAATTTAAGAGAATGATAAATTTTTTAAAAAAACAAGTGATCAACTTCTTTCTTATGTGATAAACAGTTGTGTTTTTAAAATTTATTATTAATTGTGTATTAGATAGGCTGATAATACTCACAATTAAATGAATATCGAGTGATAATCCTTGTAAGAATTCTTAATAATCGGTAACAACTGGATAATGGCATCATCATATGGGTAAGAGTGATTGTGTTTATTTAAATTTATAGCAGTAAAAATTTAAAAAATTTCGTAAATACACTTGATATTTGACGTGATGATGATAATAAACACTTGTCATTTAAATACGAAAGTTTCCAAAACCTGTTTTCAAAGCATTTTTGATAATTATTTGCAGAGTAAATGCAACTGCAAACTTTAAAAACAGAATTGTATATAATGTAATAACACGTACACTTCATATCAATTGAACTTTACTCTTACATTTTCTTTTGAGAATAGATTTGGGAATTCTGAAGTTTAGAAACGTTGTTACATTTTTTTTCATAATGCACAATATTGAGTTTAAAACGTTTGACAAGCTTTCAAATGTAAAGTGACACCTATGAGAATAATAGGAAATTATAATTTAGCAAAGACACATTAAAGCCATGACACATATAGCTTCAAATGATAAAAAAAATTGTTATCCGTTGAAATTTAAGTTACCTAATTAGAAATAGTTTTAATTGTAAAGTTAAGAATAGATTTTATGCATAAATATAATTGAATCCTGTTTATATGTTAATGAAATAATATTCAGGTGAGTACATCACAAAATTCGAAAATTTTTGTGGTCAGTCAGACATCGAAAAATCAATATATCAAAGTTTTTGGTCACACAACATGTTAACATTAAAAAGTGGTGCAGAAGTAGTAGATATTCGGAATCTTTTCAAATTTTGAAGAAGAAAGAATTAAAGTTAAGTTGTCTCAGAAGTGTTTTGCAAGTGATTGTGCATTTTAAATTAAAAAGAAAGTGTTTGAATTTAACCAAGGATATAAAGGTATGTGAAGTGATGACATAATAACAAATCATTCTAAAACATTTTTCAATCGATAATAAGAACTTTTTTTCTGTAAGCAATTTTGTGATTCATCTACTAATCTTCCTTATTTAAACATTAACAAAGACCAAAATCATTTAATTAAGAAGTAGTGCAAAATAACATAATAGTCGCTATATAAAGTTGTTATCTATACAGAAATGTAAAATTTCCTTCTTTCTCTATATACTGATTATTGATTTTTCTTTTTTTCACGATTTTTCATGGCATATTTTTTTTAATATACATACACCTTAACGAATATCTATCTATATTGTACGCTTAATACCAGGTGCAAGCAGTTTTAGCTCAACTTAGAATTTGTAAAAATTAATACTAAATAAAGGATTCCATAGCTTCACAAAGAACCGAGAATTGCTTTAATAATTCTTTGTTTCCATAAATATTAAAGTAAAAACCTGGATTATAGACAGGAAATATTAATTGGAGCTTTTTGATGAATAAAATAAAGTGAATTGATAATAAACAAGATATTCATCTTTAACATGAATTCTGTTTATTCCTTGAAATTTCTTTATCTCTAGAGTATTGTTCTATCCTGATTATATAATAATCTAAAAGAAATTTCTATGTAGCTTTGAGCACGTTGCAAGCGGATCTGTAGTCAAATAAATTATTTTCAGACATAAATTGATAGAGCAACCTACATTGCGGGTTGAAATTGGCATAAAACATTTAAGTCTTGATTTAAGTGTGAAGTGAAGTTTTGTTTAACCTTTTCTCAATTTAATAAAAGTTAATTCATTTAAGTATTAGACACAAAACTGGATTAAAAACACTCTTGTTTGTTTGAAAATCTTGAGACTACCGAATTTGCTTTTTTTTTCTTTTTGAATAAAATCAATCTTATTGCGTCTGATTTATTCGCACACATTTACAAGCAATTAGAGGTTTTTCAAGCTTTATGAGGCAATAAAATAACCAGAAATTCTCCAAAAATTCAAACGAGCATTTATGGAATCCTTAAGAAAATAAAACAAGCAAATAGAACTCTCAATGGTATTAAGTTTATTGGGAAAGTAATTATTATTGTTGTTGGTGCACTTTTTGTTGAATGTGGTATTTATGTGGTTCATGTACAAAATATCTAATCATATTTCACATCTACGCACAATTGGAAATTAAAAATTAGATCATTTGCGAATGGTAAAACCATTAGAAGTTGTTGATACTTCGCTGTTATCATTATTGTGCACTTTTACTTAAAGCCCTATCATTAATCATAATTTATCAAATAAACACATCAAACCTACACATTAACATTCCTAAGTATTTTATAGAATAGTTTTTTATGTAACTAAGTATACTGTGAATATATCTTTAATGACACATTTTGAAACTTATACACACATACTCAATTATCACTTAATAAGTCTACAAATCTTAACATAGAAAAAATGAACAAAAATTACCTATTCTCGAGATACATACGATGCACTTCCAACAACAGTTTTGAAATAATTCCATGAGCTGTATTGAGTTGAATATACTTGAAACTCTTTCCAATGTAATGAGTGTAAATATAAAAAAACCTGTGAATGACATCTTTCTAATTTGTAATCGACTGAACCGTGATTAAGCGACGTTGCTTTGTGTGGAATTTTATAATTTCATAACAATCTATTGTACCTAATTATTTCTCTGTTATTATTATGAATACAACACTTTAGTTTATTTGCAAATTTAAAAAAAGAGATTTCGAAAACTAATTGCTAAAATTCCAGGCATCAATCTTGACATGTACAAATTAAAAATTTTTTTAGCATCGATTAGTAATTTTTGTTTATTGATTACTTAGTATTTTTATTCATTTATTTATATCTATTTCATGTACATAGATAAATATTTAATTCATTTGTTGCTTTCACTTATTGTCAAAAGGTTTTATGTATACAGTTACATCCATTTTATCTATTATCGTTTAATGGGACATAAGTTGCAGTTATTGGTATAATTAACAATCAATCTTTGGTTCACTGTTCTTTACTTATTCCTCTTTTTCTCAATTAAATGGTACAAATGTGTTTTGGAAAGGTTTAATTCAATATTTAACTAAAAAGGCAAAAAGAAATTAAAGCCTCGTGGTCTTGTCGCGTCATATTTTTTTGCAAAAATTAGATGCCCCAATCAGAAAATATGAGCGGGGGTTACGTATCTCTCAATGAAGGATCAAATGTTTATAACTCAACAACGCAACCAAAACGAACAAATACAGTATTAGAGTCGGTCAAAAAAGCGATTGGGCATGCTATAGGAGCACAGGATTCAAATTATTTAATAAACGGCAACGACAATGCAAAAATAGTAGCATCGAAACTAAATGGAAGGTAAGGAAGATGTTTTTCAATACTTTTCATGCTTTATTAGAAGAATTCTTAATCAGACCTTTGTCCTCAGAAAGTTAAGTATAAAATTTATAAAGTTTGATGTGATTAAGAAAGAAACATTTGCACCAACTGATTTCAAAGGGCTGATTTGAATGCATGCTTTATAATTTTATTTGAAATGAGCTTTGCAATCAGAAGTTGGAAAAAAATTATTATTTACATGGTTTTTATTGAATTTTCAACACGAAAGAAGACTTTTTGTTTTTTTTCCGCTGCTTTGAATTTTTTTCATTAGATTCATAAGTCAATTTCAGAACTCAGAAAAGTTGCTTCTCATTTTTCAACAGAAGCTCGTTTTTCTCATACTAAGTATCTGTAACTAAGAGACCTGAAGTTCAAATAAATATTCTGCATGAACTTCCATCATATATTTCATGTTTCAGTCCCAAGAGCGATCATTAATCATTAAACTAGAGATAATAAATATTTTTAGTTTTATTAATCGTGAAAGCTTCTGGTGCTAAATTTTTTAAGGGGATTTTCCGGTTAAAATGAAACTCGATGTCAAATAAAGAAATTAAGGCTACTTCAATGTAATCCTAAAATGTTGTCACATTTTTAAACATGAAATTTATGTAAATATTTGCATATTTCAACGCTTTACATATTCATTCATCCGTCATAAAAAGTACATTAATAGGGCGAGCAACTTTTTATTCAAACATTTCATTCTAGAATTTTAATATTTTCAAAGTCATTAATTACAGGCTTAATTGATTAAATTAATCTCTCATTATAATTCTGTTCTATCTACTTAATTATTTCATGTTTAATATCTGCTGATCAATTGATTTTTTTTAAATTCTGTTTCAATAATTGATGACTTGGTAAACAATTTAAATGAAAGAAAAAATTATATCAGAAATTTCTTTTGTTGCCTTTGAATTTAATTTGACCATTGACAAAATTTTGTTTGCAAATTTAAATGTACGGCAGCCTTAAAAAATGATTCGATCTAGTGACGAAGTGTGAATAACGAATCAAATAGATGATGACTAATCTCTTATATCTTTATTTGAGGACGGTCATGATTTTATGTCTGTGTAATGTCTTCGAAAGTCATCACTTCTCACTTTTTTGCATGGCTTCCTTCACTTGATTTAACGTCTCTTTATTAATTGGAAGTTTTTATGAATTGGAAAAGTGTGTTAAATGTCTGCATGGCTTTGCTGGCTTAAATGTGAATTTAGATACATATTATGTTGTAAGAAGCATTTCCACAAATTCCATGGCAATGTTACCACAAAATGCTTTAAATTTTCTTGAGAATGTTATAAATTATTCAACCATTCACTATTGACATCTTTTTTGTTTTATTTATCTTTTGAAACTCACAATCAATCATCAATGAGCGCTTATGTAACTGCATCCACTATGACACTCATTAAATCATAAATTATGTTCAATAAATTTTCAATATCCCATCGCACTAACGTCATGAGAAAAATCAATAATCAATATTTAATGAATTAATAAGAGAACACTGAGCAAAACAATTAGATTCAAACTTCTCTTCTAATGTCTTGAAATGTTTAATAAAAACCATCTAATTTCTTTCTCACAATCTGGAAAATGCAATCACAATTTATTTAGAAATTTTCTTACACAATCTCCAAATAAAAAAAGTCATTATGAATTGCATTGTCAGTAATTGCATAAAGTCTCGTTTGATTTAAACAAAATTGAATGCATGAATTCTTTTTTTATAATTTTAACATGTTTGTTTTTTGAAAACTGCTATAATTGCAAATTTCAGAGAGTTAAAAGAAATAAAAACGATAAGTAAAAATACTTCAATCAGAATGCCGTCAGCTCCAACGCCACACAGTGCTGAATCAGCTCGTTTATTGGGGTAAGATCATTCATGAAATGTTTAAGTCAGCTATTAAAATTAAGACCAAAAGTTAATTGTTAATTCGACTCAACAGCCTTCCGTCAATGTTTATTTTTTTCAGCTAATTAACTTATTGATAAGCATAAGATGTAAAAATTGTGCAAATGAAACATACTAAATATCAAAATAAATACAAATAATTCACCACATTTCAACAATAAAACATTACAATGAAGAAACTTTATTCATAAAAATACTTTCTATCACTCAGAAACTTTTTTAAATACGAAAAATCTTATTTTATTGTTTTTAAATTTTCTATTTGTTCCATACAATAGTTTATTTCCTTTTTCCTTCCCTTCCAAGCAATAAATAAGTGCATTAACATTTAGTTATTAGAGTGAGATATTCAATAACAAACAAACGAATGAAATAAAAATAAAAATTTGCAACAAAGTGCATGCAAAAGAAAAAGTTTTTCACTAGTAAAATTTGACTTAGATCAATGATAGAATCAAAATCATGAATTGCAGCATTCGTAATATTTTTTTCCCTTGAAACGTCACCAACTTTATGTTTGGCACTTTGGTTTCCCACAGTTACCGCCAAAGCGACGTCAGAACGAGAATGAAGAGAATTGCTGATAGTTTCTTATATAATTGGCAATCATCAATCGCGTGCCTTTAGAAACTCTCAAATACATTTATAATTGCTTAAATTAAATAATAATGCTTATAATTTATTTATTTAAGATTTTTTTCTAGAACAATTTATCATTAAGAGACAAAAGATTGTAGTTGATAAATATAAAGTTTCAATTGATTTGAAAACAAGAAAAATTATTGGAAGTTTATATGAATGTAAAAAGTTGAATTGCAAATAAGAATTCTTTTCAATTTTTGTTTCTTCTAATTTGCCCTTTCATAGAACAATGCCAGCTGAGCTTGACGACATCGAATTGCGTTCCGTACAATTACAACAGTCCCACTCTCGCGATTCAATAAGCAATGCATGCGATTTACGACGCGTTCCAACTGATAAAGGCGACATTATGGTAGCGATTCAGGGCAACATATCAAAGCCAGCAATCTTAACATTGCACGATTTGGGATTAAATTGTAAGTGAAGATTATGTCATCACTATTTTCATTTCTGATAATCTCTTTATCTAGATGCATCGACATTCACTGGTTTCTTCAACTTTCCAACGATGAGAGCACTGCTAGAAAATTTTTGTGTTTATCATGTCACTGCGCCGGGACAAGAAGAAGGAGCTCCAACATTTCCCGAAGAGTAAAGCTTTCAACTTATAATGAAATTCTTAAATAATCTTTTTATTTTTATAGCTACGTGTATCCAACAATGGATGAACTTGCGACACAACTTCTTTTCGTCATGTCTCATTTCGGTTTGAAGTCGATCATTGGCTTCGGTATTGGAGCTGGTGCAAATATTCTCGTACGATTTGCACTTGCACATCCAGACAAGGTCGGTGCATTGTGCCTAGTGAATTGCAGTTCAACACAAGCTGGTTGGATAGAATGGGGATATCAGTCATTAAACACGAGAAATCTCAGATCAAAAGGCATGACGCAAGGTGTTCTTGATTACTTGATGTGGCATCATTTTGGACGTAGTCCAGAAGAAAGAAACTTGGATCTCGTACAAATGTATAAATCTTACTTTGAGAGATCAATTAATCCTATCAACTTGGTAAGAATTTTCCTTCTTGTTGCTTTAATGACTTGAGATTAATTTTTTCTTTTCCTTAGGCACTTTTTATCGATTCCTATGTGAAACGAACGGACATGAACATTGCAAGAACTCCATCTGGTAGTCCACAAGCTGGTAAAAAGCTTTGATTAAATTTTAATATTTAATGTTTTTAATTTTTTTATTCATTTAAAGCTGCTACGCTGAAGATGCCTGTTTTAAACATTACTGGATCATTGTCACCACACATCGACGACACTGTTACATTTAATGGACGTTTGGAGCCAACGAAAACCAGCTGGATGAAAGTAATTTAACATTTAAAGCGTTTCACTTAATTAAAGTATGATTAACTACTTTTGTTATTCTAGATAAGCGATTGCGGATTAGTTCTTGAAGAGCAACCAGGAAAACTCGCCGAGGCATTTAGACTTTTCTTACAGGGTGAAGGCTATGGTAAGTTATTATCTTCCAATACAAAACTAGCTTAAAAGCATAAAGATCAAAAATCAAACACTACATAAATCGATTAAATTAATAATAACAAAAAAAAAAGTTATTTATAATCTACATCGTTCACTCAAGATAGCTTTCTCATTTTCATAATCAAAAAAAACCTTCATTGAAAGACATTCTTAGTCCTGTCATATTTTTGAATAAAGTAACAAGAAAAAAGAAAGAAATTGGAAAAAAAGCTTAATATAAAAGTTCTATGCAATAATTTATGGTTTGATAATGAGAGAGAGAGAAGAAAAATTTAAATAAAATAGCAAAAAAATATACGATAATTGTATCTCAATCTGGAGATAGATATTTGCTAAACATTTACTTAATCTGGATATAAAAAAGATGAATAAAATGAAATGAATCTGACTCTTATTTTCCTATTATCTGATAAACGCAGAGTCGATATTTATAAATTGATTATCCTAAATTATACAAAGCGGAGTAAGATGAAACTGTTACTTTTATTATGTAATGTTGAAGGAAAGAAAAATCAATAAAAAAAATTTAATCTTTTCAAAATTGGCGCAAGTAGTGCAATGATTGATTATATTGATATCCTCTTGCTTTCTTAGATTTGTGCTTTTATTTTTCATCATGCTTCTTACACCTACACACACACACATAATTATCCTTCTTATCATAAACAATCTTTTAAAAATATTATTGATGAACTGATTTTAATGTTTGAGTAATATTAATGGATATCTTTGCACACTTTTCGAACACAACATTTATTTATGTTTTTCTCTGGACAAAACAACATTCAATTCGATGGAAAATGATTTGTTGCGGTACGTACTGATGTCCTACATACACATCCTAAATAGAGTGAACGGAATGTTGTTAAATGTTTTATGACAGGCACCGTTTAAGCTTCTTCAAGTTTAGAACATTTGTAGAATATAAAAGAAAAAAAATCTAATTTTGCTATGCTGCATTTATTTTGTTATTTAATGACACAAATTTTTAAGCAAAATAACCTTAATCCTGATTAATCCTTCATCCTAATCTAATCTAATCTCACCCTTAATCTTAATCTTTATGGTTGCAATTTTTTTTGTATAATTTCCCAGTCACTTATAATTTATTTTATTTTTAATTAAATATCTTTTATAATTTTAGCTGTTGGCGCTTTAAATAAGCTTAGTCGAGCTGGCACCGTTGAAATGTTGAATTACTAGAAGATCTTGCTTACATTAATGGTTAAAGACACAACGACGAAAGCCATTTATTTGTATTTATCCACTAGAATGCACCAAAAACAGTTTTATTAATGAATGTGGCTTATCAGAGCTTTTAAAGCACTTTGATAAAATATTATAAAGTGTTTTTATATATTTTTTTTAAAATATAATTTCGTTGTATGAACTAAAAATTAATTGAATTAGAAAAAATATTTTTAAATTAGTTTTTGAGAAATTTATCAATATTTTACACATTCATTTGATTTTGCAGCTATTCTAGAGTTATAATTGCAAAATATTTTACAAAAATATATTCAGTAGGGTTGTTGTTGTTATAAAACTGTTATAAACATATTTTAATTATTAATCACAGCTTAACAGTGTTATCACAACATATTTCTGATTCCTCCCTCAATTCGAGACAAAAACCAAGACTTCCATTATTTAGATTTAATGAGCGTGACATTATGAAATTTTTTTGCTATTTTCAAGACCAGGAGCTTAATAAAATATACCAAATTGAAATCAAATTTCAACTGTTTGCATTTTTTTGAGTATCTTAAACAAATTGAGTTTTTCTATCATCACAACTAAAAGATTCTTAGCTCAAAATATGTCATCAAAAAGAGTAATTCTTTATTACCATCCTTCCCTTCGAATTTAGAAAAAGCCTAATCGTCTTCAGACAAATTAGAATTCTCAATGAAGTGATAAGATAAAAAAAATATCCCAGTTCATTTGCATAACATCATAAGACATGCATCTTGCTTCTAACAAAATACTCTACTCTTCACCAAAAAATAATAAAACTATTTGAAAAAAAAATTCTGTAAGTGTAAACTAATTAAAAATTCAACAAATTATACGTTTGGCCATCAGCACCATCCAAACTGTTCATGTCGCAACACTATTTGAAATTTCATTTAAAGAGCTTTATTTGCAACATCACCAATAAAGCTAACGTGGATGATTACAATGGAAACAATGTTGAAACAGAAACCGATTTGATGAACGGAAACACCAAGTTTAAGAAAAACTTCATCTGTCATCTTCAAGAATCAACTGGGAAAATTAGAATTACCGAGAATCCCTTGCCGGAAAGCGTTTTAAACTGCTAGAAACCTCCTTTTTGCTTAACGTATGTTACTGTTGATGCAACGAGAATTTATGTGAGATAATAAAATGAAGAATAAAAAAAAATTCGTTTAGAACGAAATGCTTTATGCGAAGCGATATCAAAAGATACTGAATATCAAAAATATAATCTTTTCATTTTGAAAAACTGTTTTTAACTTCGATTTTTTCAAAAAAGTTTTTAGAATGTTTTATTTCGTAGGTAATTATAATTCCAAATTGAAAAATGTGAAATTAAATTTTATTTTTATAAATCGAGTAAATGATGCAAGTAACGATGATTTGAATGGGAATTTAAGTATAATGATAAGTAATAAGAGGATTTAAAGGAAGCAAGAAAGACAATTGATCGATAATAAATCGATAATTTTCAATTTGGAAAAGCTACGACTAAGAAGCATCGATCTGATAGCATAAAATAAGAAGATCACGAAATATTATGAAAATGCATATCCAAGTAGCAATTAATTAATTATTAACTTATCAAAATATTCTTCCCCTCCTGATTTCACTATTAAATCAACAAATTAAATCCTTAAAAATATTATAAATTATCTACTGATGAAAATGTTTTAAACATTAAAACTGCCACAACACAATTCTTTTTAATTACTTACACAACTTTTGAAAACCTAAAGTATGAAATGAATTTATAAGAATGTTTGTCAATAAAGTTTTGACATGCTTAAAGCTTGTCATAATGGACATAATTTCAATGAAAGAAAGACGAAGATGCTACTATTTAATTACATCAACAAATGATGCTTTGATTATAAATACTCATTAAATTGCAGCTATTTATATTTTGAATAGTGTTCGACAATGAAATGGAAATCAAAAGAAATATGCTTTTAACAAGATTAAACTCCATTATAGCATCATTTGTAGCAAAAGGCCAATAGAATTTCACAATTTTAATTAAAAGACTTTTTAACCTTATCGCTTCTTAAAAGTTACCTAGATGAATCCTCTTAAATATTTTATTTTACTGTCTCGATGACATTGGCTAACAAAAGAAAAGAATATTAAGACACTAGAAGCTTTGATAGTTACAAATTAATTCTAAGTATAAAAGTTATCCTTAAAAAATCTTTGTAGATTAGAAGAGCTTTTAGGCGAGGTTGCTAAATCGAAGCTAAATTTACGTTAAACGACTTGACGATTCGGCATTTAGTTAATACGAAAAATAGTTCAAAATATCAAAAATTTGTTATGACAGTGCCTGATATTTTATTTCGAAATTTTCTGGGATAGCATTATTCTAGTGTTTTTAATAAACAATCTGATTTTAAATTGAATAAAAATTTTTTTTTTTTTTGAAGAAAAATGAAACGGAGGACTATAATGTAAAAGAAACTAGCACGAAGCTTTAATAAAACTCAAATGAATTTGAAACCATGATGTGTTCTTTTTATAATAATTTTTTACAGTGGAAAGCCTGCGACATCATACGAATGAGTATGTGAATAAAAAATATTCTTCTCTCAACCCAGAGAGTTGCTCGTTGGTTCGTTTCTATTTGAGTTATTCTCTCATTCCGTTGTTGCATGATCATTTAACACTGTTCCTCAAGCAGATCGGACGTGTTTCAGTTTTATGGTGATTTTTTTGTTTTTGTTGTCTTGTGTATCTTCTGTGCAACATTTGTTTGAAGTAAAACAAAATATTATTGAAGGTTCTTCACCACAGAAATAATAGATGTAAAAATAATAAATGTAGAGACATAATTATCATGCAAAAGTTCAAAAAAAATTAGTGATTAAGAGGAGAAAAAAGTTCAAATTATATGAAAGAAATCAAAGTTATAACAATAGTGGCCTTTCTGTGAGAGTTTTTTCACGTTAAGGTGAAAAAAGTTGTAAAAAAGCAGAAGATTTTTAACATGAATGAGCGGTGTAAAAAAATGACTATCGCAATGTATTGGTGCTTGTTTTTGTCGCTGTTTACAATTCAAATCTGCAATGGATATTCAAGCAACATTATTAAGGATTATCATAATAAGGATTATTTGACGGCATCAGTTAGCAACGCTAACAAATTTGAAGACAATGAGATAAGAGGTAGGTTACAAATTAAGCAAATATTATTAAGTTTATTAAGCCTAATGCAAAAGTTTGTTGACGTTCTAAATATTTTATGTTTCTTTGTTAAACAAACGAACAGTCAAAGTATTATTTTTCTACAGTTTTTGGTTACGCGAGCACCCGAAAGGTGAAATCTCGCTTTGTCTGACTTCATTTAGAATTCAAGCTTTCGTATTCATTATAAACAACAACAAAAAAATATATGAAAATAATGAAAAAGATTTATACGACGAAGTCGAGAGTATATGAAATGCCATGAAATGTTGGAAAACTCCCACGCGCTTCTTTTAATGTGTTAAACTTGTTGGTGCTTGTGGCGATTGCAAAACCGTGTAACGTTAAATATTTTTCAAGCTAACAAACATTAAGATGACAGTGTTTGTGTTCCTGACGAACGGTTTTAAAGATTTTTTCTGTCCACATTAAAATTGTAAATGAAGAAAATCAAGAATGAATATAATTTAAGACAACCACTTGTTCTCGCATTTCAGATTAAGCTGAATTTTTAGTGACTTTGATATTTTTAATTATTTTCCAAGAGACCTGAATATTAAAATGTCTTTGTAATTACGATAAGTGTCAGATGACTTACTGAATTTAATTCTGCACCGATAAGCAAGTGCAAAAAACAGCTTACGTGCATACATTTCGAACACAGTGTTGTTTTATCAGCGTCAACACTCATGAAATTTGATGTTATCAGTTCATACTTTTGTAGCTTATCTCAAAAAAATTGTCAATTAAATGAAAATAATTTTAATGTTCCGTCAGAAAATATTTTTTCAAGCTGATAAGATAAAAAAAGAAGACAATGGATAGCGATCGAATGATTTACGAAAGCATTCATATCGAATTTTTGCATGAAATGCTCTAAGAATGATTAAGAAGGAATTTTTATTTGACGTTCTTCTCAGGTTTCAGTTTTTGTTTTCGTGCTGTGAATAAAACAAGACGAAAAAAAATCAACAATCACAGCATTTTACTAAGTTGAAAAGTGCTTTCAAGGCAGAAAAAAATATAAAATTCAATAAATGTTTTCAAACTTTATTTATTGCTTTGTCTTAGCTGAGCTAGCAAATTTTATGATTTGCATTAATTAAATGACTTAACAAGAGGAAAATTTAAAACATTATTGAATGATGAAATGTCTTTATTTTATCAAATGATCTAATCGGAGTTTAAACTTTAAGTTGATAGCAGTGGCATGCTGAGCGCAGAAATATTTATTGGTCGATTAACATCTAAAAATATGAAGAAACATCCGTTATGGGTCAATAAAGTCGAGAAGAGATTAAAGAAAACAACATTTCATTCATTCATTCATGGAGATTGAGAAGAAGCTTTAACACAAGAAATCTTCTTTCTTTTCAATTTCTTTTTCTCTTCTCAATCTTAATCACTGGCCATTGATGAAGATGAAAGAAAACTTATTAATGATTCTTTTTTGTGTTTTGAATAAATTTCTTTCTGAATCTTTGAGTGAAGATTGTGACTGACGATGGTTGAATGTGAAAGAGTTCGACGTAACTCTTAAAAGCGTAAGAAATAAAATTCCTGCATTCTGATTTAAGAAGATTAAAAACGAAATCACGTCGAGGAAAGACAATTGAAAATATTTTGAACCCGGAGAAGGGCAAGAAATGATTGTATAGAAAGTCTGATTCAAGAAAACTTATCTCTCAATTCATATGCAAATACTTACCTTATAACTTTTGAAATGTATCCCGAAAATAATCAAAATAAAAAAGCTTTCGTATTCAAATTATTTTTGAAATCTAGCGGAAATTTGTTTCAAGATACGAAGCACCAAATGTTAGGGATTTTTAATTTTTGTGAACAAATGAAATCTGTTTCGTCTTCAATTCAGTTTTCGTTCTGTGTACCAGTCAAAAGATCTTTTTTTCCATTCATAAGTAAGAAAGAAGAGAAACAAAATTCTCTGGGAATTTCATCCTGTGTTTTGTTGGCGCTTTTCGATGGTGTTGGTGGAATCTTGAATCTTTTTCTTTTTTATTTCATTTCATTTCTTTATGGCTGAGAAATTTAAAAAAGTAAAAAAGACATTGGAGACCAATACCACTTAATATCAAAGAGCGAACCATGAAACGAAGTAGGTAAAAGTTGGTAAAGTTATTGAGCAGCAGCAGCAGCAGCAACATGTGGATGTGAACATTATATTGATTTCTTCTTTAAGGTGCAATTTGTTGTCTATTCAAAAACCTGTTTCTTACCTAAAGATGCACACATACACACATGATTTATATGTGAACCTTCTTATGGTAATAGTGAATGAAATATGCGAATGATTAATTCTTTTTCGCCCTCGAGAATTTCCCACAGTCTCTTAATCGTACTTACTTTATCCCTCCAAGGATAAGTTTCGGATTTATTTGAATTGTTATTTAAGTATTGCGAAACATAAATAAGTAATTACTTACGCTCTTTCTGTCAATTTCAAATCCTGTCATTGTTTGAAGCCAAACTTCACCGTGAATGTCTATTTATGATGTGCACATATGCTTCATATCAGGTTCAGTTTGTGAGAAACTAAACTTCTTCGAAAATTAAAAAATAGACTAGAAAGAAGTTTGTAATTTGATATTTGTTCTTCTAATATTTGCTTGCATTTGAAAACGTTGGAAAAAGAAAGACGAGAAAGGATATTCTGTGATCTCCTTCAGAAAATCATAAATTATTATATTGACAGAAGTTGGGACAAAAATCTTTTAAAAGAATAAAAATGAGCAGTCGGTGTTACTAGTGTTGGTTGAATGATTCCACGAATATAAAGTTTAAATATTTGGTTTTTCTGGGAAAAGCACTTTTTAATTAAATATCGCGAATGAAAGTTGAAACTAGTCTTGTGTGGTTGACAAGACGGACACTTTAAGACCTCAAAATGTCTTGCGTTTCCTATCGACACAATAAAGTCTTCAAAAACAGAAATTTCTTATTAAATTGGCGACGAGTGTTGATGAAATTTGAAAGAGTAAACAACAATTCTTGAAACAAAATTTTACGACATATGTATACATGCTTGCTTACTTGCCTGCTTGTTCTTCGATGCAGCGGGCGAACGTAATAATTTATATTTTAAGAGTTTGAAATGTTAATTGTTTAATTTATATTCGTTTTATTTCTTCGAGGCGAAGAGTGAGGCCAGTCGTCGTTTTCCCATAAAACAAACATTTTATGAAAAGGCAAACATTTAAATGTTTCAATTTCTTTTCGGAAATGGATATCTGTGTAAAACAAACAATTTATATTTTCTCTCTTTACTTCATGCTTTCTTTTAAGAGCATCAAGAAAGAAAAAAATGGAATGGTTTGAATCATTTCTTTTCAAATTTATAAATTGATGAGGGGACCGACTTGAAGTGTTAACTACGTTAACACTCCTACTAAAGTTCAACATGGTTAAAGATGCAATTGACATGGAACTTCCATGCTTAATACAATAATTATTACTCTAACTCCCTTTCAAAGAAATGAAGCGAAAATTAATCGAGAGAACGAGTCTTTGATGTATTAATTGTTATAATGTCTTGACGAGAACTTTTCGAAGATGTGTATACGGGTGGAGATGACGAAGAAAAATTCTCATAATTCATAAGACTTACATATTGCATAAATGTCTTTCGTTTGACATTCATACTTGTTTCGAACTTCATTAACAAGTGTTTTCAAAACGAGTTCAAATAAGTGAAATGAGGGTTTTTATTTAATTATTATTTTCTTATTAAATAATCTACTTAAATAAATTTCATAATTTGATCCAGTTAAAGTAGATTGAAAATGTTTAAGCCTTCGACTTAGGATGCTCACAAAATGTTATCTCTTTTTGATGAAATGTAATCCTTTAGTTTGTCTATGCCTGCCTACCTGCTATTGAACAAAAATTTATTTTCTTAAGTGCAATGAAACTTAACTAAATGGATTGGTTTTCAAGTGTTATCACTTAAAGGAACATGTTAGGTTTAAATTGAGTTTTTTTCAACCTTTATGGCAACGGCAAGTATCTTACATTCTTTCAAAATTTATTACTTCATGACAGCCATAAACTTTTAAATTTACACAGTTTAAGTTTTTAGAAGTTTGCGAGAAATTCTAAAGTGGAAAATATTGATGTCGCCTTAAGTCTTAACAGCGCCCGCCATAAAGGAAACTGAAATGAGGGGAAATGGTAACGACGCCTAGAACTTGATTTTTATTTTATTTTTTTCTCCGTTAATTATCTACGGCTAAAAGATATTGAAATGTATTATCATCGCACTTGACGATGACCATGAAGTCACAAGATTCTCAAAGGTTTTTCTAACGAAGTTTCTATGATTCAGAAGTATTGCGTGATTGACATTTTCATCTCTTCGTTGAAATCAGAAATGTTCAAAGATTGAATGAGACTGACCACTACGAAGTTTGTTTTTTAACACAAATACATTTCAAATCAACATTATTGAGGTTGTGCAAAGTTTTGAATGTACAACATTGAGATATCTACATGAACGTTCGAAAAAGCGTTTTTAAATAATTGCTAGCGAAGCGAGAAAAAATTTCTCATCATTTTGATTACTTTAACAATAGATGGAAAAAAAAGAATAAAATAAAATCCTTCATAAATTTATTTGCTACTTTATAATTGATCGATGTGATGAAAAGCAGCTTCCATTTCGTTGTTTTGATTGTGTAGAGTTGATATGGGTTCATATTTGAGAATATTGATGCGAAAATAAATTCAAAGAAGTGTACAAATACGTTGATGCTCTCTTTTTTCAAGTCTTTCCTTTCATGTGCAAGTTGGCTCATTAAAGGTATAAAAAATTACAGGAAACCAGACCGGATTGTCGCATACTTAGTTGAGAAACAGCATTGAATAAGCAAAATACCAAAAAAAAGACAACAGCAGGCAAAAGAGTTGCGTAAATGTCACGTTATCTCATGTCGATGAATGAACATGAAATTTCAATAAAAATCTCTTCAAATTTTCTCCCTCATAATTTAATTATGTACATTTTTGGATCATATTCGTTCACAAAAAAACTGACAATTTGAAGCATCTTCTTATGAGTGCTTCTTGTCCAAACAACGTTCAAACCTTTTATTTAATTATTTTTTGAAATTGTTTTGAGCTCAATTCGGTGTTGTCGACGATCATCGACCCATCATAAAAATTGAAACGAAAGAAAAATGATACTCGAGATATATAATGACGATAATTTCAGATAAAAATACAAACACGTTTCATCGACAGAATGAAGTAAGAGAAAGAATGCTCACATTTGAGTTGAAGATTGAAAATAAATGTATGAAGAAAAGTAGAAGAAGCTAACTATAATGATAATGTCTTCTGCCATTTTTGGTTAATTCATTCTAGACCATACGCAGTTTATTTCTCTTTAAATGAGTTAAAAAATGCTTCGAGATAGAAAAGCAAAAATTAAAGAGAAATAAAAACCTCGTTACAAAATATCTTTGTAATTCTCTTCATGATATATTAAAATTCTATAATCTTATTAACTTCTTCAGAGTTCATCTCAAAGAATTTTGTATCGCTTTTCACAAGAATCATTTTTTTGTAATTAGTTTTACTTGTTTCGTCGTAACTTAATTTACTCCGACACATATTTTTCCCCTATATCGTGAGTCTTATGCTGCATTGAGGCTAGTATCTGTCTCTTTGACCTTTTGACATAAGTCTTAGTCATTCATTTATTATCTCATCGTTCTCTCGTTCAGAGACATTCAGAAGAAGTTTCTCAAGATCTCGTTGTGTTTCATCGTCTTTTAACTTCTTAAATTGATGAAATATGTAAGCGCGATTGTATCGTCATATTGATTCAATGTTTGCGAGTCTACTAATCACTTTAATTGTTTTAAATTGAAACGATCAATTAAATGTATCGTTCAAATGGAATGTGAAAAAATTGAATTCTGCTGCTTTTGATTCGTTTTTTAACGTTTATTTCTTGTTCTCCTTTTTTCTTTCCTATCACTGATTGCGTATGGAATAAAATTATTCCCGAAAAGTATCGCACAGAAAAAAGTAATTACACTCGAATGGTTTGTGATTTCTGAACTTTAACTGCTTATGAAGACTTCACGCTTGCTGAATTTCAACAACCCTAGTTCTCGTTTTTTTGTGCTTGAATACAAACCAAACCTTTGACGTTGACTGTAGAAATGACCATAAATTTAATATTTTGTGTAAACTTATTTCACATTTAATTTTTATGCTTCTTTCGACTTCATGACGAGGTTTTTTTTCCGTTTAAAACAAATTAATTATACATACGATCTGAGGTTCTTGAGTGCAACTAGTATGGAAAAACGTCATTTCCTGAATTCTTTAGTTTCTTTTTTTACTTACAACGGAAGTAACCACTGACACAACAGATAATTCTCTCCTTTCGAAAAGCGTTTTGTTAGATTGCATGCAGGCGTTAAAAGCAGGGATAAAAAATGCTTAATGTTGTTGAAAAAAGATATCCTTCGGAAGAGAAAAAGGAGGATGAAAAAAAAAAATGAAAATTGAGCTAATTCATTAAACATCTGTTTCCGATATGGAGAATCTTTTTATGGAAATAAGATTTCAAAATAGATAATTTACTACTGTTCTTCTTCATTCTCCAGTTGGATCATAGTTCACACGGTCTTTTCTTCTTGCATTGTGTATGTAAGCATATCTATAGCATCTCAAGATGATAATAAAATTGTCTTTCGACTTAAAATATGAAAGTTGTTCAATGCCAATTTGGGAAGAAACAGTAAAACATTTTCCAGGGAAAAATTCTCAAGAACAAGTTTATTTCTTAAAAAATATGGAAAATAAATGAACGCAAATGTTTTTTTTTTCTTTGTTGTCGCCATGCACATCGTGTGTGTTGAATGCAGATATTTTGCATGAAACTGGCGTTGACCTAGTCAAAAAAAAAAATAATAAGAAGAGAAGAACAAAAATTTTCGCAGCAAATCGTGGGAAAACTCGAAATCCGCATCTGTGAATGCGCTTGATTTTTATTTTATTTTTTCAATGATATTCTTCTTGTTAGAGTCAGGAATGAAACAACATATGTTGTGATTTTCTTATGTTTCAAGATTAATGATCTTTTTCCGATCAACAATAAATGTTGCTAATGAGTATTGTAGGGTATCTTATTTAATTAAAACTTTCTTCCCAAATATTGACGATTTACTTTAGAGTGAAAATTCAACAAGTGTTTAAATGTATTGCTATTTATTTCCTTCTCTCGGCTCTCTTTCGCATTAGTTTTGCTTCGTACAGGGTATGCTTTAAGTTCGACATATGTCGAGAGTAGGAACGTTTAAAAAAGTTTTATGCATGAAACTTCACTCAAGACTTTGCTTACATGAAACGTTAATGTAAATTACAGTATTGAAGAAAAGAGATTTCGTAACATTTTTATACATACCTAACATGATTCCCGTGAATCTTTCTATGGTTTAAGATGCAACATGGAGATTCTTAACATCAATACAGTTCAAACGGAAATGAATTTTAACGAAAATATTTCACGCTTCTACATGCGAACAAGAGTTTAAATGATTTTCTTTTTTCAAATTTTAATTGAGATCTTTAAGAATTCTTTTTTAGCTTTTTTATTTCTCCTCTCCGATCTCAGTCAATTTATTAAATTCTTATTTCGGAATAAAGAAGAATTATTAGAATTAGAATTTGAAATAAGAATTATATATTTGGGAAATATCTTATTTTATAATTTTACTTTTCAAGCGTGTCGAAAAACAAAAACAAACAATAAATCGTTTCACACTTCGGTGGTTTCGTTTTCATTAAACATTTTACAATGACATTTAATACTTTGCAAATGTACATATGTGTTAGATCATTTTTATCAGATTAGAAGAGAAAATTTATTGAACTTTGATTGCCATGTTTATGAAATATTTTGAAGAATATTTTTGAACTATTTTCTAAATTAAAAAGCCACATTAAGAAAAGTCCAAATAGTTCAAGTGCTGACCTGCTTTGAGCAACATTTTGATGAGACTTTAAATCTTTTCACCGCATTCAACCATTTTTCATCATTTTTCTTCCAAGAAGAAATGATTTATTTGCTTTCTTTGGTGGATTGTGTACTCATAGTTAAAACAATAAATTCAAAAACTTTGATCGATATCATCAACAAAACTCGAGAGAATAAACATTTGAATATCTTTTAATGTTTGAATTTGTTTAAATCTAGGGAATTGTTCTCAGTAAATTCCAAAATGACTGAAGAAAAGAAAGAAACTTTCCAAAATGTTTGATCAAATGCAAATTTCCAGAAGAATTTTGGAACTATGGTTTTTAACAAGCATTCAAGTATTTTTCAAATAAAAATAAAACAATAAAAACAACTGATTAATAGTTTTGTAATAGTTTTCCTCTTTTAAGTATTTTCTTTTAATTTGATACGTTTCCAAATGTCTGTTTAACTTCACAAGAAAAACATTGTAATTATAAAGTTTTATTTACATGATCACCAATTGTTGGATGCTTGATTCTTTAGAATTTCAGTTGTTTATTGCAAGTCGTTCTTAAGACGGTTTTAAACATCTCAAGAGGTTTTATATGACTTTTATATGAGTAAACTGTAAGATGAAACCCTTCCAATATGCATAGGAAACGCTTGAGAGAAAAGAATTATGTTATCTCAATAGAAAGAAAAAAATTTAATGATATGTAAACAAACGAAAGAGAACCCGTATTGAAAACTAAATACTGTATTAGAAACATAAAATAAGAAATTTTATTGTTAAAAGTTAACATCTTAAACAGTTTGAAGTTGACTAAATTTAAATAATATTTCGCAACATTTAATAATTTAAAATTAAAGTTATTTGTTTAGTTGAGTTGAGTTTATGCTTCGAGAAAGCTTTTAAATAGATCACCACAATCATCAAAGCGCTCATCTATGTTTTCACCATACGTGGTTTGTGTCTTGGATACTGCTGAACCAAAAAAGTCATCATAGACACAAGTTTTGGAAAAGCTTTTTTGTATGAAAAAGCTTTCAAGTGCTTGTGGATAAAATTTTTAAACATCGTTTTTTATCATTAATTTTTTATTCCTAAACAATGAAACAAATTGATGTTTAATTATGCCTTGAACATTTTTCTGTTTAAGAATTTTCAAAAAATTAATATACGAGGATTCAAATTATTTCAGGCTGGAGTATCTTTGTTATGTTTTTTTTTCTTAAAACTTGCATGTATTGAATATGTGGTAATGTTGACTAAGTTAATAACCAGTTTAAGAAGGACTTTTAAAGATCTCGTGAAATGTTGCAAAGGTGTGTTGGAATACTTACACTTATTCATTGTCACTTCAAAGTGTTTGTGTTAACATCAATTTTAAGATTCATGAAAATAACTATTGACTTCTTCTCTGGGTCCGTTTTGATTTACTTAACAAGAGCTATATGATTGCACAAAAGAAAGTCAAACAAGAAGCAAAATGTGAAAATATCTTAACACAAAAAACGACAAACGCTTGTGTGACCTTAAGATTTTGTTTTTTTCTTTCTTTTCTTTATTCTTCAAAGCAACAATTATTTGCTAAGATGAAATTTTACTTGTAGAGATTTTTAATAAATCTAAACGTTATTGTGGTATAAAATGAAATGGCAACGTGTAGGAACGTTGAAATATTTAGTTTACATTTCATGAGACTTAAGATTTTGATACATGTATGTGCTGTCTTGTGTCGTCTGTTAAAATGATTAAATTGGATTATGTTAAATTCTGAAATAATCTTCACAAGGTTTTCAAGAAAATTCTAAAGATTTTAGCAAATCAAGATGAATAAGTCTAAGTATCTAGATAACATGTCTTTAATCATCGGATTAAATATTGAAAGCAGTGAAATTAATCGATGTTAAACAGATTTGGTGAAGAACTTTTAATTAAAAAGTATTTAAATTTTTTCTCTCCCAAACTTATAATTACAAAATAAAGGCTTAAATTCCTCATGGGAACTTTTGTTGTAAACGTTTCTATTCTTCATCAAGAAAGGAATATTTTGAAGTACAATAAAAGTTTATGAACCTCTCTTCATTTTATGCTGTGTCTTCATCTATATACCTGTTTCTCTTGTTTCTTCTCGAAAATGAAAATTTATTAATTTATAATTTTTATAAATGTTTCGTTTTATTACATATATAAGAGTACCCCCATCAATCTCTTTCATCTGATGAAAAGAAATGATGATGAAGCTCCAAATTCTAGAAAAAAAATCTTGAGATTCATCGTCAAAGATGGATAGAATATAATGTTTTAAGAAATCGCTTATTATGTATGCTGCATGAACTAGTCAAAAAATAAAAAAAAGACTTTTGAAAGGTCGAAAATTCTTTGGCTATTGTGCGTTGAAGTTTTCTGTTGTAGAGCAATAGAGAGAAACAAAGAAACGCAAATTCTTTTGTGTATGAACAAAGTGGTTGGACCATGGTTTTTGAGACTTGATTTCATGCGGCACAAGTCACAGCCTCTTTTGTGATGGGAAAGAAATTTTTCTAGAAAGTATTTAGGACAGCTTAGCTTTGCTTTTGAACTTACTGTTTTTGAAACAGCATAAGTTCTTGCCTGAAGTGTTTACAGCTGCAGGAAATTATTGGCGTTATGTAAATCATAATTAAGAATTCGGTAAACACTTAAAATTCGAAAGCAAGCTGCTTTGCAAATATTTGCATCGTGCTTAAAATTAAAGGTGACTTCAAATTTTCATAAACTATTTTCGTATTACTGAAGCACCTGTCAAATTATTTCCAAAAGTATATAAAATAAAATTAAATTTATTAATGTTTTTAATCCGATTATTGTTTTTTTCCTTCTACAAAGAATCTTTGAGCCTCTGCAAATTAAAATTTTAAGAATTTTATGAGAGTCTTTTTTTCGGTTGGAAGATAAGAAAAGTGAAAATATTTGTCTTTCAAGAATATATATTGATATTGACGAATATAAAAGCAACAAGAGACGTTAACAAATTAACATAATTAACGGAAAGCTTGAGACTTTCTGAGAAAATTTTATCGAATTCACGTAGCTTCGAATCGAACTGTTTTGATCGACCAACACTAACTTCTAATGCTAATTTTGAGACTGTATGCATATCCTCAGACACATAATTTGGGATTGAAAAGTCGTTTCGTATTATTTGTATGAACATCAAAGCGGTTTAACAGCTTGTTCAATAAAATGGCATCAATCATTCGCGAGATGATAAGAACCGCCTTAGTGTTTAAATAACTAACAGCAAATTTATCTGAAAGAAAACTTGTGCTGTTTAATAATTTTAATATCTCAAAAATATGTTCGAAGTTCGAACAAACAGATACAACTTTACTTGTGTGAAACTAATTAATTAATTTATTCTCTCTTTTATGTGTTTCGGGTATTACTAAAACTAATTTTTAATCGTCCATTAATGGCGTTATGTCTAAAACAGAAAGACCACTGTTAAAATGTAAGATAAAATGTCTTCTTCTTCAAGAGATTATTATTAGTTAGCTCGTGGAATGTGAGGCTCCAATCAATATCGTGCCGACAATGCAAATAAAACTTTTCCAAAAGTCTTTTATAATAATTAAAAACGCTGAAATGTAGTCAATATTTTGCATATGAAAATATATCCAAAAGTATCAAATAACAGTTGATCGATAGACGTTCACTTTGGTCTTCGCAAGGTTCTTCGAATGCCTCACAGAATTTCTTCAGATTTTATCTTCAAGATTGTTGTGGTTAAATCTTTACGAAATCCTCAGTTAAATTTGAATTTTTGATTACAAAAATATTTGATTGTTATTTCATGCCTGTTTTCATGAATATTCTTTGATTCATTAGAAACCGATAAAAGAAATCTTTAAGCTGTTATCGATAATAATTTCTACATATTTTATATCTAACTTCTTGGTGGATTGCAAACATTATTTAGATATGTCAGAAATTTATTTATTTGATAACAGCGAATTTCTATTTAACTATTTTTATATCCATTTCAATGGAATTCAATTTTCTATATTTTATTTCTGTTTATTTACATTAATTTATATCATTTTTACGGTTGCAAAAAAATATCGTCAATAAATGTTTATAAATATCAATAAAATTATGAAAGATTTCTGTAGTCGTTGCCTAACATGAAGATATGATGAAAAACAGAATCGTCATCGAACATCTTTAATATTATTTCTCGAGAAGAAGACAATAAATATTGAATGTTCATTTGACTCGAAGATGAGAAGAAAAAACAGACTTTAAGTATCTCTTCTTACCTGATCTCGAAGCATTGTTCTTATTTTGTATACCTGAAATAATCTGTGTTCTCTTCTTAGCCAAACTGTTGTTGTAAGATTGCTCTTTGTGTAATCTTTACATCGAAAAGAAAAACGAAAAAAATGATGCGACACACACAGCAAAAATTTTTAAAGCAAAGAATAAAAAAAGAGCTTTATAGATATAACAATGTAATGTAGCCAGTTTTTTACATTCCATTTTGTTTTATTTTTCATTTAAATCGAAGAAAAAAAAAAGCTTAACGATCGTTTGTCGCTGATGTGTGAGTTTTCTTACACTAAAAGAAGTTTCTTTACTTGTACAACAAAAACCTGAAAAAATAAACTTCGGCGCAAAACCTTTACAACCTGAATCTTTAGTTTGAGTTGGAACGTTCATTTGGACGCAATCGTTTATTTTTCTTTAAAAAATTATTAATTTTCTAATATATCACGCGTTCATATTGGATTACAATAAGAAAGAGAATGAATTAGCAATAAACTTTTAAGAAATATTTCCAATGAAAGAAGTCAAGGAAAAATTATAATTAGTGATTAAAAAGCAATTTCTTAAAAACAAAAATTCATGTGTAAAGTGAGTGTGTGCCGCGAAAAATAATCGATCGCGTAATTTGCATATATACATAAGCAACAAGTGTTACATACCCTCAAGATTAAAAGCTATTGAAACAAAACAAGTGTTTGAAACAAGATAGAAATAAAATGCTAGCTTTTAGATGAGGAAATAATTCAAAGAAGCGAACAAAAAAACAAAATTATAAAACAAAAATCGAAGACAAAACACAGAAACTTGCTGATTCTACGAAATTTGCTACGCAATACATTTTTCGTCACTGGATTATTAACACAATTTTAGAAACATTGACTCCGTTCAAAGTGAAACATCTTGCTACAGCTACATCAAAGCTGATTTCGCGGCATGTATTGTGCCATGATGTCATGATCATGAGCGGCACAACAAGATCGGGGATATTTCTCAATATTATTCTACTCCTAATATTGGTCAATCCTCTGTTGGCCGTTAAGCCCCACAAGAACAATCGCGATAAAAATCGGCATCATTCTCAAGAGGAACGTCAATCGGAATTTGTGAAAGGGAAAAGTAAGAAAATTTCGTTTACTTTTGATAACAGCATACTTAAATTTATTTTGCTTCTATGTCGAAACCTACAATTATATGAGTTGTTATGTCTGCTGATAAAGTAAATATGTATACACACTTTATGTCGATTACAATTTGAAATGTATGTCGAATTTGATGACGAGAAGTGCATATCACTTGTTTGAAAAGGCGTAAATTAAAAAGAAAAAGCAATTAAAATCGATAAAGAAATGTTTAAAAACATGTCTCATATCTGTAAATTATTAAAAGCTATCAGAAAATGCGCGGACACACACACACATTAAGCAGTTTTATTTGAGCATATATACGAAATACTTCTTGTTTTCCAACTGAAACGTGTATAATATATGTATATATTATTGATATTTACTTAAAAGAGTATTTATTTAAAAAAAAACTTCATATTCCAAGTAAATATTACAAAGTTTATTTTCAAGATAAAAACGCTTAAGAAAATTTAAACTATGCTTGAGTACTTACCGTCTGAGATTTTATGAATTTAAGGAAAGAAGAACATCAAAATTTCGTGCTAAACCGTTCTTCAAATAGAGTTTCATTTTATATTTTGTATGCTATGCAAAAGTCTTTATCGTAATCGAAGTATTTACATTTTCAACTCTTTAAAAATCAAAGCTTACATTTTCATTAAACTGATTAAATATATTTAAACGAAGACACTTTATTCGTATGTGGATTAACGTTATCATAAACAAACATTAGATACCTACATACTTTTATCAAGAAATGTTGTCAACAAAATCTCATTTTTTGCTGTTTGTTGAATATTATTTACTTTTTAATACTGCGCAACATGACACTTTACCGTGTTGTAAGTTTAAAACTTGTAATACAAGCTACAATATTTCTACTCATGTACGTTTGTTCTCAAGTTGAAAGCTTAAGCATTATCAGCAAAATGAAATGGTACATTATTGTTTTTAAAAGTATTTTTATGTTTTCGGCAATAAGAACTTTTATTGGAAAGAAAAACGGTGACCATGAGAAATGTTGAAGTAACAAAGGAGAAGAGAAGATTATAAAAGAAATGAACAACAAAACAAAAAATCTAAAGTCACGAGGTCGTTATTTTCTTAAGTTTTCTTTTAACATTGATTTGCTTTTGAGGAGTATTTTATAAATGACGTTGCAAGATTTTCGTGTAACATAAAGAAACATGAAAACATAACACAAGGATTAAAACATCTTTTTAATCTTTAATCTTTGACATGAAAAAATCTTCATCTCCTTAAACCGCAAATTAAATTTTCATAGCCCGAAAAAAGTTCGATCTCAAGTCTAGGTAGACATTCCAAAACCTATTAAGTCTGCTCTAAAATTTCCTTACATCAGGCCAACGCTTTCTTTTACGATGCATGTTAGCCACAAGCCAGTACAAAACGTTGATCGTATAAGAAGAAGAAGAGAAGTTAATAACATAACTGGATACCAACACAAAGATATTAAAGACTCGATTTAAAAGCTAAATTCTTCGGGCTCTTTTATTATAAAAAATTTGTATCCATAATATATTGAAATGCTGGCTGGTATGGAAGAAGAAACAACAAGGAAAAAGATAAAACAGTCTTCAATTACTTTGAACACGGTGTTTGATGCTGTGCTGTGTTGGCATACAACCAAACAACGCAAGTGTATTCGAAAGTTTAAAGAAAAATATTTCCAAATCCAAAGCCATGAAAACAAAAATAAAATGTTTAACAACGAAGAATGTTAAAGGCGAAAAGGTGTTTGCTGATATGAAATAAAATTAATACAAAAACTTACCTTCCTAACATCTCGATCTATAAAGAAAGCATTTGGCATGAGAAGTACAAACTTTCAATCTAAAATCCTAAAATGTGTAACTTAAGACACAAGACTCGTTTAATAATAGAAAATAAGAAATAGTTAATGGAGTTTCAAAATATTCATCCGCAATCCCACTTAAATATCTATCTACTAATATTCAAATCAATCACTGTCAATGAAGTTACCAAAAAGCTTAAAACATTCCAAATTCTTCAGCAACAGCTTTCGAATGCTTTTCTAATTAAATCGAAAATTAGAAGAAAATATTAATTATATTAAAAAACAACTGGCAAGTTGAAGAATTTTAAAGATTTTTCTTTTTAAAAACAAGACCTTCTTGGGACTGTATCCTACTGTGATAGGAACGAAGAAATATTAAGGTAAAAAGATCAACGTTTCTTCTTTTCACTTCACATTTATCTTTCGAAATACTTGAAAAAATCTTTCTCGGTAAGAAACAGTCTTCTATGCTCCATTCTTTTGTTTCTTTCATTTTATTATTGCCTTTTATTCTTTGAAGTAAGAGAAAAAAATTTATGTTTCACGTATTAAATCTTCTTGTGTTCAGCCTCGATGTACCTTGAGGCCTGAGACTGTAGTTGAGAACTTTAGAGCGCTCACGACATACCGATATACAACAGCTCAATAATCCGATTATATTTCTTCCCTCCACATACATATTTATATTTCTTTCGCTTTGACTTCATGTTTTATGGTAGATCAAATCAATAATAAGTGCTTGATAAACAATTTTAATGATATACCTTTTCGCAGTGTTCCAATATTCATTTTTCTTCTCGTGTAAATGCATTCGAAAACATCTTTTAATTCAAATCTGAATCAAATAACTAATTGAAACAGTTTTCATTAAAAATCTCAACTCATGGTAACTTGAATTCTTGCACAAGAAGGGAACCTAAATGTTGTTTTCTTTTCTCTCTTTCTCTTACTTGAAAAATAAGATAAAAATGCTATAAGAAAAAAAGAATATTTGAAGGCTTTAGCGGCGAAAATGTTTTCAAAGAAACGAAAAAAAAAAGCAAAAACTTAAAGCACATAAACGAGTCGAAATCGTGAAACACGAACTAAGACCTGACAAAAAATAAAATCTGGAAAGAATCGTGCATGCTTGGAAATCGCTATGCAAAAAGAAACAAGAGTTGGAGGAACGAATGAGACGAACACAAAAGATTATATTTGACAAAGTAAAATAAGAAATAATCCTTTAAGTAATTAAATATCAAGTTCACTTAAAATGCCTGCGAAAAGAAAAGTAAAATGAAGTTCATTTCTTATTTTCATCATCAGTTTATGTATAAACCTAAAATCATCTTTCCAAATCATTTTTTTTTGTTCATTATAAAACTGGATTTCTCATACGGTTTTCTCTTTTTGCCTAATAAAAACACCTACATGTGATTCAAAATGTTAAGTCTCTACTCGTCTCTAGTAGAAACAGAAGAAACGAGCCATATGGCGTTGTTGCTTAATAAAACGTTTTAAGGGAACAAATGTCGAGATGTTTTTAACATTTCCGATCTAAGTTAGAACATCTTCAACAACGATAAGCGTTGGAAAAACCATTAAATAGTGTTTTAAAGTATGTCTCGATGAAATTGAAGATTTCCTTTTGCGTTAATCGTCGACTACTGTTTGCAAATCAACAAATCATATTACATCACCTTAAAATATAAAATAAATTCGATTGTTATACAATTTCATTTATTTGATTGTAATCTATTCATTTACAGTATGCATTGGAACAAATGGCCGAATGTCGGTACCATCGAATCGAGAGTTCCATTATAAGAACTTGAAAGATCGATACACAAACTGCACGTACGTTGATGGCAACCTTGAGATCACTTGGATTCACAACAATTCCTATGACTTGAGCTTCTTGCAACACATTCGAGAAGTCACTGGCTATGTGCTTATTAGTCATGTTGACACAGAGCACGTTAAACTTCCGCGTCTCCAAATCATCCGTGGCCGAACGCTCTTCAAACTCAATGTGTGGAACAGCGAGTTTGGACTTTTCGTTTCATTCTCACAAATGTCAACATTGGAATTGCCAGCACTTCGAGACATTCTCAATGGATCTGTGGGAATGTTCAACAACTACAACTTGTGTCACATTCGATCAATTGAATGGGACGAAATAATATCAGGTGAAGACCCTTACAACCTTCTTATGGTGGTGTTAGATCCGTTGGTAGTTACAAATGAAACAAATAATGGTGATGGTTTATTAACAAACTATTAAGTAGAATTAAAAACTTAACTTATCATTTCTTTTCCCCTGTTAAAAATAATTCTTTAGGTCCAAATGCTACCAACATGTACACTTACAATTTCACTTCACCCGAACGTATTTGTCCGCCATGTCACTCAAGTTGCGAGAAAGGATGTTGGGGAGAAGGTCCGGAAAACTGCCAAAAGTTCAGTAAAACAAATTGTGCTCCACAATGTTCACAAGGAAGATGTTTTGGTCCAAAGCCGAGAGAATGTTGTCACTTATTTTGTGCGGGTGGATGTACAGGTCCAACACAAAAAGACTGCTTAGCTTGTAAAAACTTTTATGATGATGGCGAATGCAAGCAAGAATGCCCAGCAATGCAAATCTATAATCCAACAAATTATCTATGGGAGCCGAATCCAAATGGAAAATTCGCTTATGGTGCAACATGTGTGAAGCATTGTCCCGAACATTTATTGAAAGACAATGGCGCATGTGTTCGAACATGTCCAATAAATAAGATGGCTAAGAATGGAGAATGCGTTCAATGTAATGGTCCATGTCCGAAGACATGCACGAGTGATGGCATCGTTCATTCGGGCAACATTGATAAGTTTAAAGGCTGCACAATCATCGAAGGGTCCTTGGAAATTCTCGATCAAACTTTCGCTGGATATCAACAAGTTTATTCAAATTTCTCATTCGGCCCACGCTTCATTAAAATTCATCCTGATCGACTTGAAGTCTTTTCAACATTGAAAGAGATCACTGGATATCTGAACATTCAAGGATATAATGAACATTTCACTAATTTATCGTACTTCAGAAATCTGGAAGTCATTGGCGGTCGTCAATTGAAGGAAAATTTGTTTGCGTCACTTTTCATTGTGAAGGTAACTTTCATAATTTTTCTTATTTTACTTTAAAGTTTTATCATTTTATGCTTTGATAGACTTCATTGCGATCTTTGGGATTAAAGTCTCTCAAATTGGTGAATTCTGGAGCAATCGTGATTGTTGAAAATAAGCATCTATGCTTCGTTGATGGAATCGATTGGAATAAGATTAAAAAGTCGAAAGATCACGAGTCTGTTATTACTCCCAATAGGAACTCAACTGAGTGCAGTAAGTAAACTTTTAATTATATCTTTCTTCATTACTTACCTAATCATTAAATTAAACAGAACTTGCTGGTGAAGTTTGTTCAGATGAATGTTCCGCATCAGGTTGTTGGGGACTTGGACCAGATCAATGTCTTGAATGTAAAAATTTTGTTTACAAAGGCACATGCTTAACAAACTGTAAAAGTATTCCAAAGTAAGTTGAATGATAATTTCTTCATTAAACTTTAATTAAATATATTCAAATTCTTGTTTAGGATTTATCAAATCGACAAAAAGAGTTGCGGCGATTGTCATGAACAATGTAAAGGTTCATGTACCGGTCCAAACTCTGATGATTGTCTCGAATGTGCCAATGTCAAAGATGGAAAGTTTTGTGTCGCTGAATGTTCTTTCTCAAAATATGCCACAAATGGAAATTGTTTAAATTGCCATGAGTCATGTAATGGATGTAAAGGACCAAGAAATACAATTGCTGATGACGGTTGCATCGATTGTGACAACATCATTTTCAATGGAACACTTCAGAAATGTTTGAAGAAGAATTCGACATGTCCTGGTGAGTTTCAATAAATTTGTCATGTTGATTTATGTTTTCTAACATTAATCTTTGATCATAGATGGATATTTCAAAGAATATGTTGGACCTTACGATAAAGTCTTAGCTGGAAAATCAATTTGCCGTCAATGCCATCCACGTTGCAAACAATGCACTGGCTTCGGGTTCCATGAAAGTGTTTGCTCGGAATGTGCACGCTATCGGCGAGGTGAACAATGTGAAGATGAATGTGGCGAGAATCAATACGCTGATGAAGAGAAAAAAACTTGTGAACCATGTCACGATGAATGTCAAAGATGTCGAGGTCCAGGTCCAAATAATTGCCACGATTGTCGTCATTTGAAGATCTTTCATGATGGCGTTTCATCAGAAAATTATATCAACACAACTGAGTTCAACTGCACATTCATTTGTCCACCTGACAGACGATACAAAATCTTCCCCGAAGCTAATGACAATAAAAATCGACCATATTGCTCAGCTGACAAGCCCGATGTCTTCAACTTCCGATCTGGTGGCATTTCTTACCTTCTCGTCGCTGCTTTTGTTGTTCTGGGATTAGTTTTATTATTCCTGATTTTATTAACAGGTTAGTTGAGAATTTTTATCTCAAAATTTACAACTTGATTTAAAATTTCATTTTTATTCTCGCTTCAGTTGTTTGTCGACAAAAGACCAAAGCAAAGAAAGATGCTGTGAAGATGTCAAAGGTTCTTGCAGGATGTGACGATTCTGAGCCATTGAGACCATCAAATGTTGGTCCAAATTTAACGAAATTACGAATCATTAAGGAGTCTGAGATAAGACGTGGAGGGTTGTTAGGAATGGGAGCTTTCGGACGAGTTTATAAAGGCGTTTGGGTGCCAGAAGGCGAAAATGTTAAAATTCCTGTGGCTATCAAAGTTTTAATGGAACTCAACGGAGCTGAATCGAGTAAAGAATTCTTAGACGAAGCTTACATCATGTGCTCGGTAGAACATACAAACCTACTGAAACTTCACGCTGTTTGTATGACAACACAAATGATGTTGATTACGCAACTGATGCCTCTTGGGTGCCTTCTCGATTACGTTCGTAATAACAAAGACAAAATTGGATCGAAAGCTCTTCTTAATTGGTCAACACAAATTGCTCGAGGCATGTCGTATTTGGAAGAGAGACAAATTGTTCATCGCGATTTAGCAGCTAGAAATGTTTTAGTTCAAACGCCATCATGTGTAAAAATAACAGATTTTGGACTGGCGAAGTTATTAGATTTTGATTCGGATACTTACAAAGCAGCGGGTGGTAAAATGCCAATTAAATGGCTCGCTCTTGAATGCATTCGTCATAGAGTGTTTACAAGCAAGAGTGATGTTTGGGCATTTGGAGTGACTGTTTGGGAATTGCTGACTTACGGAGCAAGACCTTATGACAACATTGCAGCAAGAGATGTTCCAGCATTGCTAGAAGATGGCACAAGACTTTCTCAACCTGACATTTGTACATTAGACATTTTCATGATTCTTCTCTCTTGTTGGGTTATCGATGCTGATTGTCGACCAACATTCAAGCAACTTTCAGAGACATTTGCTAAATGTGCTCGAGATCCTGGTCGATATTTATTAATTCCTGGTGATAAATTCATGCGACTTCCATCATACACCACTCAAGATGAAAAAGACTTGATTAGAACGTTAGCGCCTTTAGAAGGAAGTTCGAACACCTTTGCTTTGTTAGAAACTGATGAATATTTACAGCCAAAGTCTCGCCAACAAATTGAGAATGGTTCAAATGAACAACTCGACAATAATCTTCCTAAACGCTATTGCAGCGATCCATTGAAGAATGGAGATGATGAGACTGATACCAGTCGAGAAATCGGCATTGGCAACATTCGACTAGACTTACCTTTAGACGAAGACGACTATTTAATGCCAACGGGACCAAATCAATCCCAACCCACAACCGGTTATATGGATTTAGGCGGCGTCTCACAGCCAGCAATTGATAATCCCGAATACTTACTTAACTCTAATCCTGCAGCGAATATTGTAACAATAAGTAGTACTGTTAAGGAGAATAACTTCCAAAATATGAATAATAATAGTTTACTGAGTAACTTGAATAATGTTCAGATCAAAACTGACACAAATAACATGCCAACACAAACGCTTGGCATTCCTTTAACAAATTCCGGTGAACCAATTTCAGATCACGAATATTATAATGACTTGCAGAGAGAGTTACAACCGTTGCAAAATTCTCGAAGCGAGACAACTGTGTAAAATTTAAAATTATTATGAAAAATCATAACAAAATGTGCCTATATGGAGTAAAAACTCAAAATTATTAAATTTTTACAAGCAATATGTTTAGATGAATCGAGAAAGATTAAATGGAAAAGAATTAAAATCAATGTTTGTTCGAATACTTAGTAATTAAGATGCAACATTTAATTCAATATTTTAGTACTTAAATGTTAAGAAAAATAATCAAAAATTCTTTTAGAAATTTTGCGAATGACTTTAATTCAAAACAAAACGAAATCTGTGATATTATTGTATTTAAAATAAGTTTGCATCTCATACATAAATGTAAATTTCTTTAATTTTTTGATCAAAGTTCTTTCTTTCGAAATTTCATTATTTTTCATGAAGTCTTAGCTCCAGTGGACGTCCGTAAAATATTAAATTCAGATGCATAAGTTTTAGTTTTTTTATCCAATTATCAAATCATGAAGCGATGAAAGTGCACAAAATTACCGTCGTACTAATAGTTAAATGATTAGATACAATGAATTGCCGTGAAATAAAATAAACAGACTTGCCAAGCTTGACAAACGAATAATCTTGCGCATAATGATAAATTGAATTTAAGAAAATTATAAAAAGAAACCTTCAATGTATATAATTTAAAGATATTGTGCCATAGACTTCATGATCAAGATCAGTAAAATGTTAGTTTAATGGCACGTGAATTTTTCTTTTGACAGAAATTTTCAATCTCCTGACTTAATAAGAGTAACGATGTATTGAAACATTAAACAATTTGAATAAAAACTTATAAAAAATTACTCTAATGAATTATTTTCCAATTTATTATCTTTTCTAGTTAACCTTTGCTCTTCATTTAAAGGTTTGCAAGCAATTGATGGATGGCAATTGAATTACAAGAAAAGACTTTCAAATGTTATTTGAATTCTTCTTTTTTCTACATTTTATGTTGATAATTCAGAAGGTTCAATTATCCAGCAGTGTACATTTTAATTCCCGCATATTTGCCAATTATTTTGAATAATAATTCCAACTATAAACCCTTGAAATTAAGTACTTGATCAAATAGGTTTAGAAACTTGAAATAAAAGCGCAAACATTTACTTAATACAACTGCAAATAAGAGTTAATATGTACTAATATTTATCTCATAACTTATCTGAATGATTAACATTCGAACAAAATGGCGAATATGTGGATTGACAACGTTATGCGCCATCATCACGGTAGGTAATAAATTCTTATGAATCTTTTTTAATTAAAATAAATTTCAAAACGAGAATTAAAAACTGGTTTGTTAATGCGACGCATCACATAAATATGAAAGATATAAACAAATTAAATTAGGGTTCAACGCTGTTCTCGAGAATCATTTCATCATCGTGTGTTTGTCACTTGATTTTCACTATAATTAACAGTCATTAACCTTTAGTTAACATGCAGATAAAAAAACTTATTAAGCTGAGAGAAAAAATTTTATTTGAGATTAATGATTGTGAACATAAAATTCACAGAGAATAAAACATTTCATTTGTATAAAGTGTCGGAATTGAAGTCACAAAGATAAGATTCTTAGCATGTCTTGATACAATGTGGAAACGGTGGAACTTTGCATGTACAAATTGTGCATTGATCGTCATCTCTTTCTGGCGACAAGAAATCTCCAAGATTCATCTTCAAACCTCCAAACGTGCATTGCAAGTCAGCGTCGCCTTCTTTTTGTGTTCTTGATGAGTCGGCTATAACTTTGGTTTTCTTATCGTCGGGACATCTCCAATCTGAGTTTGAAAAATATTTAATAAAAATATCATTTAATTAAACATTAATTATCACCTATTGGACAACAGCTATCAGTCTTCCAATAAATTGGAACACAACCGCGAGCAAATCTTCCGGAATAATGTATTTCAATATTGCAATTGATCTTCTTGCAATGCTTATTCTCTTCAACCGGTTTATCTTCAAAGCCTTTACCACAATGGCAACTATAACAACTGCCTTCGGCGTCAATACTTTGACCTTCATAGTACGTCTGCCCTTGGAACACACATTTGTCCAATTTCAAAAGGTCTGCTCCTATTGTTGAATTAATTTAAATTCAATTTAAGTTTAATTAATTAATTATTATGTTGTTTATACCACAAACTGTTTTGCTTGCACAGCAGCTATCGTTTTCATATTGTTCGATACATTCTTTTCCTGAATGCTCATCATCGTTTACGAAGAATTCTGGGCAATCAATGTGACCACATTCGAAATGTGGTGGACTGTCTTCGGGAAACTGACGACAAACACATCCAATCGTGCATGAAGATTGAATTGATTGATCTTTCACTTCCTGATTAAGTTCATATGTTTCATTATTATAGTGACACTTGGTTTTATCACGATTTTCTAACGAAGAACAATCAAATCTAAATACGCATAAAAAGAGAAAAACAACATAAAAAGAATTTAACAAAAAAATGTTTTCCAAGGCCAACATAATTTAATAATCATACGAACCGAGCTGGACAACATTTGCCGCTTTCAACAATCGGAGTACATCCAAATTCTTCGTAATGTTTCGGTGCAGGTGGACATTTAACTTTACTGCAATCTTCACTGCATTGTGCACTAACTACACATAAAACAGCAATCAAAATCAGAAATTTCATCTTCACAAAAGACGTCTTCTTGCTTCTAAGATTCAAATCAAACTGAGTCGCGAAGTTATTTTTGTAAAACTTTATGGGGAAATTTGTCAACGATTATTCAAGGTCAATGAGTCACTTTTTCGTTTAACTTATTGATGTTTAGAATATTTTATTGATTTTTCCAAGAGTTCGAAAAGTTAAACACAAGACGATGTTAAGTGAAATTTGCTTAATGGTTTTGCTATAATTTTCTGTTTTATCACGTAAATATTTATTTTTTTCTTCTTAGAAAACAAGCCACAACAACTATTTTAAAGCACTCCCAACCACTTTACGTGTAATCTTTCAGAAAAGCTTCGAAACCTGAAAAGCTTTCATTGTTTAAAATCAAACAAGTGTGAAATATTTTACGTTAATTTTTATTAAACGAATGTTTGTAATTGCGACAATCGTAAAATGATTTAATTAAAAATTTCTTTTCTTAAATCTAAAAATTTGTTTTCGACAATTTTTAAATTATTTCGATCATTTTTAAATTTTAATTCATTAAAATTATTTTCAAAACCTTTGAATATTGAGCAATACTCAAGAGAAGTTAAATGTTTACAATTTTCTACAACAAATTCGAAAAGTTCTTCATGAATGTGAAAGAAATAAATTTTTGTAACTTCACCACATGATTCTATTATTGGTTTGATCCAATTCTTCCAGTTCCCATCGATGTTTTCACAATCAAAGTCAATATGCTTAATCGATCGACTCTGATTAAGTTTAATTGTTGATACGTCAAGTATCGTCGATTCATTATCAAAATAATCAAACGAGACTCGCTCAATAAACTTAGAATTAAGAATTTCTTGAACAACTTCAATATTTGTCCATTCACAAAGCGTTATCCATTTCAATTGTTCTTGTGTTTGAATAAACTTTACAAAATTGTTGACAACATTCCTAGAATTGTCTTTCTCGCACTTTTCTGCATACTCGACAAGTAAATATTTTAATTTGAACGAAAATTCTTTTTCAACTTCAAATATTTTATAAAATGCGTCAGATGATAAACTCAGATGAGTTATTTGTGATTGAAGAGAAATAAATTGATTCAAAGCTTCTCCTCCATCGCTTATAATGTTTCCTAACGAAAGTCGTTCGAGTTTCTTCAACTTTTGATTGAAAGGCTTCAAAGCAACGGCAGTGACAAACTCAAATCGAAGTTTCTGAAGTTCTTTGAAATCCAATTTCAAAATATTTGAATTATCGTCTTCAATATCCATGTCGAATATTTCAAGTTCAACAATAGTCTCACTAAAAATCTGAAGAAGATGAATGTAGTCTTTATAGTTAATGAACGATTGAATATCCATTTGAGCTCGTCTCCATTCCCTTTTTGGAAACACCAAAATTTGCAAACCATTTTCAATCTCCGAGATTTTAAAATTCTGATAAATTCTTTCACTGCCTCTAAAAGCTTTTAAATCGTATTTCGTTGGTTCATTGAATCTATCACCGACATTCAACCAAATTTTTCCCATCACATCATTTGACCTTCCGATTGCCTTGTACCACAATTTCGATGTCAATGAACTGTTCAAAACTTCATCTACTGTTAGATGTTGGAAAATTAATTCATGAACATGATCATGAAGCTTTTCTAATGGATCCATTTGTTATTCATTTAAAGAAACTGAAATTAAAACAAAAACATTGAAACTGCGCAAAATCACCAAAAATATCTTTTGAACACATTTTTATTATCCAATTCCAATTTCCGTTGAAAAAATCTTTTTAATATAAATCCCGCTGTACTTCCTTAAATATTTAATCTCCCTTTACAATATTTCATCTCATGCATGTAGATTAATCTACTCAATCATCTTACGAATCATGTAATTTAGAATTCCACCATTTTTGAAGTAAGCAATATCAACGTCTGTGTCAAATCGAACAATAACTTCAAACTTGATATCAGAAGTTGTCACCACAGTGACTTTGTCATGTGGCTTAACATTCTCTGGCATATGAATATCGAAACATTCACGACCACTTAATCCAAGTGATTCAGCATTTTGTCCATCTAAATATTGCAAAGGAATAATTCCCATTCCAACTAAGTTCGATCGATGAATGCGTTCGTAGGACTCAGCGATAACAGCTCTAATGCCTTGCAAGAAAGGACCTTTGGCAGCCCAATCTCGACTACTTCCACTGCCATAATCTTTACCAGCTAACAAGATTAACGGAACATTTTCCTTTCGATAACGTTCAGCAGTATCGAAAATGTCCATATCTTCGTTTGATGGGAAGTGCTTTGTTTTAGGTCCCGGGAATTTCATGAATTTATTAACAATTCTGATATTTGCAAATGTTCCACGAGCCATGATTGCGTCATTTCCTAAATTAGAAATTTAAAATTATTGAAACTTTAATTTTTCATTCTCAGACTGACCTACGTCAATAAACATACGTAACGTAAACGTAGAGTAAAATTACGCTAATAGATTGTTCAAGTATACGTAACGTAAAAAATTATCAACTTTTATCAACCCTGAACCAAATCTAAAATATTCAAAAACAAAAATTACCTCGACGTGATCCATAACTGTTAAAATCTTTCGGGAAAAGTCCACGATCAGCCAAATATCGAGCTAAAGATGTTTATAAATTATCATAAAATGTGTTTATGTAAATTTATGAAAATTTCTTTCTTACCTGCTGGCGAATTTCTGGCAATTGAACCGGCTGGGGAAATATGATCAGTTGTAATGGAATCTCCCAAATTCAACAAAACACGTGCACTTCTTATAGGAGCAATTGCAGGTAAATCACGTGTCATTCCTTCAAAGAAAGGTGGATGCTTTATATAAGTCGATTCATCGTCCCAAGGATATAATTTTCCACTCGGAGCTTGTAATGCTTGCCAATTTTGTGAACCCAATTCGATTCTTTCGTAAACCTCTTTAAACATTGCTGGAATGACATATGTTCGTTCAATGCTTTGAATTTCATCTCGCGTTGGCCAAATGTCCCGTAAGAAAACTTCACGACCATCACTTCCTTTTCCAATCGGTTGAGTCTCGAAATCGATGTCAACAGTTCCAGCCAAAGCATAAGCAATGACAAGAAGAGGTGAAGCTAAATAATTCGCTCTTGTTAATGGATGAATTCTTCCTTCAAAGTTTCGATTTCCTGATAAAACGCCACAACAAACCAAACCATGTTTCTCAATTGTTGCAGCGACACTTTCATGTAATGGTCCGGAATTTCCAATGCATGTCATGCAGCCATAGCCAACAATGTTAAATCCAAGTTCCTCTAAACTCGGAACAACGCCTGAATTATTTAAATAATAAGTGACAACACCCGATCCTGGCGAGAGAGATGTCTTGATGTATGGTGCTACTTTAAGACCAGCTTTAACAGCATTTCGTGCCAATAATCCAGCACCCAACATAACTAAGGAACGAAAAAGTTAATATTTACTGACTTATCATTGATGAAAACTCTTTTACCTGAAGGATTTGAAGTATTGGTACAAGATGTGATTGCAGCAATAACAACAGATCCATGCTTGAGCGTATATTGATTTCCATCATCCCATGTGAAGTTTCCAGAATTATTCAAAGTTTCTGGTGGTAATTCAAAGCCCTTAAATCCAATCTAGACGACAACAAAGAAAGACAGACATTCAAAATGTAATTAGGTCACTTGTAATGACGTCTGTTAAACTTTCTAAACATTCGTTTATGATAATCGTAAAAGAATTGCTTTTATTTCTTAATATGTCTCGTCGTCTTTGCTTTCCATTAGCAATAAAAACTAACGGCAGGCGACTAACAATTGCAATAAAATTTTGAAATTTGCAAATTTTTATTTGACCTAAAATTGAATTTTTATGCTTTTAGCTCGCAAATTGTTTCATTGCTTTCTTCAAGTTTTGAGTTTTTATAAAGAATTTGAAGGCAAAGAATCGTCAACGATGTCAACGAACGTTAATAAAAAAGAGAATGAAAATGAAATATCTTTGAATATGCAAAAAATTAATTTGTAATTATGCTGACAACAGTGATAAAATCATATGCCACATCGATTTATAATTAATTAGCATGTTAATAAGGTTCAGTTCATTAGAGTCGAGTCATAAGAAAAGATCATTTTTCTGCCTGCAAAAAACTTGCTAAGCAACCTAAGAAAAATCCCTTCATAGTTACAAATTTTACTAATTGCCGACATTTACCGATCGTTAGAAACTCATTTTGCTCACTTTTCTCATCGACTTTCTACCTGTCAAAAATGCATTCTAAATCTCTCTCAAAAAAACTAAAAATTCTCCTCAACTCTCGTCATTATCATCCTTTGGTGAAGGATCTATAAAAGACGACGCACGTTCTAATATTTCATATTCTTCTTCGATCTTCAAGTGTCAACAGTTCAGTCTCAGTTAAAAAATAAATAACAAAAAAAAATTATTTAATAGAAAAGTTAGAAGAATGAAGAAAGTGTTAAAGTGTAAAAATACAAGTCCAGTTTAGGGCGATTGTCGGCTTAGTCTCTGTTAGTTTATCGTTTCGAGTGACTAGACCGAACACTCGATCCTAAGCTTATGGATAATAATTCACCAAAGAAAGAGAAGTTAAAATTGCCACGTCTACAGCTTGGTGCTCAAGTTTATGATAACAAAGTCATCATTTCATTCGAAATTTATAAAAAGAAATTTCATAAAGCTGAGTATCCTTGCAGTGGTTGGTTTTGGCAGAAGCGTCGATTCTTTTTATTCTTATCAAAGGTCAAATCAATGACGAGAAGGAGATTGAAAAAAAATTGAATGGAAGAGGTTTGGAAGGAACTTCCGGTGTGATATGTGAAACGCTTCTTTTTTACGAAATTCTATTTCATATCACAGCTTTAGTTTCTTACAAACAGCCATTTAAAGTCATCAAACTATGGAAGAGAACTGATTGATAACGTTTAAGGAACTTTTGCTGTAGATATTAGGTTTGCCAATTTTGCATTTATATCACAGTAATTTTTCTTTAACGTCGTCATTCGAAAGCATCGAAAGTAATTAAATGTTTTATTAAAAAAGTGAAAAAGAGAGAGACCGTTGATGCGACAAACCATGTTCAGGTTGATGTTTAATTAAAGTTCCATCACTGGGCAATGTTTGTCGCATGAATTTCAAACACTCACCTTGTTTGTCAAGCATGAAGCAAAGTCTTGTTTCATATCAGACACTGAGACGCGATCATGAGGCCGTTTTGGACCAGAAAGTGATGAAACAACCGTTGACAAGTCGAGTACAACTACCTGAAAAAGATCATTTAAATATTTTATTTTTCTTTCAGGTAGATGAGAATTGTGGGTGGTTCTTACCTTAGTGAAAATGGGATCTTCGGACTCATCGTCGTAATTTCTAAATTGTTTTGTTGCTTTCAAATATTCTTCGATGATTTTAATTTTCTTTTCACTTCGATCTTTTTTGAATAAACAAATCATTATCGACCTTATATAGTTGCTTATTAAGACACTTACTCGTTTGACGAAGATATTCAATTGAATTTTTATCAACTGGGAAGAATCCGACAGTTCCACCAAATTCTGTAGTTTTTAATTCGTTTTAATAAAATGAAATTATTTCTTCAAAAGTTTCCTTACCTGGACACATATTTGAGATTGTCGCACGATCTGCAATGCTTAAATATGAAACTCCCGATCCAAAGAATTCCACAAACTTCCCAACAACTCCGATTTGTCTCAAATTCTTTGTGATTGTTAAGACTAAATCTGTTGATGTAATTAATGGATTTAATCGACCAACAAGCTTGTAACCAATGACTTCAGGGAGCAGGAAAGAAATGCTCTGAAGAATTGAAATCATTAAATAAAGTTTTGAATAATAAAATTTGTTATTTACTTGTCCCAACATTACAGCTTCGGCTTCGATTCCTCCAACACCCCATCCAAGTACTCCCAATCCATTAATCATTGTTGTATGCGAATCAGTTCCAACGACTGAATCAGGGTAAAGAATTCTACTTCCATCACTTCTTTTATCATCAAACACAACACGAGCTAAATATTCCAAATTCACTTGATGAACAATTCCAGATCCAGGAGGCTGAAAATTAAAAGTTTGATTAATTTGCAAGTATCTCTGAACTTTCCCTTATTACTTACAATTATCAACATATTGTTAAATGCTTTAGCTCCCCATTTTAAGAATGTAAAGCGTTCCTTATTTCTTTCAAATTCCAAGTCTTGATTCTTTGAAAGTGCGTCGCTTGTTCCTGAGAAATCAACTTGAACTGAATGATCTGTAAAAACATAATTATTATTCATTTATAGAACTTTTTGATCAATATTTCACAATACCAATAACCAAATCAGAAGGACAAATAGGATTGATCTTATCAGGATTACCACCAAGCTTTAAGACAGCATCACGCATTGCAGCAAAGTCGACAACTTGAAAGGAAATTTTAAATGATTTCTTTTAAAACAAATGCATGAACAAAATATAAATATTTACCAGCTGGAACTCCAGTAAAATCTGCAATGCAAATATATAAAAAATATTTAAATTTATTTCAAATTCCTTTAATCGAAAATAAAATGAAATTACCTTGCAGAATAACACGAGAAGGTTTGAATGGAATCTCATATTCTTTGTCATCGTTGACACCTTCACCTTTGTACCCAGTCCAGTTTAAGATGGTAGTCACATCAGATTCTTTAACATAAAAGTTATCGCAATTGCGTAATGCGCTTTCCAAAAGCACTCTGACTGAGAATGGTAACTTCGATAATTGCTCAAAATGAGAAATGTCGAAATAATGGAATGTTTCGCCATTTATTTCAATTGTCTTCTCGAGAAACTTGAAAGGATTTTGAGATGATTCTAATAAACAAAAGAATAATAATAAAGCATTTACACAGTTATCTAATTTGTTTCATTTGTTTGCTTTTTAACAATAAGTAGAAAACCGGTTTTGTATGAACATAAATACATTCATGTTTTGAAAGATTAATGGTATTAGAATCCACCTTTTATGCTTTTTTTACGAGCTTGGGACTACTGATAACAACTGCTTATAATATGATGATGATAATGAACTAATACAGCAAAATCTTATCATTGATTTCAATTGAGAAAGTTGATAACTTTCTTTTTTTGATGGTTTTTACTATTTAATATTGAATGCCAGTTAGTATTTTACTTAGTTTTATCTTACCAGGCATGATTGTAATATGATTGAATAGTGATGAATCTTTGAATAATATTTATTCTCTATTTATTAGAAATCAAGACGAAACTAAAAATTATTCAACCACCGGATTTCAACTTCACCATTTATATTGAAATTGACAGACAGACAGTTGAACGTTTACCTTATTTTATGGATAACAAACTCACCACAGATGTGTTCACCTCCTTCTTATGCATATTCACCACACGTCACACTTTGTTAATTTAGTTTCGAATTAAATAACAAAACAGAAGGTTGAAGGTCAGTTAATTAAAATTCTGATCAAGTCGAAATTTCTTTTCATTCGAAGTCAAACAAAGGAATTTTTCTTTAATAATTTATTTATTATTGACATTTTAATTTTCATGAGACAGAAACACCTTTAAGTTTTCAATACTTAGTCGAAATTATATATTATAAGGAAACAATGTAGACGATCATGTGCATTAAATTATTTAACTTATTGAATACTGATACCGAAATTTACATTTTTAATTAGTACAATTTAATCACAAGTCTCAACATTCACAAGTGGCTCCTCGACATGGTTGTTAACATCTTTTTCATTTTCTTCTCGAAAATTGGTTTTAAGATGAATTTCAGTTTTTCTTCTCTTTTCGGGTTTCTTAAGAAGTTCTTCAATTGAGTAAGGATTCCTTTTTCTAGAGTTTGAAGAAGATTTCACCTATGAGAAAATAGAAATGTCAAACATTGAGCTAAGCGATCAAGAAATTCATGTCATACTTTTTCAGAATCCTCAGCATCAAGGGAATCATCGCTGTTTATTTCGGTTATTTGTGCAGGTGAATTTGAATTCAATGATTCAGTTTTTGTACTTCCACGAGGTGATGATAAATCTGATCCCGAAAATGTTGTGCCATTGTTTGAGTAAACCAAAGGATTATTTCCACTTAAATGTGGATAAAAAAGATTTCTACTCCAAATCCAGTGTTTTGGAATGTAAGAAGAAACATTTTCAAATCGATTTAACATGGTAGATGTTGTTGGCGATGATGTCGATTGAGTGTTATGTGTTAATGAAGTTGCATACGTTTCAGGGGAAATTTTACAACCCATTGCTGTGGTAGGGTATTTTAAATCTACAGAAGTTATTGTTGTGTTGAGCGATGAAGAATGGACACCACCCATGTATCGATAAGGGTTGAATGCTTCATTATTGGAAGGAAAAACTGTTGGTGCTGACAGAGGTTTTGTGTTTTGAGGAAAATTTGTTTGATCTGTTTTAAAAAAAATATAAAAATCATTTAGATTAATAAAAGGAAAAGTTTTTACCACTGCAAAGAGGTTGGCCACTTCCAGCTGCAGTAAGTAAGTCATCAGACCATAACCCGCCATTTCTTAAAATTCTATTCACTGAACTGACAGAAGGTATCGTGTTTGGATCACAAATTCTTTGAGCTAATAGTTGATCTCGAATTTCCCACGCAAACATTGAAGGATTTTCTTGTTTGAAACGAAGAATTTTTTTAACAACTGTAGGTGTAGCGACTTGCTGTAAATATAAAGGGAAAGCACAAATTTAGCGTTTAAATTAATCATTTTAAAAGAATGTGTATGCCTCTGATAAACAATAATTAAAATGCTGAAAGGTACGCTTTTCACATTCAGAAGCGCTTTTCTCTTACACGCGTGATTTATGCAGTGTAAAGTGTAATTAAAAAAATTATCTATGCAATTAAATTCATAAATGTCACCAGACACGTTTAACGTCTAATTAATTCAGTGGAATATTGGCGATGAAAATTTAATCCTATCGAAGGAATACGTGACGTGTGCTTTTTAAAAATGTATAAAGTTGAAATCGCAACTCGAACTCATGAAACAAGAAATAATTACAAGGAATAAAAAACTTAAAAATGCGTCAGTTCTTTGTGTTAGTTTACGAGAGATTACGTGACACTGAACTCTTCTTAATGAGCATTTTATTGGTGGAAAAATACTTGACTTGTACTAAATAAATCGTTTTATATTTCAAAGCCTTTGGAGCCACACAAGCAAATTAAAAATTTTAACACGACACGAAGTCCTTAAAAATCTGGAAAATGTCACGCAATTTCATGCTTTTCACTGCTTTTTTTATTGAGGGTGACGACATTTTGCTATGCATAGGTACGAGTACTTAAATCTAAATCAATGTTTTGTTAGAACCTCTTCGTTCAAGTAGGCATTGCACGTCACGTGAAACAATAATCGAGTTTTCCTAGCACTGACAGCTTACCCATGAAAATAACTGAAACGTTCGTTGATGATGGAAACATTGTTTCATATTTAATTACAATTGATAAACTTCGTATTATCAAAAGCCTAATACAAACAATCAGTGCCCTATTATTACCTAAATTGCTGCTTTTCAGGGTGTCGCTTCACTTTGATCAAACATTATGTTAACGTCGTTATGAGATTTGATGCATGTAACTTACAACATAATTGTTCGACATTTTTAGTGATTGTTAATGTTAATTAACAAGTTTTTCCGTTGATAACTATCAGAGCTTTTAAGTTTATCACACCTTGTTGAGTAATTTCAAATTATTTATCAGTTTGCGAGAGATTTTTAAAATATTTATGAAAGTTCAAAAGAATATTTGAATACGTTTTTGAAGCTTGATAAATAATTGATTTTTGTTCGTTTTCGAGATGCTTCAACTTTCATAGATATCAATGTTTGCGCATGATTCTTTATTTCCTTTTTTTTATTGTTTTACAAGCGCTTCCATAATTTAAACACAAGCTTCTGATTGGTTCAATGTGACAAGCTTAATATTCATCAATAAATAATTAAAACTGTATTGAATACACTTTTTAATTGCTTTTTGCGAGTTGAAAAACGAGGAATCGATATTGATTCTTTCCGTATAACTTTACATCGGAGGTTGAAATACTTGCATTAATACAAACCTTGGTTTTACTTCCGCCTACCGAGCCAGGTCTATCGACAAAAATAAAAATGGAAAAGAGAGAAGGAAATAGAAATAAATGAATGCGCTATAAATGTTTGATTAAGCTTACCGGATACTTCCAGTTTCATAAAATCGCGTCAATATTTTCGACACACATCCTGAAATGTGATGAAAATTTATTTATTCTCGAAACGTTTCATTTTTATTAATCAATCATACCATGAGAAACTAAAAGCTGTCGTGAGATATCGCACGGTCGAACTCCCATCAAAGCTAATTCCACTATACGCCTTCGAACGCAATCAGGTAGAGGTCTTCCATTCACAAAAACTCCACCGAGTTGATTTACACCTGCTTGACCTGTCAATTTGATGATGAAGATTAAATGATAAATGTTTATTATGTTTTTGATTTATAGATAAGAAAATTGTCTACGACACAGTGTTTATGATCAAATATTTGATCAGTAAGCTGATAAGCTTCTGGCAAAATTGTATGTGTATATAAATGTAATTTACTGTCGACAATGAAAAGCATAAATTATTTAAAAGTATCATCATCAACAACAACAACATACTGCCAAAGACATCTCCAAACGCCAAAGATTTATATTTAAAGGAAACGCAAAACACCTTGCGAAATCATCAGTTTCATCACAATTTTGTCACAGCCGGTGGCAATGAATTTTTGATTCTAATTTTTCTTCTCCTTTCCATCGAAGAAAGAAAGAAAAAAAATCTTTTTTCAAGGTCAGTTTTCTCGCCCCAAAAAAAAAAAAGATTTCAGTCGACTGATGCACTTAAGGAAGAAAAAACGAATTCTTATCCTACAAACCTATATTTGCAGTCTCTGTCTTCTCTTAAAACATGCATTTATCAATCTTTGTAACCTTATATGATGCGTATCAAATTTGGTTGCATGATGTGGATGCCACACGATGATAAAAAAAGAGTCTCAAAAGATAATTGGTAATTTGTCTGAGATCGCTAAATTGTCAGGTATCGTCAAGATATTTTATGCATATTTTTTCTTTTCTCTCTCATCACATAATCAAAAAGAAAACTTTTCATTTATAAAATATTTTAACTTCTTAAGGTATTAAATAAATCTTTATAATTACCTTCTTGTAAATATTTATTTATTTATGTAGTTTAAAAATTTAAAGAGAGAAAATAAATGCAATTAAATTTCCTTAAATAGGAATCAATTGAGTGAGAATGAAATAAAATTGCAATTCTTTTCTTTTCACGGCACCAAAAACAAACGTGAGAAATCTCACACCTCTTTATTGATCTCCAACACCAAAAGTTCAATTATGGATGGCGGCAGTGCTGTTGGGAATAAACAAAAAGGCGTCGCTTTCGCATAATTGCTCCTGGACTTGAAAAATGAATAGCGACAACGTGTTAAAAATTGTTTCGCCGTTTCGTCCCGATACAAATCTAATAAATGATTTAACATTCATACATGATACTCTCTCGTCTTATGTTTTATTCATAAACAACTCGAAAGCTGGTGTTAAGAGATGGGAGGCAAGAAAGGAAGAAGTTAAAATTTGAAATTCACGCATTCATAATTTGTGGCAGCGATTGTTCTTGTTGTTGTGTTCTCACCTTCTCGATGCATAGCACTTCGACACAGATATCCATCATGAGATAAACATTTATGCTTCGATTCAGGACTCATTCTCAGACTGAAGTGCATAAAACAAGGCAAAGTAATGTTGTTATCTTAAGAGTCAATCTGATGTCTAAATAGGGTGATAATAGTTGAGACAAGATTTGCTTCTTTATATATGCACAAACTCATATTACACAGAATTTAGATTTAATCAGGCGAACGGTGATAGAATTTGTCATGATTGAATCAATAAGTTACACAAATGGATAAAAATCTTAATCAGAAATCAAGAATAAAATTTCTGTTTTTATCAGCAATCAGATAAGTAAAAAGTTTTGTTTTCACATTTCACATTTAATGTAGATGATATTCGTAATCTTGATGATAAGTTAAAAAGAAACTTTCTCACATCCGTAACATATATCTTGAGAATGAGAGCATTTTTTTGGAATAAATTATACGGTATTTAATGCCTTAATAATAAGTATGAATCATTTGAACTGCTAATTAGATTTAAAGGAAAAAACAGCCAACATTTGTGTGTGTGTTTGCAATGGTCTGGGCAGAGCAATAAACAGGTTTTTATTCGAAATAAATTTCAGATAATAACCCCACATTTTTCTCTTAATCATTCCCAATTAAACAAAATAATCTTTGAGGCCGTGAAAGAATATGTTTCGGTTAGCGAGAGAGCAATAAAAAGTCATAAAAAAATTACGTTGATTATGCTGGAAACAGTGGTGATGAAACCATAATAAAAATAATTCGAGAGAACTTGAATAAACAAACAAAACATAAAATATTTTTATATTACTTCATAAGATGAGAACAGACTGTTAATAGTCAGCACCGGAACTGTGCTAAGAATCAATTAGAATCAGAGAAAAATTAATTTACATCTCAAACATGATTCCATTTTTCTTAAAGTTGATAACGCGTGCCTCGTGATTAAAGATCACACATTTTTATTGACATAATTAAGATATAATTTTCATTTTCGGAAGCAAGATGTATAAAATGATTACACGATCATCAAAGCATTATTTACAACACATAAAATAATGTAACACGATAATGAATGGTCCGGTATTACAATTACTGCTAATTGTTTTTTGATGTCCGCCTTTGCACTTTATTTTTGTATGTTTGCATCATAATTTGCCAAATATCTTAATACATATGAAGTACAATTGAAAGGCATTTTATTCATTGCTGTTTTTTATTTTTAATTTGCCGTTTGTTCTTGTTTTCCCTTTTCAACGATACGATTATGTATATTCGATAAAACGAAAGAGAAATGAATAAATAAATGCTCGCATGCAGCCAATAGTCATTAAATTGAATTGTTTTTAGGCTTGAGGCATCCAAGAACATGTAAGCTCACCCTTCCGATCACACTCAGTCTCAGAACAGAAATTATTTATCTTTATATTTTGCTTCTTAATCATGCAATGATGTGAGTTAAAAGATGTGATAAAGATTGATATCGAAAAAGAATGCATAATTGTAAATCAATTATTATATCGTATATTTTATTAGAGTCATTCTTTAACTGATTGTTTAATATGGAGCGAAGAACGAGTAGGTAGCAAGCATCTTCATAAAATTCCAAGCGGCAAATAATGTTTAACCTATTACATTTATGCGCTTCAGTTTCTTATTGCAAGACTTATCATTATATTTCGATTAGCTGTGGTACTCAATTTGATGCATCAAAATGTTTTGATGACTTGAAATATTTTTTAGACGAAGGTGCATGTAAAATAAAATTTTGTTGATAGAATCATTGCACTTTGCTGATTGCACTCATATATGTGTTTAGCCTGCTAATGAGTTTTGATCAGCGCGCACAGACAGGTGAATATTTATCTCTACTCTATGCATCATATAATTTTACCCTCTATCCAGAAAATTTCTAACGTAGCTTTTTTGCTTTTGTCTTTAGGCCGAAGCAAATTGATAATAATGTAAGGTTGAATGTTCTAAATATTAAATATAATGAAGTCTCTGTCGTTGGATGAATTTAGTTTTTCCCTTCAAGTAGACGGCAATCAGGTGAATTTAAACAAATTTGAGGAATTCAAAAATATGTCAACGTGCAAGCGCTCAATTTTATAGACATCAAGCAAATCGCATGAAATCATAAACGATTATCTTCAGTGGCAATGGATTCTTCACATTCAAGCTAACCACAACTGATATCTAGAAAATAATTGATAAATATTACCACACCTGAAAGTATTTTTATTTTATCTCCAGCATCTCTAATATTGCAAACACTTCATTCTGAAGACAAGTTCAAAAGCATCGAACCGAAATCAATGTTTCTCTTCTTCTTTCAAAGAATGAGATGAAAAAAATGAAGGAATTCCGTAACAAAAAGTCATCTGCAATTGCTTTCATTAAAGGAGTTGATAGAAGGAACTTGAAAGCAAAGAAAGCCTAAAGTAGTAGATATCGAACTATAGCAAAAAATTATGTCAGGCTTTTCAACAAGCGTGATTTTCTAATTGGAAAAAGGTATTTCGGTATTCCTTGACGCATAAAAATTCTTTGAATTATTACAAGTTGTATTTCATACGAAAAACAGTTCGACAACATGCATTCAATATAATTCTTCACACTGAATATAAATAAAAACTCATCTGAAATTCATTCTTTCAACTTTTCGCTTTTCTGTCTTTTTCCAAGATTGGAATCATTCACACTTTCGTTGCGGGAAATCTCGCTTGATATCGGACTGATCGTTCGATTACATTTGATAAATGTATCATTTGCGACAGACGTTTAAAATGATCCCTCACTAACATGACAAAAAACTCAATCAATATTGTAAAAAAAGGAAAAAATCGTTCGTCGTCTCTGCGTTGTTACGTTTTAACTCCAGATAGGAAATGAAATTTATATGTTGCACTAAAAGGTATTTATTTTTAATTAAAGTTTCTCAAATATCATCACCATAATTACTTTTATTTAAATTTAATTTTGAAGAATTAATTTTCGTCTGCTGATCCGTACTTGTGACAAAATTATTCCGAGAAAATAGTGAAAGAATTCATGAAAAAATGTATTTATGGTGTGAAACATTTAAAGTGATAAACTGAACAAAAAATAACATAATATAAAAGCTACTGATAATGCGAATTAAATTTCAATGTTTTTACAATCAATCATTCGAGTTGTTGGATGTATCATCACACATAAAAAAGTCTTCGATGCGTACTGAATGAAATTGGAATTTGAATTACAGTTGCAGTTGAAGAAAAAAAAAAGTGGAAAGAAAAACCGGTCAGAAAAGTTTGTTTCATTTCAAGGAACCAGAAGTTTTATCAATTGTTGAGACAAAAGTCTACACAATTTATTTTATTTTATTAATATTTAATAAGCTAGCAATTCGTACCTGTATGTGGCATCATTCAAATGTCCAACTATTACAATAAATGTCGCAGTTGAATCTGAAAAGAGAAATGAATAGTCAAATAGTTAGAACATTGAATCATGTCAAACGTCAGTTTGTTTACGAGCTTGAGTTTCAACTTCAACGGAATAATTATACAAATCAAATATAAAAAATTATCATAATAAACGAGCATTGATGGTGACCTGAACAGCGGTATTATCCTTGAGGAGTGGATGTAAGGTGCTCAAGTAACAACAAGCTTAAAGTGTATCAGCAGGAAAAGTTATTTCATCGCTTTAGCGTTAAAAATATGATTTGGAGCGATTTCAAATTGCTTTAACAATAGCATTTATAAACAGAGATATTAATTCACCCTTCGACAATTTACATATCCTTTACGAATTAATAGGCACGAAAATATTGTATGCACAAGCACATGATTCCACATTTCATATTCGGTATTCAAATGTTTCATAACACAACAACACATTAATTACCTAGAATTTTGGTGTGCGCAGGAAAAACGATTATTTCTCGTCATATCATAGTTAAGTGGTAACTCGCGAAGGGATTATTATAATTTCTAATTAAATGAGAATGCTAGTAGATTCACGATTGCCGACTTTAATATTCC